TGATTTCGAAGGTCATGTTGGAGGAGAAGCTGTTCAAGACTTGGTCCCATTGCCGCACTGTTCTCATGGGTGATGGTATGTCTCTATTATTGTCTTTTTTCTGTTCCGAACTAAAGTCAATGTGCTGTATTTTCGCTGACGTTGTTTCCTTCTTTATTTTTCCGTACGTCCTTTCAACTAGCATGCCACAAGGTACGAAGTCTAGCTTTAATAACAGTTGCTGGTCCATGGTTGATCATGTTATTCTTCGCCCAGCAAACTAAGACTTGTGCTCATATTTCATTCACTGTAGTTGAACCCATCAGGAGGGGAAGGAGGCAACAATGCCTTACAAGACGCAGTCGTACTAGCGAACTACATCCACGCCCTCCCTGACCACCCCGTTGCAGAAGAAACCGAAGCCGCCTTCGACGCCTACAGAAAGGAGCGTATCCCCTGGGTCGAAGCCGCGTTCACCACCAGTCAGGCATTAAGAAACATGGTTGACTCGGTAATATCTTTTATTTCGCATAATTAGGAGGACTGCTTTGACTATTTTTGTATCTCCACTTGCTGACCCCACGATTTTTTTTTCTGGTAAAATAGAATATGAAGGCAAAGGTGATGCGGTTCTTCATGAAGAACATGCCCGGCTGGGTGAGCGCGATGATCGAAAGGCGAGTCTTAAGCAATCGGCCTCAGGTATATTTCTTGCCCCGGGATGAGACCCCCTGCGAGTTGGCTCCTGCCCCCCAGGCCAGCTTGAACTTGAAGCGACCGGAGTCAAAAAGGCAGCAGAAGGACGATGACGGTGTAGTTGCGGAAGAATTCGCGCAGCCTGTTTGATAGTGAATATTTTAGCTTATTTTGAAGAAAGAGAAGTCAAGTGGAGAGAATAGGTTGTATTAGGGTCATGTTCTGGTCCTTCTAATAGCTGGCTATTAACGACTATATGCTCTTATGAATAAAAAAAGGAGGAGTGGATTGCAGACGATGTGGCAGGGTTCAGAGCTTCAGCAAGTGAGCGAAATTTTGGTGGCAACTTTTCTGGCCAATCAGATCACTGTATTTTCGAACATGGAAATGGAAGGGATTGGACCATGCACCTTTTTTTTGAATCTGACTCGGATCCATTGGAGGACTGTGCAACATGTGTTCGTCTCACTCGCAGCGCTCTTATTTTTTCTTCAACCCATTCCTACTTCACACCTCTCACTCTCTCCTCCTTGTCTTCCTTCCTCCTTCACCCTTCTTCTTCCACGCTGAACCAGGAACAAGGAAGCCATCATCCAAGTATCAAAAGATAGGTGCAAAAAGAAAGTCATCCTCCACCATAGCCTACTCCTCCATCCCCTCTCCCTCCTCACTCTCCCTCCTCACTCTCCCTCCTTCCTTCCTCTTCGGCCATCAGGCGACCCCACACCAACGACCACAAAAAACCATCCTTTTTCTCATCCACACACACCCATACCACATTTCCCGCCAGGACTCGACACAAAAACACACACACCCACTTCCTCAGATGTCGGGGGACGATAAGAGGTCACTGTCGTAGTAGTAGGTCTTTCGGTCTCCCACCCCCCTTGTCCATACACCATTGTCCTTCTTGACGATTGGTGTCCCGTAGTTCTTCGGTTCTAGTCTTGACACAGTTGTGGCAACTTTTTTTATTCCACGTTTTTTTGTTCCCCGCAGACAGAGCGTTTCAAATCCCCACCACCTTCACACCCCGCACCCGTTTTCCTCATGTCCCCCGCTTTCTTCATGCCAAAAAAGAAATACCATACCTTATCACAGACAAGTCTGGTCAACTTTGTTCTTCAGTATGAAAGGGGTTCAGGGTGCGTTTCTCTGTGTCCAACGGGGGTAGCTCACACACTCGAGGATATCCACAAAAGCGAAAAAAAAAAGGGAATATAAAAAAAAAAAGCTCTGCACATACACACTTCGATTAGAGTTTGTCAACGTAACTGTTGGCCATACCAAGTACCGGACAAGGGGATTTTGCAAGACCTTAGGAGATGTAACGACTCAAAGAGAAAGTCGTACACAAGATATCTCTTGACCCGGGTTAATAAACCATAACAGATTGGTTTGTAAAACAGAGTATGCGAGTGAAAAGAGAGGGATTGAGAAGTAAAAAAAGGGGGAATTGGTGATGGGTAGGTGTGGGGTGAATGTGAGTGGGAGAGAGGATGTTCCTGTTATTGGGGGTTTGGTTTTCTTCCTATCTAACCCCCCCCCCCCCCCACCCTCCTTCTTCACTCCTTTTTTTCTTTAGAAAAGAACAGGCATGGAGCAGGACATCATGGAAGAGGATTTCTTTCAGGGATGCACTGTTAGGATTAGCAAAGTCTAGTCAAGAGTAGCACTAGTGGAGGAAAAATAATAAAGGATCGCGCTTCCGTTTTCAGATATGCTCATGGTCAAAATCTGCGTGTCCTTCCCTTAGCCTGTGCTCAAGTCCGCCGTGAATGGGCTCGCACCTTTCTCCCTTCACAGTGGACAAACATCTACATTTGCAATAGCTCCTCAGCTCTGGTGATGGTATCGCGACCAACGACGGTACCAGAGGAACTCGGAATGGCGATGATGGTGGTAGTAGCAAAGATCAGGAAGGCATTGCATTCAACGACCGGGACAAATATTATGACGAGGCTTACTGGGTTGATGACGACGAAGTGAACCCGGACCGTCGCCGCAACTCTTCAGCGCCCGAAAGATGGGTCAACTTCACAAGGGCCAAGGTCAAGAAGGGTTGCTGGAATAGTAAAGGCATCTGGTTAGAAGGGTCATGTGCGAGAAATATAGCGAGGTCGAGTTGTTTGCAGCTTTCCTAGGTGCTAGTCAGACTGGCTGACGAAACCTTCGGCTTTCCCCGGTCCTGGGACACCATGATGGTTGTGTGTGTTCCTGAAAGTTGTGTGATTGGGAGCGGAGCAATGGAAACGGAGCAAAGAAAACGGCAACATGAAGGGGTCAGAGGCCGTCTGCCACAGAGTCTTCGCCGTGATTATTTTTTTATCGCATCCCATGCTTTCCTTCATGTTGGGCCCAGCACGAGGCGCAGAGAAAGAAATATGATTTGGGTTTGTTGTGATGTCTGGAGCCCCCTTTCCTGTCCGCTACGACAGAATAATGAATCGATAAGAGCACTTGTAGAGGAGCGACATGTTTTTCCGATCGTGGAGTTGGTCCACTCCCCGCCATAAAATGACGGCGACAAAGAAAAGGTACAAGACGGATGATTGGGAACAAAGCGACTGATCGATCGTAGATATGGACAAGAAAATAAGATCAAAACTAGAGCGCACAATTAACCAGCGAAAAAAGTGAGGCACAGGAAAAAGTCGAAGAATCAATAAAGCATCATTCCCTGGTGGTCTATTTGCGTCCCAATTATGAATACCTTTCCTTCATCTATCCATGGCAGGAATCTAACTCAGGTTGGTGAAAGAAGATTGATTTGTCGCATATTGTAACATCAGCTGAGAGAATAGAGAAAAGACGGTTGTAACAGCAAGAGGCAAGGCTGTTGGGACTAGAGAGAGAGGGGCAAGAGTAGGTACTGTTTATTATACATAGAGAGGGGATGTTTGAAAAATTACCTAGGGGGTGAAGTTCTGGCGAACATGATGAGAGGGTAAAGGGCGGAGCTAGGTGTGTGCTGATGGCACAGGTGATGGCCAAGCTGGTATTTTGATGGCACAGTTAGGGCTGGTGTTCCTGCGGATGATGGCGAGAAGGGTAAAGATGAGGGCAAGGTAAGAAACAATCTATGATACTATCGCACATATTTGCCCTGCGGACCCCTAGATAGATAGAAAAAGATCTGACTAGAACTAGGTCACCAGGAACCGCATGATTGGTTGGGAGAGAGAAAAAAAAATACCATGCATGGCAAAGCAGCCCACGCGTTTGTCATTTTTTTTTTTCAAGTGCATAAACAAGAAACCATGCACAAAGTTTTACGAAAGAAAACAAGAGCTTTCATGGATATGGCACCATTGACAATAGTGCGCGGAACAACTGCGTTCTCAGTTTGAAAGGAAAAAAAATTGCGACTCTCGTTTTGTTCTGTTCCATATCATTTATGTTCAAGAAGTAGGGAAAACGTGTGTTGACAGAAATACCTCAATCAACCGGTTAGGAATATATCCATAGTGAGAACCGTCTTGTTCCTCAGAACAAAGCAAAATATCATGAATAAAAAAAGGCGAGAATAAGAGAGCCATCCAGGTATATCAATAAAACATACCTCGTCCACGCTTTGGGTTACAAGGAAAGACCACATCTGTCGACTGGGCATGGTGTTTGAGGGAGCGATACATGGGTTGTGTTCGTGGGAAGGCGGGGATAAAAGAAAAAAATGCAAAGTGGGATTGGCGAAGACATAAGTAGGTCTGCACAACGCATTGCGTACAGCATGCGAAAGAAAGTGAAAAGACAGGCCCATAATCAAATCTCCTCTTTCATGGAAAATAGGTTCCCTTACACGCTGTGGAACACCCCTTCAAAGTTGCATGGGCGTAGAATACCCTCCAACTGCATAATTTCTCTTACTGCATACCCATACCCGTGGCTGAAGGCGAGGTTTGACTGCATGCTTTTTGTTCAAGGATACATGAGTCGGGAGCAATAAAGACCAATTTTTTTATGTGTATTTTCCTAGGTACCCGCACCTTTCTTCGCCCCATGTTCCCTCCTTTTTTAGTACCCTACTTCTCATTCCCGATTCTCCCAATACTCTTTACTTCGCCATTTCTTGTCGCCTTTTTCTTTTCACTGGTCTTTCAATTTCTTTTAAAAACCTCACTTGTCCCGTCGTCTCCCCTTATCTCCCATCTTTTCCTTCTCTCCCTTTTAAACCCCCACAACCATCCTAAAACATGTCCACTCAACAGCAAAACGGCCAATACAACCAATTCAACCAATCGTCCACTCTCACTCACACTTCTTACACTCAATCCCAATCCATCTCTCCCATCACGCAAGAAACACAAACCCGACCCACCGTCGCTATGTTTGAAGCCGAATCCGGGTACCAGCAGGTCATTGACACCATCAACCGCATCCAGAGCCACGGCCTAACCCATAAGCTAAGTGTGCCGAAGATGGTCATCATTGGTGACCAGTCCTCCGGCAAGTCTTCCGTGCTCGAGGCCCTCACCAGGCTGTCTTTCCCTCGTGACAAGGATATGTGTACGAGGTTCGCCACTCAGGTAAACCTGCGCCGCAACCCTGCCTTGGAGAATGACGTTCTGTCGGCCCGAATCGAGGGCGAGGATGACTTCAACAACGCCTTCAGCACAGTCCAGGCGCCTATGACCTTTAGTGGCGTCATCGAACAAGCCGTTGTGGCCCTCTGCAAGAGGAAGAACACCGACATCTCGGACAAGGTATTGGAGATCACTCTCTCTGGCCCTACGCAGACCCCACTTACCATAGTGGATCTGCCTGGGTTCATCAACACGACCTCGGACGGCCAGGAGAAGAGTCTCCCCAACACCATCAGCGGAATTAACAGGCGCTACGTCCAAGATCCTCGTACAATCATCTTGGCCGTTGTACAGGCCAACGTTGATTTGAACACTACCAGGGCCCTGTCTGAAGCCGCGGAGTACGACCCCGATGGTGAGCGCACCATCCCCATCGTGACCAAGCCCGACTGCATCCAGAGCGGACTGCACATCGACTGGATTGAGGTGATCCTCAACCGCAAGAAAACTATGAAGCACGGTTACCTGGTCATGCGTAACACGGGCTACGACCAGAAGAACCTGACGTGGGATGCAGCTCGTCAGGAGGAGCAACGATTCTTCGAGTCGCACCAGTGGAACGCTGTTCCTAACGATCGCAAGGGCCGTGACTCCGTCAAGAAGTTCTTGAGCAACGTGTTGTTTGAACACATCAACCGCGAGCTGCCAATCGTCAAGCGCGAGGTCGACGCCGCGATCGACACGTTTAAGATGGAGCTTGACGCCTTGGGAACCCCCATTGCCTCCACCGCTGTAGCACGTGAGAAGTTGGTTGAGTCGGCCATGCTCCTCCAGCCACAGGTGGTTGCCTTCTTGAACGCTGACTATGACCACAATTACCTCGCAGCGCACAAGAACAGACCCATTTCCAATTCCGGCGAGGACCCTTACTTCATCCGCTCATCGCTTCTGAGGCTCTACAAGAAGTACTGCTCCGACATGTCGAGCAAGGATGCTGGCCTGACCCGTGCCCAGATTGTGACTCTTGTTGCGCGCTACAAGGGGAACAGCCTTCCAGGCTTTGTCGATCCCGTTGCGTTTAAGGCCATTATCAATGGCCATTTCTTGGACACATGGCGAGCCACCACCCAGACTCACGTCGTGGCGATGCACAAGCAACTCTCCGAAGCCCTCTCGGAGTTTATCGCTCACAAGGCCAACCCCACCGCACGCGACGTCTTCACCCACGTCTTTGACCGCTTCTCCCGCATCCGTGCCATCGAGATCGACAAGACCATGCAGGGCATCATCGATGACGAGGCCACCCCTTTCACCCTCAGTCGCCACTACGCTGAGGCGGTCCACAAGGTGCGCTCCAAGAACAGTCGGATACCCTCTCTCCCCTCTGAGCCGTCCTCGGCTGCTGATTTGATCAGTGACAACAGCGGCGTCATCACGCCCCCAAGTTCGACTCCTGGTACGCCTCCGCATTCACGGACCGAATCACAAACGTCAGCACAACAGCTCTCCCAGACCGGACCGCCTGCCTCGTTTCCTTCGTCGCCGCTGATGGTCGATTGGGATGATATATACACGGCAGAGGAGATGATCCCCTGCCTGCGCGCCTACCTCAAGACCGCCCGTGAGCGCATTGTTGACAAGGTTCTCATGGAGACCATCGAGCGTTACATGATCAAGGGAATCAAAGATTACTTTTCGATGTTGCTCAAGGCTACCGACGGAGAGCTGCAATGCATGCTCGAGTCCGCCGCGCTTAAGCGCCAGCGCAAAGAACTTGAGGACAAGCTGGCAGACTTTGAGGGCATCATGGAGGAGCTCTCCAAGTAATCTCTCTTCTCCTACATCCCCTCCACCCTTCTTCTTCCTTACTCTTCCTCCCTCCCTTCCTTCCTCCTCTCTTCCCTCCTTCCTCGCTCTCCCTCCTCTTTCCCCCCTCCTCCTCTTTCCCCTACTTCCTCCCCTCCTTCCTCCTCCCTCGTCTTTTACTCAGTTTTTTTTTCAGTTTTCATGACTTTCTTTCTCTCTTTGCATTCCTTTCGCTTTTTTTTTTACCACACTATTGTACTTTATATATAAAACACCTTCATTGAACCAAATAGCGCTAGTTGGCATGATATGTGGGTCTGTGTGGGTGGGATGGAAACAACAGGCAAGGTACTGACCCTACTGCTGCACAAACAAAAAATAATCTTACTTTGGTAAAACCTTACAATGTGGAATCTTACTTAGCCTCTTGTGGATATGGAGAAATCCTTTGCGGATCGATTAAAAACCTTGCACCCATGTTAATAATGATACTATCAACAATGTTGATGTTCTTAATACCATAGGAACAAGTGAACTTGACCCAGAAAACGAGGTTAACGCACTGCGAATCATTTTTTTCCGTCACTATTTTCCTGTTCCCGATCTCCTTTCGCTCTGATCTGTTCTTCTTTTACAGCCTACCACGAAGACGATACATCCAGTAAATCCAGCACGCTCCTTATACGCTGCCTTTTTTTCCTTCACCACATTCCCTCTTTCATCTTTTCTTTCTATTGCGAATCAACACAAACAAACACGTCTGTCAAACGGCAAGACAGCAAATCACTTACACACGATCCCTCCTTTTCTCTCACTAGATTCATCCTCTTTCTTTCGTCCATTGTTGATTATCTGTCGGTCGAGTATTAAAACATGCATTATTAATAATACCCATCTTCCTCTCTTCGTCGCTGTAGTCCCTCTTTTTGTTGCATTCTATCATCACGCTCGCATATACTTTTCTCTGTCACGGTCTTCATTCCTTTCAGTGCAAGGTACTATCGGATTTTCTCTATATATGCAAGATACCAACGATTGACCCTCTGAGAATTACCTCCACATGTGCAAAGTACTACCCCTGTAAAAGAGTCGGTTGTCCACGATGTACCCAAGGGAGAACGAAAAGCGCCACCAAAATAAAAAATGAGAAAATGGGTACGTTCCCCTCTTTTGTTAATTTTCCTCTCTTTCTCCCGCACCACTCCACTCCCGTTCTCTTTTCCGCAACGACAAACAAACGGTAAGCAAACAACCTTCCCACGCACAACATACAAACACGCACAACAACATCCTTTTTACCCTTCTCCATCTCTCCACCTGCATTGACTTGTGCATTCACTCATTCCTGCAGTTACATTCCTGAATCAACTTTTTTTTCTTGCTCATTTCGCTCGACGAACCAGACTAACAACTCCTCTTCCTCTCTCTTTTCACCGTCTTTCGTGTCAATCAGACCTAGCCAGCTCATAAGCATTATCATTTTTTGCAGCCATGAACTCCACTTGCACCACTTCCGCCATCCTCCTCCCTTCCCTTTCGCTTCCCCCTTTCCCAGCCATCTCCACCACACTCCCTCCTCCTCCAGCAAGAACGTCCAACTTTATCAAGTTGTACCTTTTGGAAGCCTTAGCAGCTCAGTATCCAGATGGAGTCCTCCCTTTCTCCCTTAATCTCTCCTCCGAAATTGCCACCATCTTTACTACGACCCCCTCCGCTCCCCCCACGTTCATTCTCACGTTAGCGGCTCTTGAGACCAACGCCACCTTTGCCATGACCGAATCTGACATTGTGACCGTCTCTCCTCGCTCCTCGACCGACAACTCTGCCGAGGGTGCCTCTGGCCCTTTTACGCCTGCTAAGGCTGCTGAGTCCGCCACTGTCGCCCAGAACGTCTTCACTTCTTCGTCTGTTCCTTACTTCGAAAGCGCATGGGCTGATGCATGTCTTGAATAACATTTTTTGATATATGTTATTATGTGTAGTGGCTATTAGTATGTTTTCCGAAGAGTGCTCTGTAATGAATCCTAACCTTCAAAGCGTGCGTTGACATATATTCACTTACAACTAGGATGAGAGCGACCTGTCCTTTTTGAAGGAGGATTCGATTGACTTTGGCGACGGCCACCCTGTGACCCTGACCAGCGCGCTCTCCAGCTTGGCAGAGGCTGCTCATCACTTTCTCGAAGACGGTGACGACGCCAAGAACAGCCTGACAGCATCGACACCATTGGCTCAGTCATACCTGAGTGTCATTCCTGAGGAGGACGAGGACGAGGACGAGAACGACCTGTCCTTCCTGAAGGCGGAGTCGATTGACTTTGGCGACGGCCACCCTGTGACCCTGACCAGCGCGCTCTCCAGCTTGGCAGAGGCTGCTCATCACTTTCTCGAAGACGGTGACGACACCAAGAACAGCCTTACGACATCGGGACCATTGGCTCAGCCATACCTGACTGTCATTCCTGAAGAGGCTGAGGACGAGACACCAGAGGTTTCGATGGCCACCGCCGGGCAACCGTCGACTGCAACTGCGGACAATCTTCAGGAGACCCTTACACCCGCTACGATTATCACCTCCGAGGAGTCACAAACAACAACAATAGAGACGTCCAGCGCATCCACAACTACCTCTGCCAGTGTCAAGAACTATGGACCAAGAACCGTCCAGGAGTTCGTCTCTGACCTCGACGCCCGCCCCCTGATTCTTCAGAACATGACAGACGAACAGAAGGACAACTTGGCAAAGTGGCAGGATCTGCCCGGTCGTTTGGCCAAGGAGAATGCTGATTTACGCGAAATGGTTCGGGCAGGCAAGAAGCCAGTCCGATCCATCGAGAGCCCCCGTGCCGCCAGCAGCAGCACTGAATCAACCATCAGTTTCAGCTCTGCCTCCAAAAACATGCCCGGTATTAGCAAGAACAACTACGGAGCCAGCAACGGCTCAAGACAGAGTGGTCGCCGTGAGAACAGGATTGGAGCCGTCAAGAATGCACCCGTCCAGCTTCACCGCCGCAAGGCCTGCGACAGCCAAGGCAAGGATATTCTCATTGTACTTACGCGAACCGGACACGCGCTCCGCAACCTCGAGGACGAGTACAACCGCTGGGTCCAAAACCCGCTACTCAGACCGACATTTAATCGTGCCCAGAAGGACCTCGATACCATTACTTCCGTGATCAAGGACGAGGTCGGTGACCCTATCCCCGAGCGAAGCTCGGGCAAGACCCTTGATCAAGCCAAAGCTGATTTCCAACAAGTGATACATCAGCTGAGATATGGGTTGGAGAACATGCCCCAGCTCGCGCAGGACTTGGACGGCTTTATGACTCTCTCGCGCAACGTCGATACGTACATCGATGAGCTCAGCTACTGCTGTAAGAAGGTAGCCGGTAGATAGCAAATTAAAGCATAGGAACATGCGTGTGTGGGTAGATCGCCAACAAAACGTTGCGTGAGGTACTGTGTGAGGACTGTTGAGGTTAGAAAGATCACCTCGACAGAACCTTTTGTTCCTGTCGAGGCAAAATCAATATAAACGACACTCTTCTCACTCCTTATCGTCATCCCTGGAGTTATTCATTTTTTAACATAAGAAAATACACCTCATCCACAATCACTTTTTGTCTTGGTCCCTTTTCTTTTATATATATCAGTTCACAGTCATACCCTGCCGCCTCGCCTGTTTTGTCGCTCTCGAGGATAGTATATATGCCACTCCGAAGCCCACTCTTCACATGTTCGATCGTGTAGTTGACGGCGTTGTCCAGAGTTGCTTGTTTGGAGTCCTGCGTAGGGCCGGTTGCGACGAGGTAGTTGATGATCCCAAAGGAAAGCCGTGCTCGTCCTGATAACTTGCGACGTTTGGCAGGCGGGATGTCACAGTCGGACATTCGATTGAATTCGAGAGCATCCTGTTCACTTCGCTTTCTTTGAACTGGGCATTTCTGTTCTTAATCAAGGCCAGTTACCGCAACTTGAACCTCATCTAGAGCAGTCACTAGTCCAACTCGTTCGGAACAAGAAGCGAGTGAAGCTTGGTCTGGACGTCCTCGAGCATAGCTTGGATTGTGAGGTAGTCATAACCCCGCAGCTTGTAGATCAGCTCACGAATAGTCGAATCGCCTCCAGTGGTCTGTTCACGGAAGAACTGCCGCGGTTCCAGATCTGGGATGTCGTCGAGGAGAAGCTGAAGGAAAAGAAGTCGTGCCAGGAACTCGAGTTTGACACGCTCTCCTACATATGTTTTGACATCGTAACCGATATCCTGCGGTTCGCGCTGCCTGCCCTGCTCCTTGTCGATAATGGTCTCGTATATGCGCCCAACGTCCTTTGCAAGGGTGATGGAGTTGGGGTGCTTGAAATCCGAAGAGACGGTGGTGCCTGGAGAACAACAAATCGCTGTGGACGACAAAGTCCTTGGTTGTTAGATCAATAACCGTGGCTGTCTTCCTGAGCCGGATGGAGCGACCATGGCGACCACGCTGTGGCCAGTGAACTCGCCGATATCTTTCTCGTCCTCAACAATAGAGCGCAGAGTCTCGCGCCGCTCATCCCGTTGCTGCTCGTCCCCGCTCATCCCGTTGCTGCTCGTCCCCGCTCGTCCCGCTGCTACTCGTCCTTGCCTGCTTGTCCAGCTCAAGTCCCAGCATCACCGGGCTTGTGTCCGTTGCCGTTTTGTGATATGGCAGCACATATATTCACGTGTGAGCAGCGTACACAGGTTAGATAGCGTCACGGGTATAATCACACAACTCTATCCAGTGTTGAAAAGGAAAAAGAGGTAGTCAATACGAGCAAATATATCGCGGAAGACAAGGGATACTCAACCTGAAGGGAACCTACTGATGCATGCAAATGCAAACCTAGTCCAGATACAAACACTGGACAACGATTCAGCTCTGCTTCAGCGGATGGCAACCCCGGAGGAGACCTCGAACGGTGATCGCAGAGAGAATCAAATTTGCAATGCTGCTGCATCAGCCAGAACAGGCCAAGAACACATGTGTTGGAGAGACAGGCAAATGCAAACCTGGTCCAGATGCAAAGACGATTCAGCTCTACTACAGCGGATGGCAACCCCGGAGGAGACCTCGAACGGTGGTCACAGAGAGAATCAGATTTGCAATGCTGTTTGAACTATGAATGAATTGATAGTCCAAGACCGAGAGACTTGCCTTGGTGTAGGATTGATCTTGTCGAGTTTGATGGATTGGGAGAAACCATGATGTTGAGGAAGGTTGAAGGTGTCTGGCACGACACAAATCGCATGCCTTGAAAAGACGTCACAAGATGCATGTTCAACTGACAATTGTATCCCACGCATTACCCATTTGCAATTGCATCCTCTGCTCTCCAACTATTTTCGCATTTGAACATCCCCAACATCTTACGTTGCTCACATCATCCTTTCTTCCGACAATACCTTCTCAATCGCTGAACCCCCACCATTGTAGTTGGCTGCCCTTTCCCTATGAGCAAAGAGACGGACGATCAAGAGGCTTAATTCGCTGCAACAACACGTCAAGTTTCTGAATGACCGCCAATGGACTTCGCTGTGGCAGTGCGCCCAATACTTTTATGATGAATTTAATTTCAAGCATGCTCACACAGCACAGGACTCGTTTCGCCGAGGCCTCCGCGAGGTTGATCCAGAGTCGCCCATGGGTCTTAGCGTACCTCGGTGAAGCGAAGGTAGTATCAGATGCTACCATCTTTTTTGATCAACCTCATTCAGGAACCCTTATTAATCGAAATCATACATCTTTTTTTGGTTGGGGCGAGCAACACCATTGTGATGAGAAAGAGTACTTACTGGCTGAGAAAACGAAGAGGGATAGGCGTAATCAAACCACGAATGAGCCCACTGAGATTCTCGGCAGGCTTCTAAGTAAACAGACCATTCACACGAACTTTCGTCTCCTAGGGACATTGCCAGCGCTGTGCGCAACTGCGCGAAACATGAGTGTGCCAAGGTGGACGCCCACAAGACTTGGCTGTGGTCGACGGTGGAACTAGGCAAGCTTGCTCAGGATGAATTGGCGAACGGCAGGCTGATGATCATGCGCTTAGTCCGCATCCTCGAGTTAATCAAACTCATGTAAGCCTGCACTATGATGCTTATTTTAGTATTGGCGCGGTCCACAACACCCTGGCTCTAACATTTGCTCCTGTAATTTTAGTTCAAAGCTGCGCGAGCTCGAGATGGTGAGATGACTCAAAGAGACTGAGTCTATGACAGTTAAGGTCTGGCATGAGATGTTCGAAATTCTTTTCGACAAGACAAATGTGTCCGTTCACACGTAAGTGCAAATTGAGCTTCTGCCAAAAGCCCAATGAACACATAGTGGTCTAGCTTTTGGCACTTACTGAGTTCACCCACTCTTTGTTCACGTAGTGGCGAATATGAGCTGACAGCAAGTAGGGAGGAGAGACAAGCGATTGGAGTTGACTACGGCGGCGTAAAGATAATCATCTCTCCAAGGAAATTTGATTTTCTTCTGAAGATATCCGTGGAAAACACCTCAGGATAATGCGCGTGGACGTAGCCGACTATGAGCACAAGTCACCGTCTGCTGAGCATGAGAAGTTTAGCATCCAGCTTTTCAAGGCCATGCATCACAATCATGCAATCCTCTCCTGCCTGCCGGTGTTGCAAGGGATATTTTTTCTAGATAATCATAGTAAGATAATGGATGGTACCTTGTATGTTACTGCTGAAAAGGCTGTGCCAGACTTTCCTTACACTTCTAATTTGCCCGACGGGCAAGGTAAGTTTCGAAGCTCAGGTGTACAAGCCTGTCAGGCATGACGGAGCGTTCGTGTGTTGAAAGCTGTGCGAGAGTACTGTGCTTCCTACTAACCAGCCAGAGCTGGACGTTTTTCTTCGTAGCCCTTAACTTAGCGCTGGAGAATGTTAGGGTAAGTGTGCAAGCTGTACCATAGTTATCCTGATAACATATTATGCTGTTAGTCATATCCAATAAATGTCTCCACTTTTGATTACTTAGATATTTGTTCTGGAGGCGGCGGACAAAATTCAAGAAGACCTATTGGTGCCAAAGAAGCCGTCGCTGACAAGAACCATCTTCCCTCTGCCACCGCCTCTTCCTAATACACCACGGACATTCTACAGTCTAACCAAAAAAAAAGCAGCGTCCCAGCCTTCCCCCAGAATAACCGTAAACCCTATGTCAGGAGCACGCTTGTGTCACTCTCCAAGCGGGTGAATCCGCTCCATCTACCTATTCCCTCCACCACCAATGTACTTGCAGCAGTGTGTAATAACCCCACCAAGTAGTAAGAGGATGAGGTCTTTCTGACTATCCCTCTATCCTAATCTTGTCCTCTTTTCTCTTTTTCTCTGCACTACCACAAACCATATCCTATTTCGCTTTGTCTGAAGTTCAGACATGTCCGTATGGCGTGCACTTGTCAAATTAAGAAACGGTGTCCGTGCAATCAGGCACGTTGCTATATATGCAAACTGTTAGCAAGCCATCTTTCAGCGCTTTTAAAAAATATTTATGGAGTTTTAAATAACGTTGAGCTGTACATTGCTCTATCCTACATCATAGAGGGTCTCCCATGCGATTGGAGAAGTTCAAGCTCTTGACCACCCCCGTCGGCAAGAAGCAGGGACTGGCGCCCCTGCTCGACGCGCGCACCCGATGGGGTACTACTTATACCATGATTCAGCGGGCAACCCAATGCAAGGACGCCTACAACTCTGTCCTCATTGACCTTAACTTGACTGACTACATCCTCGATGAGCTTGAATGGCGACGGTTTGGTGCCCTGATGGACCTCCTCGGACTATTTGATCAGTCGACTACTCAAGCATGTGCAAGTAAGAGCCACAGGACCATCGCGATGAGCATCGTTATGTACAACAAGTTGATGCAAGAGATTGAGGACTTTGTCGAGCGTAACAAGGAGAGGTTGCCCGATGTTTGCCTCGGTGCAACTGCTGCATACAATAAGCTCAAGAAGTACTATGCAGCAACGGACAGATCGCCAATCTACTCTGTGGCAACGGCTCTTCATCCCGCGATGCGGTTCAAATACTGGTCCGACCAAAACTGGGGAGCGCGGTACGAGAGCAATGCAAAAAAAGGCTGTTCGGGATGCTTGGAAGGACTATCCATCCAACACCAGCAACGACCCCAATGAGCTGATCCTTCTGGATACCGACATCGACAACACTGATGCGGAGCTGCTGTTGCTCGGCATGACGACGGCGAGCAAAGGCGACCAGCTGGAGGAGTTTGTGACTGGACCACTGGTGAGACAGACACCCCTCGTCTTCTGGAGGCAAAACCATAGCTCTTACCCCCAGTTGGCCAGGATGGCAAAGGATTATTTCGCCATCCCTGCAACATCGGCTTCATCGGAGAGATACTTCTCCAAAGCTCGCCAACCCCTGCCGTACACACGAGGTCGTCTAGGGCCCGAGAAAGTTCAAGAACAGATGCTGCTGGACTCTTGCTATGACTGCTTCAGCAAGAATAAAAAATAAGCAAGTAAATTTAGTTGATCAATAAACCAAACCTCGAACCGAATGGTTTCGATTGAAAAGGCACTCGAACGAAATACTGTAGACCTGTGCTCAAGTTGAATCGAATACACCTCGAATGCACCTCGAGTCGAATCGAATGCACCACTCTCGGATCGAATGCATTCGATATTCGAGATACCAAACTCGAATCGAGTTCGAATAACCTTCACATTCGACTCGATTCGAAAGTTGAGAAAGTAGACGAGTCACTCACTCTGAACCTTACAGGTCTTCTTTTTCACTCTTATTATCTCACCATCTTTTGAATATGGATCTAGAATTACACGTCCTGTTCTATTGTTAAATGCCAAACATGTGTCGATAACCTCCCGTATAAACTCTTTGACGACCATCTTCTCCCTTGTAAACTCGTATGGGCACTCAAATATACAGAAAAAATGTCATATGAGCAGGGTGAACAACTGTCAAAGGGCAGAAAAGGGACTGATAGCCCATTGGACTCTATCCATGGTCCGGTGTTTTTACTACTATCATTTTTTTAAAAATAAAAAGAAAGGCTAATTCTGACCCCCGGGATAAAGATCCATCATGAGGATATTTGAGCAAGCAAACGACTCCATGGAGTCTTCCTTGTTGATCTGGACGCATGGATAGAAAATCTTGTTGTGGTAGTCGTATACTTCGGAAATAGTCCCGTTATAGCCACGGGGGAAATACAGGCCCACTTTGATTTTCGTTTCGTCTGGGCATGAGAAGCTCCCGCCGAGATCCCCTTTCTCGAATCGCATTCCGTTAGTTTGCTTGCAGTCCTTGTACTCTGGCGAGTAGTCGTTGTTGAGGTATCTCAGATTGCCGTGGGATGTGATGCCTCCATTCGACATGTGTTGAACATCGAATACATAGTATGCTGCGTTGGCGCACACGGCAAGCGCACCAAGGATGATCGCACTCTTCATGGTCGCGTATACCATTATTATACCTATGTGCCAGAGAGTGCAAGCCAATATTAATATCCGCATTTAACCCTTAAGTATATTCGCGAAAGTTCATGAACATTGCCTTGCAAGATAAACGCAGTTGTTCAGGGGTTGTGCATGTCTTCTTGTATGAACTTACTTGATAGGGGTCTGCGGTGGGCTGATGAGAGTTCTGTGAAGGATATCGTTCGTATAGCGGCTGGCTTTTGCAAGGATGCTTGCAATGGTTCTCGGGGTGATAGGGTGGTGGACGAATGAAGGAGGCAGGAACCGATGATGTTTATTATACAAAAAGATGGGGGTATTTATACTCGTGTACAAGTGCGCAGTGCTGGAGGCACGGTGACGGAGGCGTGGTGACGAAGGCGCTGTGATAGAGGCAAGGCAGAGACGGTCTATGGTACTGTCGCAACTACATATAGGTATCTTCATGTGGTACCGCGATAGATTCATGATCGACCATGTAGAGAGTCGACTTTTTGCTTGCAATGTTATACAAGGGTCGACCAATAACTCATAGATCCCAAGAAGAGTGGAGATTGAACCTCGGTACGCAATAAAGTAGGCTGTTGGGCAAAAGGCATGCAATAGAGTTGGGCTGTTGGATAAACGGCATACCGGAGTTGGATTGTTGGCGTGGGAGCGGAGGCAAAGGCACTGGAGGTGTGAAAAAAAGGAGGGGAAGAGCCGATAAAAATGACGCAGGGTAGGGGGCACAGCAGCGAGGGGGTGAGGTGCTAAATAGAGTTGGCTGTTGAGTAAACGGTACGAAATAGAGCTGGGCCAAATTGTGACCTTCTACTGGCAATACATTCATGGCCATTTTGACTCTCATCCTTTGAGAAATCGAGACCAGTAATAAATGTGGTATAGTTAGTGTAATATGTACAGCTGGGAGGAGGAAAATAGTGGGAGGCCTTTATTGATCCTTGTGGAAATATATATAGGAGGTCTGACAACTACTACTCTTGATAGAGAATAATGAGATTGGACAGATATTGAGATGTAGCAGTTTGGATCTTGCTTTGGATTATTTCTGCACACGTATTGACGATGCTATCTCCGCGTATCGAACTGATTTAAAATAACCCTGCCCCTTCAGCACGAATATAGTTTGTACGAACAAAGCGTTGACAACGCGCCCTGGAATACCTACAGAGGCCAGGATTGAAAGAGCCGACATCGAAGGATCAAAAAGCAACGTCGCCATGACCGCTTGGCTGTCACAGGCAGTTATCGCTCCATTATATAGCCTTCAATGGCATGTTTCTCGTTGGACAGTTTCGCGCCAACGACTTCAACTAAGTAACTTTTAGTCGTCATATGATTACCTTGGCTATCCCATCCCTTAAAAAAAAGGAGATCGACAAAAAAAATGAATCCAAAAGGCCTACAACACCTCCTTGTTACGCGTTACATCCCCTGACTCGCAAAAAAGGCCAACAGCCTTCTCTAACATTTGCTTGTGGTTCGTTGATATGTCCGTTGGTACTGGTGGCAATAATACTGGTTTGCCATTCACCTAAGAAAGACGCGAGCGTGTTAGCATACAAAATGGAGAACATAATAATCCTTGGATAATAATCATATTACGCTAGGCATTACCTTGGCATAGATGTACCAAGCAATCTCATAAAATGGCGATGACTTGACGGGGTCCATTCGACAGTCTCCTCAAGCGCCGCAGACTTGTCAATATCGTCATTCAAACTGTCACCCACATCATCTTGCCCCTTCTGACTTTCCCGCGCTTCCTGCAATGAGGGCATGGACGTAGCGGGGCCACCATTCTCGCATGTCATAGGGTCTGATAAGCCGGCAGTCGCGTTTAAAAAATAACAACAAAACACAGTTAGAAACATAAAATGCCATTAGGATATTATCCACCGTGTTCGCGGGGCACACATACCTTGACGCTTGTCTTCTTCTATAGACCCAGGCGTTAAGCTGAATTCGGTTGGAGGAAGCTTCAGGTAGTCAAGCAAACAGTAATTAATTAACTGGAGGACTTATCAAACGTGATGAATGAATATCGAGAAAGACCAGAGCCAACCTTTTGGTTCATCTTGAGGAAGCTTTCGAAGTAATCTTTCGGTCAAAAGTTCACTTCTGTCCACAAGATTTCCTCTGTCTTTTTTGTTGAGACTTCAATTTTGTAATCCGTCACACGCGAGGCCCAGTATTCGCGCCTTCATTACGACGTCATGTCTCATACTATCTGGTAAACTTTGTTCTGGCTGACCGCGGTATTTCACTCGAAGAAAGTGGGTACGAGAACGTTCCGTGAGCATCCTGCTCGTGTGTCCCGAGACTAGTTTCTTCGGGAACCACGCCAAAGCTGCGACTGGCTGGGAAACAATGCGCGTCATTGTTATTGATGTTATTGTTAATTTCTTGGAATCCATTATGTCCTAATGAAGCTTGCAAAAAAGTGTAATAAGATTAAGGTGAAAGACCAAAGTTAACCTCCAACCATGAAATAATAAGACGATTGAAGTTGACGCCGATCTAACAAGTCTCACTCCACTTCCCGCCCTCCCGCCGCAGAGCTAAGCAAGAGCTAAGCTAAGAAAGAACCAGAAGCGACACGTTTTAGTATACTAACACCGATTAACCACCCCACCCAAAACTCCACATTCCGCCCTCCTGCCGCGGAGCTAAGCAGGAGCTAAGCTATGAAAGTACCAGTCTAACATGACTAGGGTGTGTGTAATCGAGTCTTCCTGCCTGATGCAAAACAATGAGATTCCTAGTATACACTACCTTTATGTGTGTGTGTGTGTGCGGATGAAGGCGCAAAAGGGATGCTGAGAAGAAAAAAGTGACAAGCAAATGTTGTGCAATGGAGGGTGGGCTGAAGACTGCTGTTGCTGCGAACAAATGCCCTCGGGAGTTATTTGTGAGGAGAGAGGTGGAATTTGCTCTCAAACCATTGGTCGAAGGCGAAGAAACTATGTCGTCACAGGTACATTTATTTAAGTCTTAGAGCTCACCACTTTACGAACCTCACTCTCGCCCTCCTACCTTCCTCCCTCTTCTTCCTCTCCTCTCTTCTTCTCATCCACTCACTCACCTACCCTTGCACACATCCACAAATCGACTTCTTGATTCGGAATCAACCCATGCAGCGGACGCAGCATCGGACAGGTAGACAAAGTCGGAATCAGAAATCAGCATCGTCACTCCGACGCAAACTGGCTTCTTGACGTCTGACATCACGAACTTGGTCAAGAGCAAGCATCACTCACCGTTCATTCTGGAGGGAGGCATGGGGAACTTACAAGAGAGGAATCCGTTCTTTCTCTGGATGGGTATTTGGGCGCCTGAGAGAGGTAAGGCGACGCCCGTTCATTCGCGGGAGCGGATGCTATGGGAGAGTGTATGGAGGTCTATTGAAGGTCAAACTGGATGCGTTTCGTCCAGATGGGATTTCTACTAGGCTGGGCACGCTCTTCAGTATGCAAGGGGCTGTCTGAACAGTGACAGAGTGGAGACGAGTGTTTAGGAGGTGTATGTCCAGGAGTGGGGGTATATTCTACTGAATGAACAGAGCTTTCTCTGCTCATTTATACTCTCTGGCCCACTCTGTCTTTGTGGCAGGGTGGTTTTGTCCTCGAGACCTCAGAGAGATGACAGACCGGACTCGCCTGCTGCTTTACAATACTCCTCGCATTCTTGTTATCCACCCTGCAGCAAGGATAACAGGCATTTGGACAATCGTTGAAGAGGAGTGGGTTTCTTGGGGTTAGTAGGGTAGTCAAATGATCCCTAACCGCGCTGGCTATTCGACACTCCTCTGGTCAGAATATGTGGGAGATAGCGAGAGGGAATGGTGGACCAGCGGCGGTGTACTTAGCAACAACTACTGACTACTATATATATCGTTTCCTTTTTCAACTCTGTTTCAATCATGAGGGGTAGAAGACAATGTGGTCTTCTACTTCTCGACCCCTTTCCTCTCGAATGGAGATGGGTGTCTTTGGATGCAGGAGCGCTGGAAGGTGGCTTAATAATACTGACGAAATCGTAGACAAGAGGGGACAGCCTGTAATCACCCATTTGCCAGCGCATCTGATCCACAGTCGCCAAACACAGACTCGCTCATAGCAGGTTCCAAGATCAACCATGCGCTCCCAATACTTGGTGAATGAAATCCAGCACTTTATTTCGTGCAGTGCATGTCATTCGTGGGAGGGTCTGACAAATAAGAGTCACCAATCGTTTGAAGAATGCAGCAGTAGGTATTTTGTTTGCATGGCAATTTCTGCCTTACCATTGTCTCTTTGCTTTGCCATTAGACAAATTGTCCCCATCTGTCATTTTACAGTTTGCCCTGCTTTGCCAACTGTTCCTTTCCACCGCCGATAAGCCACAAGCAAAGTGAGCTATTCAATTTACCTTTACCCGACTCAAGTGAAAATGAGTGAAATGATGGCGTAGAACGATGGGAAAGTTCGATTTTCAACCGCGTTGCCACATGAACCCTATCTGTAGCCTCCTCTGGCAGCGAACACAGTAATGCAAGCAACTTCACTATCGTGCTTTCCAGCCGAGGCTTTGGATGAATTCCTTCGTTTCCAAGTTATCACAATAATATTCCCACACATTCAAAGACTTCATTCATGCATCTCGCATTTTGCAATAACTATGTTCCATCTTATGCATGCCATCGATCACCTGTCGTTCACCAAGTACTAAATAAAAGCAGTATACACAACAAGGACAGTCAAATGACTCTCGCAACAAGTTCCAGACGAACATACTTAAACCATCCTCTCACCCACTCCTTCGTTGCTTTTACCTCCTCCTATCAAATCGCCCCCCTCCTCCTCCTCCTCCTCCTCCTCCTCTCTCTCTCTCTCTCTCTCTCTCTCTCTCTCTCTCTCTCTCTCTCTCTCTCTCTCTCTCTCTCTCTCCAAGGATTCCTTCCCTTTCGCCCTTATTCCATCTCTATCGAAATGGTTCCTGACCCTACTCAACGCAAGGATGAGTATCACCACTATATACCGCGTTTTATCTTGAGGACGTTCGCCGACAACTTTTCTCTGAAGACCCCGAATTACTTTGCGAGGACCTCGGACGTCGCCTTGGCGGACGCTATTCCACAAGACTGGGAACTCAGAGACAATGGCGGACGCAAAAAGAAGGGCAAGAAGAAGAAAGGAGGCAAAGGAGGACACGACATCAAAGTATATCAAGTAGAGGGCCAAATAATTGCTTTGAGCGACGTCGCCAGATCCTACGGCAACTACGATATGTATCGAGATATCGCCGAGGACGACTGCATGATGTTCGAGGACCTCCTGTCCAAGATGGAGAGTACCTCTTCGACATTTATCCGCAAGATCTGGGCTGGAGAGGACCTCTCGTTGACACGAGTCCAGTTGACGGAACTGAAAAAGTTTCTGGCCATCATGACGTACCGGAGCGAGAACCGCAGGAACCAGTACTACGAGAACAAGTTCAATCCGAAAACTCGAACGTCAATTTACAACCACATGCGCCGCAAGAACATTACAAAGATTCAGGACGTTTGGTTCGACAATCTCAAGTGGCTCATCAAGACCCCGACTGAGGAAATCATGAAGGAGTTCAAGAAAGCTGTGTCCAGCATGATGTAAGCACCTTCATGTCATGCACGGTCTCTCTACGCCTTGATTTTTTCTGAAAGTACTGGTGCCTTCCTTCACGAGATAGCTAACTGACAAGAAAATTGTTGATTTTTTACAATATGCGATTGATATCAATCGGGTACAAGGGAGTACAAAGGATCCATTCACGTCACAGAGCTTCTAGACTTTGGAGGCACATGTACGAACTATATGTGCATCTGGCAGGCGGAGGAAGGGACCGAGTTTATCCTGTCGGAGGGCTGTTTCGGTGCCTGGGAGGGAGACATGCGCGACCCGTTCCATACCTTCTATGTCGTGTCTCCGAGATACTGCATTGTCCTTGTGAACCGTCTGGAAAAGTGGCGCCCTGCAAGATACTTGTCCTTCAGGTCTTGGTTCGAAGGGAATATTCACGCCTTTCCGGAGACTGTGTACAAGAAGGGCCTTCCTCCGTCGACTCCCGACATGGATTTTTTCTCTCCGGAGGATGTTTTCAAGTACCAACGGATCGTTATCCCGAAGGAGGACGTCTATTTCGTCAACAGTATCTTTCTGGATGCGAGGAAGACGTGCCTGACCTACAATTCCAGTGTCTCTTTGTACAAGACCCTGCGATACTACGACAAGATGAAGACGATTCGCCCTGACTTGTTCAACAACAGACATGACTATTCTGTCCTTAGGCGAAAGCTTGTTGCCGATATGAATAGAACATATCCATACCCTGAGGAGACCCCCCAGTAAGGGTCTATTCAATATAGTTCTAGTCGGTTCAATGTTGTTTCTACTCAGCCGATGTCACCGCCACCATAGTTCATTGTGCCATCGTTCCCTTTTTGTTTGATCTTGAATGCTATTTCTGGGCAAAGCTCCTTTTTCTCGAATAAAAAACCTTGGCACTGTAGTTGTAGCTTTGCTTGTTAAAGGCAATTATCAGGGTTGGCGATTGATAGCACAAGCTGACCATGTATGCACACTGACTCCTCAAACATGTTAACCAACTCTTTCTCTGACCTAGCCATAGACTGTTGGTCAGAGGCAGTGGACTAGCAAGTTGTGCTAACTTGTTGGCATAATAGTCGTCGAGACTGATGGATTTGACAGCTCCTAGGGTTGTCTTGAAGGGGTCGGTCCCAACGTTAGATGTTGGTCTAATAGAGATTCACTCCTCTTCAAAGCCACCAGTAGACAATTGGTGGTTAGGCGATAAGACTGACAGGGCGTCGTCCTCAATACCGTCGGCTGGTTCGTGAGAGCCATAAATTGATGTGTTGTTTCGGTTGGATTTCGAATTGTCGTTGTTGTTATTGTTGTTATTGTTGTTGTTGCTGCGTTTGTACTCGTCCTCGATGTTGCGGAGCGCGTGCCTAGTTCGCGTAAGTGCTTTGAGAGTGTCCTTTGCCTAGGTTGTCGCAAGCCGCACGGTGTGTTCTCCACGACTATAGGGGGATGAAAAGAGGTTGAGAGAGAGAGAAAAGAGTGAGTGAATAGTTGATCGAAAAGAGTCATTGTCCGGTATTTAACGCCTGCACGACAAGTAAAAAGGCTCGGCAGTAAGACAAAAGGCGTCCCCTTCCTGTCATACCTGGGAAAGAAATCACAACTGCAGCAGGCAGAGCAAGGAATGCGATAATCGACGTGAATCATGGTTAGGTTGTCAGGTGAAAAGGAAGGCGGTGATGGATAGCAGGTTTGTACACAATGAGGGTGCGTTTAAATGAAGATTCTTCTACTTGGCTCCGGTATCCTCCTGAGATACAAACAAAAGGCTCTCGTTCCTCTCTCCTCTGCTGACCCTACTGAGAGAGGAGCGGGGTTCTCTGATGTATCGAGAGATTTGCACAATCCAATGGAAAGGGACGATGAACACCTCTTGGCTCGCCAACCCGGCGACAATTAAACTCTTAGAAATTGGGCACGACCTGAGCAAATTGGAGGTTCGGTCTGGGGCAGAGAGATTTTTTTTTTTTTTTTTTTTTTGAGGGAAAAGAGAGGATTTATTGTGGCTTAAACAGCCTTGATTGAGTTATTTTGTGCTATGGTTTTGGTGATTTCGCGAAGTATGGTGTGGATGATATCGCTACTAGATTGAGTGTGTTGATGAAGAAAAAGAACGGTGTTGGCTGATGAAATACCAATGAGGCAACAAGCCAGCAATTGTGGGATAGTGATGTTAAATTGGGGTTTGATATCAAAGGTTGGAGGATGGAAAGACAAGACCTTATCAAGGTCATCATCTGACCAAAGTGGTTTGGATGTGTGTTCCTTGAGGATTGTTTGCCAAGCGATGTATTTAGGAGCGCACTGAAAGATGTGATGTGCCTTGTCCTCACGTCGCTCACGACATCCGGCCATGTTACAATGAGGATCCTGCTTCCAGATTTTTTGACGTAGAGTTCCGCAAGGAAGCCAATCCCTTTTAAATCTCCACCACGTGGTCCTGGCCCGGTGTGGTATTTTAGCGCTCCAGAATTGGCGCCACTGTTTCGAGGTTCCCGTCTCTGGTTGGGTTGAGGAGTTTGGGTTTGGTGGTGTGTCTTGCCTCAAAAAGGCTCGAAGGTGTTTGTTCGTGGCCGATTCCAGAGTGATGGGATTACTGTCGTTTGGGATCAAGACAGATGAGAGGATATGTTGTGCCAATGTATCATCCTGCGTGATCTTGGGTGGGTTCGAGAGTGCTTGCTGCATACTGTGGCGCATTCGACGACGTTCTTGGTAGGCCTGGATCCCTAGTTCCACTTGAGCAAGGCGGAGCTTGGGGGAAATGTGTGTTTTTCTGACCAGTTGGAGGAGCCCATTGTTGTCAGGAGAAAACTGAAAGAGCTCTTCCACTCGGAGTCTGAGGGTCTTGATGGTGGTATCTGTCGTTTCAAACCACCATTCGATTGGTGAGGAGGCAAGTGTTACAGAGTCCGGCAAGGGATCAGCAAGGGCCAGTGCTTTGAGGGAAGGGAGGAGGGACGCCGCAGATACCAATCGTTGCAGACCGGGAAACCCTGCCAATAAGGATCTGTACTGTCCGTCCAGGGGTGCTAGGAGGAAGGCAAGGCGGTGAGACGTTTTGGTCCTCCATCGGATGATATCAAGAATGATGTCCTTACCCCAAGAGACATTAGTGGAGAGAGCATTGCGGATATGCTTGAGTTGGAAAACATGGCATTGAGTAGCTGGGTCAATAACGCCTAGGCCACCCTTGTCCCTTGGAGTAGTGATCACCTCCCATGATGGCCTTGGTTTAAAGGAGCATACGAATTTGGTGACTGCAGCCTTCACCTTTCGCAAAAAGTCGAGCGGGGGGTTGACAATCCAGGATAGGTGCCAAAGTTTGGAGAGGATAAGAGAGTTGATGATGGTGGCTCGGCCCAGGACGGAGAGGGATCGGGAAGAGTGTATGGTTATGGCTGATTGTATCTTCTTCAGAGTCTTGTCCCAGAAGTCTTTTTCCTGATCGCGGTTGAAAAAGATAGGGAATCCAAGGTAGATCAAAGCATCGGCGGAGTTGTAGTCATGCCATCGCACGTCCAAATGTTCCAGGTGGGTCTGCAATTCTTTGGAGTAGGAGGGGGCCATAGGAAAGGCCACAGTTTTGGACAGGTTGACTTTGGCATTGGATGCGCGGCCATAGGTCCGTAGGGTATCCTCCAATGCTGACCATTCGGTTGTGGAGGAGATGAGAGTCATGAGGTCGTCTGCATAGGCGCTGAGCTTGATGGGATCCGTGCGACCAGGGATTTCAATACCGTGAATAGCCGGGGATCGTTCGATAGAGGCAAGCAACGGTTCAAAGGCTATGTTGAAGAGGAGGGGAGATAATGGGTCACCCTGGCGAAGTCCTCTTGATTGTGGGAAGGTGTCTGACACAAAGCCGTTGATATTGAGTGCAATCCTGGTAGAGAAGAAAAGTTGAATAATCGACTCCGTAAGGCATGATGGAAATCCAAGTCGTTTCAAGACCTGTTGAAGATAGGTAGGATGCACACGGTCGTATGCTTTTTCCTGATCCAGTAGTACGCCAATATGTCTTGTCCTTCTTGCATTGCAGTAATCTCGGAGTGTTGAGAGCACTAAGCCATTGTCTGCTATATGTCGTCCTGCCGTGAATCCTGTTTGGTGCGATTCTGTCAGCTTGGTCATGTACGGTTGAATCCGTAGGGTAAGGATTTTGGTGAAGAGTTTGGCATCCGAGTTAATGAGTGAAAGAGGTCTCCAGTTTGCCAGTTTTGTCGCATCGCCCTTCTTGAAGAGGAGGATCATCACTGTCTCTTGCCAGGATGTGGGGAAAGAGGCAAGTGTCAGCGCATCGTTGATAATTGCGGTGAATAGTTCCTTGATCCAGGGTATGAGGAGGATGTATCGATAGAGCTCAAAGGGTAAGCCGTCCTTGCCTGGGGCCTTATTAAGGGGCGTCCTGCTCACAACGTGGTCTAACTCATCGGATGTGATAGTCCCTTCGAGTCTGGCGCGATCCTGGTCAGATAGGGTTGCATGTGGGGGGATGGCATCCAGTAGTCGGTTAGTTGCATTCTGGTCGGAGGGGTCGCAGGAGTATAGGCGCGAGTAAAAGTCTGTTGCTACTTCCAGACGTTCATTGGTTGAGGTTGTCAAGGCATCGGTGGCAGGGTTGTGTAGGTGTGGGACGAGTCGTTTTTTGTTGCGTTGAGAGATGGCTCGGAAGAAGTAGGCGGTGTTGCCTTCTCCTTTTTCACGCCATAAGGTTCCCGACCGGAGGGCATAGGCATCCAGTTCTTCCGATGTATGTTGTTGAAGAGATGTACCAAAGCTTCCAGATCCTGAATGATTGCGTCCTTAGTTACACCGGTTGCAAGAGGGAGCTGGGCTAGTTTGTTTTGGCGTTGTATGTTGAGGTCTCTTAGGGCGGATTGTCGATCCTGTTTCCTTTTGATGGAGGCTGAGATGCAGAAACGTTTGATTTCCATCTTGACCCTGTCCCAGTGTTGGATCTTGCTTTGGTGAGGACGGGGTAAGGAGAAGGTCGCCAGGTGGTCGGTGAGATTCTTGATAAAGTCGCAGTTGTTGAGGAGCTGGGTATTCATTCGCCATATCCCTCGACCTGTCATGGGGGCGGAGGCGGGGGAGAGTGTCAGTAGTAGCATGTCGTGATCCGAGAAAGGAGATGCGCAGAGTTGCTCAGATTTAGATACCTGTGAGAGGAATTGGATAGAGGAGAAAATGTAATCAATGGTATGGCGGACTTTGTTTCCTGCAGGGGTGCAGGTGGGCTTGGGGTTGGTATGAAGTGGGGTGATGCAGTCTACAAGATGAGTATCAACCCAGTCCTGAAACAGGGGATGAGGACGAGGGTGAGTGTAATGTATGTAGTTAAGATCGCCTAAAAGAAAGGCCTTTGGGGGAGGGGAGAGAAAGAAAGGGAGGGAGAGACAGTTCAGCATGAATAGCCTTCGTGCTGTCCTGTTGGCTGGGGCATACATAACACAGAATGTGGCCATAAAAGAAGAAGATGAAGAGGTGACGGTGGTAATAATAATCCTTCCTTGTTCTGCGTAAGAGGTGTTAGAGAAGGAGAGGTCAGGATTGCGAAGAAGGAGTGCACAGTGGGGGGACCAAACAGAGCTGTGAGTGTTGAGATATTGGTTGTAATTGATCTGATCAGCAGTGGTTGGCGATGTTGGTAGGTTGATTTCCTGAAGGGCCATTATGTCAAAATCCGTTTGTCGAAGCCAGGTGAAGAAATGAGGTGGACCGGTAGCATTGTTGTTTTGAAGGTGCTGCTTACGTAGACCTCGCACGTTCAAGCTTGCGATCCGCATTACTGTGACCGATTGTTTTTAATTGTAGAAGTAGATCTAGTGGCAGGTCTACCTTCTTTGGTGTAGATGTTGTTGGATGTCTTGGTGATGGTCTTAACTGCTGTGGCGACCGCGGTCTTGGCTACGGAGCGTCTTGCCTTGATCCGCGCTGCTATAGAAGCAGCCATAGCATCCTCCATGGGGAGGTCGTTGTTGTGGGAGGAAATGGAGTGTTCAGTATTGTAGGTAGCTCTGTCAAGGTCTCCCAGATTAGCTCCCTCCAAATTGAAATCCTCATCAAAGACCTCTTCTCCTTTATCCTGAGCCTGATCATGACATTCGGTCATAGTGATGTCATCTTTTGGTGAGTTGGAAGGAGAAACCACTAACTGGGACTGATGAGTCACATTGGTAGTGGTCAAAGCGAGATGGGTGTTTGAAATTGTATCAGGCGGTACAGAAGCAGAAGCAGAGGAAGTAGTGGAGGAAGGAGAAGAGAAGGAGGTTGAAGAATCAGAAGAAGAGGAATCATGAGAAGAAGAAGAAGAGGAAGCAGAAGAGGAAGAAGAAGAGGAGGAAGTAGAGGAAGTAAAAGCTGAGGAGGATTCAGCGGAAGAGGTGGAAGTGGGTTGCCCTCTCACAGGCATCTTACCTTTCGCCCTCTTAGCATCTCTAGCCGAGAACCTTGAGCAGGTGAAGCTGACGTGGCCATTCGCATTGCACGCACTGCATACGATGGCCAAGCGCTTGGGACAATGGAGAAGGAGGTGCCCGTGTCCCTTGCAATAGTTACAAAAGGGAGAGGCTCCCATCCAACTGATACGGCAAGGAGATTTTTGACGGTTGCCCAAGGAGAGCAAGCGGTCAATCTTGAATTCGTCCGCAGTCTTGTCACTCTTGACATAAACAGCGAACTGGCTGCGAGCCTCGTGGTTGCCGTTGGGGGTAGGGAACAGAGGGATCTCGATCTTGATGACTTTGCCCATTCTCTTGGCGTCCTCAAAGTACCAAGAGCAGAACTGCTCCAGGTGGGTGCCAAAATCAAGGGAAGTCTGGAACTGGTAATCCGTGAAGACGAAACGGGTGATAATGTGAGGAACAGTCGATGAAAGGGGGGCAAACTGCTTGTCGTCGACGGTAATGGGAGTGGTGGAAACAGCTGTAGTGTCCAGAGATTCATGGTACACAATTTCAATGCGATGGTGGACATTGTCAGCGCAGGGGAAGGCCATGTTGCTAAGAATATGGAGAGGTGATATGTCATCATGGGCTTTGAACAGAGTTGAGTGGGTGGATCTGACTGCATCCGAAAACGCGCCAGAAGAAATAGTTTTGGGGACGATGTATGCAACAGCTCTTGGGTTCACCAGGTCGCCCAGTCGAGCTCCCTTTGGTGCAAGAGCGGCAGCAGCAAGGTGACCCTCTTCGGGGTCGGTAAACACTGAGTGAATGAGAAGTTTATTGTTACTACGGGTTCCAGCTGCCATGGAGGCATAGGAAGGGGATGGTGGGGACCCGATTGAGGGCAGGGGTTGAGAGGGTGGGTCACCATCTCCGTGTTGGTGTTGATGTTGCTGTTGGGTTGGCATTGTGGAAAAGAGTTTTTTGGGGCAGAGAGAATGTTCTAACGGGAGCCCAAGGTCTACTTAAGGGGTAGTGGTGATGAGAAATTTCAAGAGTTCATGTCATAGTAATTCTTTTTAGTGAGGAAAGGATGCGCGAAAGAGTGCCAAATGGGATACGACCACGACGGACACCCGACGTCAATTATACTCACTTTATATCTAGAGCAAAAAAACACATAAAAATAACTCTACACCTGACGATCATGGTCTGTGTCTTTATTTCATTCGAGCGAATTAACAAAGAATAAGAGCGAAACAATGGGATAGGTGGCGCACTGAGGGGTCGCTGGCTCATGAAGGATAACATATAAAACAAGAAAAGAGATAAATAAAATTTCAAGTTCCGCCTCCAGGTCCCCCACCTCCTCCTGGTTTACCTCCTGGCCCACCACCTCCTCCTGGTCCACCTCCCAATAGCCCTCCACCTCCACCAAGATATTTTGCCAAGTTTGACAGCGCCGCTGTACCTCCCGCAACGAACGTGCCAGAGAGGTAGTGCGTATTCAACAAATGACCTACTCCAGTTTGGTTGATGTAAATTTGGCCGTCATATCGGTTTCCTGGCAGGACTACCGGTTGATATGACAAGATACCCGTCCGTGCGACGTAGTCGCCCTCATTTGCAAAGTGCTCAATGTGGGCGAGGTCACCTTGACCGTGCATATGATTCGCCGCACTTCCAAACGTATACAATTCCAACTTCCTGAGGTTGGCTGCTGTCTCGGAAGCGATAAGACGGTCGACTACCAAACTGGCGATAACGGCACCCTATGGTATAGTGGAAAGAAGGTCAACATCAGGAACAATAGCTCCAGAGCTCCATATTATGCTTCACCGACAGACCTACTTTCGGATATATTCTGACACTTACCTGCGAATGTGCGATAAGCACCACCCTGTGATTATTAGAATCACGGAGCTCTCGCTGCGCGGTAGCGTAAAGTTGTCTGGCGTCCTTCGTGGTGTACCCGAAACATCTCTGAATAATGGTCTCAAAGAGATCGAGTATGAAGCCAAACGTACGATTGTTGATCCCCACGATCCTGCGCCCGAACGTGCCTGCCAATACTTCGCAGTTCAGTTTCAGCCATGTATGTCCGGTACAGATTCCGTTGCAAAATAGCCAACTCTCGTGTGGAAACACGGTGCCACCAATGCTCGTATACACTAGGGGTCTCGTTGCCAGGTACCAGGCAATCGCAGCTATGAAAGCGCCAATCACGACAGCGGCGATTCCATGCGGAGGAAGGAGCCCCAGGAGACCAAAACACGAGAGATAGTCTATAAAGGCAATGACCACAAAGGCGTAAAAAACTAGGAAGAACTGCCAGAGAAGGGCTAGGACGTTTGTCCAGGCGTAGAAATAAAGTTCATGTGTTGGATTGGTACCAAAGTAGGGCCAGAGGGCCAATAGGATAAGAGGCGAGTAGACTATAAAAAGGAGGGCATCCATGAATACTAGAAGCCAGGGAGAAGCGATGAAAGGAAGGGCGCGTCTCCATGGGGTGGTGAAGGGGCGTGTCGTGAGTAAGGCTATAAAACTGTTCATTTTTTGAAGTGAATGAGCAGTACTGATTGAAGAGCGGATTAGTTGGCCTCAACTCGATTTATATACGCGTGCACTTGGTTGCCAGGGTAAGCAACAGAGTATTCTTTCCGCTGGAGGGGTGTTTCCAATGGCGTGCTAAGCGACAGATTAATGGTCAGTGCCATATATTTCTTCGGAGGGTTTTTAACTCAAACAAGGGGAAACGTAACTAGTTCTAAACTGCCAAGCAAGATTGTGAGTGAGTGAGTGAGTGCAGCTGTAGCTAAAATATACTTTTCTGTTTGATGGCTAAGTAACTAGCCTCCTTGATGGGTTCGATAAGGTACTACCGCCTAGACCACAACAAGAAACAAAGTAAACGAAATTGACTGCAAACATCGTCGAAACCTAATTGGCGTTTTGGTCTCATTCCAAATAACAGTTCGCAGCACAGGCCTCTGAATCACACATAGAGTACATCTATTTTTGTAGCCCAATCACCTTAACTTACGGCCTGGCCAATGAACAAACCAAATAATTTTTTGTTTCATCGTAGCGTCTCTTCGTGCGCTTCATTTTGTCCAGGAATAAATACACACCACTAAGGTGCCTGGCCTTCCCTTTTGCATATTATACTATGGTATAATCCTTCAACGTATGATTTTTTTTTTTTTTTTTTGGGAAAACTCAGGCTTTCTCATTGCATATTTTGCATATTCTCCTATTACCTCTCCTATCGCATACCTTGCGGTATTACGCAAAATTGAGTATGCAGTTATCTGATAGGAGACTAGCTTAGGTATGGCATATAGATCTTTGTTTCAGACATCTGCATGCCTATGGTGTAATTGGTTGACGTTTGGTCACGACATTGGCACGTTAATGGTGTGAATGGAGTGGGGATAGAAGAGTAAACGGGAGAAGTTGGGTACATTGGGCCAGAGTACCCCTTTAATTGATTGCCACGCCCCCTTGTGGCCAAAGCGCGAGCAGTAAAGGAGTCTTGACTGTAACAGTCAACCCAAATTCGCGAGTGCGCTATGTGTTGAGATCACCAGTGTAACATATATCAATTGGGTAATTAGCTCGTTGTTTCTTGCCTAAGAGATGAAGGCCTGTGCGCCTGTGCGTGTAAGACATGAAAATTTTACGGGGCGTGCCAAGCCAAGGAAAAATGAAATAGAGCAACAGAATAACAAAATCAAGGTACTTCATAAGTACCCACAGCCGCGCTCGATTGACTTAATCGTCGACCATTGCTATAGCCCTGTTCCATTATACCGCTGTTCCTTTCCTGGAGCAGGAGAAAAAAACTAAAAGAGTCTGTCCATTGACCATCTCCTGTACCTTTGAAAATCAAACGAGGCAGTAAAAAAGCAGCTTATTTGATTGCTTTTAGAGCTGTAAGTGGCATGCACCTTTGATGCAGCCAATGGACCATCCTGCAGTTTTTTCTCTTGCTCCTGCAAAAAGTACAGCGGTATAAAGGAACTGGGCTATAACAATGGTCAACATTTAAGTCAATCGAGCGCGGCTGTGGATACTTATGAAAGTATCGCATTTATTAAGTATTGATTGAGATGGGTTGCCCATTTTCTCATGGAAGTCATGTTTGAAGTCGTTTTAAAAAAAAAAAAAAAAAAAAAAAAAGCGTGTTCCATTGGCCTCCTTGATTTCGCTTTTCATCACGTGGTCTTTTTTATGTGGTTGTCTGAGGGGGCTGAGATGCTTGGGTCGAAGTGTCACGGCAGATACCATCGAGAGGAGGCGAAGGGAGGATTGCCCCTTCTCGCAGAGGTGTGGACGACCCGGTGTCTCCAGTGTCTTTGTCGCTCATGGAAAGGAACAAGAAAAGGCGTATTTGTGTGTATATGTGTGTATAGGTGTGGTAGTTTGTGTGTAGATATGTATGTGTGTGTGTGTAACTCAGAAGATGTATAAAGGGAAAAACGACTGTAGACTCTGACACTTTCAACGTTGCTGCTCAATATCAAGAAAGAAAGGTGCCTTTAATGTTAGGACTATGCTATGTCAAACGCTCCCACCAAAACTGCTAGGAACAAGAACAGCATTGCACATACCTGCTCGATATCAAGAAAGAAAGGTGCTGTTCTCTCTGACCTCGAGTAGGCTTCTTCTGTACTACTCGACTCGGCTTAAGGGGTCTCAAGCCACCAACAATTCCAGCGCACCACATTTACCATTTGTTGATGCTACAGTATGCTATTAGCAAGTGGCCGCGGCTACGCCGCAGGCGCTGCGCCGGTTTCTCGATTCCCAGGTTTTGGTGTTTAAGGGTTAGAGGTGTTACCGACCTGGGGTTTTTCCTCCAACAAAAAGGAAAAAAAAATGAGCCAGCAAAAAAGGATGGGACGGACTCATCGCACGGACTGCTTAATACCAATGAACTCTTCCAAAATAAAAATACACTAGTCTTACCCTTGGGATCGTACTGGCCAGAGTTACACCATGAATATCCGCAAAATAGAAGAGGTCCCCCGTGATGGCTCCTCCTCTGGAATCGTAGTTGGGCATGGAGTCATCTGGTGTCCAGGACATGCGCGCAAGACAAAGACCATTGTTCAAAGATCTATACTGGTTGCCGGCTCCATAGTATTCCATTCGGAGATTCAAGGTCTTGAGCTCGACAGGTTCGACGGTGTCGATATCGTAGTTCCAGTACTGGTTGGCTCTGAGCTTGCCTCTTTCGGAAGCCCAGTATATTCCGAGGTACTCGCCGCCTGTGCCTCCAAGGGTGATCTGGGGGATTTGGCCGCCATCGTCGTTTGGCACTCCATCCATGTTGTTCTTGGCAGCCTGCATTTGAATGCGGATCTTGGCGTTCGGCACCTTTTTAGGGTCTGTCAGCGCAGTGATGGTGAGAACCATGCTAACCCACCCGAGAATACTGTCGATGAACATTAGAGTAGCTTGGAGATTGGAGATAGGAAATTGGGGATTGGGGGTTGTGGATTGGAGATTGAGAGTGCAAAGCGAGAATGAAGATGTGAGGTAGATATTCGAGATGAGTTGTGCAAACTGAAGCGTTTTTATAGGGGAAAAATACATCGCAAGGTGGATGAAGTTTTTGACCAAATGCCCAAGTTCTTGCTTCTTTGACTGTTGCTTGTGCAAAAATGCAAACGACTCACAGCTGCGTGTACCATGGAGCGGGTTCGAAGAACCCGAGAGAGAGAGAGAGAGCCCAAGTATTATGGTCTCTGACTGCCACTTCGAATAGAACTTGGGAGATGCCTAGAACGAACCGAGGAATCCCATGGTGCTAAAGGAGGCAAGAGTGATAATCTCCAGTTGAAAAAATCAAGGTTTTTGAAAAAGAAAAAAAAAAAGGTTTGGTCTACTGCGAGGACGGCTCACAGCACAAGCTTGCTACAGTCTATCGTCCCATCTCCGCTTCAAATGCCTCATGGTACCATTTTTTTCAGCACAGAAGACTTGGATTCCTTCCTGCGGAGTCCATTTATCCATTTAGGAGTTAGGACACAGTTTTTTGAAATCCATTTTTACTCAGGACCCCCTGAGAAACCTTGATTTTTAGGTTGCATGCAGTCGTTGGGCTGTTGAGAACCTACTGTGCATCCGCTCTCGTTTTTTTGTTGTAAAAGTATCATGTGTACAGTACCTTCTGAGAGCTCTTTAGTCTACCCCAACAACAGCACAGGTAGAACAGCTTCAGTACCTACACATTCTGAGATGGATTGCAAAACCTTGAGCAAAAAACCTCGGCATTACCTATTTACCGCCCTTTTCCCTTGGAATTTTTCTAGAAATTCTATAGCAAACACTATAGCAAACACAAGAAACCTTTTTTTTTTTTTTTTTTTTTTGGCCGACGCTCGGCATTGTCATTCGAGAGGTTGCATCTTGCTCTCATAAGTAGTTATTTACGACAAGTACTGAACCAGTTATATATCGACGGACTTCTTTTTTTTTCTACAAAAAAAAACAACCTCGCCTCCGACCCCATCCTCCGCCCGCTACCAAGCGTTCCACTCACTCTCAAAAGCAACCGACCTACCTACCATTCACCAGAATGTCGGATCTCAAAACCTTGAATCTCGGAGTTATCGGCGACGCCACCGCCCGAGAGCTGGTCAACTGTCGCCTCTGCTGCTATACACCAGAGCCAGACTCCTTCATGGGCGTGGTCATCAACGGCACACACATGATCAACGGAACGCAGATCACCCCCGTCACCCCCAGCACCTCCGGCTATCTCTTTGAGAACAAAGAGAACAACACTACCGACTTAATTCTCCCATGCGGATACGGCCAGACCGTGAGTGGCCGCATTTTCTACAACTATAGAGAAAACCATGGCGCGCCCTCTGCTGGAAAACATGTTTCTGGAGCGACACTTTTTGTCTTTTTGCTGTTGGTTTCTACAATCCTTTACTGACCGCTCGGCCAGCTCGTCCCAAGAATATATTATATCGAAGAAATAAAATGTATCAATCAGAATATTTCTTGAGCATTCTCTATAGCCGACCCATTTTTGTACTACCATATCACATGTCGCATATTTGCCTTGTGGATCATATAGATAGATGGAGACTAGCAAGTGGCCACGGCTACGCCGCGGGCGCTGCGCCGGTTTCTCGATTCCCAGGTTTTGGTGTTTAAGGGTTAGAGGTGTTGCCGACCTGTGGTTTTTCCTCATTTATTTTGCGTATATTTTGACAACAAAAGGGGAAAAAATTAATTCGAAAAAAAAAAGAGCCAGCAAAAAAGGATGGGACAGACTCATCGCACGGGCTGCTTGATACCAATGAACTCTTCAAAAAGAAAAATACAATTTTGATCAATTCTATGGTGTATGATCTGATTACAGGACTCTCTTATAGACAAAGTTTCTAGTGTATGCGCCTCCAAGCCCGGGGATGCTGCCATCGATGATAGGAACCTTGAGATTTTTTTCGTCTGTGCATCGAGAAAGAGCAACATAAAGCTGGCCTTGTGTGAATACAGGAGTAGGGAGGTAGAGTCCGACATTTCAAGGGTCTGACCCTGAGCCTTGTTGATCGTCATGACAAAGGCGGGCCTGACCGGAAACTGTCGTCTCTTGAATATGATCGGGGAGGTCTTGTCGTCTGTTGTCAAAATCGGCACTCGTGGGATGAAGACCAAGTCGGTGGCAAAAGGTCCCGTCAGGATTGTTGCCATGATGCAGCGTAGCCTAAGCCGGCGGACGATCAAGCGAGTTCCGTTGCAGAGTCCTTTTTTTTGGTTCACGTTTCAGAGGAGAATGATGGGCATGCCAACTTTCAGCACCAGCTTGTAGGGAGGTAATCCAGTCGGGTCGAAAGAGTTGAGATACTCTGTAGGATAGTTGGCGACGTCGTTGGTATCTGAATCCGGAACGGAGTCTTGGTCAAGGTGCTCTGTTGCCTCGCCAGGAAACAGTGTGCTCGCGAGGTCGTTAATATAATTGACATCCTTGTTCAGTGTTGTTAAAATAGTGGTGCACTTGATGTCTTGAGGTGCAAGGTTGCCGTTGGAGATGTTGGGGTATATGGTGCGGATAAGTTGGATCTCATGCTCGTCGTTGAGATTGGGTCCATGTGGCGTAGAAAGGCTATGGTCTGGGATCCTGATATAATCATCAGAGTCGTCAAAGGAAAATGTCTGCTCCTTGCCTTCACTTACATATAGCAAAAAATCGACGAAGGAAAAAGGGCTGCTCTTATCCTCCTTCACTCGCATGTTGTGAATTAGTTTGAGTGTCTTGACCTTGGGACAAATGGTGCCAGACATCTTTAGACATGCGCCATCGATCTGAGACTGAGATCCATGAACAACCACCGGCAACACCTGTCGAAAGTCACCACCGAACACGACAATCTTTCCGCCGAAAGGAACCAAGGATCGATCCATAATATGTCGAACGATCCGGTTCACCGACTCAAAGACATGTCGATACGTCATGGGTGCCTCATCCCAGATGATGAGGTCGGCCGCATGAATAATTGATCCGACTTGTTGCTCGCGGGTAATATTACAGGTAGAGTCTTTGAAAACTGGAATGGGGACCTTGAAGACAGAGTGTGCAGTACGTCCACTATGAAGGATCGGAGCTGCTATACCGGACGACGCGAGGACAACAACATTATTTTTCATAACACCACTGATTTGTTCAATCATTGTGTTGCAGAGAAAATATTTGCAGGTACCACCTGGCCCGTCAATAAAATAGAGGTTGGTCCTTCGGTGGCAGATGGGTATGGAGACGGAGGCGACGATTTTGTAAAATATTTCCCGCTGCTCGACATTCAAGGCTTGGATGTGGGAGCCGGCCAGCATGGCGAGCTCTTCACGCGATTTTTCGCTGTGGTCGGAGGCGGACTTTGGGATGTAGCGGAGAATGCTGTCGCTGATGTCTTGTGGCATAGTGGGAAAGGCGGCCAGAGAAGATCCGAGTGCCTTGAGGTTGGAGTCGATGGCCCACAGCACATTCCTCATCGCCTCGATCTTGATGTCGTCATCTGGCTGAAGGCTGCCGTTCTCCACATTTTTCTTTCGACCAAAAACAAAATGTCATCGTACATGTAGATAGCGTAATTGTTCCAGAGCTTGCGGGGCTCAGAGGGAGCACAGTTCACCAAGAAGACGCAAAAGAGATGGCGAAGCGGCTTTGAGAACTTGAGAGAAGAGGCTTCCTTAAGGCAGAGATCCCACTCGCGGTCGTCTTCCAGAAGGTGGAAGGCCAGAGTAGCATCCCGAAATGTATCGCAGAGAGTGTTGTTGACGGTATGGAGACGTTCAAAGCTGGCGGTACCCTTGACATGCAAAAGGAGAGGTCGAAGAAAGAACCTCTCGCCGTCCTTAGGGTGGACAAGGTAGATCCGGGCAATCTCGAAGATGTCCTTGTTTTTTCCTCTTGTTCCACTTGCGGTTACTTTGGTCGTAAGTGCAATACTCAGGAATCTCGGCGTATGTATATTTGTGTGCATCCTTATCCTCTTGGTTCAGCTTGAAGTTGGCCATCAGCTGACTGCCGTTGTTACGGCGGACGACATGAAGTAGATCCGGGTTTTTGATAAAGGTGACGTTGTGCTGGCCTGGGAGATGGACCTGTAGTCGTTGCACAGCAGACGAATTACCGTACAAAGGATATCTGAGGATGTGCCACATGCTCTCATGGGCAGAGAGGTATCTCATATCGCGAAATTCACGAATCTCGTTGCATGGAGGATCTTAATAATCTTAATATACAATCGACGGTTAAAAAATATGTAGAGAGTGAGAAAAAATAGTAAACAAGGAGCTGCAATGATCAGGCTTCCAAAAAAAATGCCAAAAGATAATACCTCCTTGCTTGCTGCATTTTTCTGGTCTGTAGTGACTGAGCTTTGACCAGTGGTGGCAGTGCTGGACCCTTTAGTGGTGGTTGTGGTGGAGCTAGAGCTTGTTGCAGAGTAACTGTGGCAGTGACGGCGCTGGTGCTGGTTCTGGTTCTGGTAGATGCAGACGACAACGATGAAGATTGATCAGTGGACGTAAACAGAAGACTCTTCTCTTTTTCGAGGGCGATCTTGGCTCTGCCGGTTCCTTGTGAAAATGAAAAATGAGAAATGAAAATTTGTGTAAATCCGTTGATGATTTGACTTTTGTGCTGCGGGACCATTGTTTCTTCTTTTGATTTGATAAAAAAAACGCAAGATCAAAAGACATACGTTATGGATGTAGTTGTACAAATATTCACCGTAGAGACCGAAGAACATATCTCGACATTGATATGGGCGTTGTACTTGGTTGCCAGCCAAAGGTTGTGAGGCACAACCCAGCTGTTGTCGATCTCTTTTTTCTCGTTGAGCATGTAGGACACACACGGTCGTCGACGGTACCTTTCAGGAGCGCAGAATCACAATATCGCTCTCTGTTTGCGCAGCAATCCATCCATCAGTCTGTACCTCTTGCATCAGTCTGCACCTCTTGGCAATAGCCATCAGCCTCAAAAAATTCTTTTTGTTATCCTTCTTTATTTCGTTCTTTCTTCCCTTCCTCCACAACCCCCCCCCCCCCCCCTCTTTTCCCCCCTCCTCTATCAAACGATCCACCCCCACCCTTCCCTCCTCCAACTTTCTCATCAAGTTAAACTTACACTTTCCCATATCTCCTTTATTCCACCTTCCCCTCAACAACATAATGATCAACAACTATAGAGCCAGACTCTAGCCAGGTACAGATCCAGATCCGCGAGCTTGTCTCGCCTCTTGTATTTTTAAAGCCGTGGTCTACCGCGATTATCAGACTCGTATTCACGTCTCATTCATTCTTCTTCAACTCTTTTACTTTCACCTCAGGAGGAGCACAGATTGGGCATGATGGAACTGAACTCAGAGAACAGGAGAGACCACAACGAATTTGCTACAGCTGAGATGTCAGATGTTGACAAGGTATGATTTGCTTATTGTGTATTCACTGCCTTTGCTGCGCTGCTCTTATTCTGCCGACTCTGTCTTTAAAAAGCGGGCACTGGCCATTAGCATTTTACTTTTAAAAATTCGTATTGGCAATAGGGCTGCTCTACTACAGGGCCGCTTCGCTATGCAGTTGACACGGCATGGGACCCCAGGACAAGAATACTACGAGGATCAGTGCAGGATCCTGCAATCGCCCAGAAGTTTGAGAGTGTCGCTGAAGACTCGTTTCTCAAAAAATCGTTCGGGGGCACGTCGAATCGATCATCAAGGCTTTGGCCCGTGCAGACCTTGTCAAGGAAGGCTTTCCTTCGACCTGCCCCTTCTCTGTACTTGCACACGTCATCAAGAAGATCTCCAGGACCCAGCAACGAGATTCAAGTCTCTCCCACTGTTCCTTGGCGTCGGCTCTGGCGGGCAGTGCGTGACTGTCTGGCCAAGAACAGCTCTCTGCTTCCAGCTCTTGTCAGCACATCTCAAAATATCGATCACAATATTCTCATCCACCGAGATACCCCGCAAGTATTGCGCTGGGCAGAGTCGAGGAGCAATATGTTTTCTCCACCGAAAAGATGCTCTGCGGGACATTTCAGAGTTCGATGTGATTGGTATTGCCGCCCCATTTCCAGCCTCGTCCGCACTCGCATCAGTAGCTGGAAACCAATTGTCAACAAAGAACAACAACTTAGGGGGATCGGCGCCACTTTCTCGACTCTCAAATTCCTGCCCACCTTCTCCGCCACCTCTCCGAACGCCTGTGCCACTATCAGAATCGTCTACGGTGTCATTGCCAGTCATGTGGTCTGTACCGCGCTCGCAGCTGCCTACATTGTCGATTTCACAATGGCCCTCTCTGCCGTCCACGGAGAACCAGATCACACCACTCTAGTCATCCGGCGCACGGCCCTCCAGCTTTATGTCGTCTTCGTCGAATGCACAGTTCGTTCCCCCCTTAGCATCGTCTTCGCTCCCCTTGGTGTCACCTTCACCGCAACATCGTTGTCTTCCCCTTTACACTAGGCATCTGGCGCCGATGCCTCGACATCATCCTCACAAGATCCTCCGTTCGCCATCTTTCGCCAGATCAAGAGACGCATCAAATACGCCCCACGAGACTCAATGGACCATTTGACCGAGACCATCCTGAAGACCTGCTTCACAGCAGCATGGTAAGTTTATGTCGCCATGGTTTCTAGTTTACAACTGTCGTGATAGTTATTCATGTTTTTATTAACAATAATATAACTATTTCTTTTTTTTGAAAAAAAAAACTCTATGATAAAGCGACGAGAAGGTGCAGGAGGAGGTGCGTATGAAAGTTGATTGGATATGGAAAAAGCGTAAAAGGGATGACCTCTTCGGCGATGTCTTCACCATAGAGAAGAAGACCAAGGTGTCCGGTGAGCTGTCTGTAAAACCCTCCCTTCCTCAGGGCCTCGTTGACAGAGCGACCGAAATTGTCAAGACATCAAACCCCAACACCTCAAGCTTTCACAAGCACAACCTGACAACAACGCTCAAAACCTCGTATCGACAAGAGACGTATCAGGAGAGACTCTCTCTCAAGTTTAACGACGCCTGGGACTCCGCAACCAATATACACACTCCCCGCTCTTCCACCACCACCACCGCCACCACCGCCACCAACATCACCAACACCAACTCGGATAGTACCGCTAATGACTCAGGACTTGGTCTTCGCTTATCGGTGAGCAAGGCTGTCTGACCACAGAGGACGAGGAGGAGCTGCCAGAGAAAGACGAGGAGGAGATCGTAGATCTGTTGGAGCGAGAAGAAGTCAGGTCTACCGAGAGATGAAAGACTGTAACGGTCTCGTTGAAGGATATTATTCGGAAAGAGTTGGTGGAAAGTGGATCATGACCCCAACAAGCCAGGGTTGAAGGTCTCGGCGGCGGACAAGTTGTCGACATTTTACTGGAGAAACAGGACACTCTCAAAAACGCGACCGACGAGCTCGCGTGCATTGCAAGGAAGACGTCACTACTAGTAAGGCATTGGTGTTAAGATTGCATGTTAATTATTATGATGTTGTACAGGCCGCAATCAAATACTAACTGGTTCATAACGATTACTTTTGTTTTGATCACAACAGCTAGCAAGGAATGCATTCACGATGCCTGGATCGAGTCGAGAAACTAGTTCGAGTCGTACCCGCCAACAGCATCCCCCAGTATTCGACATCCGGACCGACTTCATCCCTTTTCCTTTATCGCTCGCAACGATGCCCCATCGTCTCTTACCCTCGCCCCCCTCCCGACACATCTAGAGGAGTACATCAACACCACCCCCAGCGGAACCGACCGACAATGGACGTCCGATCTACAACACTTGTTCTCGTACCATCACCTCGGATTCCTGTACAGCAAGTTCTTCAGCCCGCAAGGAATCAACACAGACTCCGAGACGAAACACCCATTGTGGAGCCAGTTGGCTGCGCGCATTCAAGCCCCTCCACTTGAGGCACTCAAGGCTACTTGGAGACCAGGGGATGAACATCCAATGGCGGGCCTGTCAGCGGTGTTTTGCGACTACAGTACTCCGTTCATGTCGTAAATTAAGGGGTAGGTCAAACCTATTTGTCTTCCGAACACAGCGAACAGCAATGTTGATTCCAGGATGAAAAAAAAAATGAGAGGCGTGCAAAGGCAGGGAACGGAAACATTTTATAATGGGCTTATCTGATTCTCCGATCCGTCACGAAGGTACAACAAGAAGCGAAAAACACACGCCGAGGTCGTTTTTAATGTTGGCCATGTCATCTTGCATTAGAAGCATACTGGCAACTTCGTTAAGTCTCCAGCCCTCTTATTTACGGTGACGATAGTAATGCGCTAAATAGTTTGTGGATGAGATGCAGTCACTTTAATTCTCAACATTCCTTTATTCTCTTCTTTCTTTTTCAACACTTTTTACACCCCACCTCAACCACCACACAAAAACAACCTTCGCTCATCTCAGCTTCATCACCAGAAACACACACAGAATGTCAGATACAAAAGGTTGCCAAGCACTTCTCGACGAGGCTGCTGCCCATAACGTATCCGGTCACGCCACCACCTCCCAGAACGCACTCGAGGACTCGACCGCCAAGAATAAACGCCGGGTCATGTCCAGATTGGATGTTCTCCTCGCCCACGAACACGGCATGACTGTCACCATCCCTTGCAAGGAGAGCGACACAATTGAAACTGTTCTCAAGTGGATCCGGAACAAGCTAGGCATCAACCTGGACGACTTGTACCAAGACGATCTCTACGTGGACGGACGCCTCATTCGGTCCAAGGACCAGACGATTGGCGACTCCCGGATCTTTGGCCACGTGCTTACCTACCACCACCACATCAAGAACCCGTCCGTAATCTACATCAGGATGCCTTCGGGCAAGGTCCTCGAGGTCATCTGTGGGTTGGACATGCAGGCGGAGGATTTCAAGTACGCCATCGAGGAAAGGACAGGCTCCTCGCATGATAGTGTGCGTCTGGTATACAAAGGCGAGCAGCTCGGGGGCAAGATCACGTTGGCTGAGTATGGCATCCATTTGGGATCCACCATCGTTCTTTTGTTCAGGCAAGGAGGTCGACAGTTCGCCGATAACCGCATCACTTTCAACACCATTCTCGATGCCCCTGGAGCTCACCCTGGTGAGCTGACCCCGACATGGGGTCCATTTGACTGCAAGGGCATCTACGTCGAATATCGTTGCCCCTGTTCGCCAGAAAAGGTCCATGTATATCCAGGCTCGGACCTCTTTGAGCTTTCCAAGTTCTCTTCGTATTGTGGGCAGTGCAACCAGCGTGACAGTGCGACATTTGTGGGTGTCGGATTCGTCGAGTGCCAGTACCGGTTCTTTGGGATAAGGAACACAGGAGAGCAGGTCTCATGGGGGTGGAAGAGTACCGAGGGAAACCGGTATGCGCGCCTGGACCGGGGAGAGATGTTGACAGGTTGGAGAAGGTTAATCTTTGAGTCAGCAAAGATGCACGAGGTTGACAACTGTTCGATCTGCTTAGTTGAACTTAGTACGGCATACGAAAGGTTCAGCGACAGGGTCGAAGAGTGTGGTCAATGTGGTCATTGTTTTCATGCGGGCTGTCTCCAAAAGTACATTGCTGGTGTTTGTCCCGAGTGTGATCTCAACAGACATCTTGTTGAAGGCTATTTTTAGGACCTCTGCGGTGCATGAGTACCTTATACTTCTGCGAATAAAAGCATTTTCTGCTTCGAGAGTATCAACTGAATGCACCTTCGATGCTAATCGCTGTCGTTGTCGTCGGTCGGTCAGTCGCCCTTTCAATTTTTGCGTTCAAAATGACCTCAAAGATAAGCTGGCGGTTCTGCGTATCGAAAAAGGCGAGACTGAAATCCTTCAACGTCCTAAAGCCCGAAAAGTCAGTTTGGCCTGAAAGGGGTCAAGGCGACCCTGACTCATTGTACACTTCGCATGGCCATGTCAAGTACAGTTTTGTATTTATTGTAAGTTAGCAAGAGAAGTGGAAGGAGCAAGAAGAGAGACAATGAAAAAAAGAAAAGTAAAACTCTATGTGGATGAGAGGAAAATACGTCACTTTGGTTCCTATCCAAACGGTCCTCAACTGCTTGAATTGGAGCAAAGTGCTGGCAAACACGATTTACGATCGTACCATTGCTCATGGTCCCTGCCAAAGAGTGCTCAGTCGGTTAGAGAAACAATGTTGACGTTCAATTACGAGAGGTTAATAATAATCAATGTCCACAATAGTCAATTAGAGAATAGTAATGGCCTGTGCCTGAACTTTGTTACTCGTGTTCCTGAGCGAGTCCTAACCTGATCGTCATCAGCAAAAAAAATCTCGTGGGTCGGTATATGCGAGGAACGTATCCATTGGGCCACGGTGTTAAAAGAAAAGTAGGGAAAGGGTATGAGAAGCACCATTCGTTTATTGTTCCTTACTTTTTCCTGCCGGGGTGTTCCTTACTTTTTTAGATGTGCGGAGTGCCTGTTTCTTCTGTGTGCATGTTCGGCCACGCGTTGTTATTTTCGTTCTTGGATATGTGTATCATGCCTCGTAACCACCGCGAAACATCGCCAACTATTACAAAAGCTTATATTTTCTCATTCTCTCCACTCACATGAGCACTGCAGCTCTTCTTTCCTCTGCTGAACGTGGACGAAGTTTGATTACAGTTTGGATGCTACGCGTCTGCATGCAAAGCCTTTATTTTCCTTCTTGAATGGATATTATTCCTGGCAGGTGCACATAAAACGCAGGCCGTTTTTATTCTTCCTCTTTTTCTTTCTCGTCCTTCCTGTCTTCTCTCGTTCTCTCCACAACAACTCCTTCACTCACATGCCCAACTTTACCCCACGCCCACCCTCAAATATGTCCACCACATTAAACATCATCAACGCCAACAGCGACCCTGACGGGGCCATTATCGTCCCCTACATATACAACGAACCCATCTCCGCCCTCCTCAAGCGCATCCAGGCTACCTTTTTCTCCAACGGCTCCATGTCTAACACCCGTGACGACCTCTACCTCAATGGTAAACGTCTCAAAGATCGAACAAAAACATTAGCCCACTACCGCATCTTTGGTCGCACCCTCACCTACCACGTTATATCTGCGCGACCCAACGGCCGATGCCCATTCTCGATCCAAGTCATCACCCCCACCGGAAAAATCATTCCTCTGATCTGCCACCCCCACACGTTCGTGGAGGATGTGAAGGATATGATCCATGAGAAAGAACGTATCGCTGATGACCAGCAGACGATCACTTATGCCGGTATGCAACTCGAAGACTCACGTATGCTACAATTCTACGGCATCTCTGCAGGGTCGACCCTTCATGTGGCCTTGCCTCGCCCCTGTACTGTGACACTCCCCGGGATCCTGTACTTGGATAACAAGGTTGGAACTCACATGGGCGTGCGCAAGATTCGATTCTCGCAGAACGCTTCTCGCGGCCGCGTTCCCAACATTGGCACCAATATCGAGTGCGAATGCAAGTGTACTCCTGGTCCCATCGTCATCGTCCAGAAAGGCCGCGGAACCCTCGAGATCGCCAAAGCCACGCTCACCTGCCCGAACTGCGGCAAGTCCGACAAGATCGTCCCCGTGGCCTTCGGGTTCCTGAAGTGCAAGTACCGCTACCATGGGATCCAAGCCTCGGATGGTGCGCAGTTCACGTCAGACTGGGAAGAAGTCCATGCCGATGATCGTTACCACTTGGTGAGCGCCGATATCAAGAGAGCGGGTTGGAGTTGTCTGGTGGTTGAGTCCGCTGGATTGCACCAGTATGCTCCCTGCACAATCTGTTTGGAGCCTCTCCGGCAGTGTGAGACCTTGGTGTGTGGGCATCAGTTCCACTCGGTTTGCGCTAAGAAATGGAAGGGGTTCTGTCCCAATTGTCAGAACAACAAGCATTTGGTCTTCACGCCACTGCCAAGATCAGGAAGTGGATATTTTTGAAGAATAAGCCTTATGTGAAATAAGCACTAAATTTGATCTGAATTACAAAGCACACTTTTATTGTTCTGTTCTGCTATTGGGTTTGTCGTTGTCGAGATGTGATGTGGGTGTATGAATAAGGACCCTGTTCTAATTCTTGGTGCTTATAATAAAAGTGGAAAAAAAGTGTGTCAAGAAAGACATGGCAGAGCGGTATCATTAGAAGGAAGGACGGAATGGGAAAGCTGGTCGTTGGGGGGGGGAATGAAACGAGAAGAAAGAAATGGGTCGTGCGATGATGAAAAGATAGTAACACCTCGGCGTGAACGGTTGTAGCCAATAAAAAAAATGGACAATTAGATAGGGTTCAGGGCTAATTATCTGTGCGCTGTTCCTGAATCTCCTTCCCTGATGCGCCACCAAAAGTTGTGTTTGTAACGCCTGAGATGTAAACGAAATAAATAAAAAAATAAAGATAAGGGACAGTAGGCAAGGATAACTTGTAACTATTGTCCTTTGCTTTTCCCAGCTTGTTGGTTCTTACTTTTTCAAACAGGTTGTTCCTTACTTTGTTCTTGTTGGTTGATTCTTGCTTCCGAAGGCTATGGCACTGTACTTTTTGTGGTGCAATCTCTGCCGCATGTTTAATTGTTCACTTTTGAAGTGTGTGTACCACATCTCCCACACAGCAAGACGTCCACGAAATAGACCAGCGTCATTCATTCTTTCATTCACACGGATGTGTTGTCATCTGTAGATCCTTTTTGTGCTGAGCATGCGCCAATATGATCTTGCAGGTCTGAGCTAAACCTCCTTATTCAAAGCCTTCATTATTTTTCTTGCGTTGGCACCATTGCCGCGAGGCACAAAAAATTGCCCAATATTTTCATATTTTTCTTCTCACTTTCTCCCCATCCATTCTTCTCTCTTTATCATATCGCGCCGCCAACACTCATTCACAACTCCACTTCTCATACCAACCTGCTATCAACCATGCCCAACACATTGAATATCATCGTCGCCTTTGGCGGCCCCGACAGGACCATCAGAGTCGCCTTCAACAGAAACGAGCCCATCTCAATCCTTCTGAACCGTATTCAGGATGCCCAGCCCAATGACGGGATCCCCAACATCCGTCACGACCTTTTCATTAACGGCGTCCATATCAAGGACACCACAAAGTCCTTGGCTCACTACCGCGTCCTTGGTCGCACTTTGACCTTCCGCGACGTCAAAGCTTCTCCTCCGAATCAGAACACGTTCTCCGTCAAGGTCATGACCCCTACTGGCACCCTTATTTCTTTGACTTGTACTGCCAGTATGCTTGTCCAGGATGTCAAAGATATGATCCAGGCGCAGGAGAGGATCTCCGTTGACAAGCAGACGCTCCTTCATGGTGTCAGACAGATCGAGGACTTTCGTGATCTGAAATTCTATGGCATTACTGAGCCTTCGTCCCTGCAACTGCTCATGCCTCTCCCCGCGAACCACCCGGGCATTTTATTCACAGATGGCCCAGATGGATCTTTTGGGCCCCGCAAGATCCAGTTCTCTCCATATGCCCCTCGAGGACGTGTCGCCACCCCCGGCCTGAATGTCGAATGTCAGTGCACGTGTACCACCACCCACAACATCATTGTCCAGAAGGGTCTCAGAACCTTCGAAGTCGATAACCCCAGACTCACCTGCCCCAACTGTAACCAAACCGACAAGATCACTCCGATTGCTTTTGGCTTCTTTAAATGTCAATACCGCCTCCATGGGATCCTCCGAATTGGTGGCAGGCAAAATACTACAGCGTGGGCAGAGACCACAGCCGACGACTGTTACGTCCTCATGCTCACCGCCCACGAAAACATTGCGTGTTTTCGTCAGTTGGTCATCGAAACCACTTGTGTGGGCCAGTTTGATGCCTGCACTGCTTGTCTGCACCCACTTAATTTGTCGGAAACTTTGCCTTGTGGACATCGATTCCATCTTGGCTGCAAGAAGCAATGGGAGGGTGTCTGCCCTAACTGCCGATATAACGTGGTCTTGTGGAGCGATGCTGCTCCTTTGATGCATCCTAGAGTTTAAGTGAGAGGCGACACTCTTTGTCGAGCAGGTGGTGGCCGGAAGTGGGTAGAAAAGAAAGTTTTTTTTTTCTTTGTGTGTCTTTAGTTGGCTTGTTAGAAGCCACTGAATTAAATTCTTTGTTCGTTTCAATTCTCAATTTATTTATTCTTTTTTTTGCTGCTAAGTCGCACGGTTGTATGGTGAGCAGTGTACAATAATAAAAACGTGTAAGACGTGAGAGGAATGAAAGGAAGTGAGAGAAAGAGCAAGAGAGCTTCTCGTGAAAAGGACTCAAACTCGTCAAACTCAATAAAGTGCTCCAATCAATTGATCAACCAAACCGCGATTTCGACGTTTTTTTTGAAATGCTCATTCATCAATGTTCTGAGCAACCCCCAGATTCCTGTCTTTCATTCTCTTGATTCGTAACCTCATTCATCACCGCTTTTCTTTTTTTGCATGAACCGACATCGGATCCTCGCCGGAATTGAAATGCTTGATCTTGGTTGATCAATTAATTGGATCGCATGTAGTGGCGAATGATTTCCATGTAAAAATTTACATGGGTTTAGCACGGAGCAAACTGTTTTTTTGAATACTACTATGTCACTGCACTTTCTACAGGCAAACTGAAAGCAGTTCCATAACAAGGACATGGTATGTGATCTAAAATTCTTTGATGTGCGAAGCCAGCTATTCTCAAGAGAGTGTAATATCATGACAAACTGTGAAATCGTGCTAGATCCATGTAACAAAACATACTTTAACGATACCTTCTGTAAATGATATAAACCCTTTGTGCATAACCTATTTTCTAGATCACATACCATGTCCTTGTTATGGAGCTGCTTTCAGTTTGCCTGTAGAAAGTGCAGTGACATAGTAGTATTCAAAAAAACAGTTTGCTCCGTGCTAAACCCATGTAAATTTTTACATGGAAATCATTCGCCACCACATGCGATCCAATTAATTGATCAACCAAGATCAAGCATTTCAATTCCGGCGAGGATCCGATGTCGGTTCATGCAAAAAAAGAAAAGCGGTGATGAATGAGGTTACGAATCAAGAGAATGAAAGACAGGAATCTGGGGGTTGCTCAGAACATTGATGAATGAGCATTTCAAAAAAAACGTCGAAATCGCGGTTTGGTTGATCAATTGATTGGAGCACTTTAGCATACCAGACTACTCCTGCAAAGTCACAGAAGCATGTTTTATTAACCTAGATACAGGAGATCCGATCCGAGTTGCTGATGAATAGGGCGATCCATGCCCTGATCTCAGGCAGATTGAGCGAGTGGTTGTGTCCTCTGATAGGCTCCACATTCGTGGTTACTGGGGGTGAGGTGGACGAAAGAGGAGAAAAAAGGGTGTTGTTGTGTCTGCATTGCGAAACAGGATGTCTGATTCCGTGGCGACTACTTCGCGTACTCGCACACTCATCAGACGACACTCTTCTACTTGCAGCTCCGCAATAGACAAACTTGGACAAACTTGTTGTCTCGATATCTACACCATGAGCGCCAGACTGTCGTGGATTGCTACTATGTAATTCATACGCCGCCGCCGTTGTATTTTGTGATAAAGGAACCTAATCTGTTGCAATTGAAGCTCACGCTTTCACAATACGATAAATGTCGTCAAACAAGGGTACTCTACAAACAAAACAAAAAAAAAGAACTGTTGCGATTTTCTGTGTGCACGCACTCGGGCGCGGTGGAAGGTAGGAAAGTGATGGATGAGAAAGAGGCATTCAAGAGGAAGCAGGGAGGTAGTCAAGAGTAGTAAAGGTACTAAATACCTTCAAGCGCAGCGAAACATGCATATTCATGCCAAATTTTTTTGGAGAGGTACATGTAGTCAAGAGGAAGAAGAGAGGAACAAAGAGTAAACGGAGAGTAAACAGAGTAACCTGAGAGTAAACAGAGTAACCCGAGAGTAAAACAGAGTAACCCGAGAGTAAACAGAGTAACCCGAGAGTAAATAGAGTAACCAGAGAGTAAACAGAGAGGTAGTTATGAGCAGTAAAGATATCAGACGCCTTCAAGCACAGCGAAACATGCATATTCATGCAAAAAAAAAAATTGGAGGTAGTCAAGTGAAAGTCAAGAGGGGGCTGAGAAGAAACAGAGAGGTACATGTAGTCAAGGATTCAAAGATACAGTCTTACGATCATCGAGCAAGATGCACATTTCGATCCACAGCCGCATCTTGTGGCGTGCAAATTAATAAGTATAGCGCGTGGCTAGAAGTAATATAGTAGAAGAGGCTGTAAGAGCGTAAGAGGTTGCGAGGATTGGGATTTATATGCGTAAGAAAGTGATGGCGAAGGGTGGCGGGTGGAGGGAGGTAGCAAGAGCACATTTTTTTTTTGTTTGAATGCATGCTTGTCACCCTATGAGAGGACAAGGTATGGAGGCCTTTCAAGTCCAAATTATCATATGGTGTTTGTTACATCTCTGCAGATCTTGACGATATCCACCGCGTCCATTAGAGGAGAGTGTATGTATGATATCAACCATTTAAAACAACCACTGTAACATTCCTTGCGCGATTATCCTACTAAACACAACTACATTCTCCAAACAACAAAGTCTTCTTATTTTTCGCTCACCAATATCTTGAATGTGTTCATCTACTATTAAACTGTAACCCTCACTGCAAGATTCGACAGAGTAGTTCTTGTATGTGATCATCTAAAGCACTTGTATTCTCAACTGTATCTTTGTCGTGAAATACAGGGGAGAGATTACATTTTAAAAATTCTTGTGCTGTCTATTGCTATTTTATTCTGTGTTCTGTTGCCCACAATGAAGAGATATGCCAGTTATGGAAGTCAACACTCCGTTCCTTGGACTTTGGATATTTTTTATATGCCTTTTTATATCCTCTGCACATGAAGGGGCCGCTATATGCATAATTTCCTCTGCCTGCATCTCTGCATGACTATCGTGGAAAAGAATGATAGCAAAGACAAAAAGTGTGAGAATGATTGACTGGTGACAACCTACCTCAGCTCGCCACATTACGGCTTTTGCATAAGAAGTGTTGTTTGCTCTGCCATATAAATAGTTCAACCCTGGTGGCATGTTATTTTCTACAAACCTCCAAACCCATCTTCATACTCCACGCCTGTACGCCAATCGCCCTACCTACCACTCCCCACCCACCCATCCATGCCACCCTCCGAAGCCGAAGTCGAAGCCGAAGTCGAAGCCGAAGTCGAAGCCGAAGTCGAAGCCGAAGTCGAAGCCGAAGTCGAAGCCGAAGCTGACGACCCCAACACACCATGCACATACTGGTTGTGTACCAAAGGCTGTCTGGAAAAACAGAGAGCGAAGGGTCGCCTTAGCAGGTGGGATCGGGCTCACATTCTCCGAAGACATTCGGACACAGCCATAGAGGTCGCCAACAAAAAAACAGGATGCTCAGTCGTCTACCGAAGGAACCCCAATGCGGATATGCATTTCCAGTGCATTTGCGGGAGTTTGATTAGCTCGCGCGGCTCTGTGAAGAAGCACTACGTTGGCTGCAAAAACCTGCAGGGCGTCATAAAAGGCAATGAATATTCTCATTTCAATGTCAGCTCTGAGGTTAAGCCGGCAGGTGTGCTGAACGGTGAGGAAGATGAGGGGGAGGACGAGGAAGATGAGATGGAAACCATTGGCGCCACTTCCGGCTCCATTGTTCCCTGGGGTGCATCAATGCAGTTGCCGCCGTCTTGCAGTGCAGCTCCCAACATGACGGCTGCGAGTGAACAGCAAAACTCTTTCATTATGAATGCACTTAGGTTTCAACAGGATCAGGGTACTCACCATCAGCAACAACTGCAAGACCACCAACAAAAGTTGTTTGATCAGCAGCGCCAGTATGCAGAGCTCTCTCTCATGGTGCAGAGACTTCAACGACAGGCGGAGCAGGCGCAGGAGCAGCAAACAGATCTTGTGGTGCGGAGACTTCACCAACAGAAGGAACAGGCGCATGAGCAGCAAGCAGATCTTGAGACGCAGTCAATTCAACAGCAACAGCGGCGAATAGCTCACATTGAACAGAGACAGGAGGGACAGCATCAAAAGCGTCAACGGAATTCGTTGGAACAGCTTCGCCATAGGGCGCAGGCTCAAGTTACCACCACCACCACTGCCGACTCTCGATCGTCCCGCGGAAATACTTCCCACCCAGAACCATCAAGCTCTGGTCCATGTAGGTTGCCTAATTATGAGTCAACGCTTGCATGCGGGGTTCTTTGAGTGCACTCGTATTCTACCTTTAAACGATCGACCACCACATGCTGACTATATTTTAGCAAAACTCTTTTCCATTTTCAGTGGACCATCTAGCCTTCAGGAAAGGCGCCACCCCTAATAAGGAGACGCCTGATCGCCTGACCCATGGAGCGATTCCGTCATCGTTCCATTATCATAGATACATAAACAATGACTTCAATGGAAAACAAAATGACAGCTTCTATTATATGTGATGAGTGAGTGAAAACAAGGCGAGGGAGAGGAGAAGGAGAGAAAGAAAGGGAAACAGAAGAAAACAGCAACATCAGAGCCAAGAGATATGTCCTAAAAAAACTGGCGCACGCAGAGGGGATACTGTTGGCAACATGCGATGAGGTACAGCCTAGGTGTAACCAAAAATCAGCGAGCACAATCGACCGCTCATGTAAGCGCGGGGGCGACGAAAAGGTATAGGGCAAATTGTGCTGTCTGTACTGAGCTTGCGACTCTTCTTTGCTGCAGCATTTTTCTCATTTTTTCATTGTCTCTTTCTTGTTGTCACTTGAGAGGTTAAGCATCTCGCAGTAGGTCGGTTCACAGTGAATCCTATTTCTTAGTCCTGGCGTCGACTCTGCACAACAGGCACTCGCTGTTTGACAACCCTGGGTTGTCAAATTTGCTCCAAGGTAACCTGTCAACCCGGGTTGCCAAGTAGCATTCTTTTTTTTCTGGCAAAGCGTGACTGTAGGTTGTCGAATATATTAACCCTTTTTTTGTCACTTTTTTTTTGCTTATTTGCCACCAACTTTTTCCTCAATAAAATAAATAACCATGTCCGATCAAGCTTGAACTCACAAAACATCTTCATTGACCTTAGCAAACTACCTTTGGATGATGATCGGATGACGTTCAGTAATTGAGATGAGTTCAAAATGTTTTTTTACATCTACCCGCCTACAGTTCAAGTGCAGTGCGCGTGTTTTGCTCCAAAAGAAGGGGTGAAGGGAAATGTAGAATCATTATCGAGGGCGCTTTCAAGTCACCAATACTTTCTTGTCTTCTTCATGCCCCACCATTCTTAAAGCTGCTTTATTCCCTTCACTCATCAATAAAGCCTTTTCGACGTTGCTTTGTGAATACGGCGATACTAGTTTTACAGCGATAGGACCACAGTTGTTGAAAAGTGTTTTGAGATATGTAGGAAGCGAGTGAAATTATACCATATTTTGTAATATCTTCCTCACCCTATGGACCTTTGTAGAGACGCGATGGACTTTGACTTGCTAATAGACATCCTTAGAGAGGCATCCTGAACGCTGTTTGCAATCTAAAATGGGTTGATCTGATTACGAATGGCAATGCTATGCCACTCACAAGACAGGTGCCTCGCGATAAGTAATTAAACCATGTTAGTCACACTTTAAACCACTTCTCTCTAGGATATCTTTCAGCGGCTTTAGGTCGTGTTGCTTCTATCTACCAACACCCTAGGCTATGGAAAAATGGAACAGTGGCAACTGCTAGTAAAAATAATTGGCGTGACCAATTCAAATTATACACTTTTTCCCTCCATTCTCCACATCACAACCAGTAAAACCTTACCCACACGGACTGCATACAACACACACGTCCTTCTTTTCATCACGCCCGTGATAGAACAAAGAGAACTTACTTGTCATTCTTTATCTGACGAAGTCAACATCCTCGCCCCGTCAGCCGTCGCCACTGTCACCTCATATGAGACTTTCGAGAATACCCCTATACATTGGGCGCCTTTTCCCTTCCTTACAAAGCAAAACAATAAATATAATAACATGTTTAACTGCGGTACTCTTTTCTTCAAAAGAGCTGCCAAGATAACACATTAATTGTTCGATTCATTATGAGCCATTCACTCCATCTCATCGATAAAATAAAAAAATGTACTTTATTTGCTTGACGACATATTTTCTCCATTGTCTGGCTATGGTTATTTGTGTGTAGAGTGTAGACTATGTGGTTGTGTGTTGGGATGTGTTTGGGGTTGCTTAGAGGTGTGAGCAAAAGGGGAGAGGGTGAGAGAGAGGGAGAGAGAGGGGAGATGGGGAGATGGAAAGATGGGGAGATGGGGAAGGAGGGAGTGGAGAGGAAGAGACGACGGAGGTGGTTGGGGTCCATAAAATAAACAAAAAAACAAGGCAAGGAAGGGGCCGAGAGAGGTATGTAAAGTGAAAGAAAAAAAGAAAAAAAGAAAGAAGAGAGAGAGAGAGGGGGGGGAAGGAGTGTGAGAACGCTGCAGGTGCTCAGAGAGACATTGATGGTAGTTCCTGTTTCCTAGGAGGTGTATGTTTGTGTGCTCATGGGAAGGGTGTGTACAAATAAGTTGTGTTGCGGAGAGGGAAGAAGGCAGGAAGGGAGGGAAGAAGAGAAGGGAGAGGGGATGAGGAGGTGAAGGGCAAAGGAGAGGTTGAAGGATAGAGAAGGAAGGAAAGGGAAGGAGAAGGAAGAGAAGAGGAAAGAGAACGAAGAGAGAGAGAGAGTGAGTGAATGAGAGTGATAGGGGCCCAGCCGCCATCATCATCATCATCATCTGACGTAGGGAACAGGGATCACTGTCATGATTTTATCTCTGTTTGTTTGTGGCTGTTTTTGTTGTTGCTGCTGTTGGTCCTGGTGCGTATGGGAAGGAGAGGAGGGGGATATCGACCCTCATAGATATGGTTCAGGGGATCCCATGCTAAGACTGCGCTTAATTCTATTTATAGAGGCCCCCCTCTCCAAGGAATCCGGCGCCAATTTCGAACAAACCCAGGGTCTCCTCCTAACATCAATGTAAACAATGAACATCTGGCGATGTAACGGTTTTTTTCTGGCTGTGATTTTCGCCCATGACACACTCAAAAGCACACTCTTACAGGTCGTGTAAGAATTTCATTTGTGTCTGCATCCACATACGCTATGCACCCCATTGGCAAATTAGTGAAAAGTTGAAAGCCTTTCTTTTTGGGCGCCGACGCGACCGTCAGACAATGTCATTCACTTTTCTCTTCCCGCCTACCTCTTTTCATTTTTTCTTTCCCTTAATCTCGCCAGCTTTCTCGACGTCTTTCTTCCCCCCTCTGATCTTTATCGATAACCACTCCTTCTCCACCACCACAACCTTTCACTCACATCCATCCTTTCCGATCCCCCTCTCCAGCACGTTTTCCTTCTGTTTCTATGCCAGATTACTCTGCCCATAAAATGTCCCCAACATTCGATATCATCATCGCCAACAGCGACCGCCCCGCCTACACCACCGTGACCTCCTCTTCCATGGCACCCCATTCGAGAACCATAGTTGCACCCTGGAGGACTATTGCATCGTGGACGGCCACTCCATCCTCACCTGCCACGCCCTGTCATTCCGGTCAAGAGCTGAAGGCGATGTTGTCGTGCTGGTGAACGTTCTTTATGGAGAGACATATACGTGGCACTTTGCGCTAGAGACGACGATTCAGGAAGTCAAGACGGTAATGCACCTGTTGACCGGGCATGAGTCTTCGGCTCATAATTTTATCTATGGGGGCAAGAAACTCTAGGATAAGTGCTCACTGGCGGATTATGGTATGGGTGAAGGTTCAATTATTCATTTGGACAGACGACCACTGGGCGGGACCGCAGCTCCTTAATGCATCATCTTCCCGGATAACTCGGATACTTCAGGCCTTCGCAATATCCACCATCCAGAACCCGCGCTTCCAGACGGTGTCATCTCTCCTGGTATCAACATCGAAAGCGCATGCAATTACACCCCCCACCAACCGAGTCGTCCGCAAGAGAGCCTTCGGCACCTTGACCATCCCCCAAGCTTTTCTTCGCCTGTCCAAACTGCGGCGGATCAGATGGTATCACTCCTATCACCGTGGGATTCATGCGCTACAAGTATCGTTTCCGTGGCACCAAGGCTACTGGCGAGCTGTACACCTCTGGTTGGAGAGAAGTCACGACTAACGATTGATACCAACTACTCGACTCCAGCAAAGAGATCTTTTGGCGCCATCTGTATATCGAAACTGTCAGTCTTTGATTATGATGAGTGCCCTTTCTGTTTGGAGTTGCTGAAGGAGTTTAAGACTTTGGAGTGTAGTCATCAGTTCCATGCCGAATGCATCAAGATGTAGAGGGGATCTTGCCCTACTTGCCGGCACAAAAGACAGCTGTCGATGAGCTGTTCACAGGGTAGTGACGACTCAGGAGAGGATACTGAAGATGCTGCGGATCCTCCAATTGAGGTGGATGGAGTTGGTTCGCTGCCGTCCGAGGGTATGAATCTGGAAGCTGGACAGTCGAGCAGTAATACACACTTTGACATACTCTACGCCACGGTGAAAAAAAGGAAAGAGATGAATCTTAACAAAGTCAAAAAATGAGACACATCAATGGTCGGAGAAAGAAAAGATTGGATGGAGGTGAACAAAGAGACATGCAGCAAGGCGCCAATCGCCAATGGTCGTAGTCCAAGAGTGAATGCTCGTTTAAAGAGGGAACATATGTGGTCTGTCTTACTCAATCCATAGCAAAAAATATATACATGTGACGCCAAAGGGTGATGTGGCCGTTGGCCCATGGGACCAGAATAATTATGCAACGTAGGTTAGCATTGTAAACTGATTCATGCATTTTTATTACCTTCCTCCTTCCTTTCTTTTTTCTTTTTTTCTTTCTTTCGCTTCGCCATTTATCCTTCCCTACTTACCCTCACCCATCACGGCACTGTCCCTTTCCTCTCCATCTCCTCTCCTTTCCTCCTCCACCTTTTCGCCTGACAAAATGGCAACGACACTCGATATCGTCATCGCCAACAAAGGCCCGGACGACACCATCAATGTCCGCTACAAACCAAACGAGCCCATCTTCTTCCTCCTCAAGCGCATCCACGTATGGTTAGGAACCAACGAAACCTCCATCTCCCGTCAAGACCTCTTCCTCAACGGCAAGAAGCTTGAGGACCATAACCAGACCATGGACTATTACCGCATTTTTGGCAACACCTTGACCTACCGCGCCATACCCTTCATGCCCCGTCCTGTCCGAGCCGGGGGAGAGATCACCCTCTTTGTCAAGACACTCACTGGCAAAATAATCACGCTCTTCTGCTCTGCGGTTGCGACAATCGATCACGTCAAGCAGATTGTGCAGGACAAAGAAGGGATACCCCCAGACCAGCAGCGGTTCATCTTTAACGGCAAACAACTCGAAGACGGCCGCACGCTTTGTGATTACAACATTCAGAACGGATCGACTGTTCATATGTTCCTGAGACTGCGCGGTGGCGGGACCCTTCCTGGAATCGTGTTCGCCGACGTCTCGGATGCCTCGGGAGTCATCAAGGTCCAGTTCTCGGTCAACGCTCCTCCAGGTCGTATTGCCAGTCATGGCACCAACGTCGAGTGCAAGTGTGAATGCACCCCCACCCACAGGGTCATCTGCAAGAAGAGTTTCGGCACCCTAGAACTCTCTCGAGCTACTTTCACCTGCCCGAACTGCTACAAATCTGACAGCATCGCCCCCATCACCGTTGGATTCATGAACTGTAAGTACCGTTTCCACGGGATAAAGCTCTCCGGTGAACAATACACTTCGGACTGGAAGGAAGTCACCAATGACGACTGCTACCAGGTGTTCAAGCCCGACAAGCAAATCCACTGGCGCCGTTTGATTATCGAGTCTGCAGGCCTGAACGAGTGCGACGAGTGCTCAATCTGTCTGGAAGAGCTTCGGAAGTTTGACGCCCTGGGTTGCGGTCACCGGTTCCATGCAGATTGCATTGAGCAATGGGATGGGTCCTGTCCCAACTGTCGATTCAACAGGCACCTCGTCAGCGGACATGAAGTGGAGCTGTAGCAGTTCGGAGAGGGAAAACTGGCTTTATGGAACAGAGGGAATCAATTGTGCGCGCTTTTGCACACGTTCAATTCATACCAGTTCTTACCTGAGAATATGCAGCCCATTCTTTTTTTCATTCTGCAGCATTGGGTGCTTGTCTCCCATGTCCAAGAGTGAATAGTGTAGTCGATTAGAGTAGTCGGGAATTATATATATATATATTTGGATTTGCATGGCTCTCGCACGCATGCTCGTGGTGATTGGGTGTAGATTATTGTCGAACCAACAAACGTGTCTCTGGATCTCGATCAGGCACCGACTGGGTCAGCATAAATAAGGTTTGATCAATCCGTGTTGGCTGACAGACTCTCCGGCGCCCTTCTCACTCTTCCCTCTGTTTCCCTCTCCACACCCACTGCCATAGAGGAAACGTTGTCCGTGGATGCATCCGTCGTTGTCATATTGCTCTGGACCCAGGCCCATTCCCTCTCTTGTTACAATTTTTCAAGCCCAGACTCTTATTCTTCCTCTGTAACCAGCCCATCTCTTACACAACCAAGCCCAGCCCACTCCTTCGACAAAAGCATAGCCCTTCCTTCTCGTTCCATCTTCTTCCCTTCCCTTTCTATTGTCGCCATTCGCCCTCTTCTTTTTATCGTTTATTCTTTGTCCTTTCCTTCTCACCCCTTTGTGCACCAACTAATCTCCAAACATTCCCGCCAGTTATTTTTTATTTCTCTTTTCTCTTAGCATTGTTGTTGTTCCCTAGAAATGGACAGTTCCAACGCCTCCCTCTCTATCTCTCACCTTCCTCACAGGAACAACAACCAGTCCCTTTTGTCTTTCTTGAAGAAAAAATGTGAGCATGAACAAGGGAGTGAGCAAAAATACCATCGATCCTGACATCCCTTAGTTATCCTTCCTGTAGAGCACAACTAGGAACAAAAGAGAGGGGTTCATAACAATAGCAAGAAGTATCCCTTCGATGCTCTTCCTTCCTGTTCGCTTACTCCAGACCGAGAACGATGGTGAGGTAATAAAACAATTGTCTCCTGTACCACTCGTTAGTGCCAACAGGGGCAAACAAAATGATAACATGGCCCAAGCAGGCTGTTCCTTCTTTTCCCTACTGGACATATGGTCAAGAGGTCAAGAGTGACATGGACCCCTTTTTGGCTTTGCTTCAAAGTGTCATGACGGTGCAGTGAATGAACGGACATGTGTGCCTGGACAGACTGGCTCTTGTTCTGAAAGAGTATGTTGTGGACTTCATGTCCTCCCCTCCTTTTTTTTCTCCCCTTCTTCCCATGCGAATTGACATACGAATGAATGGGCTGAAGGGGTGCAACAATGGATTGAACTGCACTGAATACACAAATACGGCAAACAGAGACAAAAAGGAGTAGGAAGGAGGGAAGGAGGGACAGAGAGCAAGAGAGAAAGAGAGGGGCATACTTGTTTGTTTGTCGTCTCCATGTGTGTGTTGTCAGCAAATCCTTTGGTCCTCTTCTCCTCTTCTCTTTTCCTTCGTCTCTTTCTTCCTTCCTCCTTTCCTTTCCTTTCCTTTCCTTCGTTCTTTGTCGAATTCGAACTCACATTCCCTTCCCTCTCACCTTTTCACTCTCTTGACGCCCCTCTATTTCTTTTCTTTCAATCATCTTCATTTCACTTCCGTTCACCCTTGTATAGACCACTCTCGCACGCTTTCTCAAGACAAAAACACAGGCACACTTCCTTATTCCAACAAACGAACGACACCATACCCATTTCTTTCACGTCCTTCCTTCTCACTTCTCCTTCTCTCTTCCCTTTTTTTTCATTACCCACATTCCTGATCATCCTATCTTATCTCCACCATCGTTTCTTCCTACCTCCCTATTAACGAATCCTTCCACCCATACCAAAACACGCAAAAATGGGCCAGAACCAAAGTACACCAACACAAGAGCCCTACCATAAACGCCACTACACCGCAACAAACCGCCAGATCCAACGACAAAACTCCATCTCCCTCACTTCCCCCACCCTCCTCCAAAACCCTGGTGCAAACCCTTATGCGTTAAAACGCCAGGGAACTCTGTCCATGCAGAGTAGCTCGACTGTCCATTTGAACTCTTCTACGATTACGACAATGACAGGGGGTGGGTCGAGGGTGACAGGTGACAACACAGGGACAGCAACAGAGGGGGAAGGAACTAGACCGTTTATTCGGTTGATGCCGATCGAAATCCCACAGCCAGTCTACTTTGACGAATCCTCTGCCAGTGAAGAGGATGACTACGACTACGACGATGGTGGGGATGGAGAGTACAGTGATGGGTATTCGGACTCTTACGACCACCCCCACTCCCGCCACAACAGTGCCCATCGTCGCCGCAACCACCGCAGCAACACTCACGAGTACAGCGACGACGATACGGATCTTGTGGAACACCACCGGAACAAGCGTGGGCTCGCTAGTTCGCCGCCGTACTTGGACACTGCTGCTCTCAATGGTCGGACCACGTCTGGAACTGACCCATATGGATATGAGCAATCGATGAGTAGAGAGCAGGCAGATTACCGACGATCGAAAGAGGAAGAGGATGAGGATTTGTCCTATCTCTCTCCTGTCTCTGGTATGTAACCTTGTAATTATTTTATTTTTTGGTTATTTGTTCATTGTGTTAGGAGAATGATGTAGGCATGCATGCAAAGTGATGGTATTGGAAAATGAATTGAAACGAAAAGGTGGACAAGGAGGAAAAGAGGAGGTGACAAGGCATAGATAGGTATGATGAGTGTGAGGGTTGATTAAGATGAGGCAGGAGGAGGCAAGAGGAGGAGGAAAACAGTGGAAGAGGAGAAGAACTTTGGGAACACCATGCTTGTTCACAAAGGAGTGGGCAGGAGGGGAAGAGTAAGAGGGGAATACCAACCCCACGTTGTTTTCCTCGTACCTTTGCAAGAACTAACCATCCCTCCCCTTCGTCAACTTCCCAATAGGAACTCGCCGATTCGCAAAACCAACATTTCCACGAGGGGGCCTCCACTCCGAACCCTTCTACCCCCCTCACCCACACCTCTCCCACGACGATGACCTGACCAACAACCAGAACTTAACAGACGACAACACTTCAGATGATGAGGCGTACAACGAGGAGCTCTTCCTCAAGCGCTACCAACTCCGCGACCTCCCTTCTGTACAGGCTGGTGCTACTGGTGAAGTGACGGATACCGTCATCTCACAACTCGACTTCTCCTCCTCCTCGTCAGCGAGGAGTCCGACGAGCGCATCCCTAATCCTGGACGCCATCCGCGAAGAGAAAGAAGAAGATGATGACGAGTCCAGAATCCCTCCCTCCCTCCTCCTCCCTTCCAAGACCGTCACAACAGGAGTGAGAGGAGGTGGGCCAGTATCAGTATCATCTTCAAACAACAGCCTAAAGGAGTCCTCCAGAATGGGATACTCACTTCATCATGTCCAACCCCTCCAGGAGGCCAATAATCAACACTCTTCCTTCAGCTCCTTCAGCAATTCCAATAACAAGGGCGAGAAGGGAGAGAGGGATGGCTCTTATGCCTTTGGGGCTCACAATAACCAATCCAGCCCGCTCCCTCCCCTCGATTCCTCCTCTTCCTCGTCTTCTTATCAGTATCATGGACAAGGACAAGGACAACAGGAACAGGAGCAGGAGCAAAGGAGAGCTAGAGAAGAGCGGTATGATGGCGATGACTTTTGCCAACATGAACAGAGTTCAGATCCCACAGCCACAGGGCCTCGTGACACCGCCACTCCCTCGCTCCCTCCCGTACTTGCCCCCCGCCCGCCGAAATCATTCGACGATGTCCTTGTCGTCCTGGATAACGAAGAACAGGAAGAGCAGGAAGGAGGAGGAGGAGGAGGAGGAGAAAGGTGGAAGTCGACGCACAGTCGACAAGGGTCTACGACTTTGAGAAAGGAGATGCTGTCGGATGTTTCTCAGAGGGTCGGGGATTTGGATTCGAGGGTGAATCAGATGGATGCTCTTGTTTCTTATAAGCTGACCGATATCGAGTCCAAGGTATGCCAAAGGACTTAACTCGTTTTGTGAAGAAGAGATGTAGATAAGCAAGAGGGGTGGCTGTTGAATGCGTTGGGCGATGCAATTGTTAACGCTCTTTTTTTTCGCTTTTGCGCAATTTGGATGTGAAATAGGTCCAGGTGCTACATGAAGAACAGGACACAATCGCTACTCTGGACCAACCCACACCCCAGGAATCTACAACCACCACAGCCTCCACCTCCTCCGACCCCCAGCGTCCAATATCCTTTGCAGAAGGCGAACAACCCCTCGCCACCCTCCCCTCAACAAACCCCTTCAGAACCTCCCAACTCCTCTCCAAAGCTACCCTCCTAGAACTCCGCCTTGAACTCCAAGCCTTCGGAATGCGCTTCCACGAACTCAACGACTCCCTCCTCACCGATCTTATGACCCAAATGCGCCAAGCAAAGTTAATGCTCTTTGAATCCTCAAACATCGCGCCTATCGACCCTACTGGTGCGGTCGTGAGGAGAGTCGACAGGGCAGAGGCGGAGATGCACGCGAAGCTCTTGAGCGAGATTGAGACACGGATCCAGGAACGTGTGTTGGCTATGGAGGTGACCTCTGCTAGGTTGGAGAAGTGTTTTGATCAGATGGAGGCCCGTCTGGGTGCTTTGGAAATGGTCCTTGTCGCTGGTGCCAGTGCTGGTACTGGTACTGGTACTGGTGCTGGTACTACAGGAACAACAACGATCTTGAAGAGGCCGAGACCAGAGAGCATGTACAAGATCCTCCAACAGCAACAGGCACAACTCCAGCGAGAACAGCAGGACCGCCATCACCAGGAACAACGCCAACAAGGATTGGAATACACCCATCGCTCTCGTGGTGGGTCGGACTCTTCCTCCCCCGAATCCCCCACACCTGACTCATTCCCCTCCACCACCGCCACCGCCTCTTCTTACACCTCCTCGTCATCCATCTCAACAACCACATCCTCATCATCCTGGACCAAAAACCTCCCCACAACAAGAGGACTCCAACACCCACGCGCCCCGCGCCCAGCCCGAATCCTCACCACTCCAGTCCCCCAACTCCTCCAACAACGCACCGCACCCCACTCCGCAAACCCTACATCTGCCATCATAACCCGCAACCACCGCGCCCACACTTTGGAAACCCACCACCACCCAGGCCCGATCAACCTGGTCCCTAACGGACACATAAACGGCCCCGTCTCCGCACACCCTCTAAGCTCCAGCCTCCCACTCGCAAGACACCACCTCCTGACCTCCCAACGGTCCATGACCGCCTTGATGGCTGGTCCCATCAACACCAGTCCCAAATCTGCCCATATCGACCCTGCTTCTTCCCTCGGCACCAATGGCGTCGACAGCAACTCTGCATCAGGACAAGGGGAAGGAGGGAGGAGGGGAAGGGCGAGTAGTCAGAAGGTGATTCGGAGACCGAGTTCTTATAAGGAGCTGTTGCATTTCTGGAAGGCTGGTGGGTCGACTCCCGATCTTTTGAATACCGGCAATTCTTGAACTCTTCCTTAGTCAATGACAAGCAATCCAATCCAACGCGAAAAAAAAATTAAAAGAAATAAAAAAAAAAAAGAGCGCTTGATGATAGGTTTGTCCAAATTACAGCATTTTTTGTTTCCAAGAAAGGGGATGTTGTCTATGATAATAATACCTCGTCCACCGCCCTTCCTCTCTAAACAGAGACAAAAAGACCACTAATTAAAGATCTTTTTCAAGAAGCCACGGACCTTCTTCTTCTTCTCGCTGCTGGTACTACTCCTCGACCCCGTCATAGAGCTCAAGGTAGAACTAGGCGCCAACGGCATATTTCCACCACTCCCACCCTGACCGACTTGCCCATTGACCTGATGGGATAAAGAATCCTGCGACATCGACAAGGGCGACTTGGTCCCGACTGCAGTGCTGCTTCCATTATGACTCAAGTCTCCCAACGACGACGTCAAAGATGATGCATAATGTCCCGACACCCTCGACTGGTCCATACTATTGTAATTCCGCTCGCCACCAGAATGGTTGTTGTTGCTGACAGAGGACATTATCATAGACTTTAGAGTGTTGGTCGTGAGTTGTTCATGACTGGCACGACGGGACGACGCTCCAGACCGCGTCTCAGCGACCGCTGTCGACAAGTGACTCGGCAAGTGTGCAAGCAATCCCGCGCTGGAATTCTTTGCCTTTGTCACATCTATGTACATATCCAAAAAAAAGGGGTTGCATCCAAGAGGAGTGAGAATAACATCGTTAGTTTTCACGCACATAAAAAAGTGAATTCGCAGCAGGTAGATCAAAGTCATGAGAAGAACGTACCGAGGTGGTCAGCAATGACCTCAGGAGAGAGTCCGCGTCGTCGTCCAACATCCTCAGGTGTCTCACCGGCCTCGTTGGTAGCCTCCAGGTCGGCACCACAGGCAATTAACAAGGATGAAATGTTGCTGTGGTTCTGACTCATCGATTCGTGCAAGGGTGTCCATTGACGCTCGCCACGGCTGTTGACATCGCCTCCAAGCTGAACCAAGACCATCACCATTTCCAAATGGCCCCTCCGCGCCGCCAGATGCAAAGGTGTACATCCGTGAAGATCATGCTGCGAGACGGGCGTTCCTGACTTGATCAACGACAAGGTCAACATCACATCGTTCTGCAGCAACAGCCCAAACGATGAGGACACAAGGGAATTGGGTCCCAATCTCTGCAAGATCGTCCTTGCACAGTCCAGGTTTCCTGAGGCAATAGCCAATTCGACAGGCAAAATCGACTTTCCCTTCCAGTATTCCTGCATCTCGGGTGAGAACCGTTTCTTTCCCCCCATTGACTGTGCCTCCAGTGCCCTGGCAACCTTGCGGGCCTTGATCTCGGCATGACTGAGCCATTGTCGTCCACTCTCATGACGTCTCGCTGCAATATAAAACTCGATCGGGTTATCACCGGGTGCGCTCCTGGGGTCTAAAATCTTGCGCCGACGCGACAACACCCCCATGCCCTTGAGTTTGTTGGCCCAGAGATATTGCTGCAACGTGATCCCTTGGTTAGGATCGGCGCCATACTCCAACAGGGTTGTGACAATGCTGTTGGGGCTTGTGGGGGTGTATCCTGGGATCCGGAACTGAGTGTTGGCCGATTTGTTGAACGCCGAGGGGAGCTGGCTGATCAAAGTCTGAGAGGACATATCCAGATGAACACGTTCGCCTCTCGATAACATGCTGGCCAGCTTGCTGGGTGGCAATGTCGGTGGCGGGCATGTCGCATTCGTACACTCGTTCAACGTCGTCGCCAACAACAACGGCGTCAACCCACACCACGATTGATTCAAGTTCGCAGTCTATTAGATGTATTTCAAAAAAAAAGTTATTGTGAGCAATTTTGAACGAAGAATTGTACGCTGACGACAAAAACATAGTTGATTTGACAGAGACAAGAAGGGGTACCTTGATCATGGATTTGACGAGGTTGCACATGCCGAGGCCAACGGCGACGATAAAGTAAGACGGGTATTCGAAGGGTCCGGTGCGTCCGGGCTTGGTCTTGTACTCGTCGCGCGCCTTGCCAATGATGGGGTAGTTGACGTCAGAAGGGAACCCACGGTCGACCAGCTCAATAGCGACCTGCTCCATCCTGAAAATCATCGCCAGTAGCATACAGTGGTTGAGATCCGAATACGACTTTTTCTTCTTCTTCTTCAGTGCGTTCGATGGTAACAGGCTGATGTACTGCAATGCCAGTTCAGGCTTCTTGTCCCGAATCGCCATCTCGATATTATGCAAAATCACTATTAAAATGAAGCAATTTCCCATTAGTTTCAGCATGATCAACAAATAATTTCCGGAAAGAATAAAAGGGAGCTGCAACAATGATATACCTGGACGCGTGCGCTTCTTGAGTTTCTTGGATCGCAGGAAGGCTGGGATCCTCTGAGCCATGAATCCACCCTGCCCTTTCTTGCCATAATCCTTGTTCAGAGACTTGCGATCCGGCTTCAACACCTCCTTGTCTATGAAAAGAAAATGTCTGAGCATTAGCATCCTACTCCCTTTATCAATTCGCAAAACACAAAGGAATAGCAAAAAGGTGGAGTGATTGTGATGTCTGTGTTAGCATACCAGGCTTTCCTTTGAGCTGTTCCTTGGTCAACTTTTTGACGACCCCCTCCTTTCGCAGGCGGTTGTCCATGCGGTGAAGGACAGTCAAAAGTCGGCGCTGTCTCTTGGGATAGATATCGTTCAACCGGAATTCGGCTAACGTCAAACTAAAGGGTGTGCCGGTGAGGTCCTGGGGTTGCGCCACAAATAGTCCTGCAAGTCCACCTGTCGCGCCAGTGTGAGCCGCATCCTGAGGAATGGATCCCTTCCTGGCAAAGTTGGTGGGAAGAGTCATGGAGGATGCTCCCGAGTCAAACAAGGAAATGACAGAACTGCGGTTGATCGTCTTGTTTTTTGAAGATTTGAGCGTCTTTGTGCTGTCCGACACTGGAGGCGTCTTTTGCTTGAGCGTCGATGTTGTGGAGGGTAGAGGAGTCCCGCTCTGGCGGTTGCTTGGTCGTTCGCCGTTCTTGGTCCTGCCAACTGGTGGAGCGACTCCCGCTACCGAACCCATCGATTTGCGAGGCGCAAGACGTGGTGAAGAGTCGGGCGAGGCCATCGGGGAAGCCATTGGTGAGGGCCCCGGGGATGCAGAAGGTGAAAGGGTCAAGACAAAATTGTCGTTCAAGGTAGTGCTGGACGAAGTCCCATCGAGAGACAGTGCTGGGACATGAGTCGAGTCTGTGACAGAGGCGATCGCAGGCATTCGCGGCGAGCCGGGAGGACTGTTGGCGGGCGAGATGATGAGGCTGTTGTCGGCATGGAGATTAGGGGTCGAGAGAGATCGTTGTCCGACTGTGGAGGTGGCGAGGTATGGACCGGTCAGAGTTGCTCCTGTTGTTACTGTGCGTTTACGACCACCTCCTGTGTTTACGTCAGGAACAGGATCGTCGTCCGAGTCGTCTGCGCCAGGTTCCTGGTCTTGCGAAGCCAGTGTGATGAATGTGGATGGTATCGCTTTAGTTGTTGTTGCCGTCGTCGCTGCTCCGTTTGCTGCTTTGTCGTTAGCCTGTTGTTTTGGAGATGTGGTGTTGGAGGCAATGTGGTTTTGAATGGCCGGGACGGTAGTAGAGTTTGACGGCATTGTGGTTGTGGTGGTTGCAGCGGAGTCAGATTTAGTTGAAGAGGAGGAGGATTCCGTGCGGGTATGAGAGGGAGACGATGGCGAGGAAGCAAGCGACGAGGTTATCGCGGATGGGGAGGATGAATTAAGATAAGAGGAAGAAGAAAAGGCGGGAGGAGGAGTGGAGGGGGCGGAGGAAGGAGCAGAGGAAGGAGCGGAGGAGGAAGGGGAGGATGGTGGCGAAGAGGAGGAGGAAGGGGAAGGTGAAAGGGAAGAGGACGAAGAATTGGAGACTGCCACAATGACGGGTGGAAGAGGGGCTTGGCTCTTCTTGACAGGTGCTGCCACCGCTGCAGGGACTGGGGCCTTTTGGAAGTTGGCTTCTTGTTGGACGGCTATCTTCTGGGGAGGAGTGACAACGATTGGCCCTGTTGCTGCTGGTTGAGACGATGACAAGGGAGGAACTCTTGTCTTTGGAGCTCCTGTCCCTGTAGTTGTTGTGGTTGGAGTAGAGCTGAAATTGTTCGGAGAGGATGATTTGCTTGCTTTGGCCTTGAGGAGCGAAAAACTGCGTTGGAAGGGTGTCTGCTTCTTATCTGGACAGACCATTTCAAAGGAAGAAAGAAAGAAAGAGAAAAAGGAAGAAAGAAAGGAGGAGAGTCAGTCAGGACCATGTTCATCATTCCTATTACTACTTCTACCCATGCGCACACTTTATCCCAATCTCCATCCCCCACGATCTCACATCATAGAACAAAGAGAAGAAAGAACAACATTTAATGCCGCAACTTTTGGAGAGAGTGTCCATCCGCTTTTTATCCTTCTTCCCATTGGATCCAGGAAATCCATTTTCATATTACTCTCCTGCTTGTTTTTCCTTTACCTCGCCGTGTCGCATTACATCGCGCATATAAATATATATTGTTGTTCCTTCCTTGCATGTCTTGAACATCATGTAGCTTGTCATGCCATGTCATTTTATCCCCTCTTTGTAGTTCGTTCCCTTGATGGGTACCCATCCCTTCTCTAGTCCCTTTATCACACCACGTCAACCAGGGGGTTACCCGGATGAAAATTACCCATGATAGACGAATAGCGTTTGTTCGTTGATGCTCGTACCCACATCGATAAAAATAAACACTGACCCTTCTCGGTGCATCGGTCTCTCATTCATGACTCGTGGGGGTAGCAGTTGTAGATAGAAACAAGAAACAAAAAGACAACAGCTGTCAATTGAGACTCACTGACACACTTTACTCCTTTTTTCTCTTCTTTGTTTCCTTTTGTTCTTCCTTCTTTTTTTTCAATTTCTCTCTCCCTCTCCTCCTTTTTAACCCTTCGCCTCTCACGGAACAAACAAATCCGACAACCCACGCTATGCCGACAGCCACAGTCAACAATAATAAAAAAAAAGCGCAGACTCTAAAGAAGGATCAACTTATGCCATGGAGTTTGTTGTTGTTACGAGTGGAATGGAATGAATGTGAACGAGTACATCAAGAATGAACTTTACGTGTGTGTGTGTGTGTGTGTGTGTGTGTGTGCAGGGCGGTGAGTGGGGAGTAGGGAAAGAAGGAAAAGAGAGTTCACACGCACCAGAGAGAAAGAGAAAGAGAGAGAGAGAGAGAGAATTGTTCCCCATCACCATCAGTCAATAGGCTCCGGATGACCCCAGTTTCAAATAAACTCTAGCTCAGCCTGTCCCATTATTTAGCTCATATCAAACCCATTCAGTCGACCCTGAACCCATCCGTCCTGTTCTCTTCTGTCCCCAGTCCATTTCTTTCCTAAAGCAAGTCCCACGGAATACAGAGAAAGCATAACAGTCCGTTTGTCCGTTTGTTCATAATGATAACGATGGTCCTTGATGGAGTTTACAAATGCTTTCGACCATGCTGTCTCTTCCAGCTCCAACAATATGACATGAATTTGGCTCAGTTGAGCTCCGCCTTGTCGGTCTTGCTCGCCATGATCCCAATGGACCCAAACATCATACCATGCTTTATACATGCAAGGCTCTCTCTTCTTCTCTTTTTCTTGCTGCTCTGCCGGACCATTTCTTGGCAAATGCCTTTTCTCTGCCTCACCCTCTCTCTCTCTCTCTCTCCCTCGTTAGCACAACAAGCAAAAGTGTCGACTCTTGCCATGTGCGGCTCTGATGATCCACTCCCCCTCTCCGTGTATTATCCGATTTCTTAATATCCATCATGGCTCTCTTTTCTCTTTTTGTCGCTGTTGTTACGACACGAGTGGTCTTGTGAGTATGAGTGTGGTTCTTAGAAGTGACTAAACTCTTTGTCATGGATCATTCCTCACGAACCCATGTGCTCTCCCTTCATTCCGTTTAACCCGTTCTGTCAAACCCGGACAGAAAACGTAACAACACAACAGAGCCGACTGAAATAAATATAAAAAAGTAATAATAATAAAATGAAAAGCGTGTGTGTGTGTGTTGTGGCTCTCATGGTGCATGCAATCGGTGTTATGTTGTTGCTGCTGATGTTGCTGTAGTACCAGATACCGAGAAAAATGTATGTGTAAAATATATGTTGGGGGTATGATGTTTGATGAGCGATATGAAGTGGTTTGTTGTAGTGGAGGAAAAGGAGGAGTGAGGATGGATGAAGTTAGGGGGTATGGAGTGGAGAAGATGGAAAAAGGGGGTAATAAGATGGATTGTATGAAAAGGAAGAAGGAAAAGGAAGAGGAGCGAAGAGGAAGAGGGGAGATAAACCACAACGACGCAAAACAAGATCGCAAGGCAATGGGTCCGTTCTATCTCATCTACCCATTCGTGTCTAGAGCCAACAACAACAGCAAAAAAGCGACAAGAGGCGTATTGTTACCTTTGGCAGTGGCGGCTGGAGGCAGTTGATCCTGCGTTCGTTGTTGCTGTTGCATCGGACGGTTGATGTATGAGAGATGTCCGTGGGTTCACGTGTGTGCTGTAGTGTAGAGGGTATGTGATTTGGTGGCAAAGGAACAGGCAAGGTGTGGTCGGTATGAATTTTGGATTTGGATTATTAAAGGTTGCAGTGTGTGCGAGAAGGAGGTAACGATCAAACAAAAAGGAGATCAATGGGAGTATGAATGCAATGTGGGTGTTGAGAAAAGGGAATGCAGCGAGAGTGGAATGAACGAGAGGGGTAGATTCAAACAATAAAAAGGAAGAAGGAAAGGAGAAGAGAAGAGAAAGGAAGTGAGTGGTGAAGACGGGGAAAAAGAGAGAGAGAGAGTGGCGAAGGGTGCAAGTGTGTGAGTGAAGTGAAAGTAGAGGAGAAGAGGATACTGGATGATATTAGGTATGGTGCGAGGGATATAGAAGACGGAGGAAGGGATAGAGAAGAGGGAGGAAGGGAGAGATGGAGGGGATGGAGGCGGAGGGAAGAGAAGAGGGAGGAGAAGAGGGAGAAGAGGGACGAGATGGGAGGAGAAGAGAAGGAAGTGAAAAAAAAGGAAGAGAAAGAGAAACAGAAAAAGAGAGAGAGATGAGGAAGGCTCAATGGTACCCATTGGACACATCATCGCTTCGCAATGTCGACTTTCCCCAGGGCAATAACACATACGTTTACTCCGACAATAGTATTGTTATTGTTTTGAGCAAACAGGGCTGTCGTCTACTTTAGCACCCATGTGTTGACCCCCATATAATACCCTATACTCCATCCATCAAAGTGAGAGAGGGTTCAATCATCACTGCTGTCAACTTGTATGAGTGCTGCGAAGATTGATGCAATACGATTGACGCCGTAAAAAGCAAAGCAGCAGCCGTCCCTTTACTTCCACCGATGTGTGGAGATTAAGGGGGGATATGGTCCCTGGATGGATACATGCATTGGCAAATGTTCAAAGGTGGTCCCTGAATCCTGGGTCGGACCTCCACTCTCTTTCCATCAGTTACTGTGATCAATTGATCAAATATTACCCACCCATCATCTCGTCTACTGTCACAACCCTTTTTTCATCTACATCATCAACATCATCAACATCATCATCATCGGCCACCTTCCTTTCCCTTCCTTTCTTCTCCTCGTTCACTCTGCCTTGGTCAATGCATCGGCATACAATAAAAAATAAATTTATACATACATACTTGTATGTGTCCAGCCTGTCTCCTGCCTGACCTCTGTCTCTATCCATTTGCTTCACCCTCTCCCTTTCTTTCCTCTCCTTTGTCTGTCTGCCTTTCAATGCCTGCTCGCTGTCCGTGGTCCCTTTTTCTTTTGTTCCATCTTTTTCCTTCCCTTCCTCAAGTCGATGATGACGATGCACAACTGCACGTCCCTCCTTCCTCCCTTTCTTTTACTTTCATCATGTACACTCACACACTCACATACAAACGGGCGCATGAATGTTACTGGTCCGTCCAACAAGCGAAAAGCTAACAGCTTGCCGATCGCTGTTGTGTCGTTTTGTCCGTGCTTCTGCAACGCACCTTCTTTTCTTCTTCTAGCTGTTTATGTGCTTCTTTGACCTCCTGCTCCTTTTGACCAATGGTAAGAGCAATCGTGAGGTAGCTCAGTAACTGTCTACATGCATGGATGTATCAACAGCACTGCACTGCAACTTCATCATTTTGGTCAGTGTCAACATGTGTATAAGCTAAGGCGAGGTCCATGCGGCCCATTATTATTTTTGCTATGCAATGGCTCTCTAAGCATGCAGCTTCCCTTTTTCTTTTAGCACCGACAGAACAATTGGTGCACGATTATTTTAGGTAACCTTAGCCTAGTTTCGAGTCGCTATTATTAACACTATATTCACGAAACTTACATTGTTCTTCCCACAACAGTGGACGCGTCCTTTTTACCGGCACGCGTCCCTTTATCATTGTTTGTTATGGTAGTTTTTTTTTTCTTTTACGCCAGCTAAATCAGATCCAGCATCTTGTATTATTCACTCCCTTCAATCGCCTTCTTTCGTGTTGCTTCTCTATCCATTCCTCTTTTTCTTCTAACTTATTCTCTTAGCTTTCTCACAAAATACATTCTTGGATCGTAGGCAAGCAAGCAACAAAGAAACAAGTGCATCTCTCCTATTCTTCATTAACACTTCTGCGTGGCAAAATACAAAAATTCCTCCGTCTTTTTTTTTTGTCTGCTCTGAGCGCCATTCCTCTCATCGGTGAATGTGTGCTTGTGAATCTCTCCGAGCTTCTCCCCCTCCTTTTTATTTATTTATCCCTTCGCTTGAATACGACCATATACTCTTCCTCAACATACCCCCTCATCACCCCCGTTTCTTTTCTGGTTGTTTTCTGTCAGCAAACAAAAGGATGTGATGGCTCTTCTCCCTCTCCTCACTCTGTTTTCATTGAACGTCTAGAGGCGTAACTCAGAAACAACGAAACCTCTAAACCCCCTCTCGCCTTCTTTTCTTTCTTGACCCCAGTTTTTTTATATTTCTTTTGCTTCTTTTTTCGACCTCCTGGGAATTGTCCTGGCCTCTTTGTTATATGTTTTGGGTGGAGGAAAAAGCAAGGACAGTGACAGCGGAGTGTGAGAAGATCACAAATAGGTGCATGCCTTTCTTGAATGAATAACAGCGCCTTTTTAATCTTGCAAACTTCTTCGTGTGACTAAATGCGGATTATGTATTGCATATGTCCATGGTGAAGGCGGGTTTATTAAGGAATATTATGTACAAAACGCAACGAACCGATCCTTATCCTCAAACAAAGAGCTCCCGCATAGTGCTGCTTGTCGTGTTCGCACCACCCTTGCCATCGCCACCTCCAAGCGTCGACGACGCTTTCTCAGATGAAGAGTTATCATCCCCACCGGAAAGATGCGTCTTGCCCTTATTTTTCCGGTTCTGCTTCTGGGTGCGTTTAGCGGCCTCCTTCTTTTCCCGAGCAGATAACCGTTTCTTGGGGATGACTCCCTTGACACCTTCGCTGGGGGTGGATGGCGGCTCTGTGTCCTCTGGTGACGATCCTGTGTCCTTTTGTGATTCTGGTGATTGTGGTGGTGCTGGATCGGATGTGTTGACGTTTGGTGTAGATAAACGTAGTATGCCCTTCCGCAACCTGGCTTTCTTCTCCCCCTGGTTCGACGTCTCTGCTTCCTTATCCTGACTACTCAGCTTTTCATGCTCCCCTTTAACATCACCACCTTCCTCTTCCTTTCCTTCATCCTTATCCTCGGGATACTGCCGCTCATAGATGTCATTATAGACACTATCAACATCTCCGCGATACTTCTCCATCAACTCCCTTACAAGCGCCAAATCATCCACCCCCGTGGTCTTCATGATCGCCCGTTCGATAGATCGAGGTGGATCCCGGTTGGTGAGTTTCCGTAATGGTTCCTGTTTGACGGGTCGCGGGTTGATCTCGGGTGGTCCTTCGAAGGGTCCGTCGATGTTCCTGATGGATGAGTAGTGTTCCCAGCTGTGGTATCTATTATTTGGGTATGTGATAATGGACTGTGAGTAAGTTTGCTTGGATTAATTGTAATAGAAATGAGACGATCGCCTGGCGCAGTCGGTTCCCTATGTTATATGCGCAGAGGTTTCTTTAAGAATTAATTCCAACTCTTTCAGGTCCTGTATCAACTCATATTCCTTGACAAAGAGTCCTGTTGTACATTTTGAAGTTGAACATGTAGCATTCCTATTCTACGATCTCATGCCCAGCAGTTTTACTCCATTCCCCAGACAAGAAAAGACTTACGCGATATGCATGACGGGTCGTTGACCAGGAGAAGACCCCTCCTTCTTCACATCCACTCCCTCAATCACATAAATATACCCCGGCTGATAGACCTTAATATCAACATTCTTCATCCTCGCAAACGCCACCAACTCAATATTCCCTCCATAAGTCCCGTTCCGCCTCATCTTGCCCAAATGCGCCTCCACTGTCTCGTTATCCAGAAATAACTTGAAATGTTCCTCATGATCCTCAATATACTGGCACACCTCTGCTCGTAAGGCGGGGTGATCCTTTTCGGCGCCCGAGAATTGGTCCGCGCAGGCACGGAAGAGGCAGTTTCCATCGCCCATGGTGTCCTTGAGTTGGAGGTTTAGGGAGGCAAGTTGATGTTTCAGTTCGCGCATGCCGTAGATGTCGTCGTCGTCGTTTGTGTCCTCGGGATCTGCCTTGTAGCGGTGGTGGTCATTGGTGCTGTGTTTTGATCGTGTCTTGGCTGGTGCCATTGTTGCTTCTGTTGGAGTAGGTTGGGTGAATGTGGAGAAGAGAAAGAGGGAAAGGTCAAAGCACTGGCAAAAAAAGCAAAGGTTCTTTAGTAAAGTGGAATCTTTAAAACCTGGGTCACCTGAAACTAATTTTAGTGTATGCATTTCATTTCATGGCACTCCCCCTACTTCAGTCGGGTTGGCTGGCTTGAGAGTGTCTCTTTTCTGACAAGGACGGTGTTCATCATCACAACCCCTTCTTCTTCTTCTTCTTCTGCTCTCACTTTCTTTTTTTACCTCTTCCTTCTTTCTTTCTTTCTACTCTTACATCTCTTTCTTTAACGCCCACCCGCACAAGAAAGTCGACACTCGCACCCCTCCAACACATCTAGTCGACCATCAACCTTCACATCTCCCCACACCCCAGGACATAATAACCAGCAGCAACTATACGCAAACAAGATGGGTGACAACCTTCGCGACATCCCAGAGTTCATCGAGCGGGAGATGGGCGAATCCCTCCAAGCGCGTCTCGACGCACTCGGTAAGCACAACTTGCGACTGTGTTGTCTACGGAGGAGGAAAATGACGCTGTACGCTCTGTTGTATAATAACCTTGCTAACAGTCATCCACCCTTCCTTGTACTTTCCTAGGCACATTCAAGGAGCTCGGCGCTCCCGACCTCTGTCACATCATCAAGGTCAACGTGAAGCCCGCCATCAAGGAGGTACGACCACAGTAACAGCAACAACATCAATGGAGAACTGCAACCAGTAAACAGCATCATGGATGACTTGCTGTTTGCCTTTTTTTTGGCTTTTGGTGTCGTTGTCATTACGTCGCGACACGTTACTGGTTCATCTCGCCACTACTGTCAGAAACTCACCTTTTTTTTTTACCCTTTACTTACTTCAAACACTTCTTTTTCTTTCTCTGTTAGACGAGTTCATACCACTATGTCTCTGGTATCGATGCTTCGTCCTCGGCCAGTCTTGCAGCATACCTCAACTCGCTGACCTATGCTATGGTAAGTTTGCCTTTTTATTTTTATTTTTTTATTTCTCCGAAACGGAGGGAAGTTGGCGGGTGGGATATCTCTTTTAAACAGTAGAAAAGCGAGATCACAGGGACGCAGGAAGCAGTAGTATCCGACAAAGGATCTGTCAAGGAACAAAGCACAGGACACACCAGACAAGAGAGACAAGAGAAAGTGTTGACATACAAGAGAAGTAACGAGAGCAGAACACGTCGTTTTTTGTTATTCGATGTTGACAAAAGGAGTGGGCTATTTCTAGCGTCGACTTTTTTTCTAATCTGGTCGTTTGGACAGCCTAGTGTTTGTTGCCTTTCTGTTCTTTTTTACTTATTCTGATTCAATTGCGCCAGGTTGTTTTAATTGAACTCAATTGGGCGTGGAGCAGCGACAGAATTAACAGCAGGAAAATTGAGCACCAGAAAAGACCACTGGAACATTCAACGGAGATCGGAAGGGGAATATGAACACCTATGAAAAAGAAAGCAGTGTCTTTCGCGCCAACTATGCACATACATATGCGCTCACACAACTCACAAAATAGCTCATTTTTCTCTTACTTTTTCACATTATGTCTGTTGACCTGCATCCTCTCTCAAAAATCACATACAATACCCGACAACTATGACTGGACATATCCGATTGGTATGAACATGGATAACAGGACGAGACGCATGCTTGGTTCTCCAAGAGTGCCCAATGGCGTATCCGTTCCGGCGTCTACTGGTAAGGTCTCCTTGTCATTGTATCCTTGAAGCCGATTAACAGCCCTATTCAACTTTCCATAACTAACACCTATGTTCCATTGATCTACTTTTCATAGCTGTTACAATGCTTTCTCGCGAGTCGACGTGCGTGTGGAGGTCAAGATCCCAGGAGGTGTTGAAAGCTATGCTATCAACGTTAGAGGCGAGAGGTAAGCAATCATGGATAACAAGCTCACTTATCACCGTAGACACATTGCACAGGAGTTCCGCTCTTAACAACTCGCCTTCATTCATTGACAATCACAATAGGCAGGAAGCGACGGCAGCAATTTGGCAGGAAACATACGTGTCAGCAATGCTTCGATCGATTCTTTACTCTGACGACGCCAACTACCGCATCCCTGGATTCCGTAAACTCGACCCCATCCCCGACGTTAGCGCACAGAATCGTTTCTTTGAGGCTGCTGAGCAGTTGTTCTTCAAGGGATCTCTCTTGGGTAGCAACCCCGAGATCCAGCTCCCCACCGTCGTCAACAACCACCTCACCGCTGCCGTCATGAAGTACTGCCAGGAGAGTTTCCGCTTTGACCTTGCCGTCCAATTCTTTGAGCGTCTCTTCCGCCTCGAGCCCGAAGTGGCATCTTTGCTCGCTCAGTCATACATCGGCACCGGTACGTATTCTTCGTATGGTTTGTTTCTCTACTATGTTATATGTGGCACCTTTGTGTTTTTGATCAAGTTCTGAATCTTGTGCATGGCTAACTTTAATATCTCGACAAAATAGATGAGGAGCTGAAGGCGATCAACGTTTTGTACGATGCATTGAAACAGATGCCTCAGAGCTATGCGCTGCTCCATGTTCAGGCAGACTTTTTGCGTGGCAAGGGCAAACTGGAGATGGCACTTCGCCTGGCCAAGCAGGCTGTCAACCTTGCCCCTTCGGAGTTCATCACCTGGGCCAAGTTGACCGAAGTCTACATCGACCTTGGCGACTATGAGAGCGTAAGTTGTCTTCCATTGCATGTCAGGGGAACATTGGGATATTTGACAAAAGACTGACCTTGGCTATTAATTTTAAATAGGCACTGTTAACCCTGAACTCATGCCCTATGTTTACATTCAGCGAGAGAGATTTGCAGAGGATGCCCAAGGCTGCCAAGGCTCACTTGCCCATTCGCAGCGACATTGACCTCTCACTCATCGACGACGAGACTGGACGTGAGCACGAGGCAGACCCAGCATTGCTCAGACTCCCTGCCCCTTCACTGCGTGGAACATTCTCGAGCGCATATAACTTGCTGACGCGCTTGGTGTCCAAGATTGGATGGGATGAGCTGTTGCGCTGCCGCTCACTTGTCTTCGTCATGGAGGAGGAGTACCGCATGCAGAAGGAGGCCGAGGAAACGATGCGCAAGGGAAGCCAGGCCAAGGTCATGGCTCATCATGACGAGATTGAGGTTCCCAGCCGTGATCAGCTCCTTTCGCCCAACGGTACTCCTATTCCCATCATCAAGATCTCGACCGAGTCTGAGCGTGAGCGTGAACAGGAGGAGGCTGAGGAAGAGGCCAGAGCCAATGCCGTTGAGGCTGCTCTGGAGAAGGCCAAGGAGGAGTCTGCTGCTGATGACAATGCCGACCGCTCGATGGAGGAAATCAAGCTTGACGACCTCTCGATCCACAGCGACAAGGACCAGGATACAGAGAAGGACCAGGATGAGGTTGAGGCTGATGCCGAGGTCGAGGCTGAGACCGAGGACAAGGACAAGGAGGCTGAGGAGGAGAAGGCTGAAGAGGTCGTTGTTGACCAGTCAGCGATCAAGAGCAAACAGATCGAGAAGCCCAGCATTGCAGCAGCATCATCATCGGACGACGAGGACAACAGCAACGAGGAAGAGGAAGTTGAGCTTTCGTTCTCGTTTAGCAACAAGCGTCTCTGTGACCGCTGGCTCGACAACTTGTTCATGGTCTTGTACGAGGATCTTCGCCAGTACACCATCTGGAGAGCCGAGGTCCAGCACTTCAGGACCGTCAATGCCCCTTACCGCAAGTCTGGAACTGACTGGGAGATTTACGGAGATTTGGCAACGCGTCTTCACCATCGCGAGGAGGCCAAGGATGCGTACCAGAAGTGTGCTGAGCAGAAGTTCTCTGCCAAAGCTCTTTTGCGTCTTTTGGAGATTTACTCGGACGAGACCAACCTCCACCGCGCCATGGAGGTCGCCATCAAGTTGTGTGTCTACCAAGAGCGCTGGTACCATGAGACCATCGTAAGTCTTCTTTCATTGTTTGGTTTGTGCTGTGTGTTGTGTGTGTTTCGACCTTTTTTGCTCTTGCTGACAACGCTGTATTCTTTCTACGTATGTAAATAATAGTTCCCTACGGCAATTGCTCACAACTTGAATAAGTTGATTCAGGCGGAGGGATTGGCCAAGGTGCAAAACACGCTGATTGCCCTCAACACCTCACCAGCAGTGTTCAAGTTGATGTCGAGATACTTTAACCGTGCCAAGACATTTGACGTACCCGGTTCTGGTCGTTAAGATACTTGGAGGTGAGGTCGTAAAACAAGGAAGGACCATAAGGAAATAAGGCGATGAGGATTATTATTTTTTTTCGAAGGAGTGACAGGGTCGACTCCGCCATATCATACCATAGACGATGCAGGAACATACAAAACAACAAACACAAACAATGAACATCGCAAAAACAATATCCACAAACAATCGCAATTTTGTGTGTCTGTGTTCATGTGGGAAGGTCAAAAGACGAAGATGTACACTTTGGGCGCGATTAAAATGGGTCGTCTTTCACCGACAACAATCTTTCTCCCTCCTTTGTGCCCCCTCTTTTTTCGTTCCCTTTTCTCCGTGACCTCACCTTTTACTCGCCCTCGCTTGTTCCCTTTTCGCCATCACCTTTCGTGTCATTCCCCATTCCGCCTTCTCTCTCTCTCTCTCTCTCTCTCTCTCTCTCTCTCTCTCTCTCTCTCTCTCTCTCTCTCTCGAATTACCTTTCTTGATTCTCCTTCGATCAAAGCACACGACGTCGCGTCTTACTTGATCAACTCGTCCTGTCGCGTCCAGTCCAACCCACGCGACCTTATGTCGTAAGCACACAGTCACCCCTTCTCGCCGTTTACCATTTTTCGACCTTCTTACTCTTCAAGACCGCGCCCACAAGTAACAACGACAGCAGACACTACCTTTTACCCGAGATGAAAACATGAACCAGATGAAGAGGACACAAAGTCGAGACGATACCATCAACACCCTTACCCACAACGTCGATGATGATAGCACGCCCTCGGAAACACTATCATCAAGACCAATTCACGCCACAGACACAGATCCACAGGATCGTGTGGGGGAGGGGGATCACGCCTAACTCCATTCTTCTATCACGACCGGTTCACCGAAGCCTCGCGTCGAGTCACCGAATATTAAGGTTCCGTGCAAAAGAGCTCCTCAGCTTGCAACTCTTGACAACTACCAGAAACAAATACAGGTGCACATCCTTGAGTGTTGGAGCATTGCTTCAATATAGCCCGCTGTCGACAAGAGCCCCAAGCTCGTCCTCGTCTCATATTGCTCCAAGTGTGTAGGAAGGTCCGGCGCCATCCATCCTGCCTTGTTTGAATCCAGTAATTCTTGCCAGCTCGACTGTCCAGACAGTCGACCCAAGTTTTGCATGTATAGGTGCGTAATTCGAGGACAGTACCGAGAAGGGAGTCTTGGTAGCAGTTTGAGAGGGATGGACTGGGATGGACTGGTATCTATCGCGGAGAAGGAGGATCTCGAGGTTGGCTGTTCTTGAGGATGTACTCCATGGTCCGCTGGAAGGCGTATTTATAAAAGCCCAGCTCCTTGGGATGAGGGAAACGAGCCTCTCCTCGACCTTTTTGTTCCTCAAGGTCAGAAGTAGAGCCGTCCCTGTCATATTCTCGGTCGCCCTTGATGGATCCCACTCATTTTACTCGAGACACACGGTGCTCCCTGGAATAGCTTCAAGAAGACGATTAAAGTCCAGTTATTCTCGTTTAGCATCCTCCCGGTCAGCTTGAGATGTCGAAGGTGGTTGTTCCTGTTCAAGATATAAGTGAGTGGCGGCAAGTCGAGTGACCGCACATAGGCGAACTTCCTTGACCTGAACGACAGCGAATCCGGGTCCGGGTACGATCCTAGTCTGATCTTAATTCCTGTACAAGTCACGCCACGAGCAACCAGCGGTTCGACGGCCCTCGTAACGCTCACAATCAAACGTTTGAACATATTGTCCATCCCTGTCCAAGGCACCTGCCTCGATAGTCCACTTGAGTTGCAGGAACCTGTTGTTCAGGTGGTCTTGCGAAGGGTATTCGTATTCTCAGAAGGTACGAGGGGATAGTTTACGACGGTAGTGGATCTGGACGTGTTTGACAAAAACAAGGTTGTTTCATGAATAGAAAAAGAACGGAAGAGAATGAAAAAAGGGGGGATACCTTGTCTACCATGTTCCTAACGTCTGACTAGTCTCAAAGGTGGACTGGACCCATTCGATGAGCTCATCGTGGTAGGTCTTGAAGGCTCCTTCGATCTTGTCGGTGATCGGGTGGTCGGGGATGGCGTGAATGTAGTTCGCTTGGAGGATTACGTCGTGGAACCCGTTCGTTCCTCCTGATGGGTTGAGCGGTGGTGGTGACACAAGAGTGTAATTTTGTAGTGAGACAAGAGAGGGTTACCCTGCGACATGATAGGTGAAGAGGAGGTTGACCACACACATCCAACCATGGAAAGGATCACCGCCACATCTGTGGAACCGGCAGCATCCTCAAACATCCTCAACTCCTCTTCTTGTTCCCATCTCAGCTTCTACCTCAGATCAACAATCAACAAACTCGCCAACAATGTCATCAAGGACGGTGCTTCATGATATGGCAGTCAAATAGAAGGCAGTGTATCAACCAACATCCCGGTTCCACCGGTGGCTCGAGGACGAAAAGCATGCTACACAGGAGGGAGAGCAGGAAACAATCGCGGAAATTGAGGGCCGTCTGGCCCTCTTTCAAAGGCCAAAGCGCGAGTGTCGTCGGCTATATTGCAGAACTGGAGAAGGTCGAACATCGTTTGTTAGAGTTTTATGGTGGCCGTGATCAAAAGTACAAATGCCACAAGTGAAGTATGAAGCTGCGGGTATTCGTTGATCAGCTGATCGTCTTCTAGGGATCGTTGGCGGAAGCGTCGGACGTCCTCAAGATTCTTCGACCCCTGGATTGATTGGAGTAGGCCTAGCCAAGATCTCGACTAGGAGTGGACTCCCGTCCCTGGATTCAACCTTCTTGTCCTATTTCATCAAACTGGAAAGCATTGTGTTATGACCATTGTTGATGTGGACACTATTAACACTGCAACACACAAACATCACTTTACTTTGTTATTGGCGCGGTCCTTGGGGTATCTGGTTGATGACTTGAACGAATATTATACCAGCAAGGGGGTGTCCTCGGTGAGACTTTTTGTCGCCTAGGTCACTCTCCGCCGCTTCTACTACCCCGAGTGCCATGTGTACTAATATCGCGATGTTATGGCAGCTGAGAATATAGCGAGGTTATCTAGAAAGACAAGGGCGGTCTGCGTATCTACACCCATAGCCGCTGACGACTCTCTTCCATGGATACCAAAAGCCGGGGCTGGACCCGCTACAAGTTCCATCACTGCCTCCTCCAGCAGCAGCAACACCACCGCCGCCATCAACCGATCAAAGGGATCGCGCAAGAAGGTAACGTCGACCTCCAGCTCAAGTCGGGGTCACCGTGTCGCCGTGGGAAGGCGGTTCGAGAGGATAAATAGCATAGTAGCTTTTTGTAGTTTGCGTGTTGGTTCTCCAATGCACATCAGTGCAAAGTAGGTGCTCAGATGTGTCTTTGGTGACGTAATTTGTACGCCCATTTACGTTTGCCAACTCACCTTCGCCTTGACCGCTGTTCCCACGCCCTTTTAATCCCTTCCTTCTTTCCTTCTAAGCTCATGCCTTTCATCCTTTTCGCAGTATCATGGCCATCAACTATCTGATCCTGTATTGTCTCGTTGAAGGGCAGTCCGCATCGAATGCCTTCTACGTCAACGCTAAACCTACGGAAGCTGTTTGTGATTTGAAGGTCCACATCAAGACCGAGAATCCTAACACGTTCATCGGAGTTGATGCTAAGGATCTTACCCTCTGGCGTATTCTCATCCCTTCCGGTAATCTGCGCTCTGCCATCACAGTTAATGCCCTTGACGACGACAACAAGACTGAGCTAGACAATCTGAGGAAACGCCTCTCCGAGGTGTTTCCCAAGAGTCCCGATGACAACACATACATCCTTGTCCGGCGACCCCCTTCAGGTAATACTGCTTTGCTTTCTAATCCAGCCTTGTTTATGGTGTGTGCATTACATGACAACTAATGTAAACGCATTTACTCCATGGTCCTGTGCCCCTATTTGTTCAGTCCGATCGCCTCCTGTCAACGACTATTAAGTTCCCCAGAAGAGACCAACGGCTGATGGTAAGTATTCTCCATGGTGGTGTGTCGTTAAAACGATTCCTCGTGATTTCGCAATAATGTCATAACTTATGCTTTAATACAATATAGAACTGTATTTGCCGGCCTACAAAAAAATCCGTATTACCGAACGCTGGCAATAATATACGGTGTTTGATGGGAATGTCGTAGATTTACCTTCTTCTTGGATCGACATCCTCACGAGCATCGAATTTGTAGGCACCGTTGCCAATGCTTCCATAGTCACCTCACATCATTTCACCTACTATTCACTTTTACTTTTCAATTCTCTCCCTCTCGGCGTATCAATTCATGCCAATGAACGTGAATCCTAATGTACCTTGTAATCCGAAATTCAGAGATAAGATAGCAATGCGGAAACTCAATTGGTATTGCTGTCAATTAGGCAGATGGGCTAATAAATAGGTTTAGCATAGTCATTAAGATATACGTCAAGTAGCTTGGGTTCAAGCATTGCCCTCGTAAGCATTTGACTGTTGTTCGAAGACGAAATCTTACAGGCTAGGGCATGTTTATTCACAGCAGTAATCAGCTAGGACTCGTAGCCAAGATGTCCTCCTAGTGTCGGATAACGGTTCCTGAGGCTCTTTGATTATACGTTCCTGCTGGACCGGTCTACTGGTGGTGGTGGTGCGGACACGGGTGTTAGTGGGCTCTACACGGTTGCTGAGGCGTGCCTACGGTACTATTATTCCTAGTAGTAATAGGAGCAACTAGTGTTAGGAGGCGGACGACTGTTGATGGTAGTGCTTGTGGGCGAAGGACGGGGTTCCATCCGTTGGTGGATCTGGCGAATATAGGTGAGGGGATGTTGAGAGGATGACGAGGAGTTTTTGTGGTCGTTGATGGTGGTTATGATGATGAGCTTGAGGGCGGTAGGAGGGGGAGAGATGATAAGTATGGGCTGCCACAGATTGCTTCACAGCCAGTGATCGCGATCCCCCGATACACCACCACCGCCATCATGTCGAAGGAGAGAACGACGACACCAATCATGCCGAACGCATGGACAGTGCTTCTACTGCGGCCCCTACCCAGACGTCGGGGTGGAGCGTATTTTTGTTGCTGCCAATCATATCTCGTCGATATACTACTGCCACAACTTGCGCTTTGAGTGCAAAAGGATGGTTCACGGGATGCTGCCTTTTGTTGCGAGTACGACAGCGACTTTGACGGCCACTGCGGTGACAATTGTCAGCGACTTCTTTTAAAATGCGACGACGACTGCCACTTTGGTCGATTGCGATTCTGCCGATGAGGAGGATGAGGGGTTACAACAACACCGAGCTCTGCAAGGGCAATAGCAGCAACAGGGGAAATATGATCATGTGGTAATATCGGTAATCAGTTAGCACGGGCAATAGTAAACAAAAAGCATGGATAATGTTAAAATGCGTTCTCTTCTCCTTTCTCTCTTGACCCCCTTGAATTTCTGTTTCGTCGTTCAATCGGCTACGCCGAATGCAAGTTTGGAAGGGATCATTTGTTGATTTTGTTCACAACCACCAAAAGAAGCGCAATTCATGCCGCCCCTTTGTTTTCTCATTTGGCTCTCCTTGGTAGACGTCTTTATTTGTGACCCTGACGATGATGCGGATGATCCCATGGTCTATCTGAAAGGGAGTAAAAAGGGATGAAGAGAAAAAATGTTCCCCTTTTTGTCAATTGTTATCCGACATTGCTTTCTTTGTTTTGCGAAGCACATAGGTGGTAGTTGGGAAGAGGGGGGACGTTGGTGTGATGACTATCGGGTAGTATGGATTGTGAGCATCCATTCTTTTCCTACATCCCATGGCATAGGGTATGTCTGCATGCCATTCAGAAGGTTCATAACCCAAAAGAAACAGGCGAAGTACGAAGGCATATGGCATATGACACATGATGATGATTATGATGAAATTCACCATTTTCGCAGAGCTAATTTGTATTTCTTACTTTACCCATCTCTCTCCCTCATATCTTCTCTTTCTTCCCTTCTCCTCTCTCTTCTTCTTTTCCATTCCCTTTTCCTTCTCTTCATCCCCCTCCCAACACCACACTCACACACATATATACACATACATCATTCCCTCTCCTTCCTTTACTCGTCAAACCAACAATCCTCTCCCTTCGACAACGTACTGCTGCGTCCCTTTTGCTCAAACACCTGAAAATATGTCGACATCCTCACCTATCTTGACCCCATAGACAACCCCTCTCTTCTCCCTCTTCCACGTCCTCCTCTCTCCTTAACGACCACCGACAGAAAGGACAGCAACAAGACCATTTTCTCACACAACAACAGCACCTCTACTTCATTTGGTCGTCGCCAAGACACGCACTCGAGACTCGAGAATGTATCACAATCACAATCAACCCCAAAGGACAATGCCCTCTTTTGTCCCGTCGACTGATAACCATCCCCAACAACTACAATCTTCTGCAGCAGGAGCACCAAGTGACACAGCAGCGAGACAAGGCTCACGTATGCAACGGTTCACTCGGTTGGAGGACTTGGCAGATCTCGAAGACCTAACTGTACGACTGCCCGCAACCGCTCCTTCTGCTAGCCTGAGCCGTGTCACGCCCGTTGTCAGCAGTCACAGTCACACTAATCGCTCAAATGGGAACGGGGAGCAACACAACGACTTTGAACAAGACCATGAGCGCGAAGAGAGGAGAGAGCAGGATGAACGTACCCGACAGTACATCGAAGCACACACTACCTTCCTCGACAGCGCAGACACAGAGGGGTCTGGATACATCCCTCCTCGACCCTCTGTCACAACAACAGCAGCAGAAGCTGGCTATTCCCTGCATCATCGTCACTATCACGACCACCACCCTCTGGACGAACATTCACATGCTTCAGCTTCTGCATCTGCATCAAGAACAACGGCGTACTACCCTTCCTCTCTCGCAGAGGACGAAGACTACACCACCCCTAGAACCCCTAACAGTTTCCTGTCCAGCCCTTCTCTGGGTTACTATTCTCACCCCTCTCGACCTCCCTCACAGACAGGATACTGGCAGGACCAGGGGGGTTCGTCCTTCAACCTCATTATGCCTTCCTCCGCAATGTTTGTGAAGAGTAGGGAACCGACGGCAGAGGGGGATAAACTCGGGTTTGTGAAGCTGATGGTTGCCGGGCAGAGTCGGGTGTGGAATTCTCGGCTGATTCAGGACATGTTCCAGTGGGATGGGGTTATTGCCAATGACTTTGATGATGAGTTCCTGCAGGACCCTTTGTTGAACGATAGTGATACCGTCGCTGCAGTGGCGGGTAGCAATGGTAGCGAGCCTGGTGTGCTTCATGGTGTTCAAGGTGGGGGTAGGGGTGATGGGGTGAGCAGTTCGAACGAGTCGAGCTCGTTTCTAGAAGAGATATCAGGGCACCATCGTCAACGGAAGCAGGACCACTACTACCCTCGACCTCACCAGACAGGTGTCGGTGTGAGAGAGGCGATTGTGGAGCATTATGCGTCGTCGATGGTGCTCCCAGCCTGGGCTCGTGCTGGGTTTGAAGACCAGGAGCTGCATCAAGAGATCCTTGTCAAGAACATCTGGTAAGGAGGAGGAGAATTGACAGTCACACTTTTTGATTTTCTCACACGCATATCGCACATGCACAGACAGACTGGCAGATCTCTCGTTGCACAAATTGCTCACTTTTCTTTATTCCTTGCTCGTATGACCTGACACAACTAGCATTGTGGATACACCAGGATACAGCGCATTCAACAATCCCAATCGTGCAATGGACCTCGTCATCTCATATCTCGGTCTACAGTTCCAAACCACCAACGAGTTCTTTTCCCGCTCAGCACTGAGCGACGATTCCTTGGGGCGGTTTCTGGCCAATAACACAACGGGGGCTCACTCCCATGTCGATGCTTGTCTCTATGTGATCGAGGGCCAGCTATCGGAGATTGATATCCTGTTCATGCAGCGTCTCCAACCCTGGGTCAATCTTATCCCTGTCCTCATCCCGCCTTCGACTCACCTGTGGGAAAGGGAAAGGGAACGAGTGCCACAGGAGGGTCAGGAGGAAGAGGACGTCATCATGTTTACGCCCACCAACACAACAGAGATGATTGCAAGCGCACGGATGGATCTGATTCGGCAACTCAAGGAACACGAGATTCATATCTATGGAATTGACCTTGACGGCGCATTGTCAGATCCACCTATCTCGACTTCTTCAAACTCTTCTCCCTTCACGACGGCGGAATCGCCCGAGGCTGATTTGGCATCCCCACCGTTGTTGGCCTTGGATGGTATCAACCTGCTCTCGCCCGAGTTCACCTCACCGCCCTTTATTTTTCATGTCCCACCGAGCCTTATGGAGGATACAGGGGTTGGGCAGTTGGACAGGGATGTCTTGCAGCTGGATGTGGTGACCACGCAGGAGAGCAAGGATCCCCAGGATGATGAGGATGGTAGCGATAATGGTCATCACTCTACTCTATTACCGACTATACCACAGCATCGAGCGTCGTCTGCGCTGGGTGTGCAGGAGGACTTGCCGGATCTGGGACCGCTGCGACGTTGGGTCTATGTCAAGCACCTTGCTGCACTGCGTCATCATACGACCCAAAAGTTCTTGTCATGGAGGAGGCACCTGCCGTTGATGCCTAATCTGGAGAGCCCTATGGAGTCGTCGCAGGATTCGGGGTCGTACCGTCAACAGCAGCGTCGGCATCATAATTCGCATGGAGGACAGCTACCACAGCAGCAGTCACTTAATGCGTTTTCGAGTTATTCTGGACTTGGGTCTCATCGACCTGCGCTGTCGACTGCTACCCATAGTCCACCGCCCTCTATCTCTGTTACCCGCCTCAACCATCCCCTTCAACAACAGCATTTAAGCAATCAAAGGACAATGCCGACGGATATGTTGGGCGACCTGCGAGCACAGGATCAAGTACGGATATCGGAAAAGGTGGTGCGGATGCTGGAGACACAGGGACAGGTCTTTGAGAGGATCTTGCAGGAGCGGCAGGTTGCGTGGCGGCAAGCTTTGGAGGGCATGGAGCGTGAGCAGCGGATTGAGTTTTTGATGCATGAGCTGCGACGGTGGGCGAACGAGGGTCCTAACTCTAAGGAGCAGACACGGGAATTGGAGCGAGGGGGCTCGAAACAGAAGAGGTTGGATGTACAGTACCGGGAGGGTTCACGGGATTCTGAGTGGGGTAGTGCAGGTGGTGGTGCTGGGGTAGGGCTAGGATTGGGTGCGAGTGGAGTTGCGGTGGGATCGGCAGTAGCAACAGTACCAGCGGAGCCATCGTTGCGGGATGCGTTGCTTTCGGTGGAGTATGGAGTTGGAGTCTCCAACAGTGTGCGGGCTACCACTACCAGCGTTTCCAGGCGCAAGAGCCACAAGTCTAAATACGCCGGTGGTAGGGACCCTCGGAGCACTAAGAAGAGTCGATCCTCTGCCTCTTCCTCCAAGGTGTCATCCACCCCCGCATCCCCTCATCGCGAGGACGTGGATATGCAGCATAGCAGTGAAGGGGAGGAGGAAGATCCGTTGGGATTGGGGTTGTGGATGAGTCGACTTTTTGGTGCGATTGGGAGAGGGTTGGTGAATTTCGTTGTGATGGTGGGGATGGGCAGTTTTGCGTCGTGGGTGTATACGCATTTTTTGGAGCATCGTGTTACTTGGATCGGATGATGGTGGAGGATGGGAAGGTGTTTTTACGTATCATTAGTGGAGGCGTTTGAAGGTGAAACAAAATAAACGCTCTTGCAAAGACGTAAAAACATGTGAATGCTTACTTTTTTTCGCGTTTGAGGGCGAGGGTGATAGGTGATAGAATATGTTGATGCGAGGGATCGTGCCTTGTGAGCCATATACTTTGCCATCAGTCAGGACCGCGTCCCGTGGTTTCCTTTAGTGTTACCCTCCCACCACCTCTCTTTTTTCTTGTCCACTTCGTCTTCCTTTTCTGCCACCGACAACTTCCACTCATCCAAGAAAATAAACCGCTCCCATTTCATTCATACGCTAATAAACAACACTACATACGGGTGTGCCCAATCCTGTGCTATAAGATGTAGCTGCTCCAAGGAAAATGGCAATAGAAAACGGATTTACGACAGTTAGCATCGTCTGGCACACGCCCCGCAAAAGGCGCTGAGAAAAAGGGAAAGAAACAGAGACCTTTTCGAGTGTTCTACCGCCCCCCCCCTTTTTTTTTTTACACTCTTGTTTCCAACCCTTCCTAAGCTAAAAAAATAATTGTGGTGGCGAACGTTGGGGGGAGGGGGAAGTTTGTCTACGATGCTTATCGGAAGAGTTTGATCAAGTAGTGGATGAATGGAGGAGAAATAAAAGTAAGCGAGTAGGTTAGCGTGTTGCGTGGGAAGGCCCAGAGCTTGCTATCCTTGACACCTGCTTTTTTTTTTTTTTTTTTTTTTAACCTTAGAAGGTGTGGGTGAGCGGTTTGTTGTATCACCGTATGTAGGGGCGCAGGGTATGGAACGGAAGCGACGTTGTCAGAATTCATCCGCGTTAAAACAAATAGCCTAAAAGCTATGACCTTTCTCGCCAACATCCTGCTTACACAAAAAAAACTCCAAGAATGAGGGCGCATTCGCACTTTCAAGTCGAAAACATAATGTAAAACGGAGGAAGGACGACACATGGAACGCATATCGAAAAAGTGTTGATTATCCAAGTTCTGGTAGCTGTAACATGAAAGAAAATCCGAGTTCGAAATCAAAAGAAAAAAAAGGGGGTTGAATGAGCTTAGTCGGTACGAAATGAAAAACACCCGGATGAGAAAAAAGAACCACTTTCATCCACCCATCCATTCCCTTCTCATCAAAACAATGCAAAAAGGGTTAGACAACTGCAAAACGTTACAATATCACCCCTCACATACTCTTCAAAGAAACTCACAGTTGAATACACTGGGAAAAAAAAGAAGAGGTAACTCGACTCACACACCTGTAATCAATCACCATCCTATTGTCAAAGGTGCAGGAGCCGATCTTCATTCATTCATTCCTTCTCTCAGCCTTCGCTTATCGTCGCCCAAGGAGCCCAAGGAGAGGACTGGTCTTCTCTTCTTGCGTATCCTCAACAAAGACACAGGAAAAAAATCCCCGCCGTCAGCATTATGATAAACTGACTTGTCGCTTGGGAACCTTATAAACCTCGTCGGCAACACGGAGAGATCGATGTCGCTATGCCCTTCACCTCTATTTTGGAACCGAATGTCACATCCCTGCTGCCTATATGGATTCGCGCCAGTAAGGAAAGGAGAACGGACAAAGGAGAAGTTCACTCTTCATCGGCCAAATTTGAAAAAAAAGCCTACCATGACCAAACACTACAGAGAACTCAGAAAAGTTTAAACCATTGAGCATGAACTCCGGAAAACAATATCCTTGGTGCCGGTAGGGGCAATTGAAGAGGACCATTGGTTCATCTCAATCCCCAATAACAACACATAGACATTATCCTCGGGGTACTAAGAAAGAAATTGAGCTCAATTAGTAATAGTTTTATTTCATATCGTAAAGACAATCGACGTGGCTCAACTTGGATATATCATCGTCATTACCTCACAACCACAGAAAAAAAGGGCGGAGCCAGGTCTGACATAGACAAAGAAAAAAGATGATCCTCGGCAATAACATCTTCCTCAGAAAATCCAATCGCCTCGATGACCATGTGTTTAAAATGCTTGACGCAAGAGCGAAATCCTAATAAAAAAACGGGGACACGTAAAATGCATTAGTCACTTGTATCGTGTCCTATGGCACAGGTATCAACGCCTCATACGCCTCCAGTACAACCATTGGCTTTGCCTCTGCCACTGTTTCCAATGCTGTCACTGCCTCGTCACATCTAGTCCAGTACTCGTCGCCATAGACGCAGCCACTGCTGCTCCGTCGACCACAGTATCAGCTGCCACCTCTTTGTATTGCAGTTTTTGGTCCCGAGAGCCTCCAGCTCACCAGTCGTCAGGCTACAAGAGGAACCGCCAAGCAGACACCTACGAATCTGTCAAGCTCGAGAAAGATGATGGTCGATGGGAACTCAAGAAGAACAAGCGATTTGTTGACAATGCCGCCTATAGCCTGAACCTCGTCAAGACTTGTTCCGTCCAGGCGGCCGCCGTCGCTGATGCCACCTACAGCAACATCAGCAATATCCTTAAGGCTCACTCCCAGCATGCCAACTCTGCAGCACCCGCTGCTCATTCCTTTAGTCAACAGCTACTTACTATTACCCAGGACACCAACAAAAGCAACAGCATCAACACCAGCCACCCAAGTTCATCCTGCCAACTATACCACCACCACCACCACCACCACCAACGGCGCCGCCTCCGCTCTGTCCCAATCCTGCCGTCCGAGATCAGATGAGGCTATTTGAGGGTGATGATGGATGGAGAAGGCGAGCAAGGGTCGCAACAGAAAACAATAGGCCATCTTGTTTCGATGGATTAACACCTTGGCCTTGAACTCCTTTTCTTTCAATCCTTTTTGTCATTTTTTTTGGGATTTTTTCTTTCTGTCCTCCCCCTCCCCCCCATCTTCCTTCGTCACGAACACATTCTTCAACCCTCTGTATACCTTTCTCAATGCCATCTTTTCTTTCCAGTATATTTTTCTGCTAGCAAGTAAAATAACCCCCAATTGCTACTATTTTTTTCCATCCAATACTTTTACCACAGAAACGAACTAGCGAAAAGAACCCTTTTTCTTCTCCGTGAGGTACTTTAGTAGCACATTCTAACTAATCAATCGAATCCCCACAGTCCGTCTCCACCGCGCAACACTCAAAATGCCTCAAATCAACAAAGTAGTGGAGATTTATCAGATAATGTAGCTGTTAACCATACTCTGGCCATACACACTGATCACCTGGATCCACACCTATTTGCCGTCATCGAGGTAAAGAATACAGCGAGTTTAGTGGCAAAGTAGACACCTCCAAAAACATTGCCCATCATCGCGGGTTAAATGATCTGAACACCCCAAAAAGGTGAAGTGCAACGCAGAAATGAAACATGTGTACTTACAGGTGTCCCAGCGCTATGATGTTGGGCCATTTCCGCAATGAATTCAGCGTCTCGACAGGCGATCTGGGAATGCAGGGTGTTGGGCGCCTTCAAATTCAACAGATTCTCTTGGATAGAAACAAGACGGTAGGTGCCCTCGAGGACCTTCAAGTACGGAGCCCAGTTCTTGTACCCCCAATGACCCGTATAGGCCTGGCCGTCAAAAACCCCGCGACCTTCGACGTTGATTTGACCGTTGTTGAAGAACAGCGAGGTGATCCTGCTTGACTTATTGTCCAACGCCACCAATCCGCCAATACTTAACCCTCCAGCGTGGGTTTCCCCGCCGTCAGGCCCGCCATATTGATCCAGAGGGATGGAAAAGTTGCCGTAGGTGGTTTCTTTATTTGTGATGTATTTGCTCAAAGCGTTGTAATCGACCGGCCCGACCTCGATATGGCTTTTATTGTCCATTCGTTCGTCGAATTCCTTTTGAATCTTGCCCTTGATGACTTCTCCAAGCATTCGCAAAAGGTCCTTGCCGAACCCATTTGACCTGCGGAAGGCCTGCTCTAACATAACGTTGAATGGAGAGTCCTCGTAGTCGTTGTTGTAGAGAAGGGTTGGTACGGAGGGGTGGACACAGCTTTCCTTTAGGGTCTTGACGGTCGCGTGGTGATCGGGGGGGTTTCCGAGAGCGATGGGGGCTTGACCGAGGGCTTTAGGAGTCGCTGGTGGCATGGCGGGAGCGAGGGCAGTGGTCACGGCAACGGTGGTCATCTTGGATGGAAGCGAGTTGAATACGGGTGTTGTGTTGTGTTTTTTTTTGAAGGGGGGGGGCAAATGCGGTTGAGGAAGATGAGAGTGATGAGAAGAAAGCTATGCGAGATGAGACTTGTGGGTGAAAGTTGTTGAAAAAAAGTGCGGGAAGGCGAACGACTTTTATATCGCACACATAAAAGAGTAGCGAGAGAGAAAGTGAAAATGCCGCGGCGGATGTTCAAATAATCGAAGGGAATGCCTCTTGCAAGAAATGCAAGGCAGAAAAATGGCGAAAGAGAAAGGAGGATGGACGAGAGATGAAGGATATGTCTGGTCGATGGTCAGATGTGCCTGGTCTAGATCTCGATCCAGGGTTCTGGCCACAGAAAACACTACACCAAAAGAATGTGGAAGTAGGAGGAATAGAAAGCATTGGAGCTTAGCAAGCGAGGAACGAAAAATGGCCGATTTAAGTTTGTCAGATCCAACGTGCCATGCATCGCGAAAAACAACAAACAAAAACACTGTTGACCATTCCTGAATGAGAGAAATTTTGCCTGTGCGCCCCCGCTCCACATCCTTCCGAAGAGGGATACACAGAAAAGAATTTTTGCAGCACACGCATGGTTCGAGACCTGTCTATTTGTGAGCAATCGCAACACAAAACGCAAACAAACAGAAGAAATAGCTTGCCTGCAGACATTCTAAAAGCATTCTCCGTGGCATAACTGCATCTTCGCGTCAAAGTCTGTTCCTTTTTCCCTCCCTCTCGGTGATATACTTTTCTGCTTTGCTCTTTGTAATGGCCTCCTTGTTCAAAAAATGCCTCATAGAAATGCTACTTACTACCTCAAACTTATAAACGAATAGAGGGAATGGTCTCGACACTTCCCTCATGGAGAGCTTTTTTTTCGTATTTTTTTCCTCTGCAAGGTGACGTACGAAGGTGAAATGTGAGTTGTTCAAGGTTGGTTACTTCTTTAATTTTATGTTTCATACTATGTGTAATTACAGCAACATTCACTCACTTAGAGATGGTTTAGAAATTGAGAGAAGAAGGTATCTCCACCAACAAGTTCTTCACCTTGCACCACTACTTTTTTTAGATGTTGTGCTAAGCATAGAGGACTTTTGATTGACGCTAGTATTCTTGACTACTCTCACTCAAAATAAAAATAAACAGACTCCAACTGCAATTGTGTGTAGAACCGCCCTGAGCCATCGTGCTCGTCCGTCGCCTTTGTCTTTTTGTTTATCATAGGGCCACCGAGGCCGCTGTGGTAGTGTTCATTCTGGCGCTTTCTTCATCATCGCCATCGTCGCTACAGTGGATGAGTGAGAAGGAGTGATGAATTGTCAGAGACGTGTTTGGTGGCGTGTGGGGCCAAAGGGTGTAAGGTGTGAGTACGAGCATGGTATGCTGAATGAGCAAATGTGGGGGGTTTCTGTCCAAAAAATACAAAAAGACTGAAACGGACTTCAGACACAAGCCGATGTGAGATGGATCATTGTGGTGACAAAAATTGCTGGCATCCTTGAGAATGAAAAAAATGGGCTAATTGGCCAACGTCCTTTGTCACCATCTGTCGACAATCATTGGTCCGCTACAAAAGGAGAGATGTCCATGTGCCCATGTGTCCACCGCGGAACCTAAAAACGAGAAAAATTTCGCATGCCATACAAGAGGTGTTCGAGACCTATCTATGCATGCGAGTGTCTGGGTTCAATTACAAGCACAGAATAAAGGAGGGAACAAAACTGTCTTTCACATCCACCATCCACATCACTTGTCTAATGGTGCAGTCATCCTATCCAGAACACACACACTCTCCTCCTAGGCATGGTTGTAACCAACGTTTGTATCTCTTTTTGGTTGTTTTTGGCTGCTTCGTGATAGCGCTGGCAACGTTTACATGTCTGGCAATTTCTGATATCAGCGTAACCATGGCCACGCCCATGTCATTGGCATCGAAAAAGGTGCGACGAGTTTGTTTTGCTACATCTTTCTCTCTTTTTTTTCAATGCAGAGGTCCCCCATCTTTGTCCTGTAAGATAAATAGGCTTGTTAATTAATAAGATCAGATGAGCGTGAACCCGTTGTCCTCGTTCGATTGTTCCTTTGATCATATGGTTCTTTGTAATGTGCATTTACGGAAAATTAATCGTTCAACTAGAGAGGGTTCAGGCATAAATAGAGGCTCAATGGTGAGTAAGAGAGAATTATCATTGCTGTTTTACTACTCTTGATCAAAACAAAAATGAAAAACTGTTCAAAATTCAAGTGAAGTGAGAATCAAATGACGTCCCACTCTAGTCTGACGATAAGGCGAAGGTCCCTGATCGATCAAGAAGGCATTGGCATAAACTTATCATCACCACCGAGATAATAACGAGAATCAGCTACAGGAATGCAAAATAGCAGCACAGGAGGATAAGACTTGGTTTGACCCATGGGCAAGTAACGGGCTCTTTCGATCGTCAGCTAGCACTTGCTTCAGTTCTTGGAGCTATCGAAGTTGTGTCTGGAGGGTCTGGGGTCGTTCTTCCACTCTCGCTCACACTATAACGTGATTCTCTAGAGGGTGTTCCCTTTTGGGAAAGATATGGTGATTGCTGGTATATGAAAGAAAAAGACGATAGTGTCAAGGTGGCCGCTGTTGACGTGGCAAGTTTTTATGCTTGGGCTTGGATAGCTGAGAAATGATTAAGCGTGTCTCGTTGGCCAATCAGACCCGACCGTCAAGCGTTCGATCAGACACATCGTCTTTCATCTACCCCTCATTTATTTTTCTCCTTTTGTTGTTGATTGTCCATTGCTTTTTCACATCTCGAAACAAAGAGGATGGCCCCTGTACTACACCTGTCCAGTCTGTAGTTCTCCTCCACACTATTTTCTCCCCCTCATACCAAAGTAACCAAACTCTTACTCTCTTCCCCTACCTCCCCACCATTTTGTAGTGCTATCCATTCACTTCTTCAGCTTGACCAACGCCAACAAAAATTCACACCGTTGCGCACACCATTACCCCAGAAAGAATATGTGATAAGGGTGTACTTCTTTGTGATCACTTGGATCTTTATGCAGAATTGCAATACAAGAAAGCGTGTTTGTGATTGTTTTGCATGAATTTCATCTTGAAAAATGAAAGATGAGCATCATCTACTCAACCAATGCTTGGGCAAGGGGTCATCGAGGATTGTTTGCATGAACGAAGGAAGAAGATGCAATTTCGGTCTTTTTAACTGCTATGGCACAGCATTGAAAGAGTGGTGACTTGAAAGCAGGGGTGACATGTTTTGTGCGCCCTATTTCATTGCTGTGCCATACCATACAAAGTCCGATTAAAAAAAGGGGAATCGAAACAAACAAACATGCGTGAAAGCAATCCAAACTAGATCGTATTGCGCACAAGCTCAGGAAGAACGTGACCTTAATTTTTGGATGGGTATCCCTACCATGGACCATTGCGCCTTTGATACGTTGCGTCTTTGATACATTAACAGGTGAGCGAGTCGACACAACGTCACGATAAAACATGAAGGAATAAAAACAACTTGACTCTTGATATTCATTCCTCAACCTCCTCCACCTCCTCCACCTCGACTTCGCCTTTATCTCACCACACACATCATCCCCAGTTTCTTCACTCCCTCTCGTAGCACAGCACCTTCAACTTCTCCTCTCCACAGAAAATACCAAAAAGATACCACACCACTCAGCCTGTGCCTCTCGTCTTCACGCACGCTACCCAAACATGGAGTCGACACTTGACGACCTTAACTCGTTTGACCCCTTTTACCAGCAGGAAAACATTGTGGACCGCATCAAGGGGATCTTAAACGACTATGACCCCTCGAATATCTTCAACGAGTTCCTGCAGAACGCGTCCGATGCCGGCGCGACAGAGTGTCATTTCCAACTGGACATGCGGTCGTTTGGCACGGAGAAGGTGTTCAGTGACCAAATGGCTGCCTGGCAAGGACCCGCGCTGATTATCTACAACAACGCTGAGTTCTCTGATAAGGACTTTGAGGCTCTTTGTAAACTTGGAATCGGAAACAAGAGTATGTTTACGCTCGATTCCTCGATGTATGACGACTTGGGTATGGTCTTTTCAAATTGGTATATTAACAATGTATTTGCTTTACGATAATGTACTAGAGGATGATCCTTCCAAGATTGGGCGCCATGGACTGGGCTTCAACTCTGTCTATCATTTCACGGATGTGCCAAGCATCGTCAGTGGGCCTTATATCGGCTTCTTTGACCCCCAGATGACCAACTTGCACAAGAGCCGAGACCGCAATGGAACCTCCGTCGCTAAGGGTGGGCATCGATGCGATTTCCGGAAGCTCAGCATGGAGACATTTGGAGATCAGTTGAAACCTTACATGGGGTTCTTTGGGTGTGATATGAGGTCACATTTCAAAGGCACACTCTTCAGGATTCCTTTGAGGATGAGACCCGCCAAGTCTTCTGCGTCGAAGGCAGGAGTGAGATTCAAATCGACCGCTGCTGTTGCTGGAGCAGGGGTTGGAGGCGTTGAGTGGTCGGTGGGCCAGATCCAGAAAATGATGGAGAAGTGGATTGCAGATGCAAAGGTCGGGATGCTGTTCCTGAAGAACGTCAAGACCATTCGAATCTCAGATGGGTTCAAGCTTGAGGTGATGGTCCAGAAAGAGCTCCTCGAGCCTTCGAACCCGAATGCACCCAGCCTGCCAGGTTCCGTGTTCAAGATTGATGTCTCCCCCGATGTGTCCAAGCCGTCTGAAAACGTAGCGAGCTCGCAGTGGCTGGTCTGCTGTGATGATGCCTTCCCTTCCGATACTCCTTCGCCAATCCACTGCCTTGCAGCCAAGAGACACTGGAGCCCTCACTGTGGCGTGGCGATCAAGTTCCAGGACACAGATGGCTCCAAGTTCCACAGCAAGCTCTTCGTCCACCTTCCTACCCCCATTTCAACCGGTCTCCCATTCCACATCCATGGCGATTTTGCTCTGACATCAAGCCGCAAGAGCCTGGCTGGGAGCAAGGAGGAGGAGGACGAGAAGCGTATCTGGAACTCATTTCTGATGGAGAAATGCTTGCCGCGGACCGCCATCCGAGCCATGGAGCACCTCTTTGCAATGTGCTTTTTACATCCGTCAAGTCCGGGTCGTAACCGCAAGGGATTCAACTCGGCCACTGCTGGGTACTTCGAACACTGGCCTTCCAGTTCTACCGTGGAGTTTCAACCATTCCTGAAGGCCTTCTTACGTCAGACCTACTTCTCCCGAGTTTTCCCATGCCCTGGAGCCACAGCCGTGTTCCCTATGCAGCTGAAAGCAGGATGTCACGCGATCCTTCCTGGGCCTGTTACCATCCCCCTTGAGCTAGAGACGAAGGTCGTTCGATGGCTGTTCAAAAGAAACAGAGCCGTTTGCATCGTTCCAAGTCTGGTCATGTCGGTCATCGAGGCTGAATGGAGCAAAGAACCAAAGTTTTCACACGAGCAGGTCGATGGAGACTTTATCCGGAAGAGCCTTCGAGAAACCCCTGACTACATCAAGAACAACATGAAGACCCGTGCCGAGAGGGAGTGGATCTTGGGATGGGCGTTCCAGCCTGTTATAACCCCGGAGGTACGAGTCTCGGTGACTTCGGACGACATTCAAATCATACCACTGCTCAACGGAGAGTGGATGCGACTCAAGAGAGGGAAGAAGGAGTGCTATGTTCCGTCACAGCTTGAGCGAAGCCTTCTCAAAGCCAAGGACATTCTAGTCGACACAGACGTCTTCAGCACCGTTGAGCTCGATCTTGCTTTAGATCATTTGATCGAGCGCGACCAGCACAACGTTGGATCACTGCCAGCTGAAATCTTTGCAACAAGATTCCTCAAGGAGAACCCTGGCGGAGTGACGGATCAGCAGTTGAAGCAGCTTTGGGACTACCTCGAGGCGGAGTACAAGTACGAGAACCTCGACGCGTTTTATGACTTTCCGATCCTCAGGACCTTTCACGGCACTATCACGACACTTGGTAAGGCGACGAGGGGCTTCCAAATCTCTGCATTGCCTTCCCAGTTTTTTGTGTTCATGGACTTGCTCCGGGATCTTGACATCACAGTCTATAGCTCGGAGACGCACAGGAGCCACAAGTTCTTCAAGGACTATTGTCAGGCGTACTCGGGACTTCGACTTCTTGAGGCCATCGTCACCCATTGGAACGATCTGTCAACAAATCGAGTGTTCAGCATGACGGAGGCCAAAGGGATGCGAGAGCTCGTGCTAGACTGCAGAGACACAATCAAGAGCAGCTTTATATCCGGCATTGGTCGCCTCCCAATCTGGACGACTCTAGGATCGACAGATACCTCTCCATTGATCGTAGCCAAAGGTGCCTACTTCCCGAAGGGCAACATGAACTTGAACAAGTTCGGAGCATTCCCCACGGTCCTCAGTCGGGTCGACGTTCAGACCTTCAAGTCGATAGGTGCTGCTAAGCTTAATGTGCCCATTGCCTTGACACAGTTCGTCCTCCCCAAGTTCCACGATGGAACGCTCAATTATGGTGGCGAAATCAAGGCCGCCTACTTGGATCTGTTGTCGAATCTGTTTACGTCCAGCAAGCGCAAAGGGATGGAAGCAAATGCAGCGAAGGGCGTCATCCGCACTGCGCGATGCTACGTGGCTCGGGATGGATCGTTTCACTCTTGGGGGGAATTGTTCGTTCCGGGGGAGGCATTGACGGAGATGATGTTTGCAGGTCAATTCAACGTATTTGCGGACGAGGAGATGGCCTCGTTGATGGCGCGGCTCTCCATGGAATCAAACCTTCGTTCGTCGAGCAGCAGCCCCGATCTGGTCGTCCGTTGCGCGAAGACGTTATTGGAGGAAATGGCGAATGGAACAGCCGATCAGACAACAACACGAACGCGGGCGGAGCAGCTGATTCAGTATCTCTACAAACACCCTGATGCCGGCGGAGAAGACTGGATGGATCCCAAGTGGAAGTTCGTACCGCGTGAAGCCAACCTTGAGTGGCCGTACGATGAGTTGGCACCAGACCTGCCTCTCTACATGGCCTTCTCAGAGCTTGTCGGCCCTTCGACCCGGGAGGTTGCCTGGACACAATGCGGATTCTTCCCTGCTGAGCTACAGCCTTCCCATGCCTTCAAAGCACGATTCCCCACTGTTCGCACAACAAACTTGAAGCTTCCAGACGTCCTCAGGCACCTGAATGTTTTGGTCAAAGATATCGCGCCAACATGGAAGTCGACCGAAAAACAGCTCAGGCTGAAGGCGATATTGCTCAACATCTACGGCACCATCGACCAGTATGTTGGCAGCTCCATTAAGCACCACACATGGGCGGTGCGGCGCGCGACAGAATTTCTCGAGTGTCCGTACATTCTGAACGGCAACGACAAGGACTCCAGCGACCCGAGCTCATGGCTCTGGCCTAAGCAGCTCATGTTCGGAATCGTCGACGACATCCCGCCTCATTACGCCGCCAACCCGGTTTTGCACCAATATCAGAATTTTTTGATTGCCTTTGGCGCGAAGAAGATTCAGCCTGCAGAGCGCCCTGTTGATGTGGCAGTTAGTCGGGTGCGTGGATACATGGAGAACCTGGTGTGGCGCTGTTTCAAGACCCAAGATCAGGAGACCGGATTCATGGATGTTCGGTTCGAGTTCCAGAAAGGGTCGCATATCCGGGCCCACAAGATTGTCTTGGCGACGGCGAGCGAGTTTTTCTCACTAAAGTTCAAGAATGACTGGGCATTCGACTCGAGGTGGCCCAGTGATATGGGAGTGCAGTCCATTTGTCTGTCGAGTTATGGCGATATCAGGGATGGATTCTGGGGGCTGCTGCACTACTTTTATTCCGACACCCTGATCCCACCCAATGTATCACCACTTTTTGACCACGAGGACGACCAGGGACCGATGGGCGATGGCGAGAGTGGCGGCAAATCCACCAAAGACAAGGACGGTAGCTCGGCAGATGATGATGTTGTTCATATTGAGATCCTGGAGCCAGTGGACAAGCTGTCAGAGAGATTGCAGTATCTGATGAAGATACAGCATGTCGCCCACCGGTTCGTGGCCACCCGACTCAAGGATCTGATTGCCAAGGAGTTGATCGAGGGACAGAAGGTGGTCCACAGCAACGTATTCGCCATTCGAGGACATGCGGAGCGCAACGGAGCGGAGAATGTCCGGGACCACTGTAACAAGTTCATCGAGAATAATAGGGCCTGTGTGTTGGAGCATGTCCATAACGAGATCCATATAGTGGAAGGCAAGTTGGAGGCGTTGGATGGACAGTGGAAAGGAAAGGCTGGGAAGGATACCAACGATGACAAGCTTGGGCTCTCAGAATCGTGGTCTGATATCTACGGCAATGGAGGATCGAATGATAGCTTTGAGGATGTTGATTGGGATGCCAAAGAGGTCAGTTGGGCGGAATCTGGAAGGGGACGGACTGCCACCGGTTATTGGGAGGACGAGGATGAGGATGAGGATGCGATTGATTGTGCAGGCAGGGCGGACCGCTTGCAAGTGTTGCTCAATGATAGACTTCGGGAGCTGCAGAGGAACCAGAAGGAGTTGCTCATCGAGCCTTAGGTCACTTTTATGTATTATTTTCTTTCTTTCTTTGACTAAATGTTTATGAACTATCACCCAGCAGGAAAGTTTCGCAAGGTCAAGTTCACTTCACTGCACACTAAAAAAAATGAGTAAGAGGCAATTATCATTGCTGCTTTACTACTCCTGATCAAAACAAATATGAAAAACTAGTAAAAATTCAGGTGGAGTGAGAATCAAATGATGTCCCACTCTAGTCTGACGGTAAGGCGAAGACCCCTGATCGGTCAAGAAGGCATTGGCATAAACTTATCATCACCACCAAGATAATAACGAGAATCAGCCACAGGAATGCAAAATAGCAGCAAAGGAGGATAAGACTTGATTTGACCCATGGGCAAGTAACGGGCTCTTTTGATCGCCAGCAAGCACTTGCTTCAGTTCTCAGAGCTGTCGAGGATTTGTCTGGAGGGTCTGGGGTCGTTCTTCCACTCTCGCTCACACTATAACGTGATTCTCTAGAGGGTGTTCCCTTTTGGGAAAGATATGGTGATTGCTGGTATATCAAAGAAAAAGAAGATAGTGTCAAGGTGGCAGCTGTTGACATGGCAAGTTTTTGTACTTGGGCCTGGATAGCTGGGAAATGATTAAGCGTGTCTCGTTGGCCAATCAGACCCGACCGTCAAGCGTTCGATCAGACACATCGTCTTTCATCTACCCCTCATTTCTTTTTCTCCTTTTGTCGTTGATAGTCCATTGCTTTTTCGCATCTTGAAACAAAGAGGCAGACCCCTGTACTACACCTGTCCAGTCTGTAGTTCTCCTCCGCCCTATGTTCTCCCCCTCATACCATATTAACTCAACTCTTCTCTCTGTAGCGCATCCATTCACTCCTTCAGCATAATTAACACCAAAAGCAATTCACACCTTTGTGCACACGAACACATCAGAAAGAATATGTGATAAGGGTGTACTTCTTTATGATCACCTGGATCCTTATGCAGAATTGCAATCAAGAAAGCGTGTTTGTGATTGTTTTGCATGAATTTCATCTTGAAAAATGAAAGATGAGCATCATCTACTCAACCAATGCTTGGGCAAGGGGTCATCGAGGATTGTTTGCATGAACGAAGGAAGAAGATGCAATTTCGGTCTTTTTAACTGCTATGGCACAGCATTGAAAGAGTGGTGACTTGAAAGCAGGGGTGACATGTTTTGTGCGCCCTATTTCATTGCTGTGCCATACCATACAAAGTCCGATTAAAAAAAGGGGAATCGAAACAAACAAACATGCGTGAAAGCAATCCAAACTAGATCGTATTGCGCACAAGCTCAGGAAGAACGTGACCTTAATTTTTGGATGGGTATCCCTACCATGGACCATTGCGCCTTTGATACGTTGCGTCTTTGATACATTAACAGGTGAGCGAGTCGACACAACGTCACGATAAAACATGAAGGAATAAAAACAACTTGACTCTTGATATTCATTCCTCAACCTCCTCCACCTCCTCCACCTCGACTTCGCCTTTATCTCACCACATACATCATCCCCAGTTTCTTCACTCTCTTCTCGTAGCACAGCACCTTCAACTTCTCCTCTCCACAGAAAATACCAAAAAGATACCACACCACTCAGCCTGTGCCTCTCGTCTTCACGCACGCTACCCAAACATGGAGTCGACACTTGACGACCTTAACTCGTTTGACCCCTTTTACCAGCAGGAAAACATTGTGGACCGCATCAAGGGGATCTTAAACGACTATGACCCCTCGAATATCTTCAACGAGTTCCTGCAGAACGCGTCCGATGCCGGCGCGACAGAGTGTCATTTCCAACTGGACATGCGGTCGTTTGGCACGGAGAAGGTGTTCAGTGACCAAATGGCTGCCTGGCAAGGACCCGCGCTGATTATCTACAACAACGCTGAGTTCTCTGATAAGGACTTTGAGGCTCTTTGTAAACTTGGAATCGGAAACAAGAGTATGTTTACGCTCGATTCCTCGATGTATGACGACTTGGGTATGGTCTTTTCAAATTGGTATATTAACAATGTATTTGCTTTACGATAATGTACTAGAGGATGATCCTTCCAAGATTGGGCGCCATGGACTGGGCTTCAACTCTGTCTATCATTTCACGGATGTGCCAAGCATCGTCAGTGGGCCTTATATCGGCTTCTTTGACCCCCAGATGACCAACTTGCACAAGAGCCGAGACCGCAATGGAACCTCCGTCGCTAAGGGTGGGCATCGATGCGATTTCCGGAAGCTCAGCATGGAGACATTTGGAGATCAGTTGAAACCTTACATGGGGTTCTTTGGGTGTGATATGAGGTCACATTTCAAAGGCACACTCTTCAGGATTCCTTTGAGGATGAGACCCACCAAGTCTTCTGCGTCGAAGGCAGGAGTGAGATTCAAATCGACCGCTGCTGTTGCTGGAGCAGGGGTTGGAGGCGTTGAGTGGTCGGTGGGCCAGATCCAGAAAATGATGGAGAAGTGGATTGCAGATGCAAAGGTCGGGATGCTGTTCCTGAAGAACGTCAAGACCATTCGAATCTCAGATGGGTTCAAGCTTGAGGTGATGGTCCAGAAAGAGCTCCTCGAGCCTTCGAACCCGAATGCACCCAGACTACCAGGCTCCGTGTTCAAGATTGATGTCTCGCCCAATGTGTCCAAGCCGTCTGAAAACGTAGCGAGCTCGCAGTGGCTGGTCTGCTGTGATGATGCCTTCCCTTCCGATACTCCTTCGCCAATCCACTGCCTTGCAGCCAAGAGACACTGGAGCCCTCACTGTGGCGTGGCGATCAAGTTCCAGGACACAGATGGCTCCAAGTTCCACAGCAAGCTCTTCGTCCACCTTCCTACCCCCATTTCAACCGGTCTCCCATTCCACATCCATGGCGATTTTGCTCTGACATCAAGCCGCAAGAGCCTGGCTGGGAGCAAGGAGGAAGAGGACGAGAAGCGTATCTGGAACTCATTTCTGATGGAGAAATGCTTGCCGCGGACCGCCATCCGAGCCATGGAGCACCTATTTGCAATGTACTTTCTAGATCCGTCAAGCCCAGGTCGTAGCCGCGACGGATTCAACTCGGCCACTGCTGGGTACTTCAAACACTGGCCTTCCAGTTCTACCGTGGAGTTTCAACCATTCCTGAAGGCTTTCTTATGCCAGACCTACTTCTCCCCAGCGTTCCCATGCCCTGGAGCCACAACCGTGTTCCCTATGCAACTGAAAGCAGGATGTCACACGATCTTCCCTGGGCCTGTCACTATCCCCTTTGAGCTGGAGGAGAAAGTCGTTCCGTGGCTGTCCAAAAGAAACCGAGCCATTTGCATCGTTCCAGATCCGGTCATCTCGGTCATTAAGGCTGAATGGAGCAAGCAGCCAAAGTTTTCATACAAGCAGGTCGATGGAGACTTTATCCGGGAGAGCCTTCGAGAATCCCCTGACTACATCAAGAACAACATGAAGACCAGTGCTGAGAGGGAGTGGATCTTGGGATGGGCGTTCCAGCCTGTTATAAACCCGAATCTGCGAGTCTCGGTGACGTCGAACGATCTTCAGATCATACCACTGCTCAACGGGGAGTGGGTGCGACTCAAGAGAGGGAAGACGAAGTACTATGTTCCGTCACAGCATGAGCGTGACCTTCTCGGAGCAAACGACATTTTGGTCGACGCGGACGTCTTCAGCACCGACGAGCTCCGTCTTGCTTTGAAGCTTTTGATCGAGGGCGACAAGCACAACGTCGGATCGTTGCCAGCTGAAATCTTTGCAACAAGATTCCTCAAGGAGAACCCTAGCGGTGCGACAGATCAGCAGCTGAAGCAACTTTGGGACTACCTCGAGGTGGAGTACAAGTCCAAACCACTCCACACGTTTTATAACTTTCCGATCCTCAGGACCTCTTGCGGAACCATGGCAACACTCGGCAAGGCGACGACGGGTTTCCAAATCTCGGGACTGCCAACCCAATTTTTTGTGTTCATGGACTTGCTCCGGGATCTCGACATCACAGTCTATAGTTCGGAGACGCACAGGAGCCACAACTTTTTCAAGGGCCATTGTCCGGCGTTCTCCGGACTTCGACTTCTTGAGGCCATCGTTAATCATTGGAACAATCTGTCAACATATCGAGCGTTCAGCATGACAGAGGCCAAGGGGATGCGGGATCTCGTACTAGCCTGCAGCGGCACGATCACGCAGGGGTTCATGTTCGGCATTGGTCGCCTCCCGATCTGGACGACTCTAGGATCGACAAATACCTCTCCACTGATCGCAGCCTGTGAGGCCTACTTCTTGGAGGGCCACTTTGACTTGGACAAGTTCGGAGCATTCCCCACGGTCCTCAGTCCGGTCGAAGCTCCAATCTTCTGGCCAATGGGTGCTACTCCGCTCAAGGTGACCGTTGCTTTGATGGAGCTCGTCCTTCCCAAGTTCCACAGTGGAGTGCTCAAGTGTGATGGCGATACCAGGGCCGCCTACCTGGATCTGTTGTTGAACCTGTTTATGGTCAACAAGCTCTCTAGGACGTTAGCGAATGTCGCGAAGGATATCATTAAGTCTGCGCCATGCTACGTGGCTCGGGATGGATCGCTTCACTTTCGAGGAGAATTGTTTGTTCCAGGGGAGGCATTAACAGAGATGTTGTTTGCAGATCAACCCAACGTCTTTGCGGACCAAGAGATGGCTTTGTTGATGGCACGGTTCTCCATGGAATCAAACCTTCGTTCGTTGAGCAGCAGCCCCGATTTGGTCGTCCATTGTGCGAAGAAGGTATTGGAGGAGACGGTGGATGCAGCAGCCGATCAGGGAACAACGCGGAGGCGAGCGGTGCAGCTGATTCAGTACCTCTACAAACACCCTGATGCCGGCGGAGAAGACTGGATGGATCCCAAGTGGAAGGTCGTGCCGCGAGAAGCCAACCTTGAGTGGCCATACAACATATTGGCGCCAACCCTGCCTCCCTACATGGCCTTTTCGGAGCTGGTCGGCTTTTCAATCCGGGAAACTGCCTGGACACAATGCGGATTCTTCCCTGCTGAGCTGCAGCCTTCCCATGCCTTCAAAGTGCGATTCCCAGCTGTTCGCATAAAAACCCAGGCGCTGCCAGACGTCCTCAAGCACCTGAATGTTTTGGTCAAAGATATCGCGCCAACATGGACGTCGACCGAAAACCAACACAAGTTGAAGTCGATATTACTCAAGATCTACCGCATCATCGACACGTACATTGTCAGCTCCATTAATCACCAAAAATTTGCGGTGCAGCGCGCGACAGAAATCCTCAAGTGCCCATACATTCTGAACAGCAAGGACTCCAGCGACCCGAGCTCATGGCTCTGGCCTAACCAGCTCATGTTCGGAATCGTCGACGACGTCCCGCCTTATTACGCTGTCGACCCGGAATTGCGCCAGTTTCGGGATTTTTTACTTGCCAATGGCGCGGAGCAGATTGAGCCTGTCGAGGGCTCTGTTGATGTGACGGTTGGCCGGGCGCGTGGTCATATGGAGGACCTGATGTTGCATTTTTTCGAGACCCAGGATCAGGAGGCCGGATGCATGGATGTCCGGTTCAAGTTCCAGAAGGGAACGGATATCTGGGCCCACAAGTTTGTCCTGGCGATGGCGAGCGAGTTTTTGTCACTAAAGTTCAAGCGTGATTGGGTGTTCGACTCAAGATTGACTCCTGAGAAGGGGATGCAGTCCATTTGTCTGTCGAGCTATGGCGATATCAGAGCTGGATTCTGGGGGCTGCTGCACTACTTTTATTCCGACGCCTTGACCCTGTCCAATTTACTTGACAAAGAAAATGACCAGGGATCGATCGACGATGGCGCCCTGGAACCAGAGGACAAGCTATCAAAGCGATTGCTGTACCTGATGAAGCTACAGCATGTCGCCCACCGGTTCGAGACCATCCGACTCAAGGACCTGATTGCCAAGGAATTGATCGAGGGAAAGAAGGTGGTCCACAGCAACGTATTCGCCATCCGAGGTCATGCGGAGCGCAACGAGGAGGAGAATGTCCGGGACTATTGTAACAAGTTCATCGAGAAGAACAGGGCAAGGATGAAGGGGCTGCAGAGGAACCAGAGGGAGTTGCTTATCGAGCCTTAGGTCTTTTTTATTTATTTATTTATTCTTTCCTCGACTAAACGTTTTTTTCTCGCTATGACTTAGTCCATATGGTTATCGAATTCCCTTTTTGTTAAACAAGTCTTCAAGGCTATAGATTACGTGTTGAATCCATATATGCTTTTTGAAAAGTTTCAAGGAGTATGGTCACCGGCAGCAAGGACTAAAATAATGTCGTTTCAGCACCTTTGGCTAGTCACATCAATGGCCCCGAAAGCGACGACTTCGCTACCATTCTGGCCATCATGCAACGAAATAAAGAAACACAAAGTAAAAGTCGGGGTATTGCGCCTTGCAACCAAAATAATTAATTCGAACAACTAAACCCTGATTAAGTTGCTGTTCACAACTAAAATTTTGTTCCGCGCCTGTGTACACTCCGCTCTCCACTGAATTTTGTTGGATTAGTTTTAATTTTTTTGCCTCATTTTGTAAGAAAGGCACAATACGTAGCTCTCTCTCTAATCTTTGTTCATTGTATTATTTACTAGAATAGTACCCGCGGCTTCGCTCGCGGAGGTGTGGAGCAAGTGTGAATTGATAAAAAAGTGGTGGTGGTTGAATATTGCAAAGTTTATTTGTGTTTGTTAGTTCTTCATTTCTCTCTCACTTTTCTATTTCTGTCTTCACTTTTTTTTTTCGTTTTGCCCTCCCTTCCTTTTTTTTTCTTTGTCAGATTCCACAAATCGTGCCAGCGTGCCAGGCCTGACTAATCCAAGCCACAGCCACGGGGAGGAGGTGTCAGACGGGATCCCTGGGAGCTCGAATGCCTATAGATACACAACTTGGGTCGCATGAATGCCATGAAGTGGCGAGCACCGAGCCAGCCCTCCGCATCCCCAATGCGACCTGTCGTGTCTGATGAGCCCTCTGTCAGTCGAGATCTCGGTCAAAGATTTTATGCAGCAGTCTCCTTTCTTTCTATCAAATACAACACCGTCTTGCCATGAACGTACTGTACAACCCTCTCGTCCGCCTCATTCAGACTTTGTTTGACAAATCGACTCGTTGCCTTGGCGGGCTAAATCCTGTCGGTTTTCCTCTTTTGCTCAAACCTGCCTTCCTCTCTCGAGGTGTTATTCCTTGGGTCATTCCCTATTCGACCGTCGCCCTTGTAACGTATGTGCCATATCTCCATCCTCCCAAAGTCCTCTATCGCACTCACAATACCTTTTTTTCTTTTCGCTTTCCCTCTGCCAGGCGGTCAACGCATGTCGAATGTCACGGTACTTTGTACTGGTACCAAAGGATGTAATGTAAAGGCAAAGACACTGTTGAAGGTCCGGGTGGTTGCAAGAAATACCTCTGAAATGGCTTTGCAATCCAGCAAGGGAAGCTTCGATGGCTGGCATTTTGACTCTTAGGCAGCACACAGAGAAGCGTGGATTAGCGACTGTACGTCCGACACGCTCCTGCGTATTCAAAATAAATAATTAAATCGCGCATCAATAAAAAGAAAGAAGAATGTAGAATAGTTGTAGGTATTATCGTAACTGGTTACCTCTGTCCAATGTAAAGCACCCCAATGAGAGCAGACCACGCTCATCAATTCCTAGATCATGTACACTGTGTCGTCCTGCTCCTTAACAGCAGCTACTCTATTCCCAAAAACACGTAGATCAGCGGGAGCAACATGAGCAACAAAGGAAACATGAGTAGCAGGGGTAACATAAGCAGCAGGGGCAACAGGAGCGGCAGAAGCGGCTGGAGTAGCAAGGACCGTGGAAGGAGTAGAAGCAAGAGATTCTGCAACGATTATGCGCTTCCTGCTCAAAAGGCAATCCGCATGAGCTGTACAACGGTGACCAAGTTGTCTGCAAGCATTACATCTCGTAGCAGAGGACTGAGGAGCACTATGCAATGCGATGGCAATAGCTCGCTCACGTTACCTAAATGGGCCGGAATGGGTCGGAATGGTTGGCGTTGGGCTGGAGCCATGCGTGGCTGCTACAATCATGCGTAACTGGGACAATCGGCTTTTCTCCTTCAGCAGGTCGTCGTTGTCGCTTATGTTACCTAAATGGGTCGGAATGGTAGGCCTCAGGCTGGAAGCATTCCCCCGGTACCAGTGCCTCCGCCGCCTGATCGATGACCCATCCTCACTCCCCTCACCCTCTCACTCAATCGTTGTCTGACTTGTAGTTAGCCAATCTAATCGATTTATTTGAATTCCCTATGGTTTGCATTGGGTTTGTGCGCATTCGAGTCGAAAATTTTAATCCGTTTCGAATGCGCACAAATCCTAAGCAAAACATAGGAAATTCGAATAAATTCGATTAGACGCTCTACTTGTAGTCTCGAACTATTGAACCACGTCAGCAATTGCAACGTAAGCATCCCCGTCTGAAATGGCATCAAAGCTTGCTTCGCAGTTGTTACCATTATAACTTAGGAGTTGTGCTGTAAAGAGGCGGCAATCTGAGCAATTGTGGTCTGTTTACTCTAAAATACCGTTTGTTTTCCTTTATAGTAGGGACAGTAACAACTTGTCGACCTTTGTTGGCCGTTCCCACGTCCACGATGCTTGGCACACCTACTGATGGAGGAGGAAGAGGAGGTAAAAGGGGGGAAAGAGGGAAAAGAAGAAGAGGAGGAAGAAGAAGAGGAGGAAGAAGAGGAGGAATGAGGAGGAAGAGTAAGGGGTGATGGCATTGAGTTTGGCGGTGATAGTGGTGGTACATTTGGTGGAAAGGAAGTGGAGAGTGGAGGAAGTAGAGGGAGCGCTAGCAGTAGAGCGACCTTGTTAAGTTGGTCGCCTTGGCCCGTCTGTATCCTGTAAAGGTCGCAGAAGGAGAGACATCAGGGGTGGAAGTGGTAGTAAGAGTGACACGGTGAGAGCGAGTGGAAGGTATGCTGGCTACTGACAGATAAAAAAAAAAAAAAAAAAAAAAGAGAAAGGAAGGAAAGAAAATATGCTTGTCCGTGAAAGAGAAAGAAAAGTCATCGGCTCTACTCTCTCCATTCTCCATTTTCGCATCTTAACATGCTTACTGCTTACCGGCAGATCTTCTTACCGGCGTGGCTCTCATTCCGCAGTCGCATTTTAACATGGTTACCGGCAGATCTGCTTACCGGTATGACTCTGATTGCAACCCCCATCCATCTCTCATTTTAATTTAATTAACTTTAAACTAAAAAAAACGCACACAGCACACACAACACACACAACACACACAAACACTTACACACACACTACACATACACCATACACACCATACACACACCACAACACCACACACACCACAACACCGTGAGAAAGAGAAAGAGGGAACATCACATGATTTACGATAAGTCAGGTGATGGAGATAACGATTTTGTATTAGTAGATTTCGCTCTTTATAGGCCTGAGTCTCAACTCGACAACAGGGTTACAATCTTGTCCAGTGAGCCTGCTAATCTGTCCAGTTTTTGATCGATGGAGACTATGTGGGTCTCGAGAGCGGAGACTCTTTCAGACTGAAATGGACCAGTCGACAGAGTGGAAGCGGCTGCAGGGTCTACGCGAGGAGACACAATGGCGGTAGCCCCTTCCAGTTTCTTTTCAAGCTCAAGTATCTTGGTGAGGAGAGCGTCGCGGCGCTCGGAGGCTTCTAATCGTGCTTCCAAGGCCGTAACCTTCGCCAAGAGCATCTCCATAGAGAGCGTAGGAACGGGAGTAGCTGGAATTACTGAAGAAGTAGAGTGAGCAGGCGAAGAAGCGGTGGACGGAGTAGGAGTAAGAGTAGCTTGAACAGGAGTAGCTTGAACAGGAGTAGCTTGAACAGGAGTGGAAAGAATAGCGGGAGTTGCGGAAATCACGGGGTCTAAATGGAAGGTCGGCATTGGGGGAGGCGGTGGAAGCTTGACAGGTGGAAGAAGTGAGAGGAGAGGGATCTCTACCCTCTCTGTCCGGACAGTGGTGCGTTTGTCAATGACTTTCACCACCAATGGTGTCTCTGCTGAGGTGACCATCCTCGGGGCCGCAGAAGGAATAGTGTCGGTGGAACCATCTCGCCCGATAAGAGGTGGTTGGGGCGATTCTGGCTCTGGATCGTCTGTTTCTGTAGTGACGGGTTTAGGCAAAAGAGACTCCAACGAAAAGGGTTCGGGGACAGGTACTGAGACTGGTGCTGGGATTGGCGTCACAGACGCAACAGGTAGCGGCGACGACGCGCTGATGGGGATCACCACCTCGTTATCTACGTCGTCGTCCTCGATAACAACAACATCGTCCCAGTGGGCAACATTGGGCACGATCTTGGACTCCTCCGCATACTGAATAGGTCGAGACTCTAGATCGTCACCACCATATATTGGACAAGGTGCATATCCCATCGACGCTGAGATTCTATCCTTTGTCATGGATCCATGGTACAGAAGCACCTTGAATCCGTAGACACGTCTGCAGGACAGATCCACCAAAGCCCATATGGTCCAGTCGATGCCCAGATTCCTGACGCCCAGCTTCATATCGACTTCGGTGATACCGGTCTTCTCAGCCTTTGCGACGATCCTGCGAAGGTCAACTTCAGTGATCTTGTTTGTCGGCATGAGACCAGCGGTAATTGCCAATAAATATCGATCTGGATAAGGCGACTCCGAGATCTTGACAGAAGTCCGCTCACATTGATAGATCTTGTCGACAAAAAAGAAGCCCAGGTCCTCCGGAGCCGGAAGAGTGGCTCCCATCACACCATGGACATACTCTTGGATGAGCGACACTTCTTCGCCTTCGATGTCCGTAAATGTGACCCGGAGACGGAGCGGTTGGTGGATCGTCAGATGCGCATAGTTGATCGCCAGGAGAGAGTCACCCTGACAATGCTCTGGTTTATCAACTAGGAACTCCCAAGGGATGTCAATGGCTTGTGAAGGTGCGATGGTAATAGGCAGGTTCACACCATTGCGAAGTGCAAAGGATTTGACGGGCTTGTACACTGGCTCACCCACAAGGCGGTACTCGAACTTGGCGGAGAGAAGGATGATTTGCTTCTGGCTTGAGAGAGGCGAGCGATTGAGTGCTCTCCAAGTCCCACGAAACCGATCTTCCCGATTGTTGGCAAGTTTGACGTCGTTATTCGCAACCATTTCCCAGGCAGGGGTCAGGAGAAGAGGGATATTGGGCGATGAAATCCTGGTCCTGAATGATCTGGGTTCTCTAAGCCGGCTCGCGGGGATGACAGGACCAAGCTGGATCGTCTTTGGAAAATCATACGGCCGATCGGGTTTGTACCCTGCACCGCTGCACCGGGAGAGATACTTGACGGATGCGTCATCTGGCATTTTGAGCAAGAGAGGGTCGAGTGGTATAATGCACACTGTTGACGTTTTGCTGCTTGCGACTCTAACTGTCAACTTGATTCCGGCAATTTGTTGGGTTTCTTCGTCCATAACCCATTCCCCCATTGAAAAGGCGGTCGTCTCGGTCTCGGGTGCGTTCCTGAAGATGCAGGTTTGGCCGGTCCTCAGGATCCTCTTCCTCGTATCCTCCAGTGAAGCAACGTCGAAGACCTCGAGATAGTGCGGCATGTCATCTTTGACGTGTCCAACGTTCACGAGCATCAAAGGTGTAGTGACCAGCTCTCCCCAGCTCCGCCACCGGATCAACTGTCCGACTCTGACGACCTGACCGGTAGTGTCATTGTCTTTGTCTAAGTCAATCTCCTTGATCTGAACCCAGTAAGCAACCGTATCCTTGGGAGCGAGTATTCCATAGGACCAGAGGAAGAAGTTGCTATAGGGGTATCTCGAGTGGTGCTCTGGCTGATGATAACCCTTTTGGCAAGGAGAGGTCTTTTGACAACAGTGGTACCGGTTGTAGTTCCCGACCGCAGAATGGTACTGACAGGACTCAGGGCCGTTTGTCGAGACATTGTATTCCTTTTCGCACTGAACGCATGTCAACTTGAGCTCGGCCTCCAATTCGCGCTGGTGGGTGGCGATAGCCTTGATCATGTCGGCGACATTGATGCTGGAGGATTCGTGGACAATGGCTTCAATCCGGCTTTGGTTCCGTGTGATCATATCCTGCATGTTGGACTGCATCTGCTCCATGACTTGGTCCGACATGGTCAAGTTCACCTTTTCCGCAAACTTTTTGACCAGCTCAGGATCATTCTATACAATAAAGAGCCAAGATACAAAGGCATTAGACGAATTCATGATATACCTTTCATTTTTTCCTTTCGTCTCATGTATGCTTACATTGATCATATCCTGGCCACCGTTTTCTCTGATGAAGTTTTCGGCAATTCTGTCCCTTGGTACCACTCTCTTCAGGATGGACAAATCTCCGGTTTGTTGGATCTGCAAACTCATCATTAGGTCTGAGGAGCAGGTGGTGATTTTTCCGGCCATTTGCTCAAAGGTTTGCATGTTGGACATCCTGAGGCGCCGGGCGAGTTTGCTCTGCTTCCGATAGGCCTCGATCAGAGCTGCAGCCTCCTTGAGCGTATCTTGAACCTTTTGGAGAACTGTGGTAAGAGTGTCCATCATGGCCTCGACGTTGTGGATTCGCTCTAGCACAACAAGATGACTGACCAAGAAGTTGATACGCTCCATTAGATCCGAGCATTTCTCGTCCACCTCACGGGCTTTTTGCTCAATGTCGATAATGATCTAGATGAGTATTCGTGTAGTTCAGGCAATGAAAAAAAAAAACATCAGTAAAGCATGTCGCCATGATCAAAAATGCTTGGTCCACATGCGGGCTGTATGTGCTCACCTTGAGAATCATAAACGCAGGGGCAATAAATGGCACAATCTTGCCCACATCCACCAGCTTATCTGCCAGATGGATCATGTTGCTTAATATTGGACTGTCTTGGCCTCCCACTATCTTCACGACATTAGTATAGCCAGTCTCAGCCATCTCTTTGGCTCCTACGACGTTGGATCCGGCTACAAATGCCTTTTCGGCAATTCCACTCGCGGTGATCTTCTTTGGCGCCGATTTTTTCTTGTCATCGACGTCGGGTTTGGTAGTTTGTGAGGTCATGGTCCTGCTCTTGATTGTGACTTTATCCTTTGGGCAATTGAATGTGATGAACCAAGCTGAGGTGTGGGTTGGGTGGTGTTGTATGATATGGCAAAGCAAGGTGTAAAGAAGAAAGGAAGAAAGATGGCGGAAGTGTGGGATGGGTGGTGTTGTATGATATTGCAGAGCAAGGCGTAAAAGAAGAAAGCGAAGGAAGTGTGGACTGGGTGGTGTTGTATGCTGTTGTAAAGTAAGGTGCAGAGGAGAAAGTGAAGGTGGGTGGATAATAATAATTTGTAGCCTTATATATTGATTGCCTCTACTAAGATTGCTCACAAGAAAAAGGCGGCGTTCAACTAGTTTCGGAAATCATTGAACAGAAGAGCCCAACTCGCTAGCGCCCGTAGAAGACGGCGTGTCTTTGTTTATTCTCTGAGCTAGCCGGCTAATGGCTGGATTTGCCGTTCAGTGCTAGCCCCACCCATGATCTGACGACTTCCGCGAAGGTTTCTTTGGTGGTAGAGACACGTAAAAGGTCAATTGTTTTCCTGGCTATGCGCCAACAGACATGACGGTTCTTTTCTCCAGTCGCTCCATGGAAAAGGAGAAAAGAGAGCCAAGCCACACGTATTTTTCTCCGTGTTTCCATTGATCTACCTTCCACTTGTACCTCATGCCAGCAGCCAGCAACCACCCCTCTTTCAAAAAGAGTCTTTGCACACCAAGTTCCATTGCATTGTTCAACAGAAACGGCCGTAGCTGAAGTATAACTCGACGACCTTCTGAAACACAAAGGACGGAAACAACAAGTCTTTCGGCTTATTGAACGCGCCGTTTAATATGCTTAACAGAGCCCTTAGTTGCCTGCGGTAACATTTTAGCGCGTGCTCTCATATGCTCTAATGAAGGGAGATAATGCAACAACAAAGAAAAAAAATCGAGCAATACACCTAGGATGCACAAAAATTGTCGGATGATGGAGAAAAGATCCAGGAGCTGAAAAAGTGAACCTGAAAAAAGTGACAACGATGTAGTAGGATGTTGGAATATAGAGCGGGAGGGATGCTGAACTGATCAACTGGCTTGTGGCAACCAAGCGCTCATACGACGTTGCTTTTGATCATTAGAATTCGAGGTCGCGTCGTTGAGGCATTGTTCACTGAAAACAATCTTGATGAAGTTTAAGGCATTAAAGGTGAGATGCATTTTTGGTTTGTTCACTTGTGCTGATTATATCTACAATATCCATTTTGTTTGCATGCCATGCATCTATAGATATGCAGAAAATGAAAATCGACTCAAAGACTTCTTGCTACCTTGGAGTAGCACTTCATGGCACAAAGACGCTCAGGTGTGCCGAGGGCGGGAAATGGGCAGTTGTCCTGTAGTCTCTTTCCCCGTCTATTCTTGTGATACTCCCTGGTGGTCTCAAGGAGCGTCTGAACTTGGATAAGCGAAAAAAACAACTCCAAATTGAGGCACAATCCAGTCAGGTTCGATGGAAGCTGGACTGATGAGACGCGGGTATGGACAATAGCATTCCCTTGCTTGCTGGCAAGGTAAAACGCCACTGCCTTACCCTTGGTCGGGAAGGTAATCAGGCGAGGGTTCTTTACCAAGCAGCAACGAAGGTAGTCCAGGGCATCCTTGGCAAACATTGCCAACCGTAAGATGTCCATATTCACATCTTGTTTTGTTGCATGGACGCCTTTCAGCTCGCCGAAGTAAACCTCTTTGCCACCTGGAGTGTAGCCAACAATATCTGGCTGCTGGGATGAGGCACGCAGTCCAAACTCTTGCTTCTGCTCTTGGCCATGGCCAGTAGTGAACTTGGCACTAAAAACAAGAGCATTGTTTTTAGAAAACAATATATATATATTTAAAAAAAAGTAAAGGAGTGGAGATAATGAAGCCAAGCACGTACCTTGTAAACTTGATTTCGTGCTGGATCTGAAGAACCTCCTCCAGGATCGGGCCAACCATCCCCATCGCGCAATCTGCTTCACTTCGCAATTTCGACCGCATGCTGAATTTCCTGAAGACATGTAAAGTCATGAACAGTACAGGCAGGACATTATTGACCTTGGAATCCCCGTACGCTGTCATAATCGAATCGATAACTGGTGTTGCATCCAATGTACTCTCAACTCCTTGACCGGTAACTAGTCTGGCAGACAGCTCAATCGAGGACCAGAGCTACAAACCGAAAAGGACGAGTTTGAAGTTTAGATTGGGACGCCCAAAAAAAAAAAAAAAAAAAAAAAAGAAAGGCTTAATTCACCTCACACCAGGTTATCCGGTGGCCTCGTGCTGCTCGTGCTCGCTTCAGGTCCTTGTATAGAATACCTAGAGCACATCCCAACGGATTTGAAAAGTCTCATCCTTGGAGAGATGTACATGCTCTTTGTCGACATGGAGCACACCTGACAATACTTTAACGAACGAAAAAAAAGTGTTAGAACCTAATAATATACGCAAGGCAAGAATACATACGCGATCTCATTCAGACCTTGAAGAGTCAAAGTTGCCCTCTGCCTTGTCGCATCATAGACATTTTCGGTCCCCTGTCCTTTCCACCAAGTGTAAGATTGAAGGTGTAGTCCGGACGATCGCAGTTACGAGGAGTTGCTTTCCGCGATGAAGGGTTGCAAAAAATATTCCCGATTCTGGTGCTCAGTTGTGCTGTTAAATGGTATCTGCGTCATCCCCATGCCGCTAGCTTGTTACGGCAGGGAGAAGGGGTTCCTCGTCCTCATCTTCTCCTGGCAACATAAAAGGCCGGACCGGGCTTGCAGGCCCTGAGGGTGTCGGAGATTGCAATGGTGTGCAGAGAAGTTCAGAGGATGGGCGAGACCCTTCAGATAGACCTAAGTATAGAAGTGGAAGAAAATTAGGAATGGCAGTTCTCACAACCTTCTTGGTTAACCGATATGGCGCTTTATCATTTCAAAATGCACTCGCATGCACTCACATGCATTACGAGCATTATTTAATTATGCCTCATCCAGCCCGTCCAAGGGATCCCGTGGATGTTTCTTGCCAGCTAGTAGAGTGGTAATAGAAGGTACCCATGTTAATGAAAAATGAACGCAAGACTCTCCAGACCATTCGATATATGGCAAGTTTGCTCACCTGTACTGGGGATGTATGTCTAATCTGCAGAGTTTTGGCCTAGCACACGGGAGCTCAAAGATAACGCCGGACCTGTGATACTTGTCGAGGATGGAGTGCTATTTTCAAGGCCATAAGAGAGTAGTGAGAAAACTGGATTGGGATCTACATGGTTGAGTTGATGGGCTGTACGATTGGGCCAAGGATAAACTCAAACAACAGGACATGCGTGTGATTTAGAAGGGTAACTTACCTGGATAGACAGAGTTGTCGAGCTTTTCTAGATGGTTGCAGGCGTTCTTTTCGACTGACTGCATGACTCTCGCAGTGGTGCGGTTCGCAGTTATGTTCGTCTGGACCCTGGCTTCTTGCTGTGATCTCTCTGCCTCTTGCTCCAGTTTTCGATCGCTCCAAAACCGCTTCACGGTTCCGTTTTTCTTGTCAGCAAAGTATCTCTCCTTCAACAACAGCAACGATGCTCTCGTCTTTGGGACTTAATCCAGTGCCAAATCCCGTCAAATCCCTGATCCAAATACTGCATGCGTTCAGTTCTGATATTTCAGGGACACTGTTAAAGAAGTCGAAATGGTTATTGGATAACAGATCTGTGTATTATGCAAGATACTTCAGAGCCTTGCGAGAGAACATCTTTGATTTTGAGAGCGAGAAACAGAAGCGAACTCCTAGTCAACGGAAATGATAGGGCGTAAGACTGATAAGTAATATCTCTTGTTTACATGAAAGGGAGGGGGGGGGAAAGGGGAGGGAGCAGCAGAGGGCGCTCATGGAGCAAGTAACCAATTGTCTGCACTTCCAGATCGAACACCTCCTTTTGTAATTAGGCAGTGTCCTCCTGGAGCTCATGCACCGACCCTAGACTACCGGGCCAATCGTAAACAAGGTTCTCTACGAGACTCGCATGGACTGCATGGTCTCATCCAAGGTGGCTGTCAAGACTTAACCCCCAAACGAAACGCAGAAGAGACAGGGACAGGTTTTGAGGGAAAGTGGGAGAAAGAGAGCGTATGTGTGTGTGTGTGTTTATGTAAGACGAGAAATCAAAGGTGATGAAGATGAAGAGAACAAAGGGTGATGAAAACGACGGGGTTGCTACTTTTTTTCGCATTGCTAACACATGGAGAGACACGTGATTAGAACCCAAAAAATGTGGAACTGACGGATACCGACTCCATTGTTTGCTTCCAAAGTAGCCAAAATGCAGAAAATACAACTGCCAACGCTCAAGCATTGACTCCACGAAAAACCATCCGTACGGAAAGGCGATCTTCTGCCAGAAGGGTTTACTATGTTGCTTTTCAAAATTAATCCAGTAACATAGAATGGCTCCGCAAAAAAATAAAGGAATCGCTCCAATAATACTACTCCTGTTCCCATTCGCTACTGAACCCCCCGCTCCGATGAAGCTAGAGAAGTGGAAATTGGAGACCTCGGAAGAGATTGAACAAAAAGCAAAAAGATCGACCAAGAACTGTTGATCCGTCATCTAGAGGATATCAACGGTATACAATTTGAAAAGCGGTACAACAACATTCCCACCACCAAAGATAAATGGAGCCTATGAAATAGAACGTTGAAACCAGTTGGGCGTAATCAGCGGTCTTTGAGGTGGTTGCCCAAAACGCGGACAAGAAACGAAGCAATGAGCAACCCGAAGAAAATCAGAAAGTAAACCAAGTCCCGACTTCCTTGAGTACGTAAAAGCCCTTTGCTCTTTGCTAGTTGTAACATTGATGCATGCTTCGTAAACGGTAGTTATTAGCCTCATGTTTTAAACATAGTTGATATAAGTCTCCAATATATTCACCTTAGTAGTTGGAAGGTGGCCCTCAATTGATTGAGCAGATAGTCGATCACCATGCTGATCATCAATGCCATTCCTTGGGACGGACTGCAGTCCATTTTGAATTTCGTCGCTGACATCTGAAGTGAAGAGCGTCGGAGAATTTCTTAGATCAAAACTGCCGGAATCAGTGTGGCTGGATGACCTTGCTCGGCTACCGATGATCCCTTGCTCAAGGCTGTACTGTCCAACTACCATAACATATGATTTGAACTTCCTCTTGGCAACCCAGTTGCCCAACAATAGAGCCAAGTAGGCGTCAGAAATGCAACTGACTACACCTCCGAGAAACATCACTGTATGCAAGAGCCATGGCACGGAGAAGAGAGCCGATACGCTCCCTGCAAGGAAAGCAACTGTTCTTGGAATCTTGTCCGTGGCCAGTGCCGTCGATATGCGATAGCCTGCGAATGCTACAATTCCAATTGCTGCCGATTCCAGTCCTTGCTCAAGTCGAGTTGCCCACAGATGGATGCCGCCAATCAACGATCCTACGACAGTAATGAAGATATTGCTCCAGGGATACTACAAGCGAACTTCGAAACTTCGGGGGCGGGGTAGGTGGCATTGAGAAAAAAAGCTTTAATTGAAGGAGAACTACGAAGGAACAAAAAGAAATGCGATCCTGTACCGAAAAGAAAAAACTGCAAAGGAAAATGAAAGAAAATTAACAAAGAGAAAAAAAAAAGGGACTGAAAGAAACTGGTATCGAGAAGAGGAACGCGAGATCTCTCGACTTACCATAAAAGAAAAAAGTAATATCCACGAAGAATTGGAAAGATGTAAAAAAACCCCATCTTTTCTGCTAGCAATTGAATACCTGCTCGCATGTGGTGCAGAATGAGCCTTCGCCAGTAATCGCATGCACTGTCGAGGTCTCGCCCTTTCTTCCTCAATATAAAAGCCGGCACGGGGTTTTCGCTCTAGTGTCAATGCGACAAACGAGCAAGCAACAATCGTCCCCGACAACACCCTCGACCCCCCTTCGTCTCCTCATCGTGAAACATACATCAGCGACACTCACGACCGAATGACCCATGCATCTGACCAACTCTATAGATAGTCTCCCGCTCCACCTCTACTCCACCAACCATCCCCCGCACATCCCCACTCCACCCTACTATACTTCCGCTCAGCTCCATCACCTCGACCAAAACTCACCGCGCAAACCGCTTCTGCCAGATCTTACACCGAATCGCCATATCCCCATCCTGGACTTGCTCCCTCGCCCACTGCCAATGTGTGGCATCCATAATCATATACGTCTGGCCCTGCCACTCAAACTCAATATCGATATAATAGCTGGGCGCCAGTTTGAGGTTCCGACGGAGCATGATATGGATATCGTTGAGCGTGCTCTTCTTGATCAGGGGTCTCAACTTGCATGGCCACCTTCCTCCAATCCAGCACATCAGCGTATACTATTTGACCAGAGTGAAGGAAATAAAGACTTTGGTTAGCATCCAAACGATCAGCTTAAAAAAAAGACTGCAGAAGTAGCTCAAGGGCAAAGGCACAAAGAAAGCTTACGTGGACGGGTGGGCCGCCTTTGCGGGTACAGACCCCGTTACTACTATTGCTGCTGAGGCTGGTGCTTGAAGACGAAGAGCTGAGGGTAGTCGAATGGGATAGACTGATACTGATATCGCTGATACTGGACGAAATGCTGGCCCGGCGGTCAGACCCGGCATCACTCACACTCGACATGGCTGTGTCCTGGAGAGAGTCCTTGGGGAAATCGGTGGAGATGGTCAGCGAGTGGCGCTTTGACCGATATTGTGCATCAGTCTGCTCCTTCATCATCGAAGGTCCTTGTGTCCGACCACGACCTCGAATCTGCTGCATGCGACCCGCTGCGCTCTGGCTCTGGTTCTGGTTGGAGCATTGCTGTTGCTGTTGGAGACGGTGAGAGTTGGACTGGGATGACACTGAAACCTTGACCGTCGCTGCCACATTACTTTCTGATACTGGCTGAGATGACCGAGGATCCAAAATACCAGTCAGGCAGGTCTCAAGACGTCCGTCACAACTCATGCGGCGGGAATGGCGCCTTCGAAGCGCGGAACAGATCGAAGGTGGCATAATAGGTGCAATGGGATCCGGGTCAAAATCTCCTAACGAGATGCATCTGCGCCTGCTAGAAACCGGAGCCTGGAGAAGGATCGCCTCCGAAACCGCTTTTGGTTGCGATACTAGACTTGTCGACGCCTGCTGAACGGCCACGGGGGAACTGGCAACTTTGTGCTTATCCTGAGAAGTGGACATTACAACCTCATATGACTGCTGATGATGGTGCTGTTGGTTGTGGTGGAAGTTTTTCTGCTGGTAGGATGTCGAAAAGCGCCTCTGGTCCTTGCGTCTCTGTCCCGAGTCTCCATTACCACTACCCTGCTGATACTGCTGTTGTTGTTGTTGCTGCTGCTGCTGCCTGTTTTGCTGCTGCTGTGGCTGAAGACTGTGCCGCCTGCCATTCTGGTTCTTGCCTCTGGCTCCCTGAAAGACCTGCTGCTGCTCCGTGAGCTGGGCCTCAGCACCATGAGAAAGGAACCCTCCTCCGCTATACACTAGCATATCCCCAGAGTCGGACTCTGATCGCCGATGCTGGTAAGGACGCGAGTTGGCAACCCGTCCTCTACAGGTTTCAATACCTTGGATGAGCATGTTGTGAGCACCGTCTTGGCTGGGTGGATTGCTCTGAGGGCACACACTGCGCTGAGCAAAGAACTGCAGACTCTGTTGTTGCTGCTGGTGATAGAGTAGTTGTTGGCTAGGGGTAAAGTGTGGATGCTGGTACTTTTCCACTGCTGGTGAGGAGAGGTGTGGTTTGGGGTGGTTCATCATCAGCATCGCCATAATCGAGGCGCTGGCGTCGTTATTACAGCTGTTGTTACTGTTGCAATTGCGATCATCATCCATGGCTCCACCGAGGCCATTGCGACTGTCCTCGGGGTCGTCATCGCGGGCATCGTTGCTGTGTCGCTGTTCCTGCTGTTGTTGCCGCATCGTTAAGTCGGTCGCAGCATCGGTCAGAACTTGCTGCTGAGGGTGTTGGTGATAAGGCCGCGAGGAATGATCAGGTGTACATCCTCCCGAGGAAGACAACCACACCGTATCCTCTGAGATGGAAGGCGACAACATCCCTAGAGGAGACATCTTTGGCGAACAGTCTGTCAAAGGCGAGCAAGAGGCCTCCCGTCCTCCTCCTCCTCCCCAAAGCTTTGAGTGGTGAAGATGGCGATGGAGCTGTGGTAGGGGTGAGGGCAGCGCGGATGGAGATTCTGGGGACGAGATTAGGTCAGAAGGGAATCTTGCGAGAAGATCGTCGACCTCCTTGGGCTCGACCAGGCGAGAGAGACAGAGGTCGATAGCCCGTACCCTACCGAGTTCTCCGTTCGTTGGATCCTCGCATTTCATTGCACTCTTGTACGATGATCTCCACGATACGCCCTATTGTGCGCGATAGCAGTTGAACAAGATCAGGCAATTGAAGAACAGTAATAAAAGACACTGTTAGCAGGCGGATCATCTGCCACAAACAAAAACGAGAAAGACGAGGACGACCAGGAATATTGTTGTCCCTTCCGTTCTGTCTGTGCCTTTTCTACACACAGACTAAACATGCGGTGTCGGGAGTCGTCGTTAATCTGATGGTTGATGGCCAACAAAAAAAACCACCACTTCCTTCCTCCCTTCCCTTGGATTTGTTTCCTCAGTGTGAAAAACGCGCCCCTCATACACCGATTCCCCCTTGTCCGTGTTAAAAAAGCGATTCCAATGGGTCCCTCTCTTTCCTCATCCCTTGCACTCCTGACCGTGTGGGTGTACACATTACACATCCATGTCCTTGCTTTAATATTCCTTTTTTTTTCCACCCCCCATCTCTTGCGAAGCGCACCGCGTGTGAGTGTCCGTCCTCCTCACCTCCAAGGGCAAAAGGAAAAGAAGGGGGCGAGAGAATAAATACCACACTTGACCCTTCTACACAAAACAGCCACCTCTTGACTTTCCCCTTTTCAGCTCGTCTGTTTAGTCCAGAAAACAATATTGCAGTTCAGACCCGTTGAAATGAACATAAAATAAGAAATAATAAGAGTTACTGCCATAAGATAAGAACGAACTGGTAAACAATTGACCCCTGTCATGCTCCTTCTCTTCCACACCAACTCTTGTTTTTAGCAATTTCTCCTTTTCCTTTGAGTCCTAATGAACCCATATATCTGGCCGATGAAGGCTTGGTTGACGTGTGCCCTTTGTTCCTAATACTCTTTCACACCAACATCTCCTTTTCCCTCCCCTTATCATACTCCTCCTGCCTCTCTTTTGTCTCTTAAGCCTGCCCTTTTCAATACCTCATCTTGCATCAACAAAAAAAAATGATAGAAAAGAATTGTGTGTTCTATGAAGGGTCAGATTCCGAATGTGTCCACCTCTCCATCTTCCCCCTTTGTTTCTTTCCCTCTTCTGTATCCTTATTCCATCCTCCTCCTTTTTTTCCCTCCCTTTTTTTTTTTTTTTGCTATCGTTGCTTTTTTTTCCTCTTCTCCTTGGTGTCCTGTCCCTCGATTCTGGGTAATGCAACTATTTTATCCTCACCTCGTATGATGAAAAGGCCGAGTCGCAGATAGATATACGCAACAGTCGCGTCGAGGCCGTGTAGGAAATCCTTTTGATCCAATGTTGGGGCAACTCCAAAGCTGGTCCTCCACAGGCAAGGCACAGCCAAGCGGTGATTGGTTGTCGCGAAGGTGAGAAACTTCGTCGTCTGATTTGTTGTTGTTGTTGCTCCTCCGCTGTGCTGGACCTGCGACGGTGGTGACGGGGAGGACTAGAAGATGGCGATGTGGTAGATACGGCAGAGGTAGTAGAAGACCCTTGGGATGACGGATGAGAATCCAAGTAAGATAAGCAGGACGAGGTAGTAGTCGCAGCTGAGGTGGGCAGAGCAGTAGAGGTAGCAGTGGTTGAAGAAGATCGTGGTATTGGTTGATGCAATGTAGTCTCGTCCGATCCAATTGAGGCTGAGATTTCCAATGCCTCCGATACCACCTCTCCCTCCTCACCGTCACTTTCCACTCCCTGTTGCTGCTCGAAAAGACAAACACAATAGTCCTTCTCCCGAGTGCTTGTCTTGAGCTGTCGGAAGGAGCCGATCTCTGCCCGGGTGAGAGAAAACTGAGCCAACAGCACCTTCGACTCATCCTTCCTTCCTTCATCCTCCTCCTGAAGAGGAGTTGCTGCCTCTGCTCTGGGTGCCATTGCTGTCGATACTTGAGTTGTTGGTCCTCCCTTGGTCGAGTCCAGGCCCGTGTTGCCCTTCTCGTTCTGCATGCTTGACATTGTTTTGTTCTGTAGTGAAATATTGCCGGAGGTGGTAGTTTGTCGTTAGGCATAGTAAGGAAGAGTCCATGACGGTCAAGCAGATTGGATCAATTGACACGGCAAGAGACATCATAGATAAATAAAAGAACAAAGCTAATGGATCTGATGCGCTCAACCAAACGGTCCTCCCTATTACTTCCTCTCACTCTCGCACAATCTAATTTTCGTGTTGGTTCGCTTGTGGCTAGACACTTTCTCCAACCATTTCTCACTGTATTCTTTGCACTCTTTTGTTCATACCCCTTCGTTTTCGCCATCTGATGCATCCATGTCTACAATATCCAAATGCTTCTTCATTTCCCTCTCACAGAGCACCCTTCTTGTGTAGGGATCAGACCACCATTGTGATAATACCATGGGAGGAGATGTCCACACGCTCCAGAGAATAACAACAAGAGCACGGTGCTTTAAACCACCACCCCAGATCTCGATCATTTGTGTTTCGATCTTTCAGAGAGATCTTTTTTTTGATGTCGTTCCGCTTTGATTTTTTTTTTTACCTCTGTTCGTGGGGGAAGAGGGGGATAAAGTCAAAGAAAAAAGAGCAGGAATGTGTATGAAATGTGCACTGAAAGTAAGCAAAAAGAAAGAAAAAAGAAAGAAAAAGAAGAGGAGTAAAAGAAACAAAGAATCTCAATCGGCGTTTATTACTTCCTCTCTTTCCTCTCAATTCTTTCTTTTTCCTCTCGGCCTTGCTCATCGACTGATCTCCCCTCTTGCCATAGAGACTATGTGGTCATCAGGAGCAAAAAGGCAGCCATATTCGCCACCTCTCTTACTTTCATGTTTTGTGTTTCCCTTCTGTCGTTCCCCTTCTCTCACCCCTTCGAGAAAAGTAACGAAAAGTAAGGGTGTGTGAAAAATCAAATAATACTCTTTCCCCTCGATCCTCCTTGATCTTTCCTCTTTCCCCCTCCTTTTCACTTCGCTCTGATAATGAAATGTAAAAAAAATACTCATTGTGCAAGGGGTGAAATGTATTCACCAAACATACATAGCAAGAGGAGGGGGGGTATATGAGAGTGTGGGTAGAGAATGAGGAAGGAAAGAGGGGGTGAGTGAAAATGATAGGAATAGTATTTTCTCTAGGTCCTTCCTCCACACAAATAAATCGATTAGAGCTGTTCATTCATTTTCCATTGCCCCCCTTTTTTTTCTATGTGGGAAATTGCTCTCTTCATGTTCTACATCTCTTTGTGGAACCAAAATAAACAAGCAGGCCTATGCAAAAGCGCATGCGTGAAATAGAGTATGTCATCCTGCCTCCCACTCCCTGCTTCCCTCTCTTTTCCACTTACACGCTCTTTTCACTTCCCTCTCCCCTCTTCTCAATGGGATTCATTTAACCATGCACCCAAAACAAAACAATAAAAAAGTGGAATCAACGTTACCTCGTGCATGGCTGATTTCTGAAGCATCATCTCACTCAGGTTGGAGTCGTATCTCGGTTGGTGTAATGCGAGAGCGTGTTGTGAGGAGGGCGGTTGAGAAAAGGAGAAAAGGAGAAAAAGGAAACTGGTAGGTCGAGAGAGACGGGGAGATAGGATGAGAGGGAGAAGGAGCGATCTCAATATTGGAAACGCGTCTGTCAGTTGAGATAGGGCGGAGAGAGGCGGACTAACCGATCAGATTTTTTCAAGGTGAAATGTGGTCGGGTTAAGCCTGTGTTGTTGCAAAGTTGAGGGCGAAGTGATGATTGTTGCTCTTTGTTTTATGAGCTTGAAATGTATGTGTATGAGGGATGGGTAACAAGAGAGGACGCGTGTTTGAGTGGGTAGGGAGAGGGGTATGAGGAGAGATGTGAGTGAGAGAAGGAAAGAGGGAAGGATAGAGATTGAAGTTGAACAAGAGAAACCGGATTTAAAAGTTGTATCAGCGATATAGAAAAGGGAATAAAAGGGCGTGGGTGCTATCTGGCGTGAAATGATGAGAGCGAGCGAATTCAAGGAGAAGAAGGAGGTTGCAGAGAATGGGAAACGGGAAGGAAAGAAAGAGGGGCAGAGTGAGGGATAGATGTAAAAAAGTAAGAGGAAGAAAAAAGGCTAGATCTAGGAGACGAAAAAGAAAAAAAAAGGGAAAGGAAAGAAAGTAAGGGTCGGTTGAGGATTGAACAGAACGAGCAACGATGAACGACTCGATGATATGGGCCATGGAGATAAAAAAGGGAGCGAACTACATCATTTTTCTTTTTATTCAGCATGCCTCCTGTTAATTTATTTTGGCATGTTTCTTAGAATACTCTACAAAGACATGCCTCCGTGCGCCACACCCACCATGGCTGTCATGTCGGATAAGAAGACCGGTGTTACAGGGCTGGTGAATAGGATTACAGGAAGCAATGGTACATGACATAGCCTGAGGCATAGAAGCATTTGGACATGGTCATTGATAGCAAACATTGCACTAGGCCATGTCTTGGTGCGTCAGAAACATACGACAATCACGGCAATATGCCATACTTCCAGATCATACCTTCCTTCGTTAGAACTATATTTAAGCATACGCGAATAGAGGGGTGGGTAATTACGGAAAACATGAAGGACTACATTCAAGCAAGATGGTTGTTTACGTCTAATGCTGAGGACGAGGGGAAGTGAGAGAGCAAAGTCAGAGAAAGAAAGGATGGCACTCCATCGGACAACAGAGAAGCCTTTTTCTTTTGCCTTTTGCCCGTTCATATTCCAACTTTGAGCAGCTATCGAGGACAAGAGAAGAGACAGCAGTTCTCCTTTTTCCTGCCCCCTTTTCCCATTCCTCTTCGTCTATTTTCTTAGGAAGGAGGGCGTTGATGTGCTATGCATCTATCTTTTTCAAGGACCAAAAAAAAACATTTCATTCAGTTCAATGTTCAATTGGGCCTTTCCTCCTTCCTCCCAGGGGCGACAACTACACCGAGGACAAAGAGCAAAAAGGAGAACCTGAAGGGTTTACAAAAGGGAATGCGAAAAAGGAGGCCAAGAGGGAAAGGAAGTGGATGTTAGTACTGTCAGCCTCTCTCCCTTCTCTCCTGAACTTTTTTTTTTTGGTTCTCCCACTCTTTTACTATTCTAATTTCTCTTCTCGTGAAATACTGTGCCATGGGCTTTCTTCGTTAAAAGTAAAATGAATGAAACATATCAATCAATGACTTCTCTGTTCATGTAGCCAAAGCAAACAACCACCACCTACCCAACCACCCACCTACCCAATCACCCAACCACCATGAATCGTGTCGATATATTCACCTCGGCGCAACAATAGCAGCTGGCTAACTCGGTGCGCTTTCTTCAATTTCTTACATTTACATTCCACATCACAACCAATAAGGCAAAACGATACACCAGTAGAAGGGAACAAAGAAGTAAATCGTCTTGTATCGTCGTCTTGCTTTTTTTCCCTTGCATTTTATTGCTGTTTACAAAAGTCCATCAGCGCAGCCTTTGGAGTAGTTGATATGGAAAGGAAAGGAAGGTAGCGAAGGAAAGAAAAGGGCAAGCTCGAGGGAAGAAAGGAAGCATAATCTAGTTTTTCAATTACACACATGCACGACACTGCGTGCTCATTTTGCCATACCGCGTCATGAGAAATACCTCGAGGGTGGGAATTAAGTGATGACAGAGACGCGTATTGGCCACTCACAATGAGTGCTCTGATGTAATGCGATATTTTCGTTTGCCAACTCCCCCTGCCTAGGTCGTCGAGTTGATGAGGAAGACCCTCAAATGGACTGTTGCTCCTCCACCCTACAGTTTCTCTCCCACATCTCGACTCGAAAGTGCCGTTAGCCAAGATCACTACCACCCTCCTGTCTATGTTTCCAGGACCCGCGCTTCTTTATTACCTCAAGCGAAGGGTAGAATTGAATAGAGGGCGATCACTGTTCGAATCTCCTTCCACTCTATTGTATTTGCGCGCAATTTTCTCTATTTCTTTACCCACTTATCAGATCCGTTCGCCGCAAATGCAGGTCTCTGCACCTCTTTACTATCACTTCCAGCAACCTTGAATGAATTATAGGTTTCCATATATATCTCCTGCCTGTCCAAAGCAAAATGTCGCAGAGATGACCCCGTTGACAGATCTCGTTTCTTTTTTATTAGTTATACATCTCGTCCAGAAACATTTTTCCTTGCTCCTGGTCTCTGTGGTGGACAATAGGTCCAAACGCGGAAAAAAGAAAAGAAAAGAAAAGAAAAAAACGCTTGGTGTTACATGTCGTTCAAGTAGAGGTCGGCAAAAAAAAAAAAAAAAAAAAAAAAAAAAAGTGAAAAATGACTTCTGTGGTTGTGGTTCTCCTGTTTTCGATCGCCTGTAATACGTTCCGCATTGCGCCTGTCTGCCTCATTCTTGACCAAATTGCCAAACCCACAGCACACGTTTAGTACAACTCGCCAAACTCGGCAATGTCAACAGAGAAGCCCTGATCGCTCAACATGCGGTGCTTTGTCTTTTCCCGCTTGACCTTGGCCTCCATTTCCTCCCGCTGGATCTGGAGCACATCCTCAACTGGCACCTGGCGCAGCGGTGACTCATCTTCCTTGTCTTCATCCTATTTGGTTGTAATAACATAAGCGTTAATTGGTGTGGTGAACGGATATGGGCATGATGATCCTGGAGAAGTCAGAAAAGGGACGGTTAACGTACGATCTCGCCAAGGAGGACGACGTTCTCGCCACGGATGATAAAGATGCCACGGGGGATGTCTCCGTAGGTGTCGGCAACGTATATCCTCTCAATCGTATCCTGGAGTACCAAGTTAGCTATTTTTGTTGGGGTGATAATAACGACAGGAGCATGGAAATAAGTTCATAGTCCCGTTTGTTCTCTTGTCCAACATCGTCTGTCCTTTTGTGCTGTACATATAAAAATGTGGTTATTACCGAACTGGTCAAAGGAGCGAAGGATTCCAATCAGCTTTCTTCCGTCCCTGAGCACAACCAGCAGCTTCTCTAGGTGGTCGTAATAAGCCAACAAAAAAGAGGCGCGTGTTAGTATTGGCGGTAGTTCATTGAAATTCCTGATGCCTCCTCAAAGAGCAAATCTCTGTGGCGCCTGATGCGCAACAAAGAGTACAAAGCATGAAGAAGAACATGAAATGTCCATGGCTGATGTTACGTACTGTCGACGCTGTCGACCAGACTGGTCGAGGTGGTGAAGATCTGAAAGCTGTCCATTGCCTGTGTGTATGAATGTTCTGCGAGTATGTGTGATCCTTGGTGTTGTAGTCCTTAATGCTTGCTTGCTATGTTCTTTAGCGGTGTTTTTCCAGAAAGCGGGTGTTTAGTTGTTTGATGAGAGAGTAGTTGAGAAAAGAAGGTGATGATGGAGCGAGCGAGATAACTACGGCCTGCCTGTCGTTCCTTTGAGCCAGCAGCAAGTTCACACAAGTCAAGCAGGCAGGTGACTGCTTATCCTCACGCTCAATTATGGATTTCGATCGCCAAATGGAAGGGAAAAGGTGTGTGCCTTTGTACCGCCATTTCATTGTTCCGTCCGTGTGTCAACGAGGGTGTCTTCTCTCTCGGCAATGCTTTTTCGGGTCGTGTAAGCCATTGAGAAACAACAACATAATAAGCTGTGGGTGGCAATAATAGGCACTGGGTACACATGAGTATCAATAGCAATGGTAAGGGCACGTTCCTGAGGGATTTGTAACTGTTGTTTTTTCTCGGGCTGGGTGTCACTCGGGCACGAACAAAACAAAGAGGAAGGACCGCCAAGAAAAGTAAAGGTTAACTTGACGGCGTGTTTGTGTATGTTTGTTTTGTTTGTGAACAAGGTGCAACAAAGGGCTCACTCTTTCGTCCTTCTTGTCGTTCATCTCTCTCTCTCTCTCTGGGAGGTGTGGCTGGGGGAATGAAAAGACAAAGATCGTGTGCCATAACCGTCATTTTTCAAAAGGAGGTAGACTCGACTCTTTTTTTTTTCCTTTTCTTCTTTCTTCTCCTCTTTCTTCATCAACAAAACTCATTCTCTCTCCCTCTTTCCCTCTCTCATTCACCTTCCTCTTCTTTTCTCCTCCATCCACACAACCAACATGTCCTACAACCAAGGATACAACCAAGGGTACCAGCAACAAGGCTACGGCCAACAGCAGCAACCCTACGGCCAGCAACAGGGATATGGTCAACAGCAGCAGCCCTACGGGCAACAGCAGGGTTATGGCCAGCAACAAGGATATGCTCAGCAGCAGGGGTATGCTCAGCAGGGTCAGCAGGGTCAGCAGGGTCAGCAGGTTCAGCAGGTTCAGCAGGCTCAGCAGGGTCAGCAAAACTCGTACCAGCAGCAGCACCAGCAGTACCAGCACCAGCAGCAGAACCCAGGTAACTTTTAGGAAAAGGGGTTGGAGAGGAAGTAAAACAACGGGCAAGCAACCGACATGGAACAAACATGACCCGTTGAGAAAAAAATGAGGAGGGAGGGAGAAGGGCGAAGGCGTGCATCGTACGGGAGGAAGTATGGGAGGTGTTTTTTTCTGTCTTCTATGGTCTTCTACAAGGGCAGTAAATAAGGGCTGTTATTTTTTCTTTTTGTCATTGTTGCTTGACGACGACACCGCAGCCACATGGATGATCTCTGACAGCAACCTACACTCAGCTATCGACCGAGGATACGATGTTACGAACGATGATGTTTAGCAACAACAATAAACAACAAGCGGCAACAATGAACGCATTATGATGACCAACGACACACGCTAAACACTAACGCCCACTCTCTTCCCTCTTCTCCGGCCCTTTTTCCGTTTTCGACAACAAAAAATAGCCGCGCCAGACCAGAGCGCAGAACTTCGCAGGTGGTTTGATGCCGTCGACGCCGACAGATCGGGACAACTCAGCACCGAGGAGCTCCAGAAGGCCCTCATCAATGGTATGTTTCCTTTTGTAGTGTTATTAACACTTGTATGCGTGTACTTGTTATTGGCATTTTTGTGAGCGCTGACCAATTGCTCAGTGAGAGTACTTGCCGGCGTACTTTTCATACACCACACACCCCAACAAAAGAAAGGGCGCGGAACCAAATAAGGGTGCATACCAGAAGAACGAGGATGACCAGGATGCCCACTTGGCAGGATGGAGCAAAAGAAGGAGAGCGAGTATGCGTCTCTCTTGTTTTTAACATCAGAAACCACGCAAGGAGGAGCTAACGAGACTAGCCTGATGACGGCGAGAAAGATGATCCTGTCATTCGTCTTCGTTAAGACACATGGCTGAAGTGTTTTTCACTCCTTTGGCTGTTGTCGTGATTGCTTACTGACGCCCTCCTTCCCTTCCCCTTATTAGGTGACTGGTATGTTCAAGTGGACATGACTAGGGAGATGATAGATGCGCTATTAATAGATCACAAGTCAGCTCAGGAACCGGCCTGGAACGGCTCTTTACTCGAACGCGTTCAAATTCGCTTCTTTGAAATGAATTACCACACGGGGGGGAAGAGAGCAAATGCAGGCAGGGGGGGAACTGTATCCGCTATTAACCCTTGCTGCACCATCTTTATTACATTTGGATGAATAGGACCCCTTTCAACTACGAGACTGTCCGCCTCATGATGAACATGTTCGACACCGGTACGACTCTCCTCTTTTCTCTCTTCTCACTGTTTGCAACTCTCTGTACAACTTACCACTTTTATTAACCCCTCGTTCCCCATACTGAACCCACATGATTAATAGACAACTCAGGAATGATCAACTTTGCAGAGTTCTCAGGATTGTGGCAGTACATTGAGGAGTGGCGCACCTGCTTTGCGGCCTTTGACCAGGACAAGTCCGGGTCGATCGATTTCAACGAGCTCAAAACCGCCATGCGCTCCTTCCGCTACAACCTTTCCGATGACTTTTTGCGCCTACTCATCAAGAAATACGACCGCACCGGTACGTTTTTCCTTGCTTTCTGGAAGGAAAAGGGTGTTTAATACGTGTTTATTAATTGTGGTGGTTGACTGATAATGCCTTCGCTTTTCTTCAACGTGGTGAAATAGGCAAGGGCGATGTGTCGTTTGATAACTTTGTGCAGATTGCTGTTACGGTCAAGTCGTTGACCGATGCCTTTATGCGCATTGACAAGGAGGGCCGCGGCTACGCCACCATCGGCTACGAGCAGGTAACTCATTGCTTTGCGTTGAATCCTTTGCTCACAATTGGATCTGTCTCATGATTTCAGTTTACTTACACAATTTCTTTTATTTTTTTCTTCATTATCGAATAGTTCTTGGAGCTCGTTGTTACCAACCGGTAGATGGTCTGCTTCACAGGGTATGATGATCTGCAACGGGATGGACAACCGCAGCAATCCCTCCAGAGCATGGGAGTGTAGTTGTCTAACAACCAGCAACCACATATTGAAGTAGTAAAGTCAAAAGTCAACGAAACTGGGGACGAGCAAACGTTGGGATGAATGTTTTGGTGCAGTTATTGGTTGTGATGGTTGTCGTTTAGCCCAATGGTGGTTCCATGGCTCGCAGGAAGTGTTTGTTAGAAAAAATTCCCTTTCGAGAAGTAGATTGGGCTGACAACCATCCAGCACTCCCCTTTCTTGCTCAAAGTTTAAAAGTTAGTTTTGCGCCCATGTCAGGCGCTCTTTTCACACGTCTTCTCCACACTCTTCAACATTCACACAAGCCAAGTCTCTCCCCCTTGCCGTCAGGAATCAGAACACCACAGCACGTATTCACTTCTTCCAAGGACGTAACCAACTCACAGCCTAACAACCAACCACCCCAACCGACCTCCATTCATCCTTTCCTTTCCTTTCCTCGCCAGGGGCTCATTGCATTCAACTCACAGAGACGGAGCAGCTATATACAACAATGTCGCATCCACACTTGACAGGTCCTCGGAAACACCGCCTCTACCGCGGGCATCGAGCCCGGTCCCTCAACATCACCGAAGAAGAGCTCGTCGAGGTCCGAGGTACATTCATAGTTCTTCTCACTAGCATTCATACAGAATGCAACGTGTGGCTTCTTGATCAGGGGGGGGGGGGGAGGGGGTGACCCTGAAACCTCTCGACGCTTTGTAATCTCAACCCCCTCCGTATCTAACACAGACACCCTCACTCTCTTCTTCACCACCCTGTCTTTTTCTCTTTCCTTCCCCCCTACTCCTCCAAAACACACAAATAGCCCGCGAAAGGACATTCGACGGAGCGTACTGGCGAACAGCCATGAAATCCTTCTCGATGGGGATGATTATCATCCGGCTCTTCACAAAATCCTTCTACAAGATCGGGATCATCTTTGTCGCTTTTGGAATGGCTATGCTCGGGATATCGGTGTTGAGGAGAAAGGCGGCGGGGGATGTGTTTGATCAAAGGAAACCGTTTGAGACGAGTGGGTTTTGGGTTGCTGTCACTACAGGTGTTACGACGGTGGCGTATGTTATTATGTTTGTTTTGATTATGAATTTGAGCTGAGGAGATGGTGGGTGGTAGGAAAGGTTGGAAGGGAAAAACGTTGGGAGGCTCAGGAGAAGTGACAAGAACAATGAAACACACAATGCGGATCAAATTCACCCCGCGCAGTAGGATGACACCCTTCTTTTCTCCCCCCCGCCATCTTATCCACTTGCTGAGACCTGCGCCGGTTACCGTCAATTCCTCGTCGCAGGAGACAGGCACGCTGTTTTGTATTTTGTTATCTTACAGCGTTTTGTACAATACATACCCATTTTTTTTGAATGATCTATTTCAATGCCTTTAATGCAAAACTTGTTGATGATATAAAAAAAAACACGCTCACAAACAACAAGCGTCCCTCCTCTCACTACCACCAATACTCCTTTCCCGATCCCGAACATCCCCTCTACTAAGCCCTAAATCTCCTTTACAAGAAGCGCTTGTTGGTACGCTTGCGGTCCTCAGCCTTAACGCCCTTGGCCTTGACATAAGGGATGAACAACATATTAGGGGGAAAGGAGTCCTGGTTCTTTTGGAACCATTCTGCAACGACGTGGCCCTTGGGGTTTTCCGAAGCGTCCTCAGATGCGGAGGACAGGGAGAAGAGGGTCGAGTGGATGTCTTTGAGGGTTTGGATAGTCGAGATGTCCTTGTTGGGGATCTCGTGGCCGGTTTGCACTGCGATCGCCTTCATAACCTGTTGTTTGGCGTGTTTTGTTATGGGTGGGTGAGCGGTAGTTGGTTATTTCCGTTTGAAGATGAATGTTGAGGAAAAGGTAGTATTGGCCGTCCATGAAGTAGAAGAAGTAATATCCACGTCCATGTGTGTGTCGAGAATGTTGTACAGCACATAACAGTGAGAAAAGAGAGTTAGTTAGTAAGAAACACTCTACACACACATTCACACCACATATCCAAAAAACAACAACAGCAGAACAATGAAAAAAGGCAACAACAGACAGTTAAAAAAAAAACACGGAAAAAGAAAGAGAACGTGCCTGGAACTTGATCTTGGGGTCGTCGAGTTGGATCTTGTTGAGGTGAGTACCGGCGGCGGTGTTGACAAAGGGAGCAGCGGCCGATCGGATCGACTCTTCCAATTCCTCAGCACTCAACTCCTTGCGCTCGCTCTTCCAGCTATTGGTAGTTCCATTAATGAAGTTCGGAAATAAATGCCTGGTCAGTGGATGGTATGGTCTCGCCAAACTGACAGGCGTTCCTGCGCAGGGAGGGGTTGTAGTCTCTCATTATCCTTTTATGCGTCACGCATTATCCTGAAGCATAAATAACTAGTTTCTGGCAATTGCAGTTTTTTTTTTTCCTGTGCTTCCGATATCCTTTGTCCCTGTTCGTCTTTGTGTCCCTTTCTCGCGAGTACCGAAAATAAGCCCAGTGGGGTATTATTTTACCTGGGGACGGAAGCCTCCTCCTCCTCAATCTCGACATTCAACTCCTCCTGGGCCTTGGCAACCTGCGCCGGTGAGCTCTTGACATCTTCCTGTTTCGTCGTCTTGGCGAAGGGGTTGAGTCTTGACAGGAATCCACGCTTCTCTTCCTCGGCGGACAGGGTTGTGGTGTGGAGGGATGCTGATGCGGAGGCTCTGTATGGTGTGAAGGTGGTGGCGGTGCGGAGGGGGACCCTGGTGATCAGGCCGACTAGTGACCGTGTCTGCTGCATCCTTGTATGTTGGTTGTACTGGTGAAGTAGGTGTGGTAATGAATGAAAGGAAGAAGTGGGGGCAGTAGGTGTCCTTGTGTTTTTGTGTCCGAGGGAGTAGAGGGGTAAATGGGGTGACAGGGGAGCGGGACAGTAGTCAAGAGTGGCTTAGCTGTGTTTACCGATCCATTTCAATGTTGTGTGTGTTCGTGGGCGAAGAAGGATGGCCAGGAGAAACATAGAAAATTAAAGGTTCATTCACAGACACCAAGAGAGGTAGAACGCGTCGAAAGAGTATTTGTTTCTATTGTAAAAAAAAAAAAGGGGAGCGAAGGATCGACTATGGAGAGAAGGGATATGAGAACAAAGAAGAACAAAAAAGCTACAACTCCTTGTCCTGAGCAGACTCTGCTTGCTGCTTGGCAAGAAGCTTGGCGTTCTTGATAGCCTCCTCACGTCTCAACGACCGCTTCGAAATTTTCAACACCTTCTGCTCATGATCCTGTCCTTGACCCTGCTCCTTTTCCTCCTGCTGATCATGCTGCATCCTCTGCTGCCCTGTACCACTACCAACAATAGGCTGCTTAAGAGCATCCGTCTCGGGACAGAACACAAACTTGACAACCTCTCCCAACGAATTCGCGCTCAACACATCACTACTGAACGTAAACAGATTCCGCAACACCGGGATTCCTGAAAACAGTCTTGGACCTCCACTGCCTCCTTTTCCTGCGCCCCGGGTCATCAATGCTAATGCGCTGGCGTCTTCGAGGGACTTAAGGGCCCCAAAGGGGACGCGGGATAGGAGGCTCCGACGATTGATGTTGAATAGGTCCCGCGCTGTTTGTGCCGACTCGTCGTGTGCGGAGGAGGCTTCAAGGGCTAAGTATATCATGGCCCGGACGGCGTCGTCGGCGGGGTTTAGGTCTGCCAGCCGGGCGACGGCTTGCGCCATGTGGAGTTCTATGGCGAGCTTGCCCACTGAGGCGATGATCGTGCCGAGACCTAGGGACTTGACTGCTGAATTAGCAGGCGCGGCGGCGAGTGTTCCTCCTGCGAGTCCGTCGGTCAATGAAGAGTAGTAGACAACTTCGTTCACCCCGCGGAGATACGCCACATCATCTGTCTCACATCCATAACTCTCCGGGCTCACCAACGACTTCACACCCTGCACCGCCTCCGATGACTTCACAAGTCCGAACCCAAGGAAATCCCAGAAAGATCCACCCGACTTCTTCGTCCTTGAATCCTCAGCCCTCGCTGCATATGTCTCCTTGTTCGTCGCCGGGATATGAATCACGGTATCATAAATCGTCTTGACAATCACCGCCGCACGGTGCATATCCATTGCATTCAAGTCCCCCGACATATTAACAGCCTCCTCACCATGCTGTTGGATGGCCTGGAGCTTTGCAGCCTCGAGTCGGGACCAGTCGGCGGTTTTGGCGTTAAAGATGGTCATGGAGACGATCTCGATTATGTCGTTGAGCAGGGGGATCTTGGTGTCTGCGATTGGGGAAGAGGAGAGAGGGGTGCCGTCTTGGTTGTAGGGGTAGGAGGCAGAAGAGGGGAGGAGTTGGACGAGGTGTGGGGCTATGGCTTGGATTTGGGGGTCATTGATAAAATCTTGGACAGGGTTTCCTGTGGCCTTGAGGGATGGAGGGGTGTTGGAGGCGGCGAGGCTGGATGCTACCAGGAGGGTTGCTAGCGACAGGCGGAGCAGGAACTTCATTATGTGCTCGGAGGGTGTTGTATTCTTGTTGTGGTAGGTCGAAGTACGTCGTAAAACGAGAAGAGGTGAAAGAGTGTGCGTCAGCGGGATACGGGTGGGATGGAGAGAGAGAGAGAAGGAAAAGAAAACAAGAAAAAAACAAAAAAGAGGATGTGGGAAAATCTCACTTCACAAAGGCATCAAATGGTGATGTGGTCTGGGTCGTGCTGGTGTAGTATAAGAAAGGGAAGAATGAAGGTTGATTATGTGCATGCGAGAATATACAGAAAATAAAGGGGGTCCATTCCTTTCTGTCCCTGTTCCCTCGGGGGTGTCATTGATGGAATATATTATTTTTTTACGAGAAGAGAGTGCGCCATAAAAAGAGACATTCCTCCGTCTTTGATAGAAAGGGGTCACTTACTTCTTTGTTCTTTGATTTATTATTTCTTTGTGGCATTTGCATCATCTAGCGCGCATTGGAACGGAAATGCAGACAGAGCTGAGTGAATGTCAGAGAGGTTCCTTCCCTCGTCCAAGAAAAACGCCAAGAGTCAAGGTGCTGTGATCTAGGTCATCGAACAAATCTGCAGACTACGCGATAACACACAAAGATTAAAATGCAGAAGATCAATGCGTCCCTGTTATTTTTGCTTTTGACCCCTGAAACATCGCCTCAGACCTCGATCTAACGCTTTGCCTCAAGGTGCTGGACAAAGGTGACGGAGGAAAAGAAGCAAGGTCAAGGCACATGTTTCTTTGTGTGTTTCTTTGTGTGGTGATGATGGTGATTCAGGGTGGTGATCGTTCGAAACCTTGCAACCTTATCTGTCTCGGTGATGACGATCAGCTAATGATCAAATTAAGACAATAATTATTTCCCACGCACAAAGAAAGTTGAGTATTGCTTCTTCATGAGGATGGAGAAAAAATAAAATAGGTTAGTACATCGTTCAGTTAAGAAAAACGCTGGTTAGGGAATTGTAGAAGTGAGAAATGAGACGCATTGCATCGTTTTTATTTTTGAAACATCGGAAACTTTAGCAGATCACACAAACTGATGAATTCGCTCCAAGATGGAAAAAGAACACGGTTGTCTTTGCTGATGTTGGTAGTTGTGCCCTTCGACGACTTGAAAGAGAACCATAGGTCGAGAAAGGACTGAGACTGAGTTGTTTTCACGTCCCACTCATAACGATCGGGCTGATGCTCGAGCAGCATTTTGTTGAAGGGATGGAGATCGACCACATTATCAAAAATAGTGCCTGTCAACCGCCAGCGGTCAGGTACCCGAGATATCATTGTGATTGAAGGCTGGACATTCGGATCGGTCTTCCGCATAGAAGGAGTACAAAAGTTAAGAACCGATACCGCACCCAAACATACTTCAGCCAGATGAGCCCCTCTCAGATCTGCGTGCCGTAGCCAAATGTAGGAAAGATTGCACCCAGTGAGGTCTGCTCCCTGCAATTGCGCCGAGTCAAATTCCCCCCTGGACAAATCTGCTCCAGGAATACGGATACCGCGAAGATCCTTCCAGTAGAAGCTAACGCCAGCCTTGACGAGTATGGTGATCGCATTGGAGGCGGCCTGGCTGGCTTTTTCGTCCACTTTTGATTGCTCGATAAACTGGAAGAGGCGTTGCTTGAAATCAAGGTTCGCCTGCGCGAACTCAGCCAGGAACAGCACGACGGCAGGCATTCTGACAAGGTTCATCTGAGTCAAAGGATGGTCGCCAAAGTCCAAGTTGGCTGCGGTGTCGAAGATGTGGCAAGAGAAGAAGTACTCGAGCAAGGATGCATGAATGAACTGGTACTGAACTCCAGCGCGTGTCAGAGGACTAGACTCGCGCAACAAGGTGAATTCTGACTGAGGGCCGAAAAACTTGGCCTTCCATGTCGCGCCGTCCTTCCTCTGGGTGAACCGGACAATAGGGTTGCCGTCCTGTTCGTGAAATATCGCGACCGCTACATCCTTCAGGAAGTCAATGACAGCGTTCGAGAATCCATCGTCGAGAAGCTCCTCCAACACGTCCTTGGCTCCAGCATCCATCTTCATTGACAGGAGCCGGAGTTTGCCGAGATGAATCCAGTGTCCAACAAAAGTCTGGTATAGGGAAAGTCGAGTCATCTTGATCTTGGAGATATCAGTGATGCCTTTGACGACAGCTGGTAGGGCCCGGAGTGCGACAGATAGCATGAATGGGTTCTTCACCAACTCCACCAAGTCCTTGATCGCCCTCAGCTTCTCCATATACTTCTTCGCGTCCCAGGTCGCCTGACCATCGAACAGTTCATGTACCTTTGTTTCTTGCACAAACTGCTCGACGTAGGCTTCAATTTGGGTATGCGAGAAGGAGATAATTGCTGCTTCCTGAAAGAGGTGCGGTGTAGCAGGCTGGTATCGGTCGCGTGACTGCGGTCGAAATCGCTCTCGGTAATCCTGACCGAGGTATGTGCTCCTGCAGCCGATGACCATCTTTGTATCCCACTGTCCTGGAAGGTTGAAAGAGTTTGTCGAGTGGAGGTTTATGGTGAGTTGGCTCTCATCGTAGCTATCACAGATGACGATGAACTTTCGGTTCTCTTTCAGGTACTGAATGTCATCCTCGGAAAAGTTCTTGGTCCTGAGGTATTCCGATATGAGTTCCTTCTGTGGCTTCTCGATGTCGGGGAGGTTGATAAAAAGGGGAATGGGGTCGCCTTGCTTGTACGACTTCAGAAGGTCCTGCTCCAAGTGCCTGTTGAAAGTCGATTTCCCAGATCCGGAATCACCCATGACTAAGAACACTTGCTGTTTGCTCTCCAGGAACTCCTTGACATTTTGCATTAGGGGGAATGCGTTTTTGTCTATGTCTTTGAGGTTGCGCTTGGCCTGCGGCGGGATGTAGACTGGTTGTGTGTATCCTTCAAGGCGAGCAGTGATGAGCCGGTGTATCTTGTACTCGAGAGCAGAGGCCGTAGAGGGCGAAATTAGGTTTGACTGAACAGCACGTGAAGTTGTGACGTCTTCGTGCGTTGTTGAAGCATCGTCAAAAGGTTCGTCCTTGGCGAAGCAAGTCTTCTTGGCAGGCGCCTCGAGGTCAACAACGACATATTCGCCCTCAGGAGTTTTGTCACTGCTCAAAGGCCGTTTACTATTGGCATGGTTGTCCATACTGGCGGTTCTAAGTATATGCAAATTAGTAAAAGCATGAGCATAGGGAGGCTAGGTGGTGTGTCAATCAAGGAATCATTAAGCAACAACTTGTTTCTCTTTACCTTGTTGGTTTGTCTTGCTATGCTATTTTTGTGATTGTAGAGAGGGTGACCCTTGAAGAGGCAGGAGCGTATATACACAACTGCTCGGCGGCGTACTAGGAGAGAAAGGTTGGGCAGGCGTTAGGATCTGTATTTGAAGAATGTTTATTGTTGTAGAGGTATGCGAGAAAAAGTAAAAAAACGTGCTCGATCGAGGCGGATGGTTCTCTTACGATAACAGGCTGGTTGGTGTAAGTGAACGAACTTTGCTGTTTCGTTTGTTGCTGTGCTCGGTTGCAAGGTGGTGCAAAAAAGAGGACGGTTGAGAAAAGTGAAAGGAAGAGGGGAGGAATGAGTCCTTTGTCTGGTTGAAGGTGTCAATGAATGTGAGTGACTGAGTAAGTGAGTGTGAGGAAGGATGGAGTAAATCTTCGCCAATTCGTCCTTGAGAAAGTATTGACGTCGGCGTCCATGCCTGGTCATGCGCACGATGGTTACACGCAAAATTATTCTCTCCGTTTGCCGAGCAGAAAAAGAAGGGTCTTGGACACGGTGTGGAAACAATCACACGTACATTGGCATTTCTGTGTGCAAACAGCAATGAGTGGTCGATATAGTGATAGCGGTGAAAGGGAGGATTGGCCTTTCTTGCTTCGCTCCCATCAGCTGTGGCGAAGTTCTTTTCAGGTACTGGGGGCGCAACACAACTACGCGTTGATCACTGTATCCACGTTGTTGCAAAAAGATGTGGTGGCTAGGCAGTGGCGGCGATGCCTTAGATTAGCAGTCATATTCTTTAGTAGACATAGTATTAGTAGTGCGCCGAGCCCTCTTGTCTGCTCTTTGTCCTTTTACACATCACTTCTTGGACGAGAGCTGTATTGACAAGAGTTTCGCTGGCGCGCTGCAGTGTATCGTTTCGTGTGATTCTTTAGGACGCTATTATCACAATCCCCGACTATCAACCCCCCTCAACCTACAACCCCCCCCCGTACCAATTGAGGACTTAACAGCGGTCATACAACTCTGGCCTTCGACCCTCTCCCCTGAGTAACAACGTGTCTCTATTTGAAGTTATCATTAAGGGTCATTTGTTGGAAACAATGTGGACGAGACTGTCCGAAGACAGACACTGGTCGAGATGGAGGGAGAGAGAGACGGTCCGAAGACAGACACCGGTCGAGATGGAGGGAGAGAAAGACGCGCACACTGTGCGACCAATGTCTGTCTTCCCTCTAGAATGCATCAGTATGGTCGGCCCCTACCTCGTCCGCAGCAACCTCTACAACTGTGACCTCCTCAGCAAGGACTTGCTCCGCATCGTTACCCCCACATCTCTGGAAATACGTCCAGATCTACTGCGGGAAGCCATCCCCTCGTACCTTCCGCAAATACGAATACCTTACACAAAACCACTTGGATAACTGGACCCTGCAACTCAAGTGGGGTATCAAGGTGGGTGGCCTGGACAGGAACGAATAATATGTTCAGACGTTTTGATTGTGAGCGTTTATGAGGTCGTCGAACTACTGGCTGCTCGAGGCGTGACTTGTATGGGAATCAGTATCCTCAGACTAGGCTCGTACCCGGACCTGGATGCGTCGTCGTTCAAGTCTAGAAGTTCGCCTATGTGCGGTCACTCGAGCTGTCGCATCTCATTTGCGACTTAAACAGGAACAGACACCTTCGACATCTCAAGCTAACCGTGAGGATGCTAGACGAGAATAACTGGACTTTAATCGTCTTCTTGAAGCTATTCCAGGAAGGATCGTGTTTCTCGAGCTAAACGAGTGGGATCCGATCAAGAGCAACCGAGAATATGACAGGGACCTTCTAGTTAAATAATACAGTCGGGGACGGCTCTACTTCTGACCTTGAGGAACAAGAAGGTCGAGGAGAGGCTCGTTTCCCTCATCTTAAGGAGCTGGGCTTTTATGATTATGCCTTCGACTTTAACAAGCGGACCATGAAATACATCCTCAAGAACAGCCATCCCTCTCAAATGCTATCAAATCTTCTCTCTCGGTACTGCCCTCGAATTATGCACCTATATATACAAAATTGGGCCGACTGTCTGGACGTCGAGCTGACAGAATTACTGGATTCTAGCAAAGCTGGATGGAGGGCACTGGATATTCCCACAACTTTGAGCACGAGAGACGAGGACGAGCTTGGGCTCTTGTAGACGGAGGCTATATTGAAGCATGCTCCGACGAAATAGGGCAAGCCGTTTGAATCCAGGGACGGGAGTCCACTTCCTAGTCGAGATCTTGGCTAGGCCTACCCAATCAATACAGGGGTAGAAGAACCTCGGGGACGTCCGACGCTTCTGCCAACGATCCCTAGAAGACGATCAGCTGATCGACGGATACTCGTAGTAACAGGTTCGCTCCATGTCCAACTTGTGGCACTTGTACTGTTGATCACAGCCACCACAAAACTCTAACAAACGATGTTCGACCTTCTCCAGTTTTGCGACATAGTCGAGAGGGGGCAGACGGCCCTCAATCTCCGCGACCGTTTCCTGTTCTCCCTCCTGTGTAGCATACTTTTCGTCCTCGAGCCACTGACGGAACCGGAATGTTGGTTGATACACTGCCTTCTATTTGACTGCCATATCATGAAGCACCGTCCTTGATGACATTATTGGCGAGTTTGTTGATTGTTGATCTGGGGTGGAAGCTGAGATGGGAACAAGAAGAGGAGTTGAGGATGTCGAGGATGCTGCCGGTTCCATAGAAGTGGCGGTGATCCCTTCCATGGTTGGATGTGTGTGGTCAACCTCCTCTTCATCTATCATGTCGCAAGGTAGCCCTCTCTTGCCTCATTACAAAATTACACTCTTGTGTCACCACCACCACTCAATCCATCAGGAGGGGCAAATAGCAACGAACGCGTTCCACGACGCAATCCTCCCTACCCCGATGAGCGCATCGAATGAGTCCAGTCCGCCTTTGAGACTAGTCAGACTTTTAGGAACATGGGTGATAAGGTATCTCCCCCCCCCCCCTTTTTTTTATTCTCTTCCGTTTTTCTACCTTCCATGAAACAACCTTGTTTTTGTAATCAAGGTATTGGTTGTAACAGGCGCAAAGGCAAAGATAACACGATTTCGTGATGAAGAAAACCAGTCTGGTTTGGAATATTTTTCGAAATTCGAAGCAGCGGCAGCAAATCGACCCCAGATCTATTTTCTTTGCTCTCCCTGGATGAGAACTTAGGCGGCCATGAAAATACCTCCCTATCAGCCTAGTCTGAACGCTGACAAAAGCTAAGGAGGGCGGGCGGCAGCAAATGCAGCCTCATCGTATCGCCTGCGGTTGCGGCAATAAAAGTGGACAGCAAAGGTACACAGTTTTTTTTTTATTTTTTTATGTTTATTACTATGGGTAATAGGAATGAAATCTAAGGTGAGAAAAGGATGTAGCGGAACAATGAAAGGAGAACGAGGCGAAAGGGAGGACAGAAGTGAGGAATAAAGGCATCGCTATCGTTTCTCTCACCTCACTACGTTGCAATTGCGCAGCGCAGCGAACTGCTACTATTACTTCGCCCAATTGGACGAAGGGCGTTAGACAAAGAGCAAAAAAAGGCTACCAAACGCAGGCATGACCGAACAGTGAATAGACCCAATGGTCCTTTCCCCCCCTCCTCTCCCGACTTGTTTGCTTGGACACACTCCTTATCACTCCACTTTTTTTTTCTTATCAGATCCTTTTCAGCGGGACACAACAACAGGTATAATCTTCATCACGCAGCCCCTCAAGCCAGCATTGTTCTCCTTTGTGCTCTTCCTCACATGTGTCTGTTCCCCCCATCCCCAAAAAAAAATGGGCTGTCAGTGTATAATCTCCCTGTGCGTACGTATGAGCGTGCGATAACATTTCTCCCTGTCTGTCCCCCTTTTTCTCTATCCCACGTTTTTCGTGGAACCCAGTTTACATTCACCAAAAGTATATTTCCCTCTCTCTCGCTGCTTCCCGTCTTTCCCCCCTTCCTCCCTCCAGCCACCCAGAACACTCAATATTCCCAGGGCGGGCGGGGGGTGAGACGGATGAACCTAATAAGGACTCCCAACCGTTAGTCAACTTTTTTTTTTTTATTTCTCTTCGAGTCCGTCCCACAGAGAGAATTTTTTTTTTTCAGGGTCCGCAGGGTCCGTCGTCTCTCCGTCATCACAGAGAAACAGCACGAGGTAAAACAACAAAGAAGACAGGGGACAGAACGAACGAAGAAAGTGACCCTCCCCCCTGGGTTCGTACTAGCCAGCCGTCAATTGAACCTGCCCCTGGCATCTTCACACCTCTCTTTTCTACTTTTTCTCAAAAACCAAAATTGCGCAGAAAGGGTATTTCTTGAATGCTGTTTATTGTTTAGCTTGCAGTCAAAAGGTGAAAAAAAGAAGGGTTTCGTAAAATGCTATATGACAATGGTTTGTTGGTTGTTTGTGTATCGTGTTAAATGCGCAATGCTAACACTCCCAAATCGTGGTACGATGAGAGAATTTAAGCAGAGGAGGCAAAGAACTCCTTGGATCCAGCGACATCAGGCTTGATGGTCGACTGGCCCTTCTGCCATCCGATGGGGCAGACCTCACCGTGCTATTAGTTATATCAATGCGAGAGAGAAAGAGAGGGAAAAAAAGGCGTTAGAAAGTGAAGGGATGGTTCTATTGTGTGTTGTTTGTTGTTTTTTTGTAGGCGCTTACGAGTTGCTCCGCCCAGGGCTCACACCACAACACTCTGTTTTTTTCAAAACAAACACAAAAGCAAAAACAAAGCAACATCATGAACAAAAGACAAACTTCTCCTTGATACATACCTCATCGGTGAACTGGAAGGCCTCAACCAAACGGACGACCTCATCAACGTTACGACCAACAGGCAAATCGTTAATGGTGATCTGACGAACAACCTGCTTAGGGTCAATGATGAACAAACCACGGTAAGCAACGCCCTCATCCTCCTTCAAGACACCGTAATCAGTGGCAATCTTCTTGGTGAAGTCAGCAATGATAGGGATCTTCATCTCTCCCAAACCACCCTGGGTACGGGGGGTGTTGACCCAGGCGAGGTGAGAGAACTCAGAATCGCACGAGCAGGCGAGGACGGCGGTCTTGAGGCCCGAGAAGCGCTCGATAGCCTCGGAGAAAGCAATGATCTCAGTGGGGCAGACGAAGCTGTAGTTGGTTGTAATTGAAAGAAAGAAGGGGTCATGGGTTAGTTATCGTTGTTGATGAAAGGATCGACAAGCAAGGTAGTAGTATGCTTTAATAGGATATGATGGTGGATCGACATAAAGAGCACCTGCGCAGCAGCACCAGCATGCCACTGGCAGATGCTCAGGCACATCAAAACCAAAAAAAAAAAAAAAAAAAAAAAAAAAAAGTAAAAGGTTTGTGCGCAGGTCGAAGGAGGTGGTGGTGCCTGTGTATGTCTGCTGTGAAGAAAAGAGTGTCACTGTTGTCCGTATCGTTGCTTTGTCGAGAAAGGGGATTCAGAAAGTAAAGAGGTAGAAAAGGGAGGAAGGAGGATCTTCCTGTGCATGCCTCTACTATACTACCATGGAACCAACTGCGAAGCAGCAACAAATACAAAACAAAAAGATGCAAATAGAGAATAGACTTACGTGAAGTCCAAGGGGTAGAAGAAGAGGACGACGTATTGGCCCTTGTACTGCTCGAGGGTGACCTCCTTGAACTCGCCATCGATGACGGCAGTGGCCTTGAAGGCGGGGGCAATCTTTCCAACGGAGGCGACCATTTTGATGTATGTGTTTGCGGTGGTTGTGAAGGAGGTGAAGGGGTTAAAGTAAAGTGAGAGAGAGATGGAAGAAAGAAAAAGAAGAAAGAAGCGCTTCGATCTGCTTTTATTGGAAAAATGTAAACAACCAGTTAACACTTGCGATCATAGGAAGATTAATTCCCTTGCCTCTCTTGGTCTGTTGAACATTTCAAACTCCTCCTCGGCGACCTTTTGCGCGAAACAGCTGGGGTGACGTCAAATTGATACAAACATCAGATCTGGGACCCCGACAGTAAAGAACAGTTACACCACCACCGTGCTCCTCGCTTTAAAAGAACAGTTGCACCACCTTCTCGTATTAAACGAACCGTTACACTAATCCCTTACCATTCCTTCCTCTGTTCAAAACCATTGTAGCGACGTAGAAAGGATCAACAACGGTGTGTGATAAGATAAGCTTTCATAGAGCAGTAAAGTCTATATGTATATCATCTTTCACGTGAATCAACATGCTGTTACTGCAACTAGTACTGTAATGTGAAGACCTTTTCTGCGCGCACAGTCTCTACCCCTCCCTCTACACATAAACACAAACACACTCTCTCTCTTTCTTCCTCTCTCTACATAATCACATGTACACACACACTCTACCGAGTCATGAAATGAAAACAGCTGGAGTCAGAAACTTGAGGAAAACTGGAAGCAACAAAAATACTAGAGTGTATTGGCCACGAAAAATCTATGAGCGCATCTGCGTTGCAAATGGTACCACAGTACATTTAGTCAAGTATTTATGTGAGTTGAAAAAAAGGACCTTGCACGATTCAAATTGATAGAAGCGTAATATAGTTGAAGTTTGGCATCAGCATGGTATGCAAGATTATGTTCTTTCCTTAGTAAGTGCCGTTCTTCTAACACTGACTTTTCACTGTGAAAGGTCTACTTGTTACGAACAGCAGATTTCGATCGAATCCTGGTAATACGACCTGGCGACGTCTGCAATTTCGGGGGTTGCACTTTGCGTCTTGGCGTTGTCGGCATATGTTGACTGGACCGAAGCTCTTCTTCTACCTCATGTGCTTCATCATAATCACCGCCATCAACATCCCAATTGGAGGGGGCTTCATGGATGATCTCTTTGGTGGTTTGAAGCAGTTGTTTCGTTACCAGTAAATGCTTCAAGATCCGCAGGTTGAGCTTAAACTGGGAAATATCATCCGCAAGCTTGAAATGCCTTGGGTGTGGATTGAAGCGTACAACATATCCGCCTGGACAGTTTGCGTACAATGTCATCAATGATGGGCCTCTAGGAAAATGAGGCGATTTTCAGTGAAACAATGTGTCCTCTGTTCAGCAATTTTTTTTTGACTTCCTTCTCTGAATTTATACAAGGATACCAAGGATTAGGAAGATCAACGAATAACATACCAGAGACAATGTACCCCACCAAAGTCAATTCATGCCTTCGTGTCCTTACACGCAACCCTGCAAGACGGCTCCTGAGCATATCGTGCAGAGTCCGTATGACCTTTTGAGTGTCGAAGAGAAACTTGCTGCCAGTGGTGTCGAACTCCTTGGCTGCTTCCAGCACTGCGATGTTCAGTGGTGGCTCTCCTTGGATCTGGATAAGTCCATCACAGCGGGGCCACATTTTCTTCCTCTCCAGAATTCCATTGATCGGCAATGTTCGATCATCATTCCTCCTCGTTGCCGTGTCATCGCTTGTGAGTTCTCCATGCACTACAACCAGATCCTGAACATCCCGCAGCAGTGAATTGATAATACCAAACACATCGTTGCGGTAGAATGACTCCTTTTGCTTGCTTTTCAATGGTTCGGGTCTTTGGCAATACAATCCAAGCCTATAAACAGTGGAGAGTCAAGGTTCAGGGCATGAAAAATAGGTTGTAATTCACAGATGTACGTTTGTGTCAGGACAGTGACCGTACCATGTCTCCACTGCAATTCGAATCCATCTAAGAGCCCAGTGGATTTCATGCTGGTAGTTTCCATTGATCGGTAGTTTAGCATCCGTAGCCCTGTGTAGATCCTCAATGTGGTTCTTGTTGAACGTTTCTAGATAGTTCATGAGCGAATTTGGGAGCTCAGGTAGTGGATTACAGTTGGTGTTGGAAATCTCTGACCATTCTTCCGACGTGAAGAGATTGCGGGTAAACGGGTCGGACATATAGATGATCAGAGAATGGATTTCGCTATCAATCACAAGAATGTATCAGAAATCAGAACAGTGGCCCCATCATTCTCAGGTCCGAACTAGGAAAACCAAAGAAAACTTACTGCTGTCCTGCACCGATATTCCTTGATGCTTCTATCAGGACATCCTCCACACATCGACCGCTGCATTGCAGGGTCCAGAAGTGTCGTCGATCCAACATTTCCACCATTGCCTCGACCTCCTGATTGATCTCATCTACATCCTACACATGTGGGTAAAAGCGCATGTGTTATTTGTAGAGTGATACTACAGCATTTGACCAGAACTGCAGCAGTCTACTTACATCCAAAGCACTGTTGGCTTTTCTTTTTTTTGTGGACGACTTCTGCGGGAGTTCATGTTCATTTAAAGACGAGGTGTCTGAGGTAAGGAAATGAAAAAAAAAATCATTAGGGCACTTCTGTTCCATACCAACAAGCAACGATAATATGTGGGTGAATGTTGGCTCAAGTCAAATTCGAAATCGCCCAATATCAACACTTACGATGGTCTTCTCTTAGCCTTGATGAGAGTTCATTATCTGCGTCCCCAAGTTGCTCCGATGACGATTTGAGAACTGCGAGTGCTCTGTTCGCGACAACCCTACTTTTGTAGTATTTATCCAGGTCGGCCGCCGTCATGGGTCTCGCTGTCTTCGCAACCTCACTGACGGTTGCGTCCTTACTTGAAGACAGGTCCCTCATCCCTCATCCACGCCTCCCACTCACGACGCAGCTTGTGGGCTACTGTTGAATTTTTTATAGCCCGGTTCTCGATGTACTCCAAAGGATCGAATTTAAGGCGCTTGGGTTGTGCAAGGAAGTATCCTGCTCCCGCACGTCTAGAATTGATTTATTCCTTCCACTTCTCCATGGCGATCCTAGTGCTGACCAAAAAAAAATGGTATTAGCCACAAACAGAATAGTTGGAGACGACTGTGTGATTTCAAAAACATCAGTCGAAAATAGAAAGCACATTGCTTTCCATTCACAAGCTCGCGTCCTTCCTGTCAGTCGCGATTGCCGAACCAGCCCCCACTTCCGTGTGGAGCGAAAGAGTTGGCAGGATCATGCCGGATTGTACAGCCGGCAAAAAGCATGGATTTGCGTTCTGTAGTCGTTCATGAACCGCGAAAAACGAACCCAGACTCTGCGGCCCTGAATACTAGCCGTTGTTGCGTTCCGATTGCTGTTGCAACAACAGATGCCAGGGAGGCAGAGTGGGCAGACAGTAAAGACCAGACAGCCCTCACTCCATGTTGCCAGTCGCGATTGCCAATCCAGCCCCACTTCAGTGCGGAGCGAAAGAGTTGGCAGGATCATGCCGGATTGTACAGCCGGCAAAAAGCATGGATTTGCGTTCTGTAGTCGTTCATGATCCGCGAAAAACGAACCCAGACACTGCGGCCCTGAATACTAGCCGTTGTTGCGTTCCGATTGCTGTTGCAACAACAGATGCCAGGGAGGCAGAGTAGGGTAGGCAACATGGGGCAGAAATAACGAATTTCCTACTCATTTACCTTCGTGTTCGTGCAGGTCAAGCACAGCAATATTACAGATGAACAAGACACAAGGTGCTCTATCAAATTAAAACGAAATTGAGAGAGAGAGAGAGAGAGAGAGAGAGATATGAAAGAAAAGAAGGCAAGAGGGATGAAAGAAAAGAAGGCAAGAGGGATGAAAGAAAAGAAGGCAAGAGGGATGAAAGGAGTGAAGTGATGGAGAGAAGGAGGAGTGGAGTGATGAAGAGAAAGAGTGGAGTGATGAAGAGAATGAAAGAAGAACGTTATCTAGAAACGTCATCAGATATTAAGGTTTCAGAGACGCCTACGCCACCGAAGCGAGTTCTCCCGAAACCCAAACTCGATCGTATGCTTCCTCGTCCTGATCTATGATCTATCATCCAATGAAGAGTTATCTTATTTCCTCTTCCTCTAGTTCCAAGCACAGGGCGTTTTTTTTTTCTTGTTTTATTATTGCGACTTCGCAAAAAGCAATAGTACTTTTTTTTTATGGTTTTTTGTTTGTTTGTTTGGATGAAAAAAAAAAGAGAGATAAAAAGTTGAATGGTACAAGAGTGTGTGATTGTGAAAAAAGAAAAAAAGAAGAGACGCAAGAAGAACCACAAGATCCAACAGAGAAGACAAAGGGGTTACATGCGGTTGTCAGAGTTGACGGTGAAGAGGCGGGGCGCAATCGACATGGCCATCAACTCCTGGACGAGCAGCTTCATCGAATACGGGATATGGATCTGCGAAATCTGCGTCGTGTTCTTGCACGACCGACACTCGAAACTGTTCTTTGACAGCGACGCAATCGCCATTAGACCACATAGATCGCACACGTGCACCCGGTACGCATCCGAAGCATCAAACAGACGCTCCTTCAAGAACTGGGCCACTCCGTGCGAAATCATACAATCGCGCTCCATCTCTCCGAAACGAAGACCTCCGTCACGACTCCTTCCCTCGACTGGCTGACGGGTCAAGATCTGAACCGGTCCACGTGCACGAGAATGAATCTTGTCATCCACCATATGCTTCAGACGCTGGTAGTAGGTTGGGCCCAAGAACACCTGTGCCGCCAGCTTGCGGCCCGTGTGTCCGTGATACATGACCTCAAATCCACGCTGCTGGTAGTTGTGCTTCTTCAATGCCTCCGAAATAGCCTCGACCGTGACATCCGTGAACGGTGTGGCATCTCCCTCGCTTCCCTCCAGCGTCGACACCTTGGACAGCAGACATTCGACCAAATGTCCAATGGTCATACGAGATGGAATGGCGTGAGGGTTGATGATAATATCGGGCGTGATACCCTCGCAGGTGAAGGGCATGTCCTCCTGACGGTAAGTGATACCAATGGTTCCCTTCTGTCCGTGACGAGAGGCGAACTTGTCTCCCATCTGGGGCACACGGGTCGAACGGACACGAACCTTGACAAACTTGACTCCCTCGTGATTGGTCGTCAACATCACCTGGTCCACAATACCAGTCTCGGTCGACTTCAACGGCGTCGATGCATCCAGCTTGGTGTGCGATCCCGTCCTCTGTCCCATCTCTGTCGAGTCCTCGGGAATCGGCTTGGTCTTGCCGATAATGATATCATCGCCGGAGACACGCGTACCGGGCGCAATCAGACCATCGTCATCCAACTTCTCGTATGTTCCGTGGCGCAGGCGCAAGACGTGCTCGCGTGTAGGTTTCTCAAACTCCTCCATGGACGTCATACCAATCCTCTTCTCCTGATCCATGTAAGTACGGAAGTACAAACTGCGGAAAAGACCACGATCAATCGACGACTGGTTCATAATGACAGAATCTTCTTGGTTGTATCCAGAATAGCACAGAATGGCGACAACGGCGTTCTGTCCAGCAGGCAGCTCACGGAAACGCAAGTACTCCATTGAACGAGTTGTGGCAAGGGGCTTCTGAGGGTAGTACAAAATGTTGGCGAGTGTGTCCATGCGGACCTGGTAGTTGGTGACGTAGATACCCATAGCTTGCTTACCCATAGCAGACTGGTAGGTGTTACGAGGCGACTGGTTGTGATCAGGGAAAGGAACGATACTGGCGCAAATACCAAGGATCATAGAAGGATGAATCTCGCAATGCGTCCATGTGTGAAGCGATGCCGAGGATGCTCCCTTGACACGTCCTGAAGCGTCTTTGGGTAGGTGGTGCTCTTGTGCGGGCTGCTTCGACTCGTACAGATCCTCTGGTGTCATGCAAATCAGAATCGTCTCCTCCTCCTCGGCATCCACAAACTCTACAATTCCATTCGCCAGCAAATCATTCCAGTTCCACGGTTCCTAGTAGAAATAACAAAGGTGCATTGTTAGCAGCGATTCTACTCATATCTGCAACACTTCTGCAACACTTCTGCAACACTTCGGTCATACGACAAAAAAATACTTACGACTGTCTTGCCTTCCTCGTCAATATACATGGGCTTGGCGAGCTCGTCGACGTGGGCCTTCTTAAGCAAGAGCTTCTGGTCCTCGATAATGAACAGAGGACGCAAGCAGCGACCCGCATCGGTGTACATCCTGAGCTCCTTCTCCCTAATGTCTTTGACAATCGAGACCTCAGGGTTGATGTCCAGGTTACGTCTCAAACGCTTCAAGGTGTTGACCAAACTGCTGGGGTCCCTGTGAACACCAGCCCAGACTCCATTGACAAAGACCTTAGTGGCCTCCGAGATGTTGTTGGCAGTCAATTCCTCCAAGTTCTCCATACCCCACTCTTCCAAGAATTCGATAATAGGGGCCGAGGGCGATCCGACAGAGATGGCAGTCATCAAGGCCAAGTTCTTGACCAGACCACAGGCCTGACCCTCAGGAGTCTCGGCAGGGCACACCATTCCCCAATGAGTGTTGTGAAGCTGACGGGGCTTAGCAATCTTTCCGTCACGACCAATGGGAGTGTTGCAGCGACGCAAATGGGACAAGGTAGAAGCAAAGGTGTATCTGTTCAAGACCTGAGAGACACCGGCACGCGACTGCATAGCCTTCATCTGCTCTCCCCAGTTTCCTGTAGCCAATGAGTACTTCAATCCATTCGTGATCGTGTTTGACTTGACCGCCACGGACAACACAAAGTCTTTGTTCGAATCAATGCACTATTACAAGGGGTTAGAGGTGCGCATATTAGATCGATGTCGTGACTCTTTGAAATAAACACAAACGCTGCCAAATATATGCAAAAACCTGAAAATGGGAAAAAAGTTACCTTGCGGAGGTACTTGCTGACATCTTTGGTGAGCTTGGTAAAGAGCATCTTGAAAAGACCTCCGAGAAGAGGACCACCGAGATCCATGCGCTTCTTTCCGTAGTGATCACGATCATCAACGTCACGGCGACCAAGAGCCGCCAAGAGGAGACGATGGATCATGTAACCAAAGAAGTAGGCCTTGCGAGTCTGGTTGTGGGACTGGGTTCCGACGTGGGGCAAGAACTCCTTCTGCAAGATCTCGGTAGCGTACTTTGTACGCTTCTCTTTGGTCACTCCGACAGTCGTTCCACGCTTTCCAATGTAATCCAGCGCGACCTCCTTGTCCTGGATAACGAAAGCCTGCTCAATACAGGGCTTCAACATCTCCAGCATCTGGTAATCATTACGGTCGTAGCAGATGTGCTCCAGAACATCACGATCAGCGACAAGTCCCAAAGCACGGAAAACAACGACAACGGGAATACCGTCACGGATGTAAGGGAGAGTAGCCTCGATGGTCTGTCCAGTGCCGGAACGCTCAGCAGCACGCGACAAGAGCTTGACGAAGACTGGAGAGGCGTTCTTGGATCCACGCTCCATGGAACTCCTGATCTCTGCGGTGTACGAGTACTTGTTTCCTGGGGGTTTGTTGAACACATACACCGTGTTTGTCGCCATGCGCTCCTGAGCAATCAACACCTTTTCTGATCCGTTAATCACGAAGTATCCTCCCTGTTTGCGATTTTGGACAAGTGGTCGTGTTGTTGTTAGTCTCCATGCCTTGAGAAGAGAAACGCGACAGAAAAAAAGGCACTTGCCGAAAAATGCAAGTAGTCATATTACCTGATCGTACTGACACTCGTTCATCTTTTGCAGCTCGCTGTCATCCAGTCCAGTCAACATACAGTAGGTCGACTTCAACATGATGGGGACCATACCGATAAAGATCTTCTTCATGTCGCCACCATCACCAGTATCTTCTTCCTCCATGAACATGTCGTGGGGGTTGGTCTTGTGCTTGTTCTTTTCGTGGTGAGGGTTGGCGACCTTGACCGTCTTGCGCATATCAACGTACAAAGGGGCAGCGTACCTATTTTGGGTAAGATATTGTTTGGAAGTTTGTTAGTGTAACGATCAAAGAAAGTAGAAGGATAATTAACGAAACGGATCGCAAGAGAGAGAGGAAGGGAAGTGCGACTTACGTCAAACTACGGAGACGGGCTTCGTGTGGGTACATGGGCTGGGTGGTACCGTCAGCCTCAGTCATACTGGGACGCGACAGGTAAATCTGCCCAAAGTTGATCTCATATCGTCTCTATTTCACATCAACCCACACATTGTTGTCAGACCTTAAATTTAGTCACCATATCCTCAATAACCAACAGCAGCACAACCTTCAGACATAAGTCACCAACAGAAAAACCACAGTCAGAGATGAAGAACATACGGTGACATCGCCATCGGCACCAGAATGTTGGTTAGTGGTCTGGAGGATCATGTCCGAGTTCTCGTCAACAAGCTCCTGCATCGTGTTCTGGATAAACTCGTCGAACGAGTCCAGCTGCTGACGGACCAGACCCTTGTCCTCAAAGAACGAAGAGATGACTGTCCAGCAATCCTCCTGGGTGATTGGCTCATCGTCCTCCTCCTCCATATAGTACTCTAATAAGTGTGGATTCGTGTAGTTGGTCAAGTTGAACAAGAGAAATAGGTGAAAGGGAGATGGGTTAGATCTACGCTACTTTTTAAGGAGGTAGGGAAGTTATTGTTGTTGCATGTGTATGTTTCCAGTTTATTGAGAACGCTTATTATTCTGTTGGTGGCGCTCAAAAGTAACGCAAGTTCCTGAGAGCATAACGAGAACGAGTGTGTACCTTGTTCGTCCATGGTAGTAAGCTGTGATGTAGGGGGTTAAAGGTGGGAGATTGTTGGGGGTTTAACCTTGCCGTAAAGAGAAGGTCAGGTTTGCTTCGCTCTTGATGTGGGCTCGTCTGAGCGCGTTCTTTACTGTAGAGCTGGGTGGCGAGGGATCACAATCTCGGTGTGACAATCGGGGGCTGAACTGTCGAGCGAGTGGTTGATGGTCTTTGCGATTCCTAGATCCTGTGTCTCTGAGAGGCGAGTTTTCTTGTTTCCTTGTCGGTATGAGGAGAAAAGAAGAGAAAAGGCGCCGCTGTTGTGGTTGAAGATGCACAGGTGAGAGAGAGAGAGAGAGAGAATCAATCCAGTCAGTGAGAGAGAAGAGAAGCAGATGGAAAGAAGACAAAGAAGAACAAAAAAGCGAACATCTGTCAGCGAAACGAGATCTATTTGTACACCGCGGAATTGGATGCGCAGACTCGAAAAAAAAACTGCTACGTCATCCTCAAGGCGGCCAAGGCGCCACCAAATCTCATCAATCTCACATTTGGTAGTATCAAACACAGCATTAATGCAGAAGGCATGCAAAGAGCCAAGGCGCATGTCTCGAGTTACTGTGCTCGAGTATCTAGCAACGCTGTCGACATAAGATTAGCCAACCAGGGGATCCCTTGGTACCCCATGACTTTGCCCGGAGCCTCCTCTCCTACGCCCCTCCCTCATGTCTACAACGTCCCCCTGCTTGGCCTCCTGGATGTGACTGTCTCGGCGCGTTTTTGAAACTGTCGCCCTTTTGTCCTTTCTTTCATAAACACTTTTTTGCCACCAGCCTTTTCTCCTCTCGACATCTCCATCCCTCATCTCCATCACCCAGGGCCGGACGCTCAGGAGAAAAAACACAGCGGAACCCGTCAGGCAAAGAAAAAACACTCGTCATCGTGGGAATCAGTGTCCCTTCATTATGCTCTACGCATCTCCAGACACCACTTCAGCAGAGTGGCACAGCCACCACAACTCCTACCACCAAAGTGCCCAAGCTCAGCCTTCAAGTCACCCCCAAACACCAGACCACACCCCCTCAATGCTAGTCGACATGACACTCCCCCGCCGCATCCCAGCAGAGACCGCCCTCCGCATGGTCCGCAAGGTCGTGCAGACACTCATGTATCTTCGTGGACAAATGGCCACCAGTTGGGACCAATTGGAGGTCCTTTTGATGCAGGAAAATATGCGGCAGGAACAGGAGCAGGAACTGGAGCAGGGGTCTCAATCCCATAAAGATTCGTTTCACCATGACCCCCACCTCGGGACCCGGAACCATGCTCAAGACGAGGATGATGACAACGAGAACGATTTTGTCATCCCTACAAAGTCCCTCCGAGAGGTAACTCACCCTCCCTGTGCCCAACCTCCTAGTCTCTCGCTTAATTAATTCATGCAACCCAAAGAACTAACAAAGACGATCTCTCTGCCCCACTTTATCAATTTCTGTAGTTTCTGGAAACAGGAGAGAGGATGTTTGTCGATCTTGAAGAATCAGTATACGGCCAACTCTACTCCGACCTCCGCCACTCCTCTACACCCACCAGCGCCAACACATCAACACCTCCACCACGCTACCTCTCACTAGCACTCATCTTCGGAACGACCTTTACAACCCCAAAAGAGCAATACATGCTCCGCATCGGACCCCTCGAACCCCGACTTCCCAGCCCTTCCTCTTCTACCCCCTCCTCCGCCTACATCCATAACCCCCACCCCACCAACCTTCCTGCTCCACTACCTGCAACAACAGAGATATCCCCAAAAGAACAGGCAAACAGGACGAGGGAAGAAAAGAAATGGGATAGACTCCTCATCCAGAACCTCATGGGCATCCTACCTTTTCCCCCACCTTCAGACCAATACCCCTCCAGCGATCACAACCAGCAACAACAAGAAGGCTACGGAAGTCTGTTGGGAACTGACCCCTTGCGTCACAGGACGAAAACTCACCTTCTTATGCGCGCCCCCGCAGGGAAAATCTTTACAGGCATGTTTCCCCAACAGCATCTCCTCTTGCACCAGGACTATCCCACCCCTTCTCGTTCTCGTTCTCCTTCCCAGATCGATAAAGACGGGCAAGTAGAAGAGGTACCGGCAACGCAATCATGCTGGAACCAAGGCTGCAGAAACCACAAGAAACCAGCGCGCTGGCCTATTCATCACATCCACATCTTTGGCCCGTCCTCTGACCAAGACACCGACAATCAAGGTATGAACGGGGATGTGGACGAGGATGAGGATGAGATGTGGTACTTGATCGGACCTGGCATCCCCCTCCTCTCCCCTCTACTCTAATATCACTCTTCCTTACCTAGACTCCCCACTCTGCCCAACTACCCACAAACAACCATAATACACAACACGTGCACGTTAGACGTCAGACAAACTACTCCCGAGAAGCGTATTCAAGTTTCAAATTTGTTTTTTGTTTGTATTACTCGAAAATGAGGAAAGAGGCTAACATGGGAAGAAGTAAAAGAAGTGCTATGGACAAGTTGTGTGTTGTTGTTGTGTTTTGTGTTTCCATCGTTTGACAGCTGTCAGATAACAGTATGTCTCTGCTTACGCGGAAGCGTACTATTAACGGTGCAAGAGAAAATAAAGCTGTGTTAGTCTGGCGCCTCACACATCACATCAAGCCCAAAGCGTACAGAAACACAAACACCTCGCTGAAAAAAAGATGAGATACGGTACCTTCTTGGTATGCTCCTTGGCGTTCTTCTGGAACTTGGGCTGATCAGTAGAGTAGATCTCTGCAATGTCGGTCATCAAAGGATCGTCAGGGTTGGGCTGCTCCAACAACGCCACCAACGACTTCAACACTAATTTATGAAGGCAGTTGTGAACCAACAAGAGAAGCATGTTAGTCTCTGCATCCTGTGACATGAAAAGAGCACACAGTCTGCGTGCTCTCAAACTATGATTCACAAGAGTCGACAGATCGCGCCCCTCCCCTTTTTGTTTCTTCCTTCTATGTTCATCCCGTTTTCCTGTGACAAGTATCCTTTTGCTAGTAGTTTACCTTGGCTAATGCGTGTTGCTGGCTTCCATTGGTCGTTCTTCAACAAAGCAACACAGATGGCGCCCTCCTCGTCAATGTTGGGGTGGTACACCTTGGTCAAGAACTTGACCTAATACAAAACCGAAACGAAAAAAAAGGTTAAAACAGCGATTTCAACATTTTTGCTCGATTCATATATAACGACGTCATTTCCCATAAGAGAAAGCAGACAAGCAAAAAAAACAGTAAGTAACAGTTTTATCCTAGGTGAATGTACCTTTGGGGGCTTGAAGGGATAGTCAGTGGTGAAGACAATATCCAGCTTGAAGATGCCACCCTTGTAAGGCGAGTTGGCCTATTATCATCGAATGTTGAGCAAAGCATTGCGAGAAAACGTCAGCATTTTTTTTTTCGATTTTCGTCATGTATGTGCATATCATGGGTCAAAAAGTAGACATGAGAACAAAATGGAGATTCGGAGAAGGAAGGGCAGAAAGACGACATTCTTGTTCCATATCGTGCACAGCCCAGACAGGCTCGATCTCAATACTCCAGTGAAAAGCAAAAGAGAAGGAAAGACAACTTACAGGTCCGGCGATCTGGCCTAATAACATGGAGCAACAATAACCATTGCGAGTTCCGGGGGTAGAAAAGTAAGCGGGACAAGAGTCATAAAGACAACGAAAAAGAAACAGTAAAGGATGAATGGAGTGACTGGGTCAGTAAATTTAGACTTCCAATTGATCCCAGAAATAACGACGACGACACGTTTCCACCAAAAAGGGGGCAGGTGGGGTTGGACGCCGCAGGAGGAGGAATAGGGCGACTCTGACAGATAGAGCTTTGAGGCGCCAGGGTAGCGAGGATGGTGAAGAGGAGAATTGATACTCTCCTGTCGTTCTTTTTTGCTGTTCTGGAGGTTTCAGAGAAAGGGACTTGGGTCCTTATCCTGGCGTCATCCCTCCGTCCGTATGTCGTTATGATACGCGCAAGAACTGGAACGCTCGACCGCGTACGCGAAAACAGTAAAGGTGAATATTTCCTAAACATGACTTATCCTTGACCACGTCCCTTCGGTATCCGTGCATGCAAGAAGAAGTATCACACTGCCTGTATCTTCCTTGGATCTGTCCTGCCCGGAAGTCCAAGGGTATGAGAGAGGTGTAACAGTAAGCCAACAAGGAATAAACAAATTACCTCGCCAGTGGAGGACGTTGCTCTCGTCAACGGGTCCGACGGAGACGCTATCGATAGGGTTATTGTTAAGGTCGAGGAGCTCCTATTGGCAGTTGAGGACACAAAGGCGAGAGCGAGTTAGTGGATGCGTTCTTCATGAGTAGGGGGCACAGTTGACCATGATGGGCAAGCAGAGGTAGCCGAGTCATGTAAAGGCACAAGAAGGGCGAATGGGACGTACGGCCTGGAGTCTGCGAAGAGCCATTGTGAAGTGAGGGTGTGTTGGTGAGAAGGGAGAAGGGAGAAGGGAAGAGAAGAAGAAAGAAAGAGGTGAATGTGAGAAAGGGGTGGAGTTGTTTGTTGATGGAAAGAGGAGAAGGAAGAAGGAAAACGAGTAAACCGTTCTGTGCCTTTTATTTTAGCGTGTGTTGTATGGCTGGCTGAGTCGACTTCTCCTTTCCCTCTGTTGCGCCTCCACTTTTCCAATGCCATCACTGCAGATCAAAAATCAAACTCCCTTTTCTTCCCTCAAATTAGAACGCCACCACAGTTTACAGTGACGTCGCTCAAAAAGGTTCCTTCCAAAGGTCCAATATCGATATTTGACCAAACGAAGAAAAAATCCTTTCGCTGTTCCACATCCTCCATGATATCATTCTCATTGCTTCACATCGTCGTATCTGAGAAAAGAGTATGTGCGTGAACCTCACTATGTATGTGCGCCAAGAAAACGAAGAAAAAAAAAAAGAAACAGAAAAAACAAATTTATTGGAACATGGTAAGAGCATGGCGAGAATACGACCCATAAAGCGTCAAACCCAAAGCTGCAAGACTCATCACCGTCCTTCCAAAATGCAACAGATCCCACTTGACATACAACTCATTCAAGTCTCCCTCCCCCTTTCCGTGGCTACTCTGGTGACCGTTCTTGCCGTTCTTGCCCGTCGTCGCCTTTCCCTCAGTTCCATCCAGGATCCCCAAAAGCGTACGATTCACTGGCATGATAAACGCCATCGTGAAGGGGATAATCGCACCCATCACAAGCGGACCCATCAAGAAGAACGCATTCCCGGTCTTGTAATAAACAGGCAACCCAGCAAGGAGCGAGGTGAAGATAAGACCGACTTGAATGTTCTTGCCGGCGTTGTAGGATTTTGCCCAGACAGGGAGGGCTGTTAGGGGAGGGATGGTCCGGAGGGCGGGCATAATGACGGCATTGTAGGAGAGGGCTTGGCCGGCGAAGAGGCCGATGGATCCGACGGTTAGGGTCTTGAGGGCAACTAGGGAGGTGGAGGACGCTAGCAGGGATTGGAGGACTGTTTGGAGTGGCATCTTGCTTGGGTGGGTGGTTTGTGTGTGGATATGGGTGTGGATGGGTGGGACTGGTGTTGTTGGTGATGAGAATGGGTGAATGAATGTTGAAGTGAAGAAAAAAAAAGAAAGAATGAAAGAGAAACCGGAGGTGTGTCTTTTTGTATGAGTATCGAAAAGGTGAAGACTGAACGCGATAGGACTAGACTTGACGCGAAAAAAAGATACCGAATTTGGTTTATCGAGAAAGGAAATTCGTAGACAGAGATCTTTTTATTAAGGAAAAAAAACAACAACTAATGTACATGTTTGAAGGTAACAGAATAACGACGTAGACAGGTAGGTAAGCGAGAGAGAAGAGGAAGGGGAATATGTTCATCCGGAGAGACTGAGGATCTTGAGCGACTTTTCCAGGTCAGAGTCTCGCACCTACACACCACCACATCAAAAACAAACAAATGGAGAACGTGTCAAACAGACCGAACAATACTGTTCCACAAGACCCGCATAAAATCCAATTGAACCCCTCTCTCACACAGCAAACAAAAGCAAAAACAATTGCCAGAGCAACAAAGACTTACCAAGACATTCGCAGTTCGGAAGGTGCTAAGACAAAGTAAATTGACACCATGGTCAACGAGCGGGTTCGACATCGAGTAGACCAATCCATAGGTGTCCAGTCCAAAAGTTGACAGATCGACTTGGATGCAGCGGAGCATTGTTTCTGAGGAACTCATGTTCAGCATGTGGTCCTCAAAGTGGCCCAGCACCTCTTGGTCCTAGGGTTGGAAGGGGGTAAGAAAGTAAGGTGAGTGAATGATTAGAGTGTGGTTAAGATGGAGAATCGATTGGTTTGCAAAAAAAGAAGGAAAGTACTTACGGCGATGAGGGAGGTGCCCTCGTCGGTTGTTGTGAACGAGATGAAATGAGATTTGGAATCGCTTTGTGTGCGAGGCAAGAAGGTTGTTGTTGGTTAGTTGGGAATCCCAATGCACACAACCTTCCTAAAATAACAATAGACTACAGTAGTAACAAGTCACCCGCAAGAACAATGGATGTTCATACCTTGAGAAACCGGGGAGCTGGTCTGGGTAAAAGAGGACCTTGATCAGCGTCACTGCCCATTCCGCTTGGTACTCCCTGTATGATAGACAAAGCAAACAGTGAATACGGATGAGTGGAGGGACTAATTACGCAGCTAATACAACAACAGTCCAATAGGCAGAACAAAACACGTACGGAGCGAGGCCGGCGAGCATGAGTTTGTCGTCGATGACAGATCGAGGACAGGACCGACGGATCTTCTCCTTGATATTAGACTCTCTCTCCTCCTGTTCCTCCAGCGTCTCCTGCATAAGTCCCATTAACGAAGGCATCGATCCAAACGCAGGAAAACTGCTGCCACTTGGCGTCAGTGGATGAAACGATGTCGATGATCCCGCCGAGTCTGGCCCTCCTGCTCCTGCAGCTCTCCTGTTGAGTCCACTGAACGTCAGATGCAGGCTGTTGTCCGAGTTGATGGGGGCAGGCATCTCGCCGACCAAAGCCGCAGCATGTCCCATACTATCCAAACTGTCGATCGAAGATCCTTGTGCGTGTTTCTTGGGAAAGAAACGTCCGATCCCGTCCCCGAATGACGACTCGGCGATTGAGCTCTGTCGACCGTGTTGACTCCTCTGAAAGAGTTGAGACTGACTGTGGCTCGTTGACATTGTTCCGGTATTGTGATAGCGTCCTAGACCGTCGATTGAAGAAGAATCCGAGTCGGACTGTTGTCGTGTCCTGTACCGTCCCGCGGGTCTTCCTGCTCCAATCGCCATCGAAGAAGTAGATGCGAAATGGCCATGGTTGCCGCTGGGTCGTCTTCCGAAGGGGATGGAGATTCCTGTAGAGGGTTTTGTGAAACTGTTGCCAAAGCTGCTTCCAAAAAACGCCGACGAGGGCGATTGCTGCAGTTGCTGTGGCTGTTGGTGATACTGAAAGTGACCAGGGCTGAATGGGCTCCCGCCCTGGTAATGAATGGATTGGATCCTTGTTGAGGAAGGCGAAGAAGGGGTATGGAGGAAGGAGTTCATGGAAGTAAAACTGGAACCGGGGAAGGATCCTTGGTCGGAGTAGTCGTCTCCTCTGGTGGAAGAGGACAAGTCGCAGTCCGAGTCGACAGAGAGAGAAAAGATGGAGCGGATGGTGGGAAGGACGAGTTTGAGGCGTTTTTCCTTGACGAGGATGAGGTCAGTGATGCGTGTTGAGAGATAGAAGATGGATATACCGTTCCTGCTGAGCAACGCCGACATTTCATTGATGCGCCTTCCCGAGTTGTCTAATAACAAGATGAAGTAAGCAGAGGAGGGGGGGTTAAGCATGTAAACACACTAGTAAAGGACGACCAATCAGATAGCATACTGCAGGACTACCAAGGGTTATTGAATCATGTGCAACGATAACTCTAATCTCTCTCTCTTTTTCTCTCTCTTTCTCCCTCTCTCTCTTTCTCTCTCTTTCTCTCTCTCTCTCTTTCTGGTCGTTTGTTTGGTTGGTTCTTGTTTTTGATGGGTGAAGTGAACTACAACCAGGTGGGACCCTTTCTCTCTTTTCTTATCTCCGTTGATGGATTGATTTATCCACTTGTTCTTTCATTTATTCCTGGTCTAGAAGCAATCACTCCATTCCCTCCCTTCTCCTCCTTTGTTCTGTTTCCTTTGCTGCACCGAATCTGTTAGGTAGAACATACATGCATGTGTGTCTGTTGTTTCTGTATCTGTGTGTGTGTGTGTGTGTGTGTGAACAGAAAATTGTTCATGCAAACACACACAAAATCATATGGTCCATGCAATGTGCATGATCAACCTAACCTTCCCACACGCCAAAATAAAAAAATAAAAGAGCGGGAAAAAAACCAAAAGAACAATGAACTTACCGATGCCGTCGGGGTCATCGACCATGAACGCACAAAACACATCCTCCGACACCTTCATCCCTTCGAGATGGAGCGACAAAAAGTCATTCGCAATCACCTCCACATTCGCGACAATGTTGAGTTCTAGTGCGTTCTGGGTGAAGGAGAACAGCGTCTCGCGGCTAAGATGTTCAATTGAAAGCGAGGCGTAGTTAAGTATCGTGTTCGCTACTCGCTTGTTTCCAGTGTAAAGAGTACTAGAATGAAAGGGCTACCTCTGAGGGAAAAAGATGTTTTTGACGATGGCGTGGGTACATCCAGCGATGGACTGGGGGAATGTCTTTGGGATGGAGAGGAGCTGAAGCTTCCAGGGTTGCAGCGTGATTGACATTGTGTTGATGGTACTCTCTTTTTTATTATTTGTGTTTAGTGCTCGGAAGGAAGGGAATCAAATCAACACTACTCCAGCTCTTTCTTGTATTGCAGGATCGTTATCCTGCCCCTTTTTATTGAAGGCAAGGTAGAGTTGTAGGAAGAGGAGGAAGGAGGAAGAAGAATGATAGAGGAGAGGAGAAGTGAGAGGGAAATGAAGGTCGGGAGAACAAAGAACAGAGATGAAGTGAGATGAAGTGAGAGAGGGAAGGGGAAAGACGGAAAGAAGGAGAAGAAGTGAGGAAGGAAGGGAAAGGGAAAGGTAAAGATAAAAGATAAAGGAAGTTGTTTGTCGTCTGACCTACAGTCGTGAATAAAAAGAGGCAGGTGTTCGTCTCTCTCGTCGTCTGTTCATCATCATCACAATCGTCTGTCTGGCGATAAAGAAAAAAGAACAAAGCAGTTGAACCGTCGGTTTGCTGATTTATGCAATGCATGAGTTGCATATATGCAATAAGGTCAGTTGAATTGTTCGGTAGCATGCTTTTTTTCTTCTAGCACCTAATCAACATTGACATCGTTCTTATCTTTGTTCTTGCCCAGATGGAAACACACGCCTACCCTGTCGAATAAGAGAGCACGTAACATTGGTGGCAAAGAAGAGAAATCACACTGTAACAGTGTACGTGAAATTTGGATTAATACGTGTTTGTTTCTTTCAATCAGCAGCCATCAGTCCGCAACACATGCATCATTTTTCTTCTTTTTTTTTTTTTTTTTTTTTTTTCTTTCCTCCTTCAGACTGACAGACAGGCAGATAGAGTGAGTGAGAGAAGGAGAAGGAAGGCCCTGTATGTGTGTGTTGCTTCCATATCCCTCCGTTTGCCTCTGCCACTCTGTCTCTCCAGCTCGCCTGCCTTTGTTTTCTTTTTTCTTTTTTTCTTTTCCTTTTTGCACTCCTCCTCCTCTTCTTCTTCTTCCCTGCCCACGTTTTTTTTCTTCTTTCTTTCTTTGCCCTTCCAACTGATTCGATCCCTTTCATCAGCTCTCCTCCTCCACTCACACTCTTCACTCCTGTTCAGATCCTTCTTCTCCTTCACTCCTCTTCCTCCTCTCACTTTCACCTCCACATTCACCATCCACCCACGTCCCTTCCGCCACTCTTCTTACAAAAACAACCTCCCTACCCAACAATAACTACACATCCGAGCAAGCTTCCCTTCATTCTCACAGGTAAGCAAGCAACCCTCAGCAACTTCCAACAACAACACTCACTTCCCACCTTCACTCCCACCACCAAAAAAAAAGAAGTTCGTTGACCTGTAAATCGCAATTCATTTCGGACGTGAGATCCCTGGAATCCCGACCGTCACCTCTCACACCTTCCGAAGACTGCGTAAAGAGAAAAAGAACAACAACAACAACCAACGTGTGTATGTGAATAAGCTCACCCCAACACCCACTTGCTCGACTCCTTCCCAACACCCATACTCCCATCCACACCCAACATCATACCTTCCGAACTACCTCCACTCACTTTTGGGCTTCTTTTTTGCGACATTCACACTCTGCTTGCCACCACTTTGGTGTATTGACATGGGGGGACTGAGATATAAGAACAACAACAACAGCGAAGCGAGAGGCATAAACAAGGAAGCAAAAGAGGACTAACAGGTGTTGAATCTCATTCGACTGAATCCATTGCTCGTGAAAAGTCTCAAGGAGAAATAACGAACAGCATAACAAAAACTGAAAGCACCAGGAGAAAAAAAAAAGAGAGCCTTACTATGTTTTCTTTTTTCCTTCAGCTGACTCTTATTGGGATTCACACTCCATCACATCAACAACAGCAACAGCAACAACACAACAACACTCATCACAAGAAACGACAGCCACTCGAAACTGCATTCTTCCTTCTCTGTATACCATGGACGCTTCATTCTCCTTGTTTCTCTCGTGTGTGAGCCGAGTCGAGTCACCTTGTTATTGTTCAGCATGAGTGACCCGCCCTTGCACAACGTACGTCTCTACATCGGCCCCAGTCCAGAGTGCGTATGCTGTATGTATGGTTGAGTAGCTTGCCAGCCTGGCTGATTGCTCGTCCTCTTATCAGCGTTGAAATAGCTTATCGGGAGGGAGGAAGGACAGTAGAGTGTGTGTGCGTGTGAGGGAGTTCCTTTTTTTTTATTTTTAGTGTATCTGTAAGGGTGTGGGCAGATGAGAGTCCCGAGTCATGTTTTTAATAATACTCACAACAATGAACGGAAAAAGGAGGACAAATACTGTCAACACACACTTTTTTCAAGAGAAAAGCGATGGCGTAGAGAGAAGGAAAGACGTAGTCAGTTGAGGACAGTGCAATGAGGCTAGACAGACAAGACTTGTTGGCTAACTGACTGACTACCAGTTTGGCGGGAACAAGAGTCAAAGGAGCTGGAAGCGTTGTTTGAAGCCAAGAGTGTAAGGGAGCAAAATATTCCCACTGCATGGACTCACACCTTTGTCAGTGAGGAGGCAGCAAGGAGCTGCGGCGGGAAAACACAACAGGGAATGAAGGGAACCTTCAACCCTTCAACCTGGTTACAAGCAGCTGACCGTGGCTTATCCATTCACCCCGCCTTCTCTCACCCTGCCTCGCTCGACTTGCCTTGGCTCGTCTTGGCTGGGGAGAAGAGTACTCGACCAACAACCTCGCTACTTCAAAACGACTGAGACTAACCCTTCTCCTCCTCCTTCCTTGTCTTCTCTCTTCTTCTTCAACGCCATAACAGCCAGAGAAAACTAGATCACAGCTGCGCGACTGCACGCCTACTTTTTCTTCCTCTCAGTCCTCATCCTTTCATTTCTCCAACCAACCCCCCACTCGCACTTCCATCGACTGACTGAATTCACTCGCAACTCACAACCCACCCTTTAACACTCCCACGACAGTACAACAGCACAACTTACACTCACGCGCACACACCAGCAAAAACCAAGCAGCGCAATCACAAACCAGCTAGTCTAAACCAACAACAACATCTGCCGAGTGAAGCAGGAGCCAGCAACACTTTGACCTGTCAAGTGTAATCCGTTTTTTGTTTAATATCTGTTCATTCTCGAGCATTACTACGATGGGTACGTCTACTCCTTTTGTCTTGTACTCGTACGTATTCCTTTCTCAGAATAAGTGTGCAAGAGAATACTAATCAACTCTACTTGTGTCCACTTATGAACTAGTAGCACCTCCTCGAAGAAGCGGCCGCTACGGACATACTAAGGGCAGCAAGAAGAAGGAAGAAGATGACGATGGTGGTCAAACCCGCTGTGTTTGCAACCAACAACGTAAGTATCATTCCCTCCCTTTCCTTTCACACTACCATTAACCCCACTCTTTATCACACCCCTACAATTCTTCTCGGCTCACCTTTTCCTTGCAAATCAATTCAACTTACTCCCCTCCTGCTGCTCACAAGTCTGTCGAATGAACTTTCTGTTTATTCGTCATGGAACAACGACACACTTGTCTGTCTCCTTGATGTCGTCGTTGCTATTTTTTATTCTCATTCAAGGGGGAACAGGGCAAGAGCAAGACAGAGAGGGGGCCAGAGGAGAGAAAAAGAACAAAAAGAAGGAAAACAAAAGTTCCACAATTGACAATTGGCCAGGACTATGACCTCACCAACACCGCCTTGCATGCAACCAACTATACAGACCTGACTAACATGTGTTCATTTTCTTCCTTCATTGCATTAGACCATGAGGGCGTAATGATTCAGTGTGAGACATGCAAGGTGTGGCAGCACTGCCCCTGTGTTGGACTCGGTGACGGAGAAGTGACCCCAGACATGTACTACTGCGACTCATGCCGTCCCGAGAACCATCCATACCGTGTCCAGAACGGTCAACTGTAAGCTTGTCATAGCACGTTTGTTATTCTGTGTAGCAAGTCCAAACATATCTTTGTGCATATCATTAACCGCTTCCAACTACCTTTGTCATGACATATAGGATATCGAATGCAAAGTCAACGGCAAAACCAACAAAGAAGAGGAGTACGATGAACTCAAAGGAGGCATCAATTCCCATGGACCTGATGTTGGCGCAGCAAAAGTGGAACGAGGAACACCAGGATGAGATTGAGGATGATCTCCCCCCTCGCGCTGCAGCCAAGAGGCGGAGAAAGACCGAGAGCAGCACTACCGACATTGACGATGAACACCACCATAACAACAACAACAACAACCAACAGGACTCTAACGATGCTGCCACCGCTGCATCAAACACGACGACCAAGAGCAAGAAGAAGGACAGCACTGACGATCGGGACTCTGCGTCGACCTCTCCTTCATCCTCACCAAAGTCTGCATCTTCCAATGGTCGGAATACAACCAAAAAGGCATCTGCCAAATCGACATCCAAGGCTCGTTCGCGTTCCAACACACCCAGCAGTAACGATAACCAAGGAGCTGATCCCAGCAATGGATCCCACCCCCCCAGCAAGGAATCTTCACCCATAGCTGTATCAAGTACTTCAAACAGTCCCAAGAACAGCCGCCCACATGAAGACTCCACAGCCGATGCCAAGACCCCGGGCTCATCAGATTCAAGTGTTCCCGCGACCAAGCGCAGGAAAACCGTGAGCAAGTCTGACATGCCATCCAGGTCCGAGTCTCTCGCCGCCGATGAAGACGACGATTCCACCAACAAGAACAACTCTGACGCCGAGCATACAGGTACATTTTGCTTCGCTCCGCGCATTACTCTTTGCGCACTGCAATGATACTCTAAAGCCTTTACTAACCACCGTTTGTTCCGAACTACTTTCTTATAGAAACGACGACGAGGTCGCGAAAGGGAGGCGCTGGGTCGAAGTCTGGCAGCAAGCGGAATAGCGGGCATCAAGGCCACGCCGAGTCACGTGATGATTCAGTCGCACCCGTCAGCAGTAGCAACAGCAGCAATGGACACCAACAGGTGCCCTCGGTCTCTTCTCCTGCGCCATCGACCAAGAAGGGATACTCCAAGCGAAATGGCGATCGTGGAACCAGCACCAGGAGTGGATCCCGCAACTCGACTCCCGCACCAAGTCATAGCGAGAGCACACCCCAACCAATGGCACCTGCAGCACCTGCAGCGGTGCGATACCCCTCATCCAAGATGACACTCCAGGAGATGGCCAAGCGCGCCAAGCAGATGTTGGACTACATCTCGCGTGTGCAGGTTGAGCTGGCGGATCACAAGAGCAAGGTCACACCGGTTGCTTCTCCCGAGTGCAGCAGCACGGCTGCTACGACTCGTCGTCCCACGGCCTCGCCAGGCACTACTCATCGTCCTGTCCACCATGACAACCATGACATTGATAGAGAGATGAGAAGGCTGAATGACGTAGAGTCGTTTGGTTTCAGATTGCCAAAGCCTGCAGTGTCAACAAGTTCAGGATCTGGTATTCACGGAGACAGCCAGGTTTGCCCGGATCTGTCACGGTCCAGTATGGACAGCACATCGTCAACGGTGGATGGAATGCCAGAGCCCAGCAGCCCTGTTGATATGAAGGTGCCTACCTCGTCACTGAACGGCAAGGATCTGAACATGACGATCAAGGTGATCCCTATGCACGCTCAGGACTCCTCGCTGCTGTTGTCGACGCCACCTCTATCTGTCCACGATCACCAGCACCACAACCAGGGTCATCACTCCCATCACACCTCTAGAAGTCCCGACTCGGATACGAACCATGAGCCATTGACACCTCCTCACCAGCCCCTGGAAGGTGCATCCGAGGAGCATCAGGAAGAAGGAGAGTCGGATGAGAAGCAGGCTGGCACTGTCACCAGCATGGACTTGATGGACAAGTTGACTGGCGACCTCATTCGCTTCCAAGAAAAGTTTGGTGCCTTTACCTGACTCACTTTTAGCCACCTGGATGTCCGTTTTTGATTTTTCTTTTCTACCAGCACAAACACACATATCCTTTGCACCTATTGCAACTCTAGCCTCCTTTTTGTTTTTGTTTTTTTTTTTCATTCAATTGTACTTTTACTTCCTCTCCACTTTTTTTCTTTTCCTTTCGCCGTATATCATCGTTAATTCTCTTTTTTTTCCTCTCTTTGTACATCATACTTTCCACTCGCATCTCGCGTTTCAAACATGAAAAGCAAAAAATTCATTAACAAGCCTCATTTTTCGTATCAGCTCAATCAAACAAAAAGGACAACGACAATAACAACACGAAAAACAGTCAAAAACACAATAAATCTCAGACATCCCTGTGTATCGAAGTTTAAAAAAAAAAAAGTCATGCCAACGGTTCCAAATGTCAACAATAGCAAAAAAAACAATAATAACAATAGCAATGGGAGTCATGGGAAGGAAGGGTGGCGAGCGAGACGTGCCCTTTGTATTAGAGTTGCGTGAACGAGAAAGAGAGAACGTGAAGTTGAGGGGGAGGGGTGAGGGTGGAGCATGATAAATGGAGTCGACTGCCACATGGATGAAACCTTTTTTTTTTTTTTCCTTTTCTGCATTCGTTAGTTGTTGTGTGAACAGTTTCTGAGTTTGAAGGGAGGGTTGATGGGAGATAGAGGTTATGATGCCCCAAGAAAAAGGAAAAAAAAAAAAAAAAAAAAAAAAAACAAGTCGTAACGGTAAAGTCAGGAGGTATGGAATGTGAGGGGGATGGATCGAGTGAAAGGGACAGGGACACCGCCACAAAGCGGTATGCTTTTTATTGTTTTGGTGTTGAGTCCTTTTGGTCAGGGAACTCACTCCTTTGTTTGACGTCCTTTTTTTCATCTCTGGGTGTCTGTTGTGCGTCATGGCTCTCATATTTTATTTTATTTTACTGTTGTTTTCTTTTTGATGAATGGATGAATGTCAACAAAGTGAAAAAACTAAAGGGATCCGGGGTCGTTTTGATGGAGAGGGGAATGGTTACAGACGAGGAAGGAAGGAAGAAAAAGAAATTCCCCCATGAAAATTTTCCCTTTTGTCGACTTGTCCGTCGAGAAGGGGGAATGCATGGACCATGGACTCTAAATTAACCGCTGCTCACGATTTTCATTTCATTTTATTTGTTATTTTTTTCGTGTGGTCATACCAGATATATGAAAGAATATTGAAAAAAAGGGATGATTGCTTTTTTTATTTGGTGAGTGAAAAAAAAAGAGTGTGAAAATGAGAGGGGGGAATGGTATGGGTGAGGTAAGTGGAGTGGAGTAATAGATGATGTAGATGCGTATGTAAATTAGAGAGTAGTGTAGGAACAAGGAATACAAAGGAAAGGGATGAAGAGTGAGTGAATCCAAGACACCCTCCGCCAAAAAAAAAAAAAAAAAAAAAAAAAAGGGTCTTATCATTTTTACTGTCCATCCCCCCGCATTGAGTCTCAACTTTAGACCATAACAAAGACAGAAACAAGAAGAACAACTAGTCCAACAACGCTAGAAGACACTACACGGGTACGAGAAGAAGCACCAGAGGTACCGGGCATGGTGACTGTGAGGGCGCCGAAATTGAGGTTGCAGGAGTCGACGAGGTTCTGGGTGCTGAAACGGGTTTGGATCTTTTGGTTCTCTGCTCCGCAGGTGTAGCAGGGATCTGTTATTTGAGAGTTTGTTTGTTGGTTTGTTGGTTGGTTAGTTGGTTGGTGAGGGAAGTGGAGAGAGGTGGGCAGGTTGGGTGCGAGGATGATGCGTGAAGGATGGGTAAGAGATGAGAGGGGGTAGAAAGGGACGACGGGGTTAAGGGCGAAAAGGAGAGACGAGAAAATAAAAGAAATTGTTGATGTCAGAACGATGGATTCTTTTTTTGTTTCGACGAACGGGGGAGTAACTCTTTTCCTTTCCTTTCCTATCCTTTCCTTTCCTTCCCTCCCACCAACAAAGAACAAAACAAAAATGAGAGGAGTTACCATAAGCATTGACAATCTTCTGTGTGCAGAGACACTTATCCGTGGTCGCGGTGGTGTTGGACTCAACAGGAAAGTTGATGTTGCCGGTGGAGGAGTCGATGGAGACTTTGCAGTCCTGGAGGAGAGAGATCAGAGGCGTGCAGGAAGGCTGGTAGCATGCTAGGGGGGTTTCTTTCGGTTGTTGCGCGGTTGTGAAGGTCAAAACGGCGAGGAAGAAAAAGAAGAGTGTGAAGAGGGGTGTGGATGAATGCATTGTTGAGTGTGTGTGTGTGTGTGAAGAGTGAAGTTGAGAGGAAAGAAGGAGAGTGGAGAGTGTGTGTGAAAGAGAGCGAGAGAGAAGAGAGAGAAAAAAAGAGGCGATCGTGGTTTATAAATGCTTCCGGGGAGGGTGCACCTCCTCACTTTTCGAGACGGCATGGGATGGGCATGGACGTGAATAGATTGACAAAATAAATCCGAAACATGTAAGAAAAAACGCGGACGCTCTTTGTTCACCTCTCGCCCTCTCACATTCACCCAGCAATGCCTCTTTTTCGTCCGCTCAATGGATCGACTTGTGAACAAGTGGCAAGCATGATGAATGAGACGGAGATGAAAAGAGTGAACGAGAGTTGAACGAAGGGAGAGTGAAAGAGGTAGAGAGAGATGAATAATTCACATTCCGCGCACAGGGCGCATGAGATGTAAACAATGCACCCGCACCTTGTCTGGGAACAAAAACGACAAACGATAGTTCACATAAGGGATACTGAGGTAACAGAAGGTAAGAAGGATAGGGGTCCCTGTAATTTTTCTTTTCGTTTGGGTCTGGCTGGCAAAGTGCTCTCAACAGCGACATTGGACCGGGAGCAGAAGCCAAACGGATTGAACGCAACGGTCAGGGACCAGGGTGATGCGCGTTCATTTCACGAGCCAAGAGGGAAAGAGATGAGGGCGAAAGTGAGAGAGAGAGAGAGAGAGAGAGAGCAATAGAAAAGAAGAGATGACCGGGGTGCATGAGGCATATCTTGGTCTTTCGGAAAACGATATCGCATGGTAAACAAGGCTCATTTTGATCCCCGACTTCCCAACAATCAAGGTTAAGCAACATTCCGCAGAGGAATGGCACACTTGATTGAGACAGCACGAGAAAGAAAACAAGGTTTAGAGATAGAGCGTGGGCTGGGTGGGTTAGATTGCATTAATGCAGGGGGGGCAGAGGGGGTAGAGGGGGCAGAGGGAAGGGACAGGAGGAGGAATGGGGGTTTGGTGTTGGTTAACAGTCAACTGTTTTTCTGTTATCGTTGCTGTTATTGCTTTTAGCGTGTTCGTCAAACGACAGTGGTGTAGGGCTGTAAATTGAGCAACGGTTGTTTTATTATTATTCTACAGGAATGAGTAGGGCCATCACGAGAAAAGACAGTGGAAAGAGTTATGTTGGTTTGGGTGTGGGGGTGAGATGATTGCAGAGTGCCTGTTGTGCTCTTTCTGGCACAGACAAGAATACTCATACAGTCTGCTTAGAAGCCAAGGAACTGCAGTCCACTGATAACGACAACCGCAGCGACAGCCATCAATCCACCAGCACTCGCCTTCAAGGCAGAGCTCTCCTTGTGCGAACTGGCGCCTCCCACAACAACATTCTCCTCCTGCGTGTTTCCACCTCCAACCGAAGCAGCAGGAGCATTGGCAGCCTTAACGGGCGCGTGAGCACCAGCAGCAGTGGCAGTGCGATCAGCAAAGGCGGCGGCAGGTTTAGCAGCAGCAGCGGAAGACTTGCGGTGCTTGGCTGAGGAGGAGATGATGGCGCCGATACCTCCGGGGTTGATCGTTCCGCCTTCAGGGATGACGGGGCGGAGGGTTCCCGGGTTCCCCTCGGAGTCTGTGATTGTGAACCGTGTTGCCCATGCCATCCCACTTCCGTCCTTTGTCTGGAACATTAGGAAGTAGACTATTTGAAGATGAGATTCGTGGTTGGTGACGGGTCAGTTGTTAGTTGTGAGGTTGGTGGGAAGGTAGATGGTGCATGCTTCTCCCTTTGTACCTCATCCATCTCCTCTACCTCTACTACCAAAACGCAAAAAAAAAAAAAAAAAAAAAAGAGAAAGGCATACTTTGACCGGGAGGGCTGACGTGTGGGACATGGTACTTGACACTCGTCGTCGTGCCTCCATCAACATTTGACGCAATGGTAGCCAACTTCTTTTGCTTATCGTCCGCTCCGGTCATGAGGAAGATGTCAAAGATGGGGCTGGAGGAGAGGAGCGGGGCGTGTTTGTCATCGTGCCAGGAGATTGTTACGTCTTGTTCAGGTTTCCAGACGGTGTTGCTGATGGGGGTTTTTGGGTAGACGAATGCATCTGAGGGGGTGGGAAGGTGGGAGAGGAGGGTTGCTGTGAGGGTGAGGAGGAAGGCGATTGTGGACTTCATCTTGGTAGAAAGAATGAGTGGTGGTGAGAGTATGTGTGTGGGGGTAATAAAGTGTAATGAGGGTTGAATAATGGAATGAGGCAGAAAAGCGAGGGGTGCGGACGAGGTATTTATGATGGTTGGGTGGTTTGGTGGTTTTGACTAACTAATGCTACTTTTTACTGTTTGCTGCTTTGTATGCAGCCCAGGTTGAAAGACGTCGTGATGGTGACCAGAGAGGTTCCTAGTACTGGGTAGCTGTCAGAATTGACCTTATCACTCCTCACTGCTCATTTTTTTGATTGGTTAGTGATACTTTGCCACCAACTCGTCTCCTTCCTCATACATGGTCTTCTTGGCAGAAGACTTACCCTCTCTTTTTCCCGTTTTCAGTTCAGATTGTTGTTCCATTTTGATTCTACAATGCACTAACATCTAACGAGATTACATGCGACGAAAGTGTAATTTCACACGCCCACCCGTAAACTGGGGTGTGAAGCTAGCGTTCATGGTAGGTCTTTTGAACTAGCCTGCATGTCTCGTACATTCCTTATCTTGTGAGCAAGTCTTAGCCCAACGGTGTGGTATCGCAATGCGAATTAACTTTATTTGTACAATATGGGGGTGAGGGGTAAAGGAGGGGGGATGGATTGGAAGGAGACGTTAAAGAAAGACATGGGAAGGATGAGGAGGAGTGATTCCAAATACTTGTTTTCGCTAGATAGAAGGACATCCACGTATGAGTGTGTGGAGGTGCGGTCGTCTTACGCGTCATGGTGTGTGTCCAGGTGGACAATTACTGCTCTTCATGGGTTTTTGAATGTCTATGTTTTAACTAGCGTTGGGAAAAAAGAGGCATATCAAGAGAACCGGTTTGAAGTATCATGTGTAAGATATAGTGGTAGAAGCAGTGATGTTGTTTATTCTCTTGAGATCCAGTTGGTCACGTGTAGGATATAGAAATCGAATGGCCACCATGTCGCAATGATGGGATTCCCATGCTTTCTTTCCTTTTCGCCTTGTGGTGTCGCTTCAATGGAGTGTGGGAGGGAGAGTGATACTGTGCGGAGGGTGAGAAAGGCGGGTGAGTAGTGATTGTATAGTTGTGATATGCACTGGTAGTGATATCTTCTCCTGCTACGACGTGGTTCCCTCTCCACTATCGTCCGTTTTGCCACCAGAGTCCTTCTTTTCGCGCAGGTCAGTCACTCAGAGCGCGACAATGACGATGGATTGAATGAATGGCACCATCATCATCGTCAGCATGATCCTCGGATAAAAAGAGATATATTATCTCCCGGACAGGACTACGTGATGCTTCATTGCCCCTTGTGACACAGCCTTGCGTCGTCCTCTTCCTACCATCCCCTACGTTGCTGCACGTCTATTTTTGCTCACGTTCCATCCACCCTGCCTTCTTTCCCTCCTTTTTCCGTTGCTCTCTGCTTTCTTCTTTTTCTCTCTTTTCTTTTCTTCTACTTCTTCTTCTTCCTTTACTCCTTCCCTCCTTTGACCCCTCTCATCTCACTCCACACCTCACCCTTCTTCCTGTCTTTCCCTCAGGCTCAATCGCAACCATGGCCTCGATCGCTGTCGACCCGGCTGACCCCATGGCCATCCACAAGCTGGTCTATCTCAACAAGACTCACACCTTGAAGATGTTCCTGGCCCCTTACAAGTCCATCTCTACCACTCATCACCACCACCACTCAACAACAAACCCCACCACCACAGCAACAACCAACGGGAATGGAACAGCACTCGAGGCAACTGCACAATCAGGACAGAAGGAAAAAGAGACAGCAGACCATTACCACCCACACATCAACTCGCTCGACCTCCATCTCCATGCCCCTCTCCATCTCGCAGTCATGCTCCAACGCAAAGAGATGGTCCAAATCCTCCTCAACGCCGGTGCAAACCCTCTAGTCCGGTCAGGGTCAGGATGGACCCCTCGACAGGAGGCGACCAGTCTGGGCGACAGAGAGATGATCGAGCTTATCACCCGGTACCAGCGAAAGGAGTTTTCGGGGTCCTTCAAGACCAAGGCCATGAACCTTGTCAAGCAGCTCTCTGCCGTACGTTTTTTTTTTTTTTGTTTTCGTTGCCTTTGCCTTTGACTTTGACTTTGGTTTGCCCGGTTGTTTCTGTGATAACTAACTATCGTCTATCTTTCTTTCTTTTTCGCTCACACCGTCCTTCCCCCTCTTTCCTCTTGCTCCACCCCCCTGACATGCGCGCTTGTCTCTGTTCTCAATGCACATGCTCTCCTTGATTTTTTCCATGTCAATTCTACTCGGCTCGACCCATCCCTTTCATTCTTGTTTCAACTGTCTGTCTTGCACATCTCTACTGCATCAACAATCTGTTTCAACAAACAATTGTTCAAATAACAGGACCTTGACCAGTTTTACTTTCAACTGCAATGGTAGGGGCGCACACTTTGACTGCACACCTCTGCGGCAGTCATGTCATGACAAAGCGCGCGATGGTGTGCTCATTTTTTTATTCCTTCTCGTCAGCTGCGCCCATGTAAAAACGCAGCAACACCCTAATCATTCCCCCTCTTTCTTTGACTCGATTGCTATTTTGTATTGTCCTGTCGCCCATCTCTCCTTGCGCTTTTGTCGAATGAATGCGTTGGCACGAATCTATTAGGGAATTCCAGAGCTGGGGTAAGAATAGATACAAAGAACAACAGCAAATAATCTGACAGCCCACCCTCCTGCTGTTCTTGGTTTGTACTCCATGTCAACAATTACTCACATTATGTTTTCCCATATTATTGAAAAATGTGAATAGTGCCGTTTGTGAGTGGACTCTGCCCCAAGGATACATACCACATCTGGAAGAAGGGCAACGCTGTCCGCATGGACACTTCTCTGGGTATGTTGCTGGAAGGATCCTCAGCGCTTGTCGGACAATTTGCGGAGAATTGTTTATCCCCTTGGTGAATGTCACTAACACATCGCATTCTGTATGGCGAATAGTGGGATTTGAGAACATGAAGTGGATTCGAGGACACATTTCTATCGTCTTTCGCGTCGACCCCGATCATGGTATGTTCGCCTGTTGTAGCTGAAAACGCAGGAATTCAATCTCCTGTCGATAGAATGCTCAATGACAAAAAGGCACGTTGAGACATCGCTCTCACTAACACCCACTGTTGTTTTGCTCACGATGAATGCACTAGGTCCAGAGCTGGTGATCATCGACAGAGTGAAAAAGATTACTCAAGTACTGGCAAGATCCTCGGATGACGACGAGGAGGAGGAACACGAGCCCACAGACGAGGAGATTCAGAACGAGGTCTCCATCTGCTTCAACTCTAACATTGTACGTCATGCAACTGTACAAATCTTTCTTTGATGCATGAATGTGTCCGTTAGGCGAGATCTTTATGCAAAGCACATACCGCCCCAGTCAATGCTGCTTGTATATCATCTAATCAAACCATTTCTTGTAACTATTATTAGACGTCGACGAATGTCCCAACGTCGGCGATCAAGTTCCAGAGAGCAAAGGCAGGGATGTGGGGATATCGTAGCAACAAAGTCGAGAAGGTGGGCGAATTCGAGTGTGCAGTTTGGAAGATGGATGGAGTCGAGTTCAGAACTCGTGTCAGGACTGAGCATTTGAAGGACGAGCACGGAAAACCAATCGTACCTGCCAAGTCTGGGCGTGGCGGTCGTGGCGGTCACCATCACCATCATCACCATCATGCACTTGGTCGCGGTGGACATCAGGGAGGACATGCTATCACTGCCGGACATGCGGCTGCTCTGGAGGAGAAGGATGAAAAGGCAAAGAGACACGGTCGTGGAATGCAGCCACGGAAACCTATTCATCGGCCTCTGTTTGCTCCCTTTTCGGATCCAGATTCGGAGTTGTCTTCTTCGCCAGAGCAGGGCAGCCAGATGGAACAGTTGGGGGACAGTGTGGGAGCATTGTCGGTCGAGAATACCGATGGCCATGCCAGCAGTCGATCGTTCACACCCCTAGGTGATGAGATGGCTGTCGTGCCAGTACAGCCGCCCAAGAAGCATGTGCGGAGTACAGGAACCATCTCGGACGATGCATTCTTTGAGACGGCTCTGGAAGAGGCAGAGTCAGAGATGGCGGAGGAGATGGACGAGAAGCTGGTCTTCCGTCCCTCGTTGCCGTCGCCCCCTCCGACCTCTGTGACGTTTGAGCAGTATTTTGATGCTACAGTCACTACCGTGGGCGACATGCATTTGGGTCGACCATTGGAGCAGAAAGAGTCCAAGAGGACGTTTGGAGCGACGTTGTGGATGTACGAGAACCAACATCCTGCTCCTGCTGCTGCAGCCGGAAGATCAACGCCGTCCCTGTTGTCATCGACCGATGAGACGTATCACGGGAATGAGTCGGTCACATCTGTGGTATCTTCAGGATCGGGAGCAGGAACTACCACACCAGCACCGTCGTTTCCCTTAACGATTGAAAAGATTTTGCCGTTGTTGGAAGTGATTGGGATGGACAACAACCGGTTGGTGGGCAAGTTGAAGGAGTTTTTGGAGTACAAGTTGCCACCGGGGTTCCCGATCCGTGCTAATATTCCAGTATACCCTTCGCTGTCAGCGGATGTAACTTTTGTGAATTATGATGCGCACAAGGTGATTGAGGATGAGATGTTTGAGGTCCCTGGGGAGGAGCAGGGGTACTCTGAGGGTTTTGTTATCCGACCTGGCGGTGAGGATGACTCTTAGACCTTTTCTTGGGATAGAGAGTAGAAAATAAAACGTTATTGAATGAGAGTTGGTGGCAACAGAGAATGAGACGGAGTGTATCACATGATGAATATGTGACTTGGTCCCTGGCCGTCCTGCACTTTGGCTGTCAGTCTGGCAGGACGGTTCCATCATCACTTTTTTGTCGTTGGCATTTGGGCGTTGTCGTGACACGCGCTACCTTTTTTCATCTTTACAACCTCCTTCACCAACAACCTTCCGACACAACGACAACGCAGGAAGAACCCATCGATTCACTTTCTCACACACCTCCGCCTCACCCCGACACACAACCCGCTCGCCTCCCTCACGAACTACCAGACAGATAGAGACGATGGCAGGAAGGGGTACAACGAACTCGATGGCGCCCAAAGCAAAGGACGACCCCGTCCGCCAACAACTCATCCGCGCCCTCTTCTCCGACAGCTCCTGTAAGTCTTTTGACACCTCTGACTTACCGTACTCCGTGTCTCTTTTGAGACTGAGCAGAATGCAGACAACGACAACGACAATGAACGCGATGGAAGAGGCTTTGCTTAACCGTAGGCACCTCAGGAACACCAACAAGACTCACACGGCTCTGACGGACGTTTCTTTTTTATTCTTCTCTTCTCGCCTTGTTAACAGCGAATACTGGGGAGACAATGTTGACGTATATCAAAATCTATGAGGAAGAAAAGACGTCCAAGGAGATGAAGACCTTTGGTGGGAGCAGTAAGAAGGGTGGAAGTGCGGACCGAAACAAACTCCTCTCCAAGCCCCGGTACATCTGCATGACTGGTAAGCCCCATCTTATTTTGCAAGGTTGATGTTGCTTTGTTAGAGATGGCCGATTGCCTCGGAGAACTGGTGTTAAACGGTGCTGTTGATTTGTTGGTTGAAATTATTTAGTCAAGGGGAATGGAAAAGTGCGACTGCACAAGGTCAAGAAGACTTCTGCAACGTCGTATCATATTGGAAGGACCTGGCATTTGGATGAAATCAAGTCCATCGAGAATGTCGACGTAAGGCTACCTACCGCTACTACTACATTCCCTTTTCACTCGTTTTGCAAGTTCCACAATGGTATCTGCTGTAGACAAGCGTTACTTACATTTTCCTGTCACTTTTTGTCTCGTGTTTTAGGCAAAGAGATGGAATGTGATTATTAACCGCCCTTATGCCTGGGTCTCTGATGATGCTGAGATCAAGAACGATTTCTTGATGATGTTGCTCAAGGTAAGGCGACTTTTACTCTTTCTGGGTCACTGGCAGTAGTCTTCAGAGATCCAACCGTCGGTTCTTCTGAATGCATTCTAATCTTAATCCCCGCCTTCTATGACATAATTAGGTGCTGAGGAGCAATTTGAAGAGGTTGCCAGCGCTGATTAACATTGACGAGCCTGCCCTTGCCAGTAAGTTCCACCATTCGATCAGATTTTGGCATGTTGATCGTACCATGTGCGCAAGCACGACCTACCACTAATATGCCTCGCCCATAATGATGAAATAGACCAGTTCAATTTGGCGAGGGAGGCGGTGGTGACGTCAAGCACGAGCAGGAACCACCGTGTAGCACCGGTGCCCGGAAACAATGGAGCAGCCATCGCCAATTCTACAGGATCGTTCGTGCAGGATTTCGACCACCGGCTCTCGATCCAGACAGAGCGCATGAAGAGAACGGTTCCACCTTCTTCAGGTTCGCTAGGTTCGGGTACGACACCCGGAGCTACAGCCACCGGTGGAGCGAGTAGTCCGCGCACTGGATCCAAGTTGATGGAGGACAATGAGCCCCTGGATGAGGTTGCACTGATGAACCTTGAGGAGTTGTTGTATGATATGGAGTTGGCCAACAACGAGGATGGTGTCGCACTGGAGACTCGTTTGATGAACGAGCTCGCATCGTTGGAGACTGCGAATGTGTACTCTATTATCGAATCTGACGACAGGATCAAGGATGTGATGGCGGAGCTTGACAAGGGTATTGAAGAACTCGACGACATGGACAACTGGCTATTCCTCTACCGCCAGGAGCTGGATTCGATGGGCGATGACATTCGACAGATTGAATCCCAGAACCGTGGTCTGCAAGTCCAGACTTCTAACCAGGCCAGTCTGCTGAGGGAGCTCGAGAACTTGCTCATCTCAATCACAATCCCGGACAGGATAATCGAGACCTTGAAGAAGGAGACTCTGGAACGCGAGAATGGGGTTCGTAAACTGGAGGATGCTGCTGCCGAGGTTCAGGATGTGCTGTTGTCAAAATATGATGAGGATGTTGCGGGCATGAGTGCTGTTAGGGGAAGGATGGAGTTGTACAATTTCCATTGCTCGAATTTCGCGGGCAGGTTGTCGGACTTCTTGAGGACAAAGTGTCAGGCCCAGGCGGACCAGTACTTGAATGATCGCCAGCGGACATTAGCCAAGGGGTATGTGGTCATGTTTGGGTATGAGCCCATTGAGAAGTACTTTATTACTTACCGGGGACTTATTGTTTGGCTTCGCGAGATGGATCCCCGTCGCTTCGCCGACCTTCAAATGGTATGTTTTTTGTTGGCTGACAAAAAAACGATAATACTTTACAATTCATTTAATCTGACCGTGATTCTCTTTTCGATATGATGTATTTTAGCTGTTTGTGAATAACATGAACAGGCTGTACCGCAAGGAGATCAAGGAGTTTTTCAGCGTGCTCATTACCAACCATGTCGCCAAATTGGAAAAGCCCGACGACTCTGAGTTCGGTAATGTCCCCCATCTTGGATCACTCCGTGCGCGAGGCGATGTACTGTTGTGTGACGAGTGTGCTAATGCTGTGTTGCTTTCTTCTTATTCTATGTAGTGTTTGGGTCGACATATCATGGAGGGTTGATTGCACGTGGAGGAACGGCAATCCGTGAGTCATTGTCGTCGCCTTCAGACTTGACAGGAAGAATCCCATGGCGCAGGAGATCGACACGGGAGATCCATGACCCCAACGCCAATGGCCGCTTCAACAACGGCACCATGTACGAGTCGTCGCGTAGGATCGACGTTGCTCAGGAGGAAAAGTTGGCAGTGGACGAGGCCTTCTCTCAGGCACTGTCGATCATGACCTCTTTGGCTGCCCGTGAACAGAACTACCTTTCAGATCTGTTTACGTTGACCAAGATGATGTCTATGCGGATGTTCATCAATGACAAGCCACCTTTCTCGATGCAGGAGTTGGAGACTGTCAGGAAACCTACACTGGATGTCAAGAGTTCCAAGAGGTTGGCTCAGCTCATGGGTATCCTCTTTGATGGTCTCAGTGTTGAGCTCAACAACTTTGCCGAGACCGGATACAAGAACGAGAGCGTGTAAGTTTGATAGAAGGGCTCGCGTTGTTGATTTCTTACGTATAATCCATAACTGACCTTCGACTTTCTTTTGTTTGTTCGTTAGGCAATGTGTGGGTATGTTGATTTCGGTGGAGAGGACACAGAAGGAATTTGCCGAGTCCGACCAGGCATTCTTGATCACCATGTTGACTCAGCTGAGGGCCAAGTTGGTTGGTATGTTTGAGAAGTATGTTGAGGAGCAGTTCAAGTTCATCGAGGAGGCTCGTAACAAGACCAAGCGCAAGGGCGTCCTCCCCTTCATGCGGATATTCCCCGTAAGTCACACCAATACTTTCTCCTACGCTAAGTGTACCTGTTGCTCCCTTACATTTGTCAACGGCGCTAACGAGTTTTTTTCTGCTTCCTTTCTGCAACAAAGAGATTTGCTCAAAGGATGGAGGCGTTGCTGGAGGGTAATGAAGATACGGAGGCGCGTCAATTGATCACGGCGGCATACGACAAGTTAGTGCGCGTGATGTTCGAGTCGACTGAGGCCGTTGCCAAGGAAACTGTGGACTTTGACGACAAGGAGCAGGGATCGCATGTGGTCAACATTGAGAACATGCACCATTTCTACTCGGAGCTGCGACAGCGTAAAGTCACCAACTTGGAGAACTATATGAAGTATGCCAAGGGCTCGTATGAGAGCCATCTTGCGACTTATGTCCGTGGTGTCGTCCGACGTTCTCTTCTCAAGCTCCTCGTAAGTTTCTTGGTTATATTGGTTATATTGGAGGAGTTGGTCTGTTGCGGTGATATGATGTAGGGATAGGGAGCTGACCTTGTATGTATTTAATTTGCAATTGTAGGACTTTTTTGATGGAGTAGAAGGGCTAGTTAAGGCCAAGACCTCAGAAGACGTGGGCTTCCATTTGACATACAACAAACAGGCCCTCAGAAAAGTCATCTCACAGTACCCAGCCTCGGTGGTCCGAAAAGACCTCCAGCAGTTGTACCGTAAAGTCGAGAAACATTTCTCGTCCGAAGAAGAGGAGGGCCTGCTGCAAGTTGCATGGAGAGGCATTCAGGAGGAGTTCATTCGACAGCATGAGAGGTTCTCGAGGTTGATTCGCGAGTGCTATCCAGATGCTGGGGTACAGATGGAGTTTTCTATGCAGGAGCTGCTGGGGATCTTTTCAGAGATTGCGAAGAGCCATTAAGGAGGGCGAGGAATGAGAGGAGCTTGAAATGGATACGATTGATTGGTTGGCGTTTTCTTTTCTTTGATTATAACTTTTACACGTACATATATACATACCCCTGCGCACGATAGAATAAACGAAAAAGAATGTCGCTTGACCCAAGCTTTGATTGATAATGGCGCTGGTACCTGAGGCGAGTGGAGAAGAGAAGGAAAGGAACATGTAAAGCCTTGCGGTTCAATCGGCGGAGGCGATGTTGATGTTCGACAGTCATGTGTGACATGGCCAGTGCCATTGAAGACGTTCTTTTATTGAAAGATGGCGGTGGTAGGGTTGAAGTTCAGCTTGTTTTGCATGTCGAGAGTCACATCAGCGACAGTGTGGCCAGATGAGGTTGAAAAGCTCGAGGTAGTGGATGCCGTACTGGTGATAGTGGAGAAGGATGCGCTGGCGGTGGCGGCGTCGGACATTGTTTCGTCAACAGGCTCCTTCTTGATGTCGTCGTGCTTGACCCGCTTCCTCCTCCTCCCATGACCCTCTGATGTCTTGTCCCCGTCTTCTCGACTGCCGCTACTCTCAGATTCCGGTAAAGAACTCGGTACGGTGTCCGCATCCTTCGACAACAACGGACGGGAAGACTTGTCATCGACCTCCTCGAGTCCTTGCTTATGTTGTGGCGACGTTTGATGGTACGATTGTGATACCTGCTGATGTTGTTGTGCTGGTTTGTTACGCGCATCCTGTATCGACTTTTTGCGGTGTTCAGACGCCTGCACGTACTTTCGTTGAGACTCGGTGATCGCCTGCTTGTACTTTTGTTGAGACTCCATCGTCGCCTGCCTGCACTTTCGTTGAAACTCGTGCCACTCATTTTTGTAATTTCGTTGAGACTTGATCCACGCCTTGTCGTACATTCGTTGAAACTCGGTCCACGACTTGTCGTACCTTCGCTGACAGTCAATCCACGCCTTCTCGTACCTTCGTTGAGACTCGATTACCACCATGTCGTACTTTCGTTGAAACTCGATCCACGCCTTCTCGTACTTTCGTTGAGACTCGGCCCACGCCTTGTCGTACCCTCGATTCCAATTGATCCACTCCTTCTCGTACTGTCGTTGGAACTCGATCCACGCATTCTCGTACCTTCGTTGAGCCTCGGTCATCGACGGCTCGAACTTTTGTTGAGATTCGTCCATCATCTGCTCGTACATTTGTAAATACTCGAACCTCGCTTGCTCGTACCTTCGTTGGTACTCGATCCTCGCCGGGTTCGTTAACTGTACGGATAGGTATTGGATATGTTCGTGTGTATACTGCGTATGTGCATATTCGCACTGCATATATATGTCATGGCGTCGATGCGAGTCACAAGCAAGGGCAGCAACGACCAGCTTGCGTGCTGCTCTCAGGGTATGCAGCGCTATGTCAAGACTGTCCATCCATGGTTTCAGTTGTGATTCGCTGCGTTCATTACCCTTGGGGGAAGTCTTTGCGGGACGGTTGTGCGACATCGATGTGCAGATCGTCATGGCTGTTGTTGTTGTCGATAATGGTGTTACTGGGGGGGTCGATGTCGATGCTGATGCTGAAGCCGATGTTAATGTTGATGTTGGTGGTAGAGGACCCACATACAGCTTTGCGAGACGTTCTTCAATCGAATTCTCCTGCTCGTAGTCGGATCGACCTCTTTTCTGATTTGTTGGAGTTGCTGGTATTGGTGGTGATGTTGTTTGTGAGTGTCTCGAAGCGGAGGCTTGGTGTATCTGGACGGCGCCTATACCTTTGACCAATCTGTCCACCGAGTCCGAGGGAACCTTGGTGCCACTTTTACGAGAATCCTGTTGCTTCTCGTCGTCTCGTCTGTTGGTCCTAGATAGTTAGAAATGAAGGTAAGCAATGTCAGTATCTGCGGCATAGGAGATAACGAAAAATAAAAATAAAAATAAAAATAAAAAAAGCAACAGCGGTAACAACGTTATGATCTATAAATAGCTCAAACCTTGGTGACCGCGTGGAAGCTCGAGGGCGAGGTTCTGTCAACTGGGCGGCTGTCAGTGAACGATGTTCCGTAGACCGAGTGACAATCACGGAGCGAAGTTCTGCTGACTGAGAAGCATTTTGAGAACAACGTTCGGCAGTCTGAAGGGCGACTTCTTGTTGTTGAGGAGAGCGAGGCACCTCGACTGCGAGGGAAGCAAACTCAACCAGAGCGGAAGCTACAGCAGAAGTTGATGAAGACGAAGGTATAGTTCGCGAAGTAGGAGGAGTGGCGTATGCTTTTGTACTCGGGGTGAGGGTTGTGGTGGTGGTTGATATTGATAATCTAGTAATACGGCGGTCGTTGGTGCTGGCTGGTTGTGCTGCCATTGTGAAGAAGAGATGGGGGGTGTTTTTTTTTTTGCCTGAAGGGAACTGTGAAGTGTAGGTGGACTGTAAGAGGAGAGGTAAAAGGTAGAGGGGAAGAGATGTGCGGAAGAAAACAGAGAGAAAAGAAAAAGGAAGGAAAGGAAGTAAAGAAAGAGGAGAAAAGGAGTGCAATAGGAGTGTGGGAAGAACCGAGGCGAAAAGTCGAAAGGGAGCAAAGGAAGACATGGCCCGGTGCATGCACAGGACCATTCAACGGGAAGAAAAAGGAGAAAATTGACTTGCATTGTGACGTGAGTCATCCCGTGGGGTTTCGAGGGACGGGAAGGGGGAGAGGCAAAGAGGTAAGGTGTATCCGTGGCGCCTTCCGATGTTCTCTTCTCAAGCCCCTCGTAAGTTTCTTGGTTATATTGGTTATATTGGAGGAGTGGTCTGTTGCGGTGATATGATGTAGGGATAGGGAGCTGACCTTGTATGTATTTAATTTGCAATTGTAGGACTTTTTTGATGGAGTAGAAGGGTTAGTTAAGGCCAAGACCTCAGAAGACGTGGGCTTCCATTTGACATACAACAAACAGGCCCTCAGAAAAGTCATCTCACAGTACCCAGCCTCGGTGGTCCGAAAAGACCTCCAGCAGTTGTACCGTAAAGTCGAGAAACATTTCTCGTCCGAAGAAGAGGAGGGCCTGCTGCAAGTTGCATGGAGAGGCATTCAGGAGGAGTTCATTCGACAGCATGAGAGGTTCTCGAGGTTGATTCGCGAGTGCTATCCAGATGCTGGGGTACAGATGGAGTTTTCTATGCAGGAGCTGCTGGGGATCTTTTCAGAGATTGCGAAGAGCCATTAAGGAGGGCGAGGAATGAGAGGAGCTTGAAATGGATACGATTGATTGGTTGGCGTTTTCTTTTCTTTGATTATAACTTTTACACGTACATATATACATACCCCTGCGCACGATAGAATAAACGAAAAAGAATGTCGCTTGACCCAAGCTTTGATTGATAATGGCGCTGGTACCTGAGGCGAGTGGAGAAGAGAAGGAAAGGAACATGTAAAGCCTTGCGGTTCAATCGGCGGAGGCGATGTTGATGTTCGACAGTCATGTGTGACATGGTCAGTGCCATTGAAGACGTTCTTTTATTGAAAGATGGCGGTGGTAGGGTTGAAGTTCAGCTTGTTTTGCATGTCGAGAGTTACATCAGCGACAATGTGGCCAGACGAGGTTGAAAAGCTCGAGGTAGTGGATGCCGTACTGGTGATAGTGGAGAAGGATGCGCTGGCGGTGGCGGCGTCGGACATTGTTTCGTCAACAGGCTCCTTCTTGATGTCGTCGTGCTTGACCCGCTTCCTCCTCCTCCCATGATCCTCTGATGTCTTGTCCCCGTCTTCTCGACTGCCGCTACTCTCAGATTCCGGTAAAGAACTCGGTACGGTGCCCGCATCCTTCGACAACAACGGATAGGAAAACTTGTCAACGAGCTCCTCGAGTCCTTGCTTATGTTGTGGCAACGTCTGATGGTGCGATTGCGATAACTGTCGATGTTGTTGTGCTGGTTTGTTACGTGCATCCTGTATCGACTTTTTGCGGTGTTCAGACGCCTGCTCGTACTTTTGTTGAGATGCGATCATCGGCTGCTCGTACTTTTGTTGAAACTCGATCCACGCGTTCTCGTACTTTCGTCGAGACTCGAGCCACTCCTTTTCGTAATTTCGTCGACACTCGCTCCACGCCTTGTCGTACATTTGTTGAGACTCAATCCACGCCTTCTCGCACTTTTGTTGAGACTTGATCCTCGCATTGTCGTACTTTCGTTGAAACTCGATCCACTCCTTCTCGTCCTCTCGTGAAGACTCCATCCATTCCTTCTCGTACACTCGTCGATACTCGATCCATGCCTTCTCGTACATTTGTAGATACTCGATCCTCACCGGGCTCGTTGATTGTGTGGATAGGTATTGCATATCTGCGTACTCGTCCTGCGCATGTGCATATCCGCACCGCATATATGTGTCATGGCGTCGATGCGACCCAAAGAAGAGGGTATCACCGACTAGCATGTATGCTGCTGTCATGTTATGTAGCGCTATGTCAATCCTCTCCCCATATTCTTTTAGTTGTGATTGTCTGCGTTCGCTACCCTTGCTGGAGGTCTTTGCGGGACGGTTGTGCGACATCGAGGTGCAGGTTGTCGTGGTTGTTGTTGTTGATAATGGTGTTACTCCAGGGGTCGACGTCGATGCTGATGCTGAAGCCGATGTTAATGTTGATGTTGGTGGTGGACGACCTACGTACATCTTTGCGAGACGTTCTTCAATCGAATTCTCCTGCTCATAGTCGGATCGACCTCTTTTCTGATTTGTTGGTGTTGCTGGTACTGGTGGTGATGTTGTCTGTGAGTGTCTCGAAACAGAAGGTTGGTGTATCTGGACGGCGCCTATACCTTTGACCAATCTGTCCACCGAGTCTGAGGAAACCTTGGTGCCACTTTTATGAGAATCTTGTTGCTTCTCGTCGTCTCGTCTGTTGGTCCTAGATAGTTAGAAATGAAGGTAAGCAATGTCAATATCTGCGGCATAGGAGATAACGAAAAACAAAAATAAAGGCAATAGCGGTACAACGTTATGGTCTATAAATAGCTCAAACCTTGGTGACCGCGTGGAAGCTCGAGGGCGAGGTTCTGTCAACTGGGCGGCTGTCAGTGAACGATGTTCCGCTGACTGAGAAGAATTTTGAGAACAATGTTCGGCGGTCTGAAGGGCGACTTCTTGTTGTTGAGGGGGGTGAGGCACCTCGACTGCGAGGGAAGCAAACGCGTCAACCAGAGTGGGAGCTACAGCAGAAGTTGATGAAGATGATGGTATAGTTTGTGAAGAAGGAGGAGTGGCGTATGCTTTTGTACTCGGGGTGAGGGTTGTGGTGGTGGTTGATATTGATAATCTAGTAATACGGCGGTCGTTGGTGCTGGCTGGTTGTGCTGCCATTGTGAAGAAGAGATGGGGGTGTTTTTTTTTTTGCTTGAAGGGAACTGTGAAGTGTAGGTGGACTGAAAGAGGAGAGAGGTGAAAGGTAGAGGGGAAGAGGTGTGAGATAGGAAACAGAGAACAAAGAAAAGAAGAAAATGAATAAAAGAATATAAGGAAGAAAGGAAAGAGGAGAAAAGGAGTGAAATAAGAGTGTGGGACGAAACGAGGCGAAAAGTCGAAAGGGAGCAAAGGAAGACATGGCCCGGTGCATGCACAGGACCATTCAACGGGAAGAAAAAGGAGAAAATTGACTTGCATTGTGACGTGGGTCATCCCGTGGGGTTTCGAGGGAAGGGAGTTTGAAGAAAGGGAGGAGAGAGCTGGCTGAAAGTAACTGCCTTCGAGTTTGACGTTGTGTGTGTGTGATACGGAGTGAAGGGGAAAGGGCAAAGAGGTAAGGTGTTCCTTTAGGCGCCAGGTGGAGCTGACTATCATTTGAGAGTCGTGATATTAATTGAATTGATTCAGTCAGAAAGAAAAAAGGGACAGAGGGCTCAACCATATCTAAGGTGGACATGCAACACAACCTGAACCTCAGCATCCGCACCGGCACCTCTTAATAGAAAATGTACGATACTGCTACAATCCAACAGTATTCATTTTTTTCATCCCTACGCTAATGAATGCGTGGTTGGGTAAATTTTCTTTGTGTTGAGACTACGTTGTTGACGGAGATGCTCCGACATCCACGAAGAGGTTTTGCTGCTGGTGCTGCTGCTTCTGGCTACCTACTTGGTGGCAAGAAAAAAATCGGTTTTTGCCCAACCAGACGGTGTTCAAATCGAAGCTGCTGGTTGTTGATGCGATCCGCCAAGGTCACGAAATCATTCTTCGCGGCTTGGTATCCTTCCTCAATATGCCGCCATGCATAGGAGTTCTTAACCCTCTTCAGCTCCTTCAAGAAGGCATCAACCTCCTACTTGTACTGCATCCCTTCAACCTTGATACGAAATGTTTGCAACCTCTTGCACGCCCATGGACCACCTTCCTTAATGGCCTCAATACTCTTGATATTAAACCTGACAACCAGGACCTCCAGTCTACTGCAAGATCTAGTGACTTTGCTGAACAATACCTCAGAGCCGTCATCGCCACCATCTCGTCGACGATCAGAGTACTCCTCGTAGATCGATCCATCCAACACAATGCTGCGTCTCCTGGTGGCAACAGGAGCGTTTTCAACTCCTCAAACCTCGTCAACTCACAGAACCTAAACCCACACCTCTACAACCGCGGGGGTGATAGGTTGCCAAGCACATATAGATGGCGTCTTCGCGGGCGTATCCAAACTCGAGCTCCTCCAGGCGTGGGCAGTAGACTGCGATCTGTTTGGGGAGGCCGCAGAGTTGAGTCTCCTTATTCTCGCTCAGAAAGATGTGCCACATTCTCAGGTTCGGGAAGTGGATGAGGAGTGAGGGGTCGATGGTCTCGCGATCTACAACTTTGCTGAGCTTTAGAACTTGGATACCCCCAGCTATCAAGCATTTGACGGAGTTGCTCTGAAAATAATCGGTGCTCGAAGAAGAGGAAAAAGTGGATGGAGGCGATGATTTCTCAAAGGACACTTCGCCCAAACTGGGTTTGACCAAGTTGGGAGAGCGCCGCGGCAGCTCAGAAAACTTTTTGCGAGTAATGCTGCAGGAGAACAAGGACACTTTGGTCAAAAAGTTGTTGGTGCAGGTGGTGGTAGTAGTAGCAGAAGATGCAGACTGAAAACCCTCTTTTACCAATGCAGAGACCAAATCATCGATACACGGCTCCTTCCTGGGACTGAGTCCGCAACTGTCGCTTTCAATGTACAGACTTTTGACAGTCCAAAGATGTATACTCATAAAGTCTCCATATTCTGGTTCAATGGTCATTACTATGGTTCTAGTAATAAATGTTTGCACTCTCGATCGTCCCGGCGTCAAATAGCTTCAAGAGCTGTACATGCCTGACAGAACACAAACGAACTTTTTTGACAAGACATGGATGCCTCTTTAACACTTCGATCGATATGTTCTTAACGATCCCTCACGATTCTACAAAATAAAAGCAGATGGTGAGTCAGAGCGAGCGTGCAATACCATACTACCAAGATTTAGAGCCTTATATTAGTCTATGACACTGAGGAGACATCCATTGCGCGGTCTTATCTCTGGGAGATCCCATGCATGCAGCGGCACCTGCTGCGGTTGTTGTTGTTCAGCATTCATTTCTTTTTTCTTGTTCGTGTGGTTGGATTTTTATTTCGATTTGTAATGCTTGTTATTTGTTAGTTTTTTTGTCGTTGTTGTTGTGGTGGTAGGATGGACGTGAAAAAGTGTGGAGGACACAAAGAAAGAAAAGGAGTTCACCGAGAGAAGCAAGAACGAGTAGCGAACAACTATGTCCGTGATAATAATACAGACTCACTATCCACCTTCTAGTCGCGAATATCACCATTGAAATGACGCATTCATCGCATCAGCAAACAAAATAAAATGCCTCGCGATGAACCACATCTCGCCGCGTTACACGCCCAAAGAAAAGTAACTGTGCGTCTAGCCCACCTCTTTTGTACGGCGTCTGTTTCATACGTGTCAGGTTCAAGAAAGAATGGCTCTCTTTCTATAGAGCGGCCTTGACCGAGGATGTATGGGGGTGACTGTGGCCGTGAAAATGGGTTACTGCCGGGCGCTTTCTTGCGTCAGTTTGGTGAGTGAATGTGCCGGATGGAAGCAATGAGTCTTCATGGTCAGCAGAGACGCGTTCTGCTGTAGTGACAGAAATGAAAATTAAAACCATTATCACGTGAAACGTGATTTAGTCCCACCAGCCTCACCTTCTTCACGACTTCTTTTTTGTTATTATCCCTTCTCTCGTCTTTACTCTTCTTTCACTCATTCCCTCTTACATCACACAACCATAGCAATGTCTCTGCCAACAACCAAGCGCGTCAACTCGGCCATGCTCCAGAGCTGCATCGGAGAGACTGTTAGATTCGTCGGAGAGTTCAAATCGGTAGGCCATTCAAACTCACACACATTCAACCACAGGAAACAATCATAAACAAGAGCAACAAGGCGGAATCTACAGCGACTGGGTAGAGACGAGCATGACAGACCTATGGCCTCCCCTGAGAGAAGCTTGTCTACCTGCTGGACCTTTGTAGCCCAAGAAAACAGGCATCAACTTGCAGCCAACTGGTTGTCAGGGCTGATTCACAACAACAAACACCAAGAAATTCAGTTGACCCTTTGCCACCAAAATTATCGATCTTCCATAGTCTCATAGGACAGAGACAGGGTAACATACATTCATCATATTTGTTTTTCTCTCCCTGATCTTTAGCGCCAAGATCCTGCGGCCACTTTCCTTGCCTCGGACAAGGGCTCCGTCACCGTCATCATGAACGATGTAAGCAATCCCTCCATTGTTGTTATCATTCCTTCTTTTAATGACATAAACACATCCGAATTCCAATTGCTAATTATTATCTCCTGTTCATTTACATCCCTGTGTATGTCATAGACCTCGCAGTACGGAACCAAGTTTGTGGAAGTCATCGGAACTGTCAACCCTGACCGCTCCATCACAGAAATGATCTCCACCAACTTTGGCAACGACTTTAGTAAGTCATCTATCTCAGTCTTTTCGACTCATCGACCATATTACAGGATCGACATACGTCTAAAGGATGAATGTCTATCTAACCGGTTAAGGATGAACGCCTTGCAGGATCGGGACCATTCTGAGATGAGTCTGGGACGCTACGAAGATGAGTAACTAACTAAGGAAACACTGTTTTCGTTTTCTCCTGTGATAGACATGGAGACGTATGACGCAATGGTCATAAAGTCTCAAAAGTTCCCATCTGTATTTTAAAACCCCACCACACCCAGGACAACCAACTACTTACCCATTCACACAAACAACACATTTCAGTTGAAGGAGCGCTTGGACACTACGCAGACTTTTTTGTTGACAGGGCGATAGGAATTGGGACCCTCAGGAACGAAATCGTCCTTTTTTCAGTATCGTCGCTACTATACAATTCGAACTTACAATAAACAACAGATCTTGCAAACTGAACATCCGCTCGATATTGCATACCGAGTGACTACAGGGTGCAAGAGGAGCAAGAGTCATTGCAGGATCAGGAAGTGGATTTTCCATGACATAAGGGAAAAAATAGACAGCTCGTAAGAGCATCAGTAGTGTCTTTGCGCGGTTGGGCAGGGAGTTGCAGGATGACATGTTCGGAGAGAGAGAAGGAGGGAGTGACATTCTGAAATGAACGCACCAACGGACAGGGAGTTGGGCTGCGTGATGGAGGGTGTGAGTGTGAGTAACTGTCCTGCCTCTCTCTGAGGAAGTATTTTTATGTTCCATATTCCACAACATCCTTGTAGGAGACAGACAGACAGAAGGGATACAAGGGACAGGGAGGAAGGTCGACAACAGGGGCATGCTTCTGAGCTGCTAATGAACGGAAAGGAAGGAGTAAACGGACAACAAGCAGAGTGAGAAGGTAAATTAACTCAAGGCTCACTTTGTGCCCACGCCCCTTTTTCTCCTCGACTTGCTTCTCCTACGAATGAACAGTTCGCTTGGACCTCTTTACTTCTTTACTTCCTACATCCAACGCTTACTGCCCCTTCTGCCTATCAAACTTCCCACTTCTTTTTTCTTCCTCTTTTTCTTTTACTTCCTCTTCTTCTTCTTCGCTCTTCCTTTCTTCCTCTTTTTTTCCCACTACTTCCTTTCTCTCATTCACCCCGACAAAGACCAAAGAAGAAGAGCACATCCTCTCCAGTCCCAACACTCAGAAAGTACGCGCGCGTGCTCTCAAAACATACATACCCTTCCTTTGCTTCTCCCTCTCCACACCATTGTCTCCCTTCTACTTTTTTAGTTCCCACGAAACCACATACACTTCCCTTTCCTCTACCTCTGCTGTCCGATCGACACTTCCATTCAAAACAATCAACAAATGAGGACAACGACATTCCTCCTCCCAGTAGTCTTCCTCTCATCAGCCCTGGCCTGGGGTCGAAACGGAGGCAATGGCAGCGGCAATACAAAGTCGTCTATCAACAACAATAGCCAGGAATTTGCGTTGCCTGCCGAAAACCGTCGTTATGATTACAAGCAGTCGTTGAAGAAGCCCTTTACTTATAATGGCGTCATGCCCTTCTGGAGCAACCACGGCAGTAGGTTCCTTGCTTGTCTGTTGTTTGTTAGAATTGGTTGTATATATGAGACAGGACATAGGAAGGTCTCGCATTCATTATCCATACAGCTTGAAGAACAATGAATGGCGGGCGGACCAAGAAACTATGATGGAGATACGAAGCGCATAAAAAAGAACTCGTTGACCAAGGCAGCCATATATAGAAGAGCACGCTTCTTTGCTGAACTCATTGACAAAGGGGAAAGAGGAAGAGAGATACACTAGACAAAAGACGGAAAACCCCCCTTAGAACCCATTGACCCTGAGAAACAACTCTAACTCTTTCAACCCCTTCTCTCCTTTCATCCCTTCCCTACACTTTTATTCATTTGTCACCCCGTTCTAACTAACAACAGACAGCTTTGTGGCACCAGACTTTGTGAGGTTGTCGCCATCGGTCCCGGGACTCAAGGGCTCAGTCTGGAGACAGACACCAAACGAGTACAAGGAATGGGAGGTCGAGTTTCAGTTCAAGGCCTTCGGACAGGGTCAAACTGGAGGCAAGGGTCTTGCCTTTTGGTACACTCAGGAACGTGCTATTGAAGGAAACGTTTTTGGTAGCAAGGACCAGTGGAAGGGACTTGGCGTCTTCATGGACACCGCCGATCCTGCCAACCAGGTGAGTCCAGCTCCTCCTTTGTCTTTTCTGTTCCTTGTAACTATCCTTGCTGCTATCAATACTCATCAACCAATTGAACAAGGACAACAAGACTAACATGGTCCCTTTTCCTTCCCTTCGATAGAGAAACAACCCAGTCATATACGGGATAATGAATGATGGCACAAAGCCCTTCCCAGCAAACCCAACAGCAAACACCAATAGCTTTGGCGGATGTCTGCGCGACTACAAGAACACCCACATCCCTGTCGTTGTCCGCGTCTCATTCATCGACGGTGTTCTTAAGGTCTCGGCCGACACCCATTCCAGGGGCAAGAAGATGATGCCCTGTTTTGAACAAAAGGACCTCAACCTCCCCGTTGGATACCACTTTGGCATCTCTGTAAGTCATTCTTCTCTTGCTATTGTTCATTCGTCTTTGCTTTGTTTCGGATTAGTTATGTTGTTTGTTTGTTTGTTTGTGCATGCACGGGTAATTATCTGCCCCCTTCTCACAAAAATTTCAGCCAACGAGGGCTTGACACCGCATCGACCGTGTCAACGCTGTCATCCTCTGCTCCATTCCAGAACACCCTGAGGGCGACCAAAAAACAATAGCGTGGCCTTTATTTGCCTGTGGGTGAGCCTCCTACTAATGTGACACCTCTTATGTTGAACTTGACGACAAATAGGCTCAGTCTGCGGACCACGGAAACCCTGATGACCATGATCTGTACGCGTTTGAGGTCTACGAGGTCAACCCTCCCATGAAGGAAAAGGTACGCCTGTCCTTCTCACTCAGCAACTACTTCATTCAAGAATACGTCCTCTCTCGCTTTCTCAACATTTTGACCAAACGTTTGCACTCCATACATCAACCTTCTTTCCACCCATGTGCTCACTCGTACTCGAACGCCAATTGACTTGCCTTCTAACCTTATTTTCGCTTTTCATCATCCATGCTGCCACCTTTTTCCACATATGTCTTCACAATAGGCGCCACTGAGACCACATGAGGCAGAGATGAAGAAGAAGGGCGAGGAGGTTAAGGTCGACCTTGCCGACCAGGCTGCGTTTGAAGAAGTGCAGAAGATTGTCGAGGAGCAGGAAGCCAAACTCAAGGAAGAAACCGAAGGCACCGGCAACCTCTCTCCCGTAAGTCCATTTCTCACTCTTTTGTTACTTTGTGCTTTGCTCTTTCTCTTTTGTATGTTGTTAAAATGATGGCTTTGGCTGACAATGTTGGACCTATTCTGCTATGATAAATAGGCACAGGTGGCGGCGACAGTGGGGGATACGCAGTACAGGATCATCGAATCGCTCAACAGCATCCACAACAAACTCGAGACACTAGGCGCACCAATGCAACCCCCAGAATCGTCTGCAAAATCCCTCGAAGACATCAACCACAAGATTAACTCCATGGCGGCTTCCCTGCACGCAATGGAATCGGTTGTCCAGGGACTCGTCGACCATATCATGGCCCAAGGCGGGATTGCATCGGGTCCGGATATTTCTAAAGTGTTGAAGGAGGAGTTGTCGAATTTGAATGCAAAGATGGAGGATATGGATTCAAGACAGTCGTTCCAGCATCGGTTGACTCAGAATCGGCTTTTGAATTCGACTTCTTGGGTGAGTTATGTGGTTTTCTTGATTCTTGTGCAGGTTGTTGCGGTTTCTGCATATACTTGGTACAAGAAGCGTTTAGAGATGAACGAGAAAAAGTTCTTGTAATAGTGGTAGTTGTTCTCCTTTTTTTTTTTTCTTTTTTTTTTTTTTTTTGCTCTTTTACCTCTTTCTCTTGTTGTTGTCCTTTTAGTTGCTTTTTTAGTTGTATGTTTGTTTACCATTTTGTTCATAAAAGAAAAAACTACCATTCACATAAGGAATGTTATGTTTGCAGAAAAAAGGTACCATTGGGCTTTTTTTTTTTTAATTGCAAAATGTGTGTTAGTGTACAACAGTGTTTGTGGTGGTGGGATGATGATACAATATGTGAGGTTGTGTGTGTGGAAAATAGATCAAAGTCGAGCAAAAACTACTGGGTTCAGAGGATTAATTCCCTCCAGCACGAGCGAGCTCCTGCTGTGCAAGACGGAGGCGCTCAATCTCCGAGGTCATGCTCATCACACTCGGAGTAGTTGCTGAGGTCGAAGACAAAGACAAAGCGACAGTGGAGGAAGGATGAAAAGTAGGTGCCATTTGGGCAGCAGCCCCAGCGCGAGCAAGGTCCTGCTGAGCGAGGCGGAGGAGCTCAATCTCCGAGGTCATGCCCGTCACCCTCGCTGCAGTCGTCGAGGAAGTCGAGGACATGGCGATAGAGGAAGAAGAAAAAAGAGGGGGTGCCACTCTGGTAGCAGAAGCAATAGCCTGCTGCGCGTGACGAAGTAACTCAATCTCTGAGTTCCTGCTACCGACAGCAGTCGTCGTCATTGTTGACGCCGACAACGGCGACGTCGACGAGGATGTAGATGTGGAGGGTTCAGGTGTAGAAAGATCCAGCCGCGCTTGATGGATCTGCTCGATATTAGAGCTTCCTTCAATCACAATAGTCGCAGAAGGTGCTGCTACTGCTGGGGTTGATGATACGGATGATGACGGCGGCAAGCGTTCCAGATAGTTCCTTACCTTCCAGAAGGGCTCCATCTCCTCCGGGATCCTGAGCGGGTTGCTGATAAACGGCCACCCACTCTCCTCCGTCGTTGCCGTCGCGGTCGTTGCTGTAGTCATTGTACCACTGTCTGCTGCAGGAGGGAGGAAAGGGCTCCCATCCCTATCTGCCGGAGGATGACCCAAAGGGTCATCAATAGCCGAAGCTAATGCGGAAACATGTGTCATGGGGTTGTTGGACGTGGCCGTTCGGATGTAGTACTCTCCTGGGTCACAATCCCAAATTGGGTAGAACCGTCGCTCAAGGGCTGCAAAAGTAGCCGGGCTCGTCGGGTCTGCTGAATCTCCTGCTCCTGTTCCTTTTGCTGTTGCTGCTGGTGACATGGATACAGGTGTGGAGGATGACGCCAATGACGAGTCTGGAGAAGAGGCTGCTGCCGTCGCGACAGCCTGCTGGGAATCTTCCCTCCCCCGCTGCCGCTCTCGCCTGGCTTTCCCCACTCTGACACGAATCATCTCTCGATGCCGCTTTGACAAAAAGGTATCAATCTCTGCCAGACGTTTTGTCAACTCTGCTCGCTGCAGCTCGCAGCCCATTGAAACTACCTTCTTCTCCAGCCCACTCATCAATGTCCGAAGAATCGTGCACGCTCTGGGGCTCAGAGCCTGCGCTTTGCTACCGAGGTTCCTGTGAGAAAACATGGATCCCAGGAACTGGTTCACTTCGTAGTATGCCAGTTTATCCCTCGCCAATGCCTCTGAAGCTTCGTCGACTTGGGTGCTCGCTGTACTTTGGCTCACTGGTGGAGGTGCCGATGACGACAATGCCACCAATGACGAAAAGGCACCTCCTATGACTCGAGATCCTGAAGACATGGGTGGTGCCGCTGTTGCTGTCGTCGCCGCTCCTGTCGCGCTTGCCGTGCTTGTCGTCGCCAGGGTTGGAGGCTTGGCAGTAGAGGCGGAAGGGATAGCGCGCAAAAGTGAATGTCCCCGGAGAGCAATTTTGCCATCGGCGTCCAGGTTGCGCAGAATGTTGACATCCTTGCGACTCCTCTCGCTCGACCGCAGTCGAGCTTCGTCCATTTCGTTATAGAGACTGGGAACCTGCAGATAGTGCTTGTTCGTGTAGTCGTTCTTCCCGTAGTATGCCACTCGCGCCCGATCCAGTACTTGCTTCGATGCCAATTGGAACCCCTAGGAGTGCAAATTTGGAAATACTTGGTGAATTAGTTATTGGTAAAAAATTTCTGTCAGCACAGTATGCGAGAGCGACAATAATTAAAGCGTATGCTTACCCGACGAAAGTAGAGGTCCATGCGGAGCCGGTGGGCCTCGATGGGCTGTTTCCTGAGCATCCGGATCGAGTAATCAAGTTTCTCCTGCGAGAACAAATCCTCCACGGCAAAACCGTTCTGAGGTCGGTGCCAAACATCCGGCAAAGGCTGCGAGTGCTGTCCATAATCCGGCTGAGTTGTGGCTTGCGGCTTTGGCGATGGGTGATTCTCATATGGGAAGGCAGACTGGAGGTAAGGATACTCCAGGGGTGGGACTGGAGCAGGGAAGCTGTACTTGATCCTGACTCTGTGCTTCTTGGCCTTCTTGTGGCGTTTGCTATTAACGACCTTGTTCGGCGCGGCGCCATCTGCGTTACCGGAAGGCCCTGGGGTGACTGATTGACTACGACGGTTGTCATCCGAATCTTCGTCATCGTCCGAATCCGATGCGTCGTCCGACTGAGTCTCCTCGTCAGAGTCATGTTCTTGAGGTTGTTCTGCCTGTATATCCTCTTGACCGTTATTGCTTGGAGATGTTGTTTGTTGTTGTTCCTGGGTGCCCGTTTCTACTGCTGACGTCTTTGCAGTTGCTGATTTGGTTGTGGAACTTGTGCGTAGGCTGGGGCCACCAGGAAGAGGCTTCATCCTCGCATAATCATCGCTGATCATCTTGTTGAGTTCTTTGGGCGCTAAAACATCAACCCTCGGTGGTGGCGAAGGGAAATCCCACAGCGAAGTCGAACTGTTGTAGGTAGGATTCCGGTCTTGGAAATAGTCATGCCAAGGACGTGAGTCCTTGAAGGCGAGCTCATTGCTGGTCTTGAGAAGTTTGAGACCGCTTTCGGGGGGTGGTGGGGGCAGGGAGTTGGTCGGTTTGGGTTTCCGTGGCTTGTAGGGCCCTCGAGGGCCACGAGCTTTGAACGGTCGACGGGGTTTTTCGTCTGGTGATGTTGGTACTGTTGGTGGTGTTGCTGTTGGTTCAGTGGATGTGCTGGCCGGGTGGACGACGAGAATTGCGTCTGTGTTGGTGCCGATGCTGGGAAGAACTGATTCGCCGTTGGTTGTGCCCTCGGTTGTGTTGTGGTTGATTGTTGCGGTCGCGTTTGTTGTGTCTTGTCCTAGTGATGCATCTGGGACAGGCCGAGGGGTGGCTTTCTTGGCAGAAGAGGCACGCAGCTTCTTGGCAGGTCGGTTGTCCTGGGCATTAGTAGTGAGATCTTTGTCTGGTGCTGTTACTGTTGTTGAAGACCTTCGTTGTCGTGTTGTTGGTGACATGGGTGGTGTTGTGGATGTACTCGTTGTGGGAGCATCACCGGCAGCAGTGTTTGTGGAGGTGGCGGATCCGGCAGCGCGCCTCTTTGGAGGCATGTCTGGATGGCAAGAAAGATGAGAGGAGCAGTGTGGGTGTATGAATGTGTTTGTGGGTGTATGTGAGGAGTCCAGGGACGCGTTATTTTGGAGAAGTGGTGTGGGAGGTCAAGGTAGAGGAGGAAGAAGAACAAAAGCGCAGAGACAAGAGAGTGCTTGGTCTTTTATGTTGTTGCTTGGGTGCACCCCCCATGAAAAAATGCAAACAGGAAGCCAAAAGTGACTGCTTCTTGGATCTCACTCCTCCCTCTTACTGATAGCCTTATCTGAGGTAGATCGAAACTAGCAACAACGACTCTCTTCCACTCTAGCTGCTGCCACGATGGGACACCCTGGTGAAGGGCAATTGCACTGAACAACGTAATCGAGAGAAAATATGACTACAGAAGAGAGGTAGCGAGGCAATTGATCGGAACTAAGTACACAAGCCCTTAGGGTGTTAATATTAGATTCTTGTCACCCTTGGAGCACTCCGGAAAAGGGAAAAATGGGAAGAAAATAAATAAACCTTGGCTCTGTACAGTTCAGTACTTACCTCTTCTTCTCTCTTCTCTGCATCTTCTTACTCTCCCCCTCCCTACATCCATTCATTCATTCATCACTCCTACAAGGCCACAATAACAACGACGTCCAACACAACCAACACCCAAAACACAACAAGCAGGAAAAGCAATGAGGATATTCCTGGTGCCACTGTCGCGCAGAGCACACGCGTTGCATTGCCATTCAACCCTCGCAAAACCATCGACTTCCTACCTCAACAGGGCCACCGTCTTTGCCTCCAAGAAATGGGAAGAACTCGCCCAGGCTAAACCAGATTCTATGAAACGGAAGCTCTACAGAGCAGGGACGACTATGCTTGAGAAAATTGAGCACCGCGAGACATTCTTCAAGGAGGTCCCCGCCAAGGAAGATGTCACCATTACCACCATGGTACGCCTTAGTCACTTTTTGCCTGTTTGTTTTTTTCATGCTATTCCAAACTGAATAACTCTTGGAAGGATGTCTATCTGACTCAAAAGAAAGGGTTGCGACGAGTCTTGGTGCTGGCGTTCAGTCAATTGATTGAAATGGACTCCGAACGCACTTTATGACAGGATGGAAATCATATATCTGACCGTGTTTCCACTACCTCTTCGCATAGGTCCCGTTCATGTACCCGTCGTCTTTGAAAGAGGCCCAGGTCCATGCAGAGTTCAAGACACTGGTCGATCAGAGGATCCCCTATCATCGCAAGTACATGATCTACTCTGCCATGTTGGTTCCTGTGACTTCACTGTTTATAATTGTACCGCTTGTGCCCAACATTCCCCTCTTTTACAACGCCTATCGTCTCTGGAGTCATTGGAAAGGTACGTCTTTTTCTCTTCAGTTTTTTTTTCCTGCACTTGAGGTTCTTGTTGTAAGTGAATGGATATCATGGTGATGGGTTGATAATGATCAAAGAAAGAGAGGAAAGGAGGAAGAAAGGAACGACGGAAGGAAAGTGAAGTGAAGTGTAGAAAGAGGCGACGAAGAGAAAAGGGTAAAAGAAAATTGAATAGAAAAAGAAGATGCTGGTGATGAAGACAAGGAGTAGCGACCCTCTCGTTTCTTGTTGTCATGGTTATTTTGTCTGTTGCTCACTGGTTTATTCCTTTGACATGCATATCGGACAAGCCAATACGTATCCTATCCTAATACATACTTTACTATCCAAATAACCAAAATAGCGTACAATGGAGCGAAACATTTGGACGTTTTGATCAAGAACAACTCTATTACGTTTGTTCCGAGTGAAGTACTGGATCTGGGATTGCAACATGATCCGAAATTTGCGGTGTACTTTACAGGATCGTACCAGTTGTCGAAAAAGAGACGGGCGTTCAAGAAACCAGTCGAACAGGATCCCAACAGCCCGATCATTGCCGAATCCTCTGGAGAGTTGAGTCAGGACCACAACAGCTTGTTGAAGGATGATGAGAAGAAGGAGTCTTTGGGTGAAGGAGGAAAGGCACCGCCACAGCGGCCGTCGACTCTCTTGCCCAAAAAGAACGATCCTCTGTCGGTGACGGACCATGTGGCGTATGAGGGGTTCATTACGGATGCCGAGATTGAAAAGATATCGTGGGCGTTTGAGGAGGCCGTTAGTCTCAAAAGAGAGGTGAAGCGGGCGCGGTATCAGGAGGCGGCCAAGTACGTAAAGGACAACTTGATGAAGGGCGGACCCCCTGGCGACGATTCCTCTAGACCCAAGAACAAGGAGACATGAACGTGTCTCTTGCTCCCTTTGATAGACAAAATACACAATCGTTAAATGAATGTGAGAATGAGAATGAGTGTAGGACTGCTTTGTGCTATGTGAGAAGTAAACAACAAGGCAGTCACGAACTCTTTTTTTTCTTTTTTTTTTTTATTAACTGCCAACGGTCTCCAGTTTGTGTTCTTTGTGCCTCTCTCTCCCACTTTGCCCACCGTACCCTTCGACCATTGCCCTCCCTCGCAGGCACCAACAGCACCATGACATCCATCTACAACTTCAAGAAGATCACCCCCGTCCCCACCGGCGGTGACTTCCTCGACATCATCCTCTCAAAGACCCAGCGCAAGACTCCCACCGTACATACCTCTTCTTTTCTTTTTAATTGCAGGAATACTGGAATGCAACCAAGAGGAGCACTTGGAAACATCACTCTCTACTGGCAAGGATCATCCATGGCTAATCTGCAACACAACTGCACTCTTTTCACACCCTCTTAGGTCATCCATGCGAATTTTGCCATTAGCCGTATCCGCAACTTTTACATGCGCAAGGTCAAGTTCACCCAGGAGAACTTTGACGAGCGTCTCAAGGGTATCCTCGACGAGTTCCCCAAGCTCGATGTAAGCACTCTTCTTTGCTTATTGGAATTTGCATAGCCAGCTCAATGAGTACGAAGACAAAGATCATGGCACTAATCGTTATCTACACACTCTTCACGGGACACTTCAACAACTACAAACAACAATACAACAACAAACAGGATATTCATCCGTTCTACGCAGATTTGATGAACGTGCTTTATGACAAGGACCATTACAAGTTGGCGTTGGGACAAATGAACACGGCTCGCCACTTGATCGACCAGGTCGGAAAGGACTATGTCCGCCTGCTCAAGTTTGGTGACTCGCTCTACCGCTGCAAGCAGCTCAAGAAGGCTGCCCTCGGAAGAATGGCCACCATCATGCGCCGCCAGAAGGACTCGCTCGCCTACTTGGAGCAAGTCCGCCAGCATTTGGCCCGTCTGCCCTCGATCGACCCCAACACCCGCACCTTGCTCGTTTGCGGCTATCCCAACGTCGGAAAGTCATCCTTCATGAACAAGATCACCCGCGCCGACGTCGATGTTCAGCCCTATGCCTTCACCACCAAATCGCTCTTTGTCGGACATATGGATTACAAATACCTGCGCTGGCAGGTCATCGACACCCCCGGTATCTTGGATCATCCCTTGGAGAACCGCAACACCATCGAGATGCAGTCCATCACTGCCCTCGCCCATTTGCGTTGCGCCGTTCTCTACTTTATCGATCTCTCGGAGCGCTGCGGGTACAGCATCAAGGAACAGGTCTCGCTCTTCCACAGCATCAAGCCCCTCTTTGCCAACAAACCTGTCATGCTCGTCATCAACAAGATTGACGCCATGAAGATTGAAGATATCAGCGCCGAGGACCGTACTCTTTTGGACAACATTGTCGACAACGAAGGCGTCGAGATGATGGGCATGTCCTGCTACACCGATGAGGGTGTCATGAACGTCAAGCAGTCTGCCTGCGACCGCCTCTTGCAGGCCCGTGTTGACTCAAAGATGAAGGGACACAAGATCAATGACATTCTCAACAAGATCCACTTGACCCAGCCCCAACCCCGTGACGACAACCCCCGTCTGCCCTTCATCCCTACTGGAGCCGATAACAAGGCCAAGTACGATCCCAAGGATCCCAACCGTATCAGACTGGAACGCGATTTGGAGGCCGAGCAAGGTGGTGCTGGTGTCTTCAACGTCGACCTCAAGAAGAGATACCTGTTGGAGAACCCTGAATGGAAGTACGATGTCATTCCCGAGATCTGGGAGGGCAAGAACGTTGCCGATTTCATCGACTCCGATATTCAGGAGCAGTTGGATGAGCTCGAGCGTGAGGAGGAGAGACTCGAGGCTGAGGGATACTACAAGTCGGAGGAGGAAGAGCTCGATTCGGAGGAGGAGGCATTGGAGGCCACCGCCAACGCCATTACGGAACACACTCGCCTTACCCGCATTGCAGCCCGTCTGAAGACGACCAAGAACCGCCCCATGTTGCCCAAGACGGCGATCAAGCGCACTGCAGGAGAGATGTCGCAGCACTTGGAGACCCTTGGATTGGATTCTACAGAGGTTCGTGCCCGCAGCCGGGCACCCAAGCGTGCTCGTTCGGCCAGCCGGGGCGAGTCAATTGCACGGACGGCGTCGATGGCTCGTCCCGAGACGAGTATTGTTCGGGATCGTACGATGTCTGGAGTGCGCAATGTGAAGCAGAAGATGGAGTCGGAGAAGGTGCGCAAGCTGGCACAGCGTACGCCCAACTTGTTTGCCAAGAGAGGAGAGTCGGACAGAGCTGTGCAGACCAAGATGCCCAAGCACTTGTTCTCAAACAAGCGCGGCAACGGCAAGACCGACTGGAGGTAAATCCTCTCAGTCCTTTTGTCTTTCTCCTCCTTTCTTTTTCCACCCTTTTTTGTTTTGTCTTTTGCGCCTTTCTTTATTACTCTTATCATTTTACTTCTGCATCGTTCACAATAAACACCATTTCACAATATGCCAAAGAGAACGAGTGATGAGTTGGAAGACCGGTTTGTGCATGTCATGCCCCTTTTTTCAGGACACAATGACACGCACACAAAACCACACAGTCGCGTCCTTTTATTCAGTTGACACGTACCCTCCTCCTCTTTCTCGAACTCATTGAGCCATTCAGAGAGAGAAGCAAATAGACAGACAGACATGCAGACAACAAAGGCTCACCTGGTCACAAACACACCACATCTCCCTCTTCTGTCCTTCTGAAAAAATGCTCACACAGAAATAGACACAACGCCTGGCACTTTTTCTTCGCCTCCTTCCTCGTCTTTTTCTTTTTCTCTCTCTTCTTAATCCATCTCTCCTACTTCATCACACACCCTCTCACCCTCTGCTCATACTTGCAAACCTACCTAAGACCAACGTTTAATTCAATGGCTTCAGGGAAACGAAAGGGGGAGGCAATTGTCTCTGAATATTCCCAGGTATCTTGTTCCTTTTGTTACCGTGTTTTGAAGAATCAATTCCATGTTCCTTCTTCTTCCTACTCTCTTGGTGGTAGCTCTGTTCAGTCCTTTTTGTCTAAGGCTGCTGAATGCATGTAATGTCACGAGTCCCAAGAGCTGACTGTCATTCACTTTTTACTTGTTTGGACATGAATGAAATGAATAAGCAGGGGTCAGCAGCGAAACAAGCGCGAATGTCGGTGAGCGGGAAGAATCGAGGGCCACAGCCTGCAGGCATTGAGACCCCAACGACGACCAAAGCACGGCGGCAGACTCAACGACAAGTAAGTCTGCTTTACTTCTTTCATACAGGGATAACTGTAGAAACATAGCACCCCTTAACCATATTGCTCTTGCTTGGACGTAGACAGCATCGAATAGCAGTGAACAGGCTGCGGCGGCCATGAAACACCCGATAATGCTGCAACTGGAACAGGCACACACTCGCATCCTACAGGAGACCATGGACTCTGTCAGAAAAGGCGGTAGTCAGATCCAACAGGAATTGACCACCAGTCTTGCAACACAATCAGAACGCACCTACGAATCCCTCAGGACTACCATTGACCTCTTCAACACCAACAACGCCAACCTGGCATATGCGAATAATGGTAGCTGTGGCGGTGGCAACAACAACAATAACAATAACAATAACAATAACAATAACAATAACAAGACGACAGCCATACCTTTGACGCAAATATCAGCAGCATCGTCGGTAGCTATGCACCTAGTCCCGGCTTTGAAGACGGTCGTTGAAGAACATACCGAGGCGGTGACGAGAATTGCGACTGAGTTGAATCAGTGGACGGTGGCGTTAATGTCGGCTCTGGCCGGGACGTCTTTGTCGAGTGGGAGGACACTGCGTGTCGACAGTCTGGCGACCATCCTTGCCCAGCAACAACAGCAACCACACTCAATTTCATCACGAGGATCAGGATCAAAAGGAGCACCACCGTCACCCATCTCCCCCACTTCGGCCAACAATTCACAACAGCAACAACGCCAGTCACAGTTCAGGTTCGACCGCAAGGCAACAACAATCCGTAGGATGCTAGAAGAATGTCAACGGTACAAAGTTTGCAAGTATCAGGATCGGTACTTGGGCTACGATAAGGCAACCCAGTTTCATTCTTATCGTGCCGAAGAGCGGTATATCCAGGCTCGGATGGTGGTATTTGAGGAGGTCCGGGTGATTATGGAGACCCGGGGTGAGAATCCGAATAATGGTGGAGCAAAAGAGGAGGAGGAGGCGATTGGATGGTTGGAGAGGGAGTTCATGAAGATGGATGGGTCGACGGCCAGGTTCCTTGAGATCCTGAAAGAACGACAAAAGTTGAGGAAGAGTCAGGTCCGTCGCGTCTAGTCTTTTTTTTCCCTTGTTATTTTCATAGACTAAAAAGGTGTAAAAATATGCACGTCGGTCGGGCCAAAGGCTAATTGTTGATTCAGAACGCGTTGGAATGGATGAAAAATTCGAAGAGTCGATCGAGCCCCGTTTCATGTTTGTCCTGTCCAGGGGTCCAATAGTGCTTACTTTACCCCTGCCATGTTCCATTATGTCAATCCTCTGTGCCTTTCGTCAAGTAGCCAATTCCTTTTGACAAGTCGGAGTCCCTTTAGATTCCACTGTTTTGTACATGTAGATATCAGTTGTTGTTGCTACAGGTGGTGAATCTTCGAATTGATGAGTCCTGCTAGTTGAGAAGTCCTGTTCGTAGATGAGTCCTGCTTGTCGATGAATGATCTTTTTTTCGATAATGTAGAGAGAACTATGTTTATCCCTGAAGGAAGTCAAGCGTGGTCTTGTTGTTTTTGATGCAAGTAGGCAAAGTGTAATCCTGTGACCGAGGTACGGATCTAGATGTGGTGGTGAGCGTTATGTCGATTCTGCCCTCTTTTTTTTTTTTTACTTGATAGAATTGTTTCAGCTAGGTGATTAAGATGGTTGTCCTGCATGGTCGTCTTTCTACGATCGGTTCCTGCGGCTCCTATGGTTTCTGTGCGTGTGTATGTGTGTGGGTCTGTGGGTGCGGGTGTGGACGAATGAGAGAGAAAAAGGGTACGCAGCTCTCGTTTTTATGAGAGGAAAAGATGGAAGGAGGGAAGGCATAGACCGCACCCTTTTATTTTGGTGCTCCGTTCGACGATGGCAGAGGAAGAAGGAAAAAAGAAAGAAGAGCTTGGTGTAATGTAGATGTGCACAGGAATGATATTAAAATGACAAAAAGCAAAGGCAATCGACATGGTCGTCCATGCTGAGTGAGTGGGTTAAGAGCATATATACGACAAGAAAGAGAAAAAAGGAAAGTAGTAGTGGTGATGATTAGCCATGTTACTCCTGGTTACGGGCGAGGAGGCAAGGCAAGAACAAGACAAGTGATAAAACACACCCACTGATCCATCATACCCATGAAACAAACAACCTTAATAGTCTCACTCTGGCACCATCACTTATAACGATGAGGACGTTTCCTTCGCCATAGTACAAACAAGCAAACTCTCTTTCTGTCCTCTGTGCGGTCTCAGCCCTCGTTTGCTTTTTGCTCCGAGGAGTGCGGCCTGGCGAGGAAAGCAAGAAGGAAAAGCAAGGGGCACATGGACTGAAAGTAAGCATGCATGGGATGGCATTTGATTTGGCAAGCCAGAGGAGGGCTGAGAGCACACAGAAGAACAAGTGGGACAAGTGGGACAAGGGGACAAGTGGGACAAGTGGGAAGAAAGAGAAGGAGGTAGAGATCGAGAGAAGTAAAAGTACACGCCAGAGGGTACAATACAGTCCATACACCACCTGCGTGTCTTCTTCATTACGACCCCATGAGATCAACCATCCTTTCTTCCTTTTCTTTTTCTTACTTCTTGATCTCACCTCGGCTCATCATCCCTCTCACCCCTCACCATCCCTTGCCTTCGAACCATTCAAATATACACATATATATACCCCCGGCGACAGTCGTCTTTCTTAAATCTCGGCAATCCCGCCCGACATCACAGCTTGTCAAGACAAGGAGGAAAGAACATCACCATTCATCACCGACACCTCTAGAAAGTATGTCAAGTCAGAGCAGTAATACCTCCTCGCTACAGGCGCGCTGACAGTTGAATCCCCTTCAACATACTAATCTTACCTTTTACCCATCCTTGTTCTTATTTTGTCTTCCAACGCCACAACCAGCCCTGGCATTTTTGTTGCTGCAGAGTCAGTGTCAACCTCTAAACAACCCTACTTTCCCCTATAGACCTGCCAAAGGAGCTCTCAGCTTCCTACAAGGTATGTCTTTCTGGACCTCGGAGAAAGTAGCGTTTATCTAAAAAGGAGCAGGCAAAACGTAAACGTTTTAATGGGCAGTACAAAGGTTTAGCAAAGGGGGATTCCCTCCCCCCAGGGCACTGACAATCCTAGCAACTCTTCTCAAATAGACACTCGCCCGCACGCACAGCCAGACGTTCCCTCCCTGCCAGCGCGAATCAAGGATCGTGTACTTTTTCATCGCCTTTGAGGTGAGCCAAATGGCCTTCAAAAAGAGAAAAAGGAATAAGAAAATAATGGAAAAAAGAGAAAAAAAAAAGAATGGAAAAGAGAGAAGAGAAAAGAGAGGAAAAGAACAGAAAAACGATAAAAGGGGGAATAGAAAAGAAAAGTGAAGAAAAGAATAGAGAGAAAAAAGAAAGAACAAACAAAGAACAAAAAAACAAAAGCGACTTCAAGTAAGCAATAACCCTAAGACTAACGACATCTACCATTGTACACTCATGTCTGATAGCTCCGTCATCTGAGATCTGTACATATTCTCAGCTCCTTAGCTGAAGAGGTTCTGTTTTTGCCAGCTCCATCAGGAAACATTGACTGATTTTGGCGCAGTCCAAGGTAATAAGCATTCACTCTCTGCTATTTGCCTCGCCTTCTTCGCTCGTCCAATTTGTGTTCCTTCCCTTAAACTCACGCCGCTTTTGACCCTTTCTTTTTTGATAATAGAAACCCAATTTTCTCATGGCGCAGAACAACACTCCGCCTCAATCACCCCCTGGCCACAGACCTAAACCTTCGGCCTACTACAATGTGGAGCAGGCGGCCAAGGGCAATTTCACCATGACTGCAATGATAGCTAGGACAATTCAAGGCCATGTTACAACAGGAGTGACTCCGCCAAACCCTTTGAACACATCCAACCCCAGACCTCACACACCGGGACCTGCACACCATAACACATTTATTCACTCACCAGCACACTCTCGACAATCGTCGTCTACACACCAACCAGCACATTCATGTGAGCACCAGCCAGCACATTCCCACCATGCAGCATACACGCGTCAACCATCATCATTTGAGCACCAAACAACACCTGCACAGCAGCCACCTTGCAAACCCCAGTCGACCTTCAAACCACAAACGGCGTATACACCTCCATCTCCTACTGCATCCCTGTCGTCTACTTCGACTCTATCGCCGACCTCATCCCTATCATCTTTATCCAAACCCGAATCACTTACCACCCCCTCGTCGTCGTCGTCGTCTAGACCCCTGACTCCAACTCCAAGCGGGAGACAACTCTCCAGGGACAAATCACTGCCCAGCATCCCCATCCCACACGACCAACCACCAAAAACAGATCAACTGTACCAGGACATATTTGCAGCAAATGTGTCGAGACCATCACCCGACATTCCAATGCCCGGTATAGGCAGCCGTATCGAGAGCACCTCTCAGCTGGCACTCTGCAAGAGATTGCTCTTGCAAGCTGGAAACCAGGAGCAACAGCGAAGTCTGACGGATGCACAGCGAAAATGGCTGGGGGAGGTAGTGAAGGAGGACATTGAGCAGCGACATATACACGAGTTGTCGAGCACAGTCTTGGAGGAGTTCATCAACAACAACATCAAAGACTCAACAGCCATCGCCGAAATTTTGCTCATTGCACCAACGCTGGACGAGGAACACTACCGTGTGTTGCTGAACGGCTTTATCAAGGCGTTTGAGGAAGCCACACTACAGGATACGTTCCTACTCCAAGGTCTGATCCAGCTTGTCCAATCAGCGACGGACGGTTGCCTTCACCAAGACGACTTGGTCCGAGTCCTGGCGATCCTGAGGCAGCAACTGGAGAACACGCATATTCAGTCCAGTGAACACCCCTTCCATCTGACCGTCGCTGTCGCTCGTGTGCTCGATGTCATGGCAGAACGCAAGGTCGAGAATCTAGATCGAGTGACGGAGCGCGAGCCGCTTTTGAAGATCTTGAATGTGGTCCGGGAGAGCCATGACCCTTACCTCCTGTATCAGGCCTCATATGCCTTCCAAGCATTGCAGTACGTCCCGGACGAGGAAACCGCCCTTCAAGCCGTTCTGCGTCACACCGGCAACGTCGCGGAGGGAGTCATCAAGGTCTCTGGTGTGGTTAAGATAGATCTTAACAATCTCTTTGACGGTCTGACTAAACTCCAAAAGACTGTGAGCGAGACATACGATGCGGTGAAGAGTGGTTTCGAAGGCGTGCGCACCTTGGTCCAGGGTGGGCGAGGTGTCTTCGACTCTCTCAAACAGGGATTGGGGTCTGGCTTCAAACGTCCTTGGTACCCCGCCCTCCGTGCCGCCGATGTTCTGGTCCGTGGCGGTCGGCTTTACGATTTCAAGAGCCTTGTTCTGGAAGCGCCATGTCGACACGAGCCCGAGTTTCAATGGGGGATCTCTCAGCTGTTGGGAGAGATCGCAATGGATCCTTCATGGGACTACCCTGTGCGCCAGCAGTCAGCCACATTTCTGATCTATTTACTCGAATGCGGCAAAAGATGGACCAAGGATGACAGCGTCAGGCTGTGGATGTTGACGATCCTCCGCCACCTCAGGGACTCGCCAGACAATATAATCATAGGAGAAGCTCGCGGCAGGTTGAAGGACTTACTCATTGTCAAGGACGACGTGCTCTACGACTCTTTTCCACTGGTCGACACTTTGCCTGAATCCACTTCATCACCTCTTCTCGATCGCGTCCAGCCCACTGCAGCCGTCGAGCGTGACCTGGCCAACCTGAAACGAATTCAGACAGAGGACTACAATGGAGGGATTTACATCTCACCTAATGCCAAGGCCAACTTGCTGGAAAAGGATCGACTGTCCTTCCCGTTGATGCCGAAGGTTAGGCGGTTCTTGAAGAGCAAGCAACACGTCTTTTTATTGCTCGGCGACTCGGGAGCCGGCAAGTCAATGTTCAATCGACATCTGGAGTATGAGCTATGGGGGAGCTACACGAAGGGCGGCAGGATACCACTGCACATCAACTTGCCCGCCATTGACCGACCCGATCAGGATTTGATCGCCAAGCAACTCGGTATTCATGGCTTCAAGTACGAACAAATCATGGAGATGAAGCAGAACCGTGAGTTTGCGGTGATTTGCGATGGCTATGACGAGAGCCAACTCCAAGCCAACCTGTACGGATCCAACCAGTTCAATCGACCGCTTCAGTGGAAGGTCAAGATGATCATAAGCTGCAGGAGCACCTACCTCAGTCAAGATTACCGAGGGCGTTTCGAGCCGGTGTCGTCTGACAAGTATGCCCCTCTCCCTGGCCTCTTTCAGGAAGCTGTCATCGTCCCATTTTCGAGCGACCAGATCACAGAGTATGTCGGCAAGTTTGTGCACCTCAAGGACACCCGCAATTTGTTCATTGACCAACGAGTATGGGATGTGGAGGAGTACATGGGCAAGCTTCGGAGCATTCCCAACATGATGGAGCTGGTCAAAAACCCATTTCTGCTGGTGTTGTCCTTGAAGTCACTCCCATCCGTCTATAACGACTTCCCCGAGGTTACCAAGTTCAAGGCAACCCGTGTAATGCTCTACGACGGTTTCATCGACCAGTGGATCCAGGTCAACCAGAGACGATTCCAGAGTGTTTTTCACTTGTACTCTTCCGAGGTTCAGGCTGAGTACGAGGAACTCGCCAGCGAGGGCTTTGCAGAGGCTGTGAAGAGCTACTCCAAGAATCTGGCGGCACATATCGTCACAAAGAACGGCAACAACCCCCTTGTACAATTTGGGAAAAAGGACAAAGGAACCTGGAAGGAGGGATTTTTTGGACGCGACATAAGGAGCAAGATTCTCCGCGAGGCCAGCCCGGTGACACGTGTAGGCAATCAATATCGGTTTATTCACCGGTCGCTGGTCGAGTATTTTTACTCCCTCGCTGTCAGCGACGAATCCGATCTTGCAGACTCCAACGCCGAGCCCACCAGTCCTGTCGAGCGTGCCGTTTCCGACTCCACCGTCAACAAAGCCCTGGCGACTTTCGGGGACGATGATAATGTCGACTCTGGAGTAATATCGCCAGCAAGGGTCTCTTCTCCTGTAGGTGCTCCTTCTCCAACCAGGACGCCACCGCCAACCAGGGCGCCAAGTCCAATCTGTGCTCCATACCCGGCAAGGACGCCTTCTCCGGTCGATGCCCCAGCTCCAGTCAGCAGCACGGAATTAGCAGACACTCATGCTCGTGTCGACACTCCAGACTCAGTGGAGAGCTCTTCCAGTCTCCTTTTCGAGGCTCGATCCTTAGCAAGAGCTCCTTCCACAGTCCGAGACTCGGTTCCAAGCAGGCCGACATCACTCCCACCCCAGAGTCTTTCTCCGACTAGGATCCCTCCTCTCCCAGCTCCAGCCTTGACAGTACTTTCAAGACCACTCAGGAAACTATCTTTGGGTCTGCCCAACCCATCGCTTCAGAAAGTCCTTGTCAAGGATCCGTCCACCCTTCAATTCTTGGCTGAGCGTGTCCAACAAAACGAAGCCTTGAAACAGCGATTTTTTGCATCCATTGAGCGCTCAAAGTCGGACTCCAGTGCTGCCGTCGATGCCGCCAATGCCATCACCATCCTAGTCCGAGCGGGAGAGCGGTTCAACGGGTTCGATCTGTCCGGAGCCCGCATTCCCGGAGCCGATCTGTCTGGAGGAGATTTTGATTCGGTCCAACTGGCAGGAGCAGACTTGACTGGTGCGACGCTCACGAGGGCCTGGTTTAGACATGCCAACTTCATGGGCGCCCAGATGAGGGATGTGCAGTTTGGTGAGTGGCCATTTCTCCAGATGAAGGTTGAGGTCAACACTTGTGCCTATTCGCCAGATGGCCAGCTGCTTGCCGTTGGGTTTAGCGGAGGCGCCATCACTCTATTCAGCACCGAGACCTGGTTACGAGTGCGTGATCTTGTAGGCCATAACTGGACCGTCACCTACCTGTCGTTCTCTCCAAACAACGAACAGCTCGTTTCCGCAAGCGAGGACAAGTCGGTCAAGCTATGGAATGTCAAGACGGGTGTCCTCGAAAAGACGATAGCTGACCAGTCCGAGACGGTCGCATGTGTAGCCTACTCCCCCGACGGCACCCAGGTTGCCGCTGCCAGCCATGACTCTTTTGTCCGCGTGTACGATCTTGCCACGGTTAATGTCGTACTGAAGCTAAAAGGACATCTCGGTGCTGTCAAGAGCGTCACGTATTCACCAAGCGGAGATCTCATGGCCACTGCAAGTTACGATTGGACCGTGCGGTTGTGGGACCCTAAGACAGGACTTCAGACGCATGTTATGTGGGGACACTCGGCATGGGTCACCAGTGTCTCGATCTCCCCTGTCAATAGCCTTGTTGCCTCGAGTGGACAGGACATGACTGTGCGATTGTGGAACGGTACGAATGGCATGCCTCTCTACATTCTGAAGGGGCACACTGCGTTTGTCAAGAAGGTCTCCTTTTCTCCAAGCGGTCACCAACTCGCGTCTGCCAGTGGGGACCATACTGTCCGCCTTTGGGATGGCTTGACAGGGACCCCCGGACCTGTTCTTAGTGGCCATACGAAGTCGGTTGTGACTCTGTCCTATTCCCCCGACAAGGGCAAGGCCCAGATTGCCACAGGAAGCTGGGATTCGACTGTTCGTCTGTGGGATACCAGTGCCAGCGCCCTTTTGAGCGAGCAGTGTCCATCCATCGGCAGCGTCGAAAATGTGTCTCAGTCGCCGCCCAACGACCTCAACCGGACCCTGAACGGAGGCCATTCATCATCATCAAGTTTGGACACGAGACTCGAATTTTCAACCGCGACTGGCATAAACTCGAGCGACCATACATTCAGTTTCTCGTCGGTGGCATGTTCGTCGGACGGTCAACTGGTCGCCACGTGTAGCATCGATCTGGTCCGTCTTTACAATGCCAACACTGGTGCTTCCACTGCCGACCTGCGCGGTCATAGCAACTCTGTTACCAGCATAGCCTTTTCGCACGACAGCATGTACATCGTCTCTGGCAGCTACGACAAAACGGCCCGGATCTGGAATGTTCAGACAGGAGAGGGGGGACACACGCTAGGTGGACACACTGATGCTGTTACCTCAGTTGCCTTTTCTCCGACGGGGGCTCATATCGCGACTGGAAGTGACGACCGCTCGGTGATGGTGTGGTCCGCCCGAACTGGCAAGGTCTGCTATATCCTTCCTGGCCACGCCGGGGTTGTCAAGACCTTGATCTATTCACCCAACAAGCAGCAGATCCACTTGGCCTCTGGAAGCGATGACAACTACATCAAGCTCTGGCATGCACGCGATGGTCGATTTGACCGCGACCTGAGAGGGCATGGCAACGCTGTCGAGTCGGTATCGTTTACGTGTGACGGCAAGATCCTAGCTTCAGGAAGTCGAGATGGAACCGCGAGAATTTGGGACGTTACTTCTGGCCAGACCACACACGAACTGACGGGTGCCACAGGACACAAGAGCGCTGTCACCGCCATTGCCTTTTCTCCCAACAACCTCCGTGTAGCGACTGGAAGCTGGGACAAGACGGTCAAGATCTGGGATGTGCAAACTGGAGCGTGTCTGGTCACGGTGGAGGAGTTTGTCGGGGAGGTGAACAGCATTGCATGGAAACCTCTGTTCCCAACAGACAATGGCAGTATGTACTTTGTCACTGGATGCGCAGACAAGTCGGTCAGGATGTGGAAGCTGGTGGAGCATAGTGACGGGTCCTGCAAGGTGCAATTGTATTGGAGGTCTGCTTTTGATGGATTCATGGTCAAGTTAGCCAATGTCCAGGGGGTTGTTGGGCTAAGCAACAACAATGAGAGGCTGCTGGATCAGAGAGGTACCATTGGCGAGCCTCGATGGCGCTAGGCGAGCTTGTGGGGGGGCAGAAAGGGTTGTAGGAATGAATCAGATATTTATTATTCTCTTTTTTACTTGACCATCGTAACCCGATCGTATGTTTCTGTGTGTGCTGATTATCAGCGGTTGGGTCGAATTTTATTTCTAATGCCATGCAGTTGCCTCTTATCGTTTCGGCTTACTGTTGTCATTGATGAAATAAGCGAAAGAAATAATAGAGAGCGATAAAATTGAAGGTTGGATCCTGACAACAGCTTTCTTCGTCCCTTGTCTGTACAACGGCAGATGAGACAGGAGGAAACAAGAGAGGATATGTGCATGGGAAACGCAAGTGGTCGCGTTTGATTGTCGTTGAATTGTTGTTGGTCTTTAGCTTCTAGCTTCTTTCTATCCTCTTACTATGCATAAGAATACACACCCATCGCGCAACAGCAGATCAGTTCTTTTGTTTCTTATGTGTCCATTTCAGCACCAAGGCATGTTTGTACAACGTAACACTAGTGCACACTCTTTCTCCTTACGATACTTCTTGTACTAGCGGGTCCTATTTTGCGATCATTTGTCGCTGTCCTTCATATCGTTAGTAGCCATGAACCCTTGCTTAATCCCCATAGCCAACATACTCTTCTCCATTGTCTTTATCCGTTAACGTTCATTACACGAACGTGGTGCGTTTCTTATCACCCTTCATAATAAGTAGTTCCGAATTGAGGATGAGCTGCCAAAACGAATGACACAAAATCCATCTCCTGTTTTTGCACACTAAATGAAGAAAAGCAAAAATAAAACGGGCGGGTGCTATTTTCTCCGTGCTCTCTTTTCTCTTGATTGATCCTGCAAGTAGGCGGATGTGAACAAGAGGATTTTTTTATTGCAGAGTTGAGAGTGAGCGGCGATGGCATTGTACATTTCATGCTTCACACCTCTAAAAAATACACAACATGCAGCTCATCAAAAATCCATATCAGTTTAGATCGATTGATGTGGAGCGCTCTTCTTCGATCGCTCACTCAAATTGCAGACGACGAGAACGCAAGTCAGTAAAAGGGAAGGTTTCGTACATAATTTTATTTCTCTGGAAACACCACAGAAAAGGCATTTGGAAGTAAAGGGATGCACCTCAAGCAGTTACAGTCCAGTCCGGAACTTGGCTCTGCACAACAATTGCCGCAGCTTTTCGCAGCTTAAACGGAAGAAAATAAAACTAGATACGAATGAAGGGGATTCTTCCCATCCTCTCCATCATTGACAACCTCCTCCTTCCTAACAAACTCTCCAACAACCGCTCGTCAGCAGCGCGTGGGTCCTTGGTCGCTCCAGGGCACCTTACTTCACAATGTGTGGCTAGCGAAGCGCCACACGGACGTCCAATGCCGCGGAGGAGATCCGACGGAAAAAGGAAAAAAAAAAAAAAAATTATGACAGATATTGATGATTATCGGAATTGGTGGCGTCTCTGAGATCTTATCTGTTTGTAGAAGTGCCATTACTATCAAATAACTGGTTTGTATGGTGTAGTTGGTTATCACGTCTGTCTAACACACAGACGGTCCTCGGTTCAAGTCCGAGTACAAACACTTTTGCGTTTTCTTCATTTTTTGTCGGTGCTGCCTTTTTTAACTAGCTGGCTGCCTGGGGGCGACGCCCAGGGCATTGCCTCTCTTTTTGTGCCTCACTCTTACGAAGAAGGCCCGTGACAGAGCCAGGTGCTGCTCGCGGGGCCAGCAAAAAGGACAACCTTAAGCCCGGCCTAAGGTTATCATGGTATTTGTGAGCGACTAATGTTTCTGACCCAAGTTACTCGGTTAATCATAACCATCTTTCGCCCTCTCCTTTCTTCCACGCGTCTTTTCACTATTTTTCGTCCTTCGCTAATACTCTGTTCTTTCGCCTATACTCTGTTCTTTCGCCTATACTTTCTACGACCACGTCAGCGTTTGTTTTGGTCATCCACCAGGATGAATCTTTGTCGATTTCATGGCGCTGATGACCCCAAGTCAACGTCAAGTCGCGCTCTTTGTTGACGTCAGATTTCATTTCTCTTTGTTACTCTTGTGATTCTATCTTTTACACTTTCAGATCCTCGCCTTCTCTTTTTTTTTCATCTTTCTTCTTCCTTTCTCTCGTCGATGAGTTTTTACTTGTTCACTTCCACCCTCTCTTGTTTTCGCCGACCTCATGACCTATTCATTGATGAAGACCCGGCCCCTCTCCCACCCGTTAGTGTGCCCAACCCCTATCATCATTCACTTTTCTTTTATTCACACTCCCCCCCCCCACTCTTTTCTACTTCGTCGTTGTCGTAGCAAGTAGTGTAACCGGGTAGCAAAAAATGGCACTGAGAGTGAACGCTAGAACAGCATCTTCCCCCTGATGTCTATTACATCACATTCACTCAAGTCAGTCATTTCTTCTCGCCCTTTCTATCCACCATAAGTTTTGTTATTGTCGCTGGAACAATACACCGAATAAATTTCTCCTTTGCTTTCTATCACATTCGCCTAGGTTGAGAACCTTTACCGTTCACTCGAAGATCCGTATACATTTTGTCGTCACCAATGATCTAGTTAGGATCACTCAACCTCGCTCTCCCTCTTTCTCGCGCTTTGCTGGTCTAGTTGTGACTGTGTGGAGCCTCTCGCTGGTGTGCCTGCCTGAGTGCCTGAGTTGCTTTTTTCCCACATTGACAATTTTTTTTCCCGTTTTTTAACTGATTAGCCGATTAACCAACTGACCAACTGACCAACTGACGACATAACTGATTGACCGATTGGCTGTCAGTACGAATGCCCTGAAATGCCCTGAAAGAGGTGTGAAATGATAGAACGCGATCCGGCATTTCAAATACATGGGTCGTTTGGGAGCAGGGCGGGCGATTTACTCACTTCGGTGACGTAATTCTTGCGCCCATTGTCCTGATTTTTCTTCACCCAGCCACGATCGTACTCATGTTATCACCAAAGCAGTTTAATAGACTTCTTGATGCTGCCATACCTGCGTCCAAAACTCCCTCTCCTGCTTCATTCTCGAGTTGGGGCGGCGTCAACAACAAAGCTTTTGCCGGCGACATGTACACACGCGTTTAAAATCCGATTTGGACTCGGGGAAGGACAGAGGAAGAGCCATGAAGGACATGTGGACCAACCGAATACAAGGACCAATTCACCGCGTTTTGGGAGCCAGCTGTAACAAGTTTATCATTCAGAAGCGCAAGGCTGCTGCCGCCTTGGCCTTGGATGTAAGTCTGCATGCTGACCAGAGTGTTTAATCTGAACGTTTAAGAATCGTCCTGTTGCCTCTGATTAACTGTTCCTAATCTATGGTTACTTGAAACAGAACAAGATGTCTTTCAGATTGCGCAAGACAGTCCATAGCACCATGGCATAAGTCACTGATGAAGTCGCAGGTAAGCTCGTCGCCATCAATGGTAACCAGGATTATTCATTGTATGTATCTAGTGAGTAGTTGAATTCATTAAGTTAACCCTCTTTTTTATTCGTGGGAATAGCAGCAGGTTAGATCTCTAAATTTTAAGGATCTTTTACACTGTCAATGATTCTCGATATCTTGTCGACGAAAATGACCAATTGTCCGTTCAACGATTGAGATTGTCATATGCGTCCATAGGTGTAAGATAATGACTTCGCCGTCTTCTGAGTTGTGCATTTACTGTCCATTCTCCTCACAATGAGCAATGGAGATCATGCTTTGACTATCCTTGCGTCTATCTTTTCTTATCTTAGGTTCTGACGACCGTACTCAAAGGGAGTTGAACCCGAAAACCCGAAGGACACATCAAAAGAAGTTAGCTGTTCTCACTGGAGGGCTGCATGGACCTACTACCATGTGGGAGCCGCATGCGCTGCGCTACTTTAACCTCTCCTCATCTGCCCAGAGCCGTGTGCATTTCCTTAATGCGGATAGCACACGGGTCTCATCCTGTCATGCATTGGTGTCCAGCTATCGCTTTGCTTTTCATCTCCAGATGGTGAGGACACGACAGAGCTTGAGTTCTTTGGGTGAACGTGACCAGCTCTCTTGACAGTTACTCTCGTGGGTGTTTGTCAAGCAGACCGTCCGACCCGTCTTTGTGGCTTGATGCGGGTGGTAACCCTCGCCTTGAACCATGAATTCTCGTCTAAGGATGTGTGCAGGGAAGAAGGCTACTGTACATTTGTATTCGTAGTCTTGACATCAAGGTAAGTGCCCTCCATTTCACGTTGGCCCATGACCTCATCATGAGGCGTTGACCACCATATGACTGTTCAATCTTTGCGCATTTCTTTTCGTGCAAGGGTTGCCGTCAGGCCGTCGACGTGCATGGGTTTTAATGACCGCAGCAGGAGATGTCGTCAAAAACGGGAGGATTTTGTTATTATTTTGTGAATTCCATCTGTTTTGAATTTTTTTGCTCTCTGGCGTGATCTTAACCATATTTTCTCCAGTCGATGCAATAGCAGAAAGCCGTGGATCGGTGAAAGTGTAACGAGAACGAATAGTCTGCAGCCAGTTTTTGAAGCGTAGAAGAGGACAAGACATAAAAGAAAAGGAAGCGGACTCAGAGAGAAACGCACCACGCACCTATCCATCGCAGGACTCCACACCGAGTTTTGAACCCGTCAATGAATCTAGTAATGGATAACTAGAGGAAAAAATAAATCTTGAATGATTGTTTGTACACAAAGGAAAAAATAACCTTTTTCTGTTAACCATTGGCGAGGGAAAAACTGGAAAGCTTCGATTGTCTAAGGAAAACGTTCATAGTGAAATATGCGTGCAAAAACCTAAGTGATGACGCCTTGTAGTAATAGTACTAGCCTTTAGAGGGCGCGAGGGAGTTTGACACCCCTCATACGCTTGTCCCTCGGAGGAGTTCTTGTACTTTGCCTAGTGTTAACCCTGTCAATAGCTTTTTGTAGCCGTTGAACTTGTTGCTTTGACATGAGGGATGAATTCATTGATCATTTTGTACTGTGGCCGTTACTGGAGAGTCAAAATTTTAGAAAGGAGTCTCGGAGTTGTCTTGCTCGTCATAACCCTTCTACTTGACGGTGTAGAGTTCCCCCCCCCCCCCTTTGTGTGATGATGACTCAGTACCTTCTCCACCTCATAGTGTTCGACTTCATGAGAGTGAGCATCGACTGGGTGACGAGCTTCATCTGTTCTGGAGCATAATTGGGAGCCAAAATGCGGTTCATAGCATCTCGTAGGACATATAAGCCACGAGTGGTGCGACGAATAGCCTTGAATGAACCCTCATAAGGTGGATCAAAAGAGCCTTCTGATGATTCCTCTTTCACCATGACAAATGGTCCTGGAGGAATGCGATGTGTCTTGTTGAATTTAGCGATCATATTTGTGCACAAAGCCAGAAAAACAAGAACTGTCAAATATGTCAAACTGTTCGTCAGTCAAAACATGAGACTCAGCAGATGAAAAATCTGTGATGCCTGCAATTGATCTTCCGAAAAATAAAGAAAATGGGGTGAAACAGTGCAACAGAGCTACACGAGTGTTCCTTTGGTATTGTACCATCACGAGTGAATGTCCAAGAGAGTTGCTTGTCCCTCAAGATCCTTCTCTAACGTTTCTTTTAATGACCATACATTCTTTCAGCGACTCCGTTGACTTTTGGATGGTAGGGTGTTGTGAATCGGTGATCTACGTTCATTGAAGAGACCATATGATGAAATGAATGATCTCATGAACAACCTCAGTACCACTGTCACTCCAAATGATTTCGGAAAACCAACAGAGCCTTCAGTGCCTTCAAGCCCTTGTTTAGGTTGATTCCCAGGAGTTTTCTTCGTCTGGATAATTCTTCCATTTGACAAGGTGTTCCGTGTTGACGTCGTCTACACGACGTGCGTCAAGGATATACTCCAGCTCGTAGACTGGGTCAGTGTCCAGTTCGTCAAAAACAAGTTTGAGTTGCGAAGGTGTGTAATAACGGCCGAGTAAGTCACCCATGCCACCTTTCAACACATATGCGCTTCCTCACTACTATGAACGCGCCTTCATATCGAGGGGATTAAGTATCACCCTTGATAGGATCTACCGCCATGACCTTGGAACCATCAGGAAACTTGCTGTGCTGAATTGTTCTGTTGAACTTCTCAATCATGATCATCCGAGAGTACCGAGCCTTAGCATCGATGGCGGGAAAAACAACTGTGGCCATGTATTCGAGTCGTTCTAACAGCTTCTCGTGTGATAATACGTCCCCGTTCGTATCGTCAGTAATTTATGTGGAGCCATTGCTCTTGCGAGCAAAGAACAGAGAAAAAGGAGAAGAACCGTGAATAGCAGTGACATTTGAGTTCATCGCAAATTGTGCTTTAGGGACATGGTAATCCCACGACTGCTTATTACCCTTGATCTCTTTTCGAATAATGTCTTTATCAGTTTTAACCCTATTTTCTGGGAGTCCATTGTCTCTAGGTTGGTACGGTGTAGTTGTTCGGTAGTCAAATTGGAACTGCTCAGCCATGATTGTCATGATGAGGTTCACAAGTTCTCTACCATTATCAGATTGAAGAATACTGGGGAAGCCAACGTCGCAAAAAATCTGATAGAGTGCGTGTGCAATTGTGCGTGCACCCTTGTTTGGTAGAGCGCGTAGAATAACAAACCGAGTGTACTCTGCCCAAAGTCTATGCGGAATACATTCATCCGATATGGTTTACACGCACACCACTGACATCTCATCTTTTCCAAGGGCAAAAATAAATAAATATCTAGCTGTGCATGCGGGATAGAGTCTTTTGGATTTCTTTATCCCGTACCTGCAGCACAATTCTATTGTTGAGCACTACTATCCCTTCGATTGATTCTGGAACTTTTATGTTCCAGATTGTTACACGCGTTTCGTTTAGGGTCAATGTTCCCTTCACATTTACAAAAAATTGGGCAATGAGACCCTTCCCAATGTAAACATGAAAGCGAGGGGGCTTTGGTGAGAGGAACATCATCTCTTTGTTTTCCCCACGAACCCATCATTCGCAGCGAATGCCACTTTGAAAATTGCTCTATTAATTCGGATGCTCGACACTCCTGTCGACATGGAGCTCGACGATGTTGTAGGATCCAAGAAAAAAAAAGATGAGCAGATTCGCTGTTCTCTTCCCCCTTTTGTGCGTTTTAGTGAGGCAAAGAAATAACAAAGGATTTGTCACCTTGGAGGCTGGAAGTACAACCGTCGTAAAAGAAATATGTACCAAAAAGCCTGACAGTCGAAGGGATAATCTATCCTGCATGATGGCATATTGCGCTAGAAAACCGTTGGATGCCTCGTTTACATGTGCGGAGTTATCAACAACCTCTTGGAAAAATAATTCCCGCAACGACACAAAGTTTGCGCCTACATATGCACAAATCACAATCACACTAGCGGATCCCCCTAGGAAACCGAACTAGTGTACCTCCCTGGTTACGCCACATTCGACCGTCACGGTCTCCCACACTACGAAACGTGCAGCAAAGGATCATCGTCAGTCTGGCGCCATCAGCACAAAAAAGTATACCTACAAAAATGCTGCATGATCGAATGGGTTGCAGTTCCGTTCAAAAAACGGTATTGGCAAGCCCGCCTACCCTTTTCCACACGCAGTTGTAGCACTTCAACCGGACTGCATGCAAGATATGTCAAATATTTGCCCTCGAGTAACGCCGACGCGTACATGGACGAAAAAGGTAATCTAAAGCCCATGTATGCCTCTTTTAGCTTAGAGGCTGCCCCGGACATGGCACCATTCATCACCACTTCCGAGCATCGGTGAACGTATTCAATCGATTTAATCCGGTCGAAATCAATAACGAGGGAGTGATGTTACGAAGATGTACAGATCCGACCATCGACTTTGATGTGTATAAAAGGAGTGGCACTTTGCAACTGTTTTGTTCTTCATCCGATCTTCCACTCCCACTCCTCCAAGTAAGTCTCACCTCCCCCCTAGCCGCCCTCACAAGATGACCGACGCAACATGAAATGGCGTATCCAGTGGTTCTAATTTTTTTTCCGTCTTTCAATTGGGAAATAATCCTGACAGGACCCGTCCAAGACACCAACCCCCCACCTTTCTTCTACTTCAAAATGCGTTTCGCTGCCATTGCCGGATTGTTCCTCGTCGTCGCCGCCACCTTCGCTGAGGCTGGTCGCCAGTGCTCCAACGGAGCTCCCGGATGCAACGCCTGTGTCTGCAACCAGTGGGCCGATACCAAGTCGTGCTGCGGTAACGGTGCATTCAACAACGGCAACGGAAACTGCGAGGGTCTCAAGCACTCGAGCGTTGACTCCTTCAAGAGCTGCTGCAACGACATCCGCGGGTTTGGACGCTGCTGGTAAAAAATCAGCCGCCTGTCACTAGCGATAGACCCCCGCCGCTGTTAAAATCGATTCCCCTCCTCCCCTGTTCCTAATCGCTCAAGAGTTCTCTGTCCATGGTTTCCCGCGGACGAGCCTTTTTCGACGCGGATTCAAGAGCGGCATTAGTCCAGATAAAATAAAAAGTGACATCTTTCTTGATGGACTATAAAACGACAGCAAAATATATTTATTTCTCGTCGCAATTCGCGCTCCCTCCATTCCCCTTACTGCCACCATACACCCCTCTTCCTTCTCTCATCGTTGCTTATGGCCATAGGTCCAAGTCGGTGTCGCTTTAGTTTCTGTTGTCCTCGTCCTTGTCGTCTTGCACAAGGTGATACCTTTCTACTGTTTGCGAGTTTGTTTGTTGCTTTGCCTTTTTCCCATCACCACTCAAGGCTATTGGTCCAAGTCGGTGTCTCATTGATCCAAGTCGGTGCTTCATTGGTCCAGATCAGTTCCCGCTGTCGTCATCGTTGTCGCGTGTTGCCCAAGGGTTTTTGGCCTCTTCCTTTTCTCACCATACAACCCCTCTTCCTTCTCTCATCGTCTCTCCTCCATAGGTCTCGCGCTCATCCCCTCCTCGGTCATAGTCGCCCAAGGTACTTTCTACTTTCCGAGTTTGTTTACTGTCTTGCCTTCTTCCCTTCTTCCTTTCTCCCTTCTTCTTTTCTCACAATACCCTAGGGAGGCCTTTCAAGTCCAAGTTATCATATGGTGTTTGTTACATCTCTGTAGATCTCGACAATATCCATAGCGACTATGAGATGAAAATGTGTATATGATACCAAGCATGTAAGACAACCATTGTAACATTTTTTGTTTAACTATCCTACTAAACACCATGATATTCTTCAAACAACAAAGTCTTCTTATTTTTTGCACACCAATCTCTTGGATGTCTTCATCCACTATCAAACTGTACCCCTCACTACAAGATTCAGCAGAGTAGTTCTTGTATGTGATCATCTAAGCACTTGTACTCTCAACTGTATCTTTGTCGTGAAATACAAGGGAGAGATTACATTTTAAAAAAAATTGTGCTGTCTCCAGCTATTTTATTCTATGTTCTGTTGCCGACTACGAAGAGATATATTAGCTGTGGAAGTCAACACAGCATTTTTTGGGCTTTGGATATTTTTTATATGCTTTTTTATACCCTTTACACATGGAGGGGCCGGAGGGCCTCTATGGCTTGAGGACTAGGGCGGAAGTATGGGCAAAGTCGCGACGGTCGGCCTTCAATTCCCGCCCAGAGGGTTTGGCCATGGCAGGGGTGGGTGCGGCGATGGGTAGTATATTGAAGAAGTTGCAAATACCGGTTTGACGCTCGAGGTCAATACCGGTGAGAAGAGAATCGAATTGGTCTGACATAGAAATTAGCGAGGGCGAAAAAAACGGACCGAAAAAAAAGGGGAGGAGGAAGAGGAGAAAAAGTGCAAGGAAGCAGAGGTGAATCAGGAGGGCAAAAACGATATTACCTTTGCTACCATGTAATAGAAGCAGAGCAAGAATGTAGCAGGAGCAGAGCAAGAGTGTAGCAGAGCAGATAGAGACAAGAACGAGAGGAAGGGCAAGAGAGTACTAGGGACAAGAAGGAAAGGCTAGAAACGGATGATGTTTATTGCACAGACAGAGAGGGTATTTATGTATATGATTTACATGTGGATAGGGGTAAGGAATGAAGGGTTGAGATGCACAGGGGAAAATGATGACGGGAAAGAAAAGTGGGTTTATCAATTTGGCGAAGACAGGATCCTTTTAGTGATCCAGTTAAGCCACATTTGATTCTCCGTTCGTCAATTAAAAATGGTTACTGCTTAATTGCAGCACCTAGCCTCACAGAGCTCCCCGCAAGGTTTTAGCAAAGCGAAGAGCAAAATGAGGGGTGCAAGGGCAGAAAACTAAACCTTGCAGTTTGCAAACAAGGTAGAAGGGCAAAAACTAACCTTCTTTGAAGAGGGTAGAACGTCTTCAAGCGTAGTGTATATGGGGAAAATTAAACCCATAAGGGTGACAGAGGCGCAAGATAAAAAATAAAAACTTACAGTGTAGAGGGCAAAAAATCAAACCTCATTGGACTCTCGCGTCCTACACCATAGTCAGACCATGATTGGTAGACTCTTGGCACGATCAGTCGACTCATACTACCGATGGACTCATGATACGGTCAATAATTAGTGCACAAACTACGCCTAAGTCATACATACATATATTATAAATGCATGTTTTTTTTTGGTCATTCTCCTTTTATGTTTGCAGTGTACGAGCATTCTTGCTAGATAAATACATGCTTTTTTTTAGTGTTTTTGCATCTGGCAATACTTTTGAGGCACTAGTCCTGTGGCACAGCTGGCTTCACAAATGAAATACAGTCACCCATGAGGTTAGATGCAAGATTTATTGGGTTTGAAAATGCTCTTCTTCCGCGTGCTGCTTGTGGTGGGGATAGCCGCGGCAGCCTCCAAGGAATCCTCTCTTTCCTCATGAGATGTCATTTTGGCAGCCGAGTTGCGTCTTTCACTCTCGTCCAAGACGTGTAGGACAAACTCCAGACAGGCCAAAATGCAATGTTGTATACCTGGAGCAAAGGACATAGCCTGCATTGGCACCATCATGGACGTCAGCGTCCTCACACGGAATAAGCCTTTGTAATCCATGGCAAAGAACTGCGTTTCGCCATTGTGGGAAGTGGAACCGAACACCGACATGCCTGAACGCGGGTGTGGAGTTTGGCTGGTAGCCTTTATCTGAGAGACCCACGAGTCACGCAGAGCCCGCCTCGACCTCCATGCATCCTCGTCCTTCTTATCCTGGGTAGCGCCGTAGATTAGAGCCGATTCGGCGATGTAGATTTGTTGACTGGCATGAAATCCGACGCCATCGGCCTTCCTCGCGCAGTCCTGTCGCTCCCCTCTCACCTTCATTTGAACCTTACGATCCTTGTTTCCGTTGGTGGCGATTTCCAGCATGAGGGTGGGAATGTCAGCCATCGTAAAAGCTCCTCGGATGAACGACCACGTGCAGTCCACAAAGACTTCCCGCTCGTTCAGACTGCTTGGGATTTCCGAGTCAAACTTGAAGTAATGGAAGCTATGAAGAAAAGGTGACGGGTGGTGAAAATGAGACCTCTCATCTTGCATAAATAAACATTGTCAAGCAAACGGAATAAAAAGTGAAGAACTGCTGGACACTTACTAGGAGAGGAGAACACTCTGCATGTACATGACCATGGGAGCGAGTTGGCAATATTTTTTCGTATGATTGAACACCTTGTGTGAAGACACGTGACGAGATTTCCTTGAAGGCTGGCCATTCGGTGCGAGTCATTTCTCTGCCCCTCCTTGCAGCCTTCAGTGCCTTCAATCCCTTGTTCTGGTTGATAAAGTGAGGAAATGAACCTTTTTTGGAGGACAGGGGCGTCAAATCGGCAATCAAGTCGTTTGCGAGCGAAGTAAACACCTCATCGGCCATCGTGCGCTGGTACTCTTTGAAGAGAGCAATATAATCGACCCCTTCCTCCTGCCATTCCGTCATCTGGTTCAGTGCTTTGAAATAAGGCTGATCTAAGGTGTTAAAATGAAGAGTCGATATTAGAATACTTCACTTCATTTGAACCTGTGGTTGTTATCCTACTAAAGAGTGAACTAGCGTTTTTTTTACCATGTGCTTCTTTCGATGACGAAAGGAAAGGATTGGGCATCACACATCCGGCATGATTGATGGGATGGACTGCGACGACGCTTTGGTGGCAATGTGGATACAGGCTGACTGGATTCTGTAGAACCGTCTGTGCTAAGACCTTGAGACAAGAAAAAAATATTATTGATCTCTACATGAAACGATACAATCACATTTACACTTTTCTTTTCTTTCTCTGCTCCTCTGGAATACCTGCCAGCTCTTTGTGCGTGTCGCGCTTAAATTATGCTGTCGTCAGCGCGGTCATATCACCCTGCATTTCCCTACGGATATCTTGACTGTCTTCCGATACTGTTGCTATTGTTTTATATGTAACATCACACCAGACAAAGCTGAAATCAGTTCACTTTGCGGTCAAGGATAGTCCATGATTGTGAGTGGGATAACTCATTCCAAACTGTACGTGCGCCTCATTCTCACGCAGCCCTTCCCAGTATCGTGCACGATTCGCAGCCGTAGCTTTGAATACATGTCGTCAGCGTGAGCCATGGCCATTGTGGATCTGTTCGACCCATGGGAGCACTGTATGCAGCCATTCGTTCGTCGCCATTGGCTCATTTGAGGACTTGAAGCCGTGATATTGGAAAAGCCGCAAGCGTCAAAATCCTGGAACTCGACCGTGTCGAAATATCTTTGATAGGGGTTGTTGGTGCTGGCATTTCATCCGAGTCTTGGTCAACGCCTTTTTGCGATCGTATTCGCCACTCCTTTCCTCCTCTTCTCTACGAAGAGGCTTGAAGGAGTCGACTGTCCGAGAGCTCACGATCCTCCGAAGACGTTGGATTTGCTTGGTCCTTGCGAGGTGCCGCGTGTGGCGTGTATGCTGCGTTCGACGTGGCTGGCGATAATGCAACACGCGCAAACGAATGTGTGCTATGTAGTGAAATGCAATACGCAAAAGGGGAGTTGTGCTATGGGAAAGGTAGAAAGATAGGTGAAGGGGAAGTTGGACCCACATGCAACAGCCTTTTCAACCGGCTAAGCCACGAAGGTTCGCACAAAATTTCATTTCCAACAGAGTTCAAAGACATAACGCCCTTCTGGAAGATTCATCTCTCTCATTTTCCTCCTCGCTTCGTATAGGGATGTTGCGACGCATCACATCGACTTGCCGTTCGGTTAGGCAGGGATCAGATGTGATTCCGTTGAAGGTGACCGTTGCGCCCATCGCTGTGGACACCATTTCGGCGGTGTGCCTGTCTTCGGTTGAGTATCTTGTCTTGGCCATGGTAAAGATCATCACGAATCGGTGCATCTTCTCATTGTTCCTGGTTTCGAGGACCTCCAGTTGACCGCGGAGAGAATGGCTTCAGGAACAAAGCTTTGCCAGGCAGGCAAAGATACGTTGCCTTTGACTTCAGCTTCTAAAAACCCTACTCAGTTACCATGAATGTGACGCATCACATCGACTTGCCGTTCGGTTAGCAGGGATCAGATGTGATTCCGTTGAAGGTGGCCGTTGCGCCCATCGCCGTGAACACCATTTCGGCGGTGTGCCTGTCTTCGGTTGAGTGTCTTGTGTTGGTTATACTTTTATCATTGTCTCTGATTTTCAGGGCTCTCCAGTTGACCGCGGAGAGTATGGTATCAGGAACAAAGCTTTGCCAGGCAAAGATACGTTGCTTTTGACTTCATTCGGTGGTCTGGCGAAGGACTGAGGTGGCATGCTGGATAAGGGATAACAATCAGTGAAGTATATTTTGACCTTGCCCACTCTTTCTTTCTCCTCTATGACGCAAGCTCATTTATCTCCATGCTGCTTCTTGCAGGAAATAAAGGATTATGTGATGCATCCACTGTCTCCGCACGCTCGTTACTCCTTCACTCTTGACCATCACTTTTCTTTGTTGCGTCTTTTCTTTCTCTTCTCTTACATTCTTTACCATCCTCACGCTCTCTCTTTCACCCTTCAATGCTCCACAACATGGCCACTGCCTAGGCTACCTCCAAGGCGTTTCCTGTTGACATTGAGTCAAGAAAGATAATTGGCGAACTCAAGAAGCTCATCAAGGCTGAGCAAAACTCCGACTTTAACGACATTGTTGCCAACAACCTCATTCTTTGGCTTGCAACCATCTCCAATGACACCAATGCCATTGCTGTCACGATTGGTGCCTTACACAACAAGACAGAGCTCGCCTTTCCAAGTTGTTTCTCGAAAGTCCTGACGACAGTACCTACATCTTCATCAGCGACCCCCGCCAGGTAATGCTGACGTGCGTCGCTTTCATTCACACCCCGGATATGGGCTTGTTCAGTGTGTTTATGCTAACCGACTACACTCATCCAATTCTACTGTCATAGTCCATGCGCCTGTTCCTGTTCCACTCTATACTCGCAGCTCCACCCCTCTCTCAGACGACTCTCGTCCTGGCGCGCCGCTATCTGGTATGGACTCATTATACCTTTTTGTACCGTGTCGTTGGTATTCTTTCGAGTGTTAAGTGTTCTAACACCGCCCTTTTATCCCATGCAAATAAACGACCTCCATAGCGACATCAAAAAGATCAAGGACAAGTTCTTTGCACCATGATCAGACGTTGTTAAGTTTCTCGACGCGTTCGTGAAGGGTGGGTTTGACCATCCCCCATTCACCAGACCCACCCTACTGTTCATGGATCTCCCTGACCCATCCACACCTGACTCGGCATCAAAGAATCTCGCGGCTGGGTCTATTCTCGACATGGTCAAGGAGACAGCCGATACCACATCCCCTCCATGCTGCGTCGTGGGGCATGGTATGCGTGCGAACGGGCCCCAGTTGACGACAGCCTTTCTTTCATCTCGTTCTTTTCGACGGTCGACTGATAGAGGTAATCCCTCTCTTGAATCAAGGTATACTACATGATCCAATAACTCTTGGATGTGGATGTCGTGGAGCTTTGACCCAGGAACATCTTGGCAGGGTGTGCACAGGTGAGATCAACGACAGAGAGCTCACGCTGGATGCTATCCAGTAGTCTCATCGAAGCCTAAACAGGTAGCTCCATTCGACTGGGTTCGATACTTGCAGTTGCCAGGGACCATCGCTCTACGTATAGCATACTGTACATGCGTTGGCTGCGATCGAGCAATCCGACAAACGATACAATTATGTATCCTTCGGAGACGCAGCAGGAAAACGTCAGGAGTTGGTGAGCAAATCCTTTCTCAGGCTTACCGGTGGTACTTGCTGGCATGATAAATGTTTATTTGTGTGTGGCGAGCTTAATCTTGCCTGTCGATCAATAAATCATACATCCCTCAAAATATCATGTTTTTGTTTCTTGACCTTGCACCGCCCTCGCCGCCACTACTTCTCCCACTTCCTATTCGAGCGTGGTAAGGAGAATCGACCTCCTCGGACTGCCTTGATCACCCAGCCTTCGTCTTCCCAGCCTTCGTCTTCCCGGCCCCACAACACTACCTCCTTTGATGGTTCATCCGAGATGAAGACCCCAAAGCATGGTCGATCAGGACATGCCAAGGCAGATGGATTTGCAACCGCTTCTACTGAGGGGAAATATGTCGAGTCTCGCAGCGGAGCAGCCGCTTCGGATGATGACGATGACTTCATGCCCAGTCGAGTGACAACCAAGAACGCCCCAATTGCGAAAAAAGGCCTCAATCAAAAAGCGGAGACGCTGATCAGGATCCAACACCACGCAAAACATTATTGCTTTCATTCGCATGTATTTTGCTGATCCGCAGAGCAGTATCGCCAGAACCCGTTATTGCAATAATTAAAGAATGAACGAAAGATAGATGAAAGAAATAATGCAGGATATATGTTTTCGTGAAAATAACTTCTAGCCATGAACTGATTCAAGGCTGGCCAAGAGTATGGTATCACACATTCAGTCTTGAAGTTCTAGTTTACGTGTTATTCTTAGTCCCACGTTCTCCCAAGTGTCAGGATCCCCTACTTCCCCTTAAGCGTATCCTCCTGTAAGTCTTTCTGGCCGCCACGTCCCCAACCATCTCCTAGGATCCTGAGTCTTGGCACCCGACGGACCGCTACGACGGCTGTTAGGCTTGTGCCAAGACCAACCCAGGAAGCTCTTCCGAGGACTTTGATGCTCTGCCAAGAACCATGACGCCGACCCCCTGGGCCGTAGCCGGACCGCACCTCCATATAAATAACTAGCATTTCCATAGAATTACCTTCAATTCCTTTCCGTTCACGTTCATAAATATATCTTTCTTTCCCTATACTTTCCTTGTCTTGATGACCGTCTTCCACTGGACCTTCATCTATCTAGCCCTTCTCTTTTCACTCTTCCTCCTAGAGCTCACTACGTTAGGGCTTTCTCCACTTCCCTTTTCTTCTCCACCAGGATTGCCCTCAATATCAACGGTTTTGTGTCTGACACCTTCCCACAATCAAGAGGACTTCGCCAGGGTGACCCACTATCTCCCCTCCTCTTCAACCTAGCCTTTGAACCGTTGCTTGCCCACATTGAACGATCCTCGGATATTCACGGTATTGTAATCCCTGGTCGCACGGAACCCATCAAGCTCAGCGCCTATGCAGACGACCTCATGACACTCATCTCCTCTACAACCGAATGGTCAGCATTGGAGGACATCCTACTGACCTATGGCCGCGCATCCAACGCCAAAGTCAACCTGTCCAAAACCATGGCCTTCCCTATGGCTCCCTCCTACTCCAAAGAACTGTAGATCCATCTGGAACATCTGGACGTGCGATGGCATGACCACAACTCCGCTGATGCTTTGATCTACCTTGGATTCCCTATCTTTTTCAACCGCGATCAGGAAAAGGGTTCTAGGACAAGACGCTGAAGAAGATACAATCAGCCATAACCATACACTCTTCCCGCTCCCTCTCCGTCCTGGGCCGAGCCACCATCACCAACTCTCTTATCCTTTCCAAACTTTGGCACCTATCCTGGGTAGTTAAACTCCCGCTTGACTTTGTGCGAAAGGTGAAAGCTGCCGTCACCAAATTCGTATGCTCCTTTAAACCAAGGCCATCATGGGAGGTGATCACTACTCCAAGGGACAAGGGTGGCCTAGGTGTCATTGACCCAGTTACTCAATTCCACGTTTTCCAACTCAAGCATATCCGCAATGCTCTCTCCACTAACGTCTCTTGGGGTAAGGACATCATCCTGGATATCATCCGATGGAGAACCAAAACGTCTCACCGCCTTGCCTTCCTCCCAGCTCTCCTGGACGGACAATACATATCCTTATTGGCAGGTTTCCCCGGCCTGCAACGGTTGGTATCCGCGGCGTCCTTCCTTCCTTCCCTCAAAGCACTGGCCCTTGCTGACTCCTTGCCTGACTCCGTAACACTTGCCTCCTCACCAATCGAATGGTGGTTTGAAACGACAGACACCACTATCAAGGCCCTCAGACTCCGAGTGGAAGAGTTCTTTCAGTTTTCTCCAGACAACAATGGGCTCCTCCAACTGGTCAGAAAAACACACCTTTCCCCCAAGCTCCGCCTCGCTCAAGTGGAACTAGGGATCCAAGCCTACCAAGAACGTCGTCGGATGCGTCACAGTATGCAACAAGCGCTCTCGAACCCACCCAAGGTCACACATAACGATACAATGGCACAACGTATCCTCTCATCTGTCTTGATCCTAAACGACAGTAATCCTATTACTCTGGAATCGGCCACGAACAAACATCTTCGAGCCTTTTTGAGGCAGGAGACACCACCACCAGACTCAAACTCATCAACCCACCCAGAGACGGGAACCTCGAAACAATGGCGCCAATTCTGGAGTGCAAAGATACCACACCGGGCCAGGACCATGTGGTGGAGGTTTAAAAGGGATTGGCTCCCTTGCGGAACTCTACGCCATAAGATCTGGAAGCAGGATCCTCATTGCAACATGGCTGGATGTCGTGAGCGACGTGAGGACAAAGCGCATCACATCTTTCAGTGCGCTCCTAAATACATCGCTTGGCAAACAATCCTTAAGCAACACACATCCAAACCACTTTGGTCTGATGACGACCTTGATAAGGTCTTGTCTTTCCATCCTTCGACCTTTGATATCAAACCCCAATTCAACATCACTATCCCACAATTGTTGGCTTGTTGCCTCATTGGTATTTCAACAGCCAACACCATTCTTTTTCTGCATCAACACATTCAATCTAGTAGCGATATCATCCACACCATACTTCGCGAAATCACCAAAACCATAGCACAAAATAATTCATTCAAGGCTGCCACAATAAATCCTTTCTTTCCCCTTCAAAAAAAAAAATAAAAAAAATCGAACAAATCTATAGAACAATGGGCTTAATCTCAGCAGATCGTAGCAACAAGGCTACTCTACTGCTTACAATACCCCGTTCAATTAAAGTCACCTGCAATGTATTTATCTCTTCCAATATTTGAAATTAACATTAGTGGGAAACCTTACAAAGCCTTTCCGCACTGCATGATCATCCCAGATTCGTAATATTCAAGACCGTGGGTCTATTCGTATTCAACTAAAAATGGCACAAAGCGGTAATCGTCGCGTTCTAGCACGGGTTCCGACTTAGAGGCGTTCAGCCATAACCCAACCGATGATAGCTTCGGGCCATTGCCTGCTCAGGCAGGCCCAAATACCAATTATCCCAATGAACGGTTCCTCTCGTACTAAGTTCAATTACTATTGCAACAACATTTCATCAGTAGGGTAAAACTAACCTGTCTCACGACGGTCTAAATCCCAGGTCTTGTTACCTATTAGTGGGTGAACAATCCAACGCTTACTGAATTCTGCTTCAGTATGATAGGAAGAGCCGACATCGAAGGATCAAAAAGCAACGTCGCTATGAACGCTTGGCTGCCACAAGCCATTTATCCCTGTGGTAACTTTCTGTGATGTGACGTATGCGGTCTTCCTGAGGACGGACCTCTTTGTCGACGGTCGTCATCTATCACTGTCTAGGTTGTTTGTCTTGCATGTCATGTTTGGTCCTTTGTGCCGTCAATAAGTGATGTATCTTCTTCACGCCCTCTGTGCCGTCTGTTTGTCGTGCTCCAACTTTTGCTCTGTCTGTTCTGTGTGCTTATCTCGTCTTAAAGGCGCCACACCGGATGCTGTACGGTACCTCTACAGTACCATAACTCTCTGGCTTGTCTATTCGATTTCTAGGGACACTCTCCGTGTGTCGCAAAAGCATCACTGTCAATTTTTTTCGTCATTTACTGATAGGCACAATATCTTGTTTGGGGTTAAACTTCATCATTTTGTTAACCTTATTTGCTGGCAGGGTATTGTCATTTTATTTATTTCAGGGCCATAAGAGGCATCCAGCAGTGGAGCAGAGTGAGACTGATCCTAACGGGCACAAGATCCTGTCCGAGTGGCGGATGCGACGACGGATGAGAGAGGCAAGCGCAGAGCTGTCGCGGACAAGGTTGCATGTCCTTCTGGTCCTATGACCGAGGAGCATTTCATTGCAGAGACAGACAGAGTTTCATTCCTAAGTTTAGAGGTGGCGTACACATTGATTGAGAGACAGTCAACTGTATAAAAGGGATGCAATAATGGTATTGTTGAGCATCTAGTCCCAAGTAGTATGTTATTATCCGCTATGCTCTGGCCTATGTTGGCGATGTCTGCACTCGGTCAGGATGTCCCTGATTGGAATCAAAAGGCCCCTGGTCCAGTCCCTGTGACCACGGTTGAAGTGCTTATTACCAAGCCTACATTCAATTCTGGTCCCATTGTCGTAGCCATCCCCACTCCTGTACCCTCAAGCTATGAGCGTAAGAATCCCTATCGATATGGTCCCATGCCAGGTCTAAAGGAGATGAGATGAAACATATACCGCCGAATATATGTTGACACATATCATCAGATAATAAAATGAGTTCATAGGACCTTGTGTACCTGTGACATGTAGTTTTGAACAATAAAAAGGCGCATAAAGTGTCGCAGTGAGGAGGCCAAAATCATCCAACGATATAATAACCAAGCACACTGCCTTCCGTATTGTCACTTTGGCTATCGTTTCCACATTAGTTTGCGGTCTTCATTGCTGGAGGGAACACTCTGGCTGCGGAAATCCCGACGCTTCCAACTACGAGTCGAAATGCGACGTCGCCGCTAATGGAATTCAAGATATACAAGAGTTCAGAGGCTGTCTCTACTCTTTCTGCTAAGATGATTCGTTTCTAGAGTTTCGTACTCGACCTCAAGATATCAAAATTCAAAGGCCTAGCGGTGTCGTATGCTCCGAGAATCGATACTCTGCATATACCGCTGTGTTCAGCAAGATCCTCGCAGCGTGTGTCTTGGCAAATATCCAGAGCTAGGTGAGGGAAGCGCCGTGCTCTGCTGCCAGAAAGGTCTGACTAAAGGAGGCGCGTAGATCCTGCCCGAGACAGATCGTAGAGGTCGTTGTTACTGTAGCGAGTTTGAGCATTATATCCCATTTTTGAGGAATTGGGGTTAGGCGAGAAATAGGCTGGATTTATTTGTGTCTTTGTTTTAAGAGTTTTTTCTCGACAGTCTATCACAGTAATCTTTGAGGCGCGTATGGAGCATGTCAAGTCTGTTATCAATGTCCAGTTTTTGTTGAAAATTACACAATGATAAAATGTCCCCTTTCCTGTACTACTTGTAATACAGACATTGCGCCTCACACAGCAAAATAAAATAATCTCATTTCGGGCCCATTGTAGAGCTTCTGCAAGCGATGCTTTGCAAAACATATCCACCTTTTCTTGAGTCTGCAAGACCCCAAAGTCTGGGATCGATTGGTGTTGGTCATCTCCACCACCTTGCCCATAGGTCGCTTTGGGTTCCTCCATAACAGGTGCCGACTCATCGACATATACAGGAAATGTGCCCTTTTGATATTGTGGGTGCATGGCCGTGGCCTGAGGATCTGTCTGATCTCGAGAATGATGTTGGTGGATTGAAGTCGCAGTGGGCGTTTCATCCTGTTGAGGTGGCAAGGCGATGGCGGTGCGTTCTTCTCGATGGGGGGGGGGGGGTAGACTGACAAAATTGGCATCGTGTTGATCTTGCGGAGGAGAGAGCGCCGGATTGGACTCGCCTTGGTGTGTTGGAGATGAACCCAAACACAAGCCGGATGGGCGAAAACACTCTTTGACCTTACTGGGATCCTGCTCCCCGAGCATAAATCGTGGCACTATCGATGCACATGGATCATTGTCGCCCTCGGTGGAGACGTGGTCATCTCGGTGCTCGACATCACAAGTGGCCGAATCGGACCGAGACGCGATAGATTGGACGGAATCAGAAGAGTAGTCAATGGATGGCAGGCGAGGGCGATGGACTACAGAGGTAGGGATCGCTGGTAGAGACATACGACTCGGATTTCTGTTGAACGGTATGGAGTCAAAGGCTCTGTAGTTTGGAGATTTGTTGGGGCCAAAGCTGCCATGTTCCATAGATCACCAAGGGGCCGACGGTAGGTCTCACGAGAGGACGCGGAGAAAAAGGCTTGCGATTCTTGTTGTGAGTTGGCTATTCTCGGGCTAGTCCCAAGAGGGCTGTTCGGGTCCAGGTTTTTTTTGTCCTCAGTTCCATCGTACTCGTCCAAAAACGATGCCTTTGTTGGCTCTTTTTGAGGGAAAGGTAGGTTGATCATCCTCAAACTTGCGCTTGGCTAATGCGGTGCGGGTTAAAGGCCGAGACATGCTTGATTGTTGCAGAGAGGAGGGTGATATGATGTGAGGATTCAAAGAGGACACAGTCGTATTTATAAGTCTCTACTTTTTGGTTTCTTTGGGCATACATAAGCTCTCTTGCGTGGATAGAGGCGAGCAAATGACGATCGAAGCGAACGAGGGCTCTAAATGGCGAAGCACAAGTGTCAAGATAATTGGCTTATTTGGCTCGTCTTCTAGTGCTCACAATAGTATAGATTTAATTCCATAAGATAACAGCACATGTTTTTTCACAGCCTATATGAACAGAATCAGCTCAAATAATAGTCAGCATCATGCGTAAGAGTTGATGAGTAATAAACCATTGAGTGCATTTTGCACCATGTTGCTTACCAGAGACACCAAAGACGGTATATGATAGCGATTATTTTCCTTCACGAGTTCGAGGCTGGATCCATCTGCAAGTTTTTTTTGATGGTAAATCAGGTGTAGAAGGATGGGTAGGTCCATGAATAGCAGGCTAGGGCGATTTTCAGGTGCGACTCCGAAACCTCGACACCACGCCCTTGGCAAACCATGCATGGAACCTGATGTAATAGGTAGCGCCCTTTCGCCTTTTTACAAATGCTTCGAGAAAGTCGACATTTGGTCCTGGTGCAAAGAACCTGTCCGTGATCCTATTGACGTCAGCATGGAGATCGCCTAGTTGCATAAAAGAAAGAAGGCAGGATATGAGACACTTGAACTACAACGGGATGCAAACACAGGCGCATAAAGCAATTGCACTTACCAGAGAGAGGGATGCCAGGACGAGAACCATCAGAGAGAGAGCCACGGAGGGACAGGTGTATGGACTGTTTTGGTGCAAATGGATGAGTGTTTCAAGTTTGTGCATGGGCAAGAGTCGACGATGCAAACACCAAGTCACAAAAAGCAATAAACGCGTGTGAGCAGGAGGGCGCTGGACGATGATGCGGATCGCTTTTTTGGACAGCTTGTCCGGGAGCACGTCCGAGAGATCGTCTGTTTCACCGAGCTCTTCCTTCAATGGAATGTCGCTAAGCGAAATGTCTCTGCGGTCCTTCTTTGGGACGAGAGGTATGGAAACGCGCCAGAGAGTGAGCTTGTGACATTCTCCGCCCTCAATCCCACATATACTTTTGACTACTACGACACCCCGAGTCCTCTGATACTCCCAGTCCTTTGATATTTTATCGCAGGCCATTACCCTCTTGATGCCGCATCCTGTCCCATCCACCTCCCATCCCTAAACAAAAACACGACCACGTACCTACAAACATTGTGCGCAGTTGCTCTTCGGTGCACCCTCACGCCAGCAGAATGCCAGATGCTCTGCTGACAAACTCGGCAAGCAGGCCCACATTTTGCTACCACCACTACAACGAAAATAATATCGCCGTAGTAGCAAATGCAGTCGTCAGGGGTGTCCGACCCGATGTGCACTCTTTACCAGCAGCAAAGAACCAGCATCGGGGAACACACGGCCCTTACAACAGCGATGGGTCCACGAGAACCAAAGCTGCAGGGCACGCACTTCCTATGCCGCCGAGTCGAGGTTGCACCACATCCAAGTATTCCTAACACGAAAGCTTTTTTTGTTAGTCGCGGTTCATGTTGAGTGTAAAACAATGCAACACAATAATTAGCGATGGGAAATATACAAAAACACGACCACGTACCCACAGACATTGTGCGCAGTTGCTCTTCGGTGCACCCTCACGCCAGCAGAATGCCAGATGCTCTGCTGACAAACTCGGCAAGCAGGCCCACATTTTGCTACCACCACTACAACGAAAATAATATCGCCGTAGTAGCAAATGCAGTCGTCAGGGGTGTCCGACCCGATGTGCACTCTTTACCAGCAGCAAAGAACCAGCATCGGGGAACACACGGCCCTTACAACAGCGATGGGTCCACGAGAACCAAAGCTGCAGGGCACGCACTTCCTATGCCGCCGAGTCGAGGTTGCACCACATCCAAGTATTCCTAACACAAAAGCTTTTTTTGTTAGTCGCGGTTCATGTTGAGTGTAAAACAATGCAACACAATAATTAGCGATGGGAAATATACAAAAACACGACCACGTACCCACAGACATTGTGCGCAGTTGCTTTTCGGTGCACCCTCACGCCAGCAGAATGCCAGATGCTCTGCTGACAAACTCGGCAAGCAGACCCACATTTTGCTACCACCACTACAACGAAAATAATATCGCCGTAGTAGCAAATGCAGTCGTCAGGGGTGTCCGACCCGATGTGCACTCTTTACCAGCAGCAAAGAACCAGCATCGGGGAACACACGGCCCTTACAACAGCGATGGGTCCACGAGAACCAAAGCTGCAGGGCACGCACTTCCTATGCCGCCGAGTCGAGGTTGCACCACATCCAAGTATTCCTAACACGAAAGCTTTTTTTGTTAGTCGCGGTTCATGTTGAGTGTAAAACAATGCAACACAATAATTAGCGATGGGAAATATACAAAAACACGACCACGTACCCACAGACATTGTGCGCAGTTGCTCTTCGGTGCACCCTCACGCCAGCAGAATGCCAGATGCTCTGCTGACAAACTCGGCAAGCAGGCCCACATTTTGCTACCACCACTACAACGAAAATAATATCGCCGTAGTAGCAAATGCAGTCGTCAGGGGTGTCCGACCCGATGTGCACTCTTTACCAGCAGCAAAGAACCAGCATCGGGGAACACACGGCCCTTACAACAGCGATGGGTCCACGAGAACCAAAGCTGCAGGGCACGCACTTCCTATGCCGCCGAGTCGAGGTTGCACCACATCCAAGTATTCCTAACACGAAAACGTTTTTGTTAGTTGCGGTCCATGGAGATTGAAAACGAAATAAAGAACGATTGAGCATAAGAACAGCAGTGCCCAGGTGGGCGCTTTTAGGGTTTTTTTTTCATCCGTAAACGCAATGGGCGCGAGAATTACGTCACCGAAGTGAGTAAATCGCTCTCTTTCAAGTATACCATTGCTGGTTTGTTCCCCACTCCTTCCCTTCCAGTACCCAGCACTTGTTCTCTTGCCGTTTGACTAGCACCTTTGAGTATGCAGCCCTGGTCCGCACCCCGGTCTTTCAACCCCTCGTTTTTCGCCAAGTTCCCTGCGCACAAATGGGAGTTTAATCATTTCGCCACATACTCCCTTGAAAAGGGGGAGATCACCACCGCACTTGACGCCAAGCACGCATGGAAGGCAGGACTGAGCGACATTACTAACTCCGAGTGGACCCCCCAGGATGTCGTTGCTCATGCCGAGCGCCTAGAGATGGAGCCCGACGGAGAGATCAGCAATGTGGTCCAGCAGATGTTCGTGCTGAGGTCCGTTGAAGTTGTAGCATCTGCGTCGGAAAGAGCTGCAAAGGTATTGCAAGGAATGTTTGAGCCTTTCAAAGGGAACTGTTGAGTGTGTTACAATGAACTTGTCAATAACGCGCCTCGTTTATTCTAGGGAACACTTTCGAAGGTGAAGTCGGCAAGGTCAGCGAGTAAGAAGGCTGAAGAGTTGGCAGAATCGTTCCTTCACCACAATAACTCCGACGACAGGAACATAAAGCGACACAAGTGCCCCGCACCGTGGACCGCCCATGCCCGCAAGCTCTGGAAAGATATCAAAGTCTTCAACCTTGCTTTGAGCTCGGACCGGGATGCACTATCCAACGTTGCCTTGGAAAGTATCCGCTCCGAACTGCGTCTACACCACTTGGACCGAGACGCTCTGGATGATTTGGAGGAGGCGCTTAATGCTTTCCAGCACTTGACCTCGATCGAGACCCTGACCGATGTACTCAAGGAGAACTATCCAAGAATGAAGGGCCTTGGGGGCAGTGTCAGGAGTCAGGAGTTGGCATACATATGGCGCGCCTTTGATACGATGTAAGTGTTAAGTTACTTTGGAGAGTAAACTTGACAAAATGTTTAATGCACCGTATTAACCATGGTTTACGTATTCGGTTTAATATTTATTAGGATGGACATATGGGAGAGGCCAGCTTCGACAAATGGATGGCGTGAGGGCTGGTATGCTTCTAACATCCACGGCCCTTTGCTCTCTATTATCAAATTAATCGGCGATACTGAGTATAGGATGACGGACATAAAGAGCAAGGCATTGGACCTTTATAAGGAGGACATGCGACACGATGCCCTCCTTTCCCACACTGGACTAATGGTCGATTTGGTCGTGATGGAGGCAAAGCCTCATTCCCAGCTAGCAGGACGGCGGGCTGACCTTAAGAAGGTCGAGAAGGCGATGATAGCCAATCTCCGCCTTCTTCAGCGCCGCCTTCCTGATGATGATCCGCATCGTATCGCCGAGATGCGTACATTTGGGATCCTTTGCTCAGGCTATACCATTTCATTCCTGGAGGCCCGAGTTGACAGTGGCGCTTACCTCATCTATGTCGTCGGCAAAACAGAGGTACCAATACAAGCCTCGATGTCTTTTAAGCTCGTTGACACGGTGCGGGCGGCGATATCTTTCAAAAGAAGAATCCAGGCAAGTGTCAATTGTGTGCTCCATGCCCGATCCATCTCAAGCCTGAATTCTTCCACTGGATCATCAGGATCGATACTGGCCTAGATCTTCCTGCACAACCGTCTTTGTGGGTCGCCCTCCTTTTTATGAAGCTCGGGATCATTGCTCGCATCGGATCTACTGTACCACATCACTTTGATCTCTATCTTCTCTTTAGCAAGCTTGACGATCTCTTGTCAGTTGTGACATTGGAGCTGAGACGGATAGGGGCGTTGTTATCTAGCTAGCACTTGCTTACCTCGGAAAAAAATAAGTATCAAATTTTAATTAGCGTATCTGTATTCTCCTTGTACATTAAAAAAAAATATCAAGCAACCCTTGCCCATTGTACCAAAGGTCAACTTGAAGGCGGCGAGTGAGGACGGCAGTTATGAGAGCGCGCAACGGTAAGGCACCTTATTGATAAATACCATATCAAACGCTACCATGGGCAGCAAGGGAGACAAAAAAAACAACTAATGTTTGCTCCTGACAGAGTACAGTATATGCGCGGCGTGGCGGACACCCATAAGAACAACATTTGTCTACATTTTCCTTCTGCTCTCCCTTACCTCCGTCTACTTCCCCGTTCCTCTTTATCATTACAGTATCAGCGGCGACCTGATTCCTCTTTCAGTGCAAGCTTGCACACCGCTTGAAGGCGACCTCTCTATTAACGTCTTCCCACCCTTGCATTTGTTAACTGGACACTGAACGCTATCTTCACACCTTTTACAAGACGTGTGACCTTCGATGCGAATTCGGCGAAAAGAACCTATTTCGACGCTGTCGGTGCCCTGGAGGAGAGTGAATGACTTGACCGCTTGGGCATCGTCCAGGGAAGGCCCTGCAGGTCGTACCTCTAAAGTCTCAAAAGCCTGGAGCACCTTCTAACAGCAAGCCCAACAGAATTCGATGTTGATGCCTGTATCCACCCATTGCCCCCTGTAACAGGATAGTAGATTGCCTCCTGCTTTTAGCTACCTTGTTCCTGTTATGTCAGGATCATAAATTGCCTTCTGCTTTCTACTGCCTTATTCCTTACTTACCTTATTTATACCTTATGTGTTTGTCTTACACACTACCCCTGCTTATTATCACCTCGCCATCATTCCTCATATCATAGACGTATAAATACCCTGTTCCTTCTGTACAATAAAACTCATCCCTTCTTGCCCTTTCATCTTGTCCCTACACCCTCTCGTCTCTTTCCCTTGTTATTCTCCTTGCCTCTTGTCTTCCTTCCTTGTCATCACCCTTGCCTCCTCTCTCTTGCTCTGCTCCTATTACACCCCCTGATATCAGCGGCGGCAGCGAGCAATGGCCTCTCTCAGACTCAGTGGTGACTATGCCGCGGAAGGACAGCGTGAGAGAGCCTGAATTCCGCTCTGGATAATCCTTCTGGGGTCAAGCTGACACCGCACTCAAGGAGGACCAATCCAGTGGCGCTTATCTGGCTCAACTCTGTACCATATTCCTCTTCTGTCCGCAGCGCGTCCAGCTCAGGACAGGTGATATCGCAATCTATAGTGAGCACAGCACCGCTGTTCTTGCAGGGTGCAACAAGACGAAGGTACGTTGAATGTTTTTTGTGAAGGGGGAAGAGGCGAGTGAACGAGTGAGGAGGTGAACGAGAGAGGGAGACTAGTGCTTTTTAGACGAACATTTAATAAAGGGTGAGTTAGGAGCTACTGAGCTATCTACGTGTTGGTTAGGAATTTATACGTGTGAGTGAATGCCAGATAGTTGCCGTGTTGAGCTTCTAGAGGTTTCCATGAGGCGTAGCTCGGATAAGTAATCAAAGGAAAGAAAAGTCTAGAAATGTTGGTGGCGTCATAGGTTTGTATAACCTTATCAGAGTGGATCTCTGACATGTCTCGCCCCGTCTCCGTCCACACTGATGCTTCCAAGTTCGCCATTGGCGCTGTCCTCATGCAGGATGGTCGACCAGTAGCATTCATAACCCGCAAGTTTTCATCCGCCGAAATCAACTATCCTATTCACGAAAAAGAACAATTAGCCGTCGTCCATGCACTACTTAAATGGCGTGCCTACCTTCACTCCACCGCAGAACCGTTCACTGTCTACACCGATCACGAGTTCCTTAAGTACCTCAATACCAAGAATACACTCAGTCCGCGACAGATCCGTTGGATGGGGAAACTTGCCGAATAAAATTTCGACATCCAGTACTGCAAAGGCTCCCCCAACGTGGTTCCCGACGCGCTGTCCCGACGTCCCGATTACCAACTCTCCGCCATTGTCGAGTCGATTCCGTCCGTTGGTACCGATTTTATAACCCTATGCAAGCAAGCAATTGCCAAGGATGAGTACTTCAAAAACATCTTTGAGCGTGCATTCAAGATCACCGATGCCAATGACCCATTCGAGTTCCAAGTCAAGAATGGCCTCCTGTATCTCAAGAAAGGTGCCAGAGTCTGCATCCCTGACTTACTAGCCGTCAAGACCCAGTTAATGTCCGAAATCCATGATTGCCCTATTTCAGGTCATAATGGAGTTGACAAGACATACGCCCGCCTATCGGAACTCTGCTACTGGCCCGTTATGTTCCGTTCCGTGAAGCACTACGTCGAATCCTGTCACGTTTGCAAGACCTCTAAAACAAGAACCAGCTGTTGCCTCCTGACAAGATATGACGATACCCTCCATACACGAACCCCCGGTCGCTTTCTCCTTGCCCTTGCCTTCCTCCTTCAGATCCTTGGGCAAATGGGCAAACCCCCCGACCACACAGGCTTGTCCGCCATCCAAGGTAACGATCTTCATGTCGTCTATGTTCTTCCCTGGCCACAGCTTGTCGATGTTGTCCTTGCAAGTTATGACGTTGCGGATCTCGGGGAGATAATAGTCGGACCCAGCAACAGTTGTAGTCAACCTTGGAGGGAGATCGTCCTCGGGTAATCGCCTGAACCGCGCGTCCCGACGTTCTCGAAGTTTGAAGGCCAAGATCTGCACTCGGAATCCGTCCGTCCTTATTGATCCATGGGGTATGTAGCCTTTCTGGTGGTAGTCCTTGGGTTTGGTCTGCTCGACAAACTGAAGGTGATCCCGAATCCCACTCAAGGACCGAAGATTGATCGCTGCGCGGTGTCCAGTTTTGCGCTTCTGTCGGTTCGACAGGCCGGTGGGATCGATGTCGCAGACAAAGTGCTTGATTATAAATCCGGGCTCCTTTCCACCGATCCAAGTTTCAAGGTCATTTGTGGATGTGATAGTTGTGGGGTCGTCCTGGTCCAATGAAGCCAAGTCCACCAACCTCTGCTTCAACAAGTCTCGCTTCCAAAAGAAAAGAGCCAGGTCCCTCTCTGAAAAGGTTACAAATCCCTGTTGTGACGAAGTAATGGGAACGATCTTCCACCTGTTTGAGATCATTTCGTTGAGGGCGATATAGTATTCCGCTGCTGATATGTCTTCTTGGATCGTAAAGTCGATATAAGCTTCAACCCTCCCCTTGTCCTTCATGGCGCTGACCTACAATAAAAAAGTTTAGCATCAGTTACATGTTTGTTTGTAGCGATGACCTTCAGTGGCGTAATAGTCAAAGGGAATCGTATCTTTACCATATCGTATAAAGCCTCCCAATTCAAGGGATTCCTTGCTCAGGCGCAATCGAGACCAGATTGCCTTCCAGTCCTGACCACTAGCAATTTTTGCCTCGGTCCACTCAAGCTCGTTTTTCCCCAGGAGCAGCTTGGACCTTGCCTGCGCCGAATCTGCATGGTTGTGACACCAGTCATACTCCACCTCCACAACATCACAAGAAGCGAGCTTTCTCATTCTGATTTGCGCAGGACAGGCGTTGTCCACAGACTCTCGACCGATGCCCAACTCTTTTCGAGGACCATGTCGTCTGCAACAGGATCGAAAGCTCCAATCGTACTTCTTTGGTGCACCCCGAGCACCAGGGACTGCTTTGAACACTGAAAGCTCCGTCTCCATGCTCTCATTGTCAGTTTTTATGTCTCGAGAACCTCCTTCCGACCTGTATTCAAACTGCACGGACACTCGTTCATTGTACCAGAATGATCTAAACAGAAGAAAATCAGGGCCATCAGGACGCTTGGTCATCAAAAACCAAGCGAATTCTAACCTCTCATTATTTTTGCAATGTTGCAGATGTTCAAAAGTTGGTCCAGCAGTATTTGGTCCATCCAGATGTTGTCTGTAAGAATCCTAGTGCTACGCACTTCCAAGCAGCTATGAAGGTGTTTGTTCACAGGACGTTCTCGGCTCGAGACTCCACCATGGCACCACAAACGCCCGGTCAAGAATCAACGGCTCAGGACGGCGCCCAACAATGCAGGACCCTCAATGACGTCTTTGAGAGGCTGGAAGCTCTTCGCCTGCACCTGCGCGAGAGCAAGAAAAGGTAAAAAATGAATATTGTTTTGTGATATCTAAATTATGAAAATAGACTTTCTGTCAATCTAATATACAATTTTTTGTGACAACCTTCTAGCACCAATGATGTTGGCCAAGCAGAGGAGCCTAGGGATGCTTTCAACCGTTACGATACTGTCGATCACCCTCCGGAACGTCGCCCTCGTTCTCATGGTTCTGGAAGACCTTACAAGTACCGTTGACGATATGCCATCAAAACCCGCTCTCAGCTAAAGAAGCATGACCCTCCAGAGACCATGAAACAGCACCAGCTGAAGCCATGGAAGTCGCCACCAGAGTCCCCACTGGATCCATCGATCAACACCACACCGCCCAAGGTCACTCCCAAAAAACCACCGCGGGAGGTGAAGACAATGGACAAAAAGGAACTAGTCGATGCAATGCAATGGGATCATCCTACACGGACACTTTACATCGGTACCATTAACGCCAATGCTACTCGAGCTCTGAACGGGGGAATCGACCAGGCAGACGCATATACCTATTTCTCAGCAATCAAACAGTCGCTTCGAAACGTTATCCGGATTTCGTCACGCGTAAAGCGAACCGCTTAACGCGCTATTGGCCAATACATTAGGTGTCGTCAAACTATGGCCAGATCCAAAATTAATCCGCCGCTCGTTTGCGCATTTGATATTTTCCTGTCAACTGCGCAGGCCTTCTAATACGAAAATGCGAACGCACAAACCTACGACCCTTGACATATTTCGCAAACACAAGGCGCGCGTTTGGCAGTGGCAGCGGCAGAAATCGTCATACGAGGAAAAAATATAAACCCTTTTTTCGTTCAGGAGAGTCAAATACCACTCCATCTACTTCTCTCACAACCAATTAGACACACCTCTTATCCCCACTCCACCTACACCATGGCTCCTATCAAGAACAACAAGAATGTCCAACCCAAACCCAGGGTTCTCACTCGTCGTGCAAAAGGCCCTCGCGTCTCTCTTGACCCCCGAGACTACCATTAAGTACAACAATTACGACCACACAAAAATAAGAGCAACCCCATCCATTTCTGTCAACCTTGTGTGTAACATTTTTTTCTTTTTTGTTCTCGTTTAGTTGACGCCCTTGTCGTCCTCCTCCTCTGAGTTTGACACCGCATACCATCAGCTCTCGGCCTCTTCGCATGAGACTCCTCGTTCTCCGTCTCCTTCATTGCCTGCTGAGGACCAGGATGGTACTCCCGCGGGACCGTCGTCTGTCCAGGCCACAGAGACCACGTCGTCCTCTTCCTCCTCCAAAGGGAAAGGAAGACATGTGTGTGAAGAAGAAAAACAGGCAAAAAGGGGCCAAACAGTCGTCTCGTTTGACGAAATGCGTTGGCGTATTTGATTTGAGTACGTGAAATGGATACTCGAAAAGAATACGAAAATGCGTACTCCATTTTGCGTGTATTGAAATACGCTCGGTCCCTTTTCACGCCGTCTGACAAGGGCTTTGACGACCCCTAATAAAATAAGATTTTGCCATCTTCAAACCCTATTTCAGTCCGTTTTTTCCCTTTTTCGCCACTCATCATTTTTTGCTAATCACCTACTCTTATCTCACTCACTCTCACACCCATCATGCCCATCCAACACCCGCACCCAACAGCCGAGTGCATTTGGAGAGTACCCATTTGTCTTAAAAACGCTCCTCACTTCTCTACTTACATCGCATTCAACAATACCTGCGTGACTTCCCTATACCATAACGCCCACATCGCCACCATTGACATCCAGTCGCAATCAGCGCAAGACCAGAAACATCGACGTGTAAGATCTGGAGATATTCTCAATTTAACGCCCTATCTACTATGCATATTGCTCTATATTGCTAATACTTCTATGGTATTGCCAGCATGCTTTATGTTTCGGGTTTCCTGGCTTGTTAGGCTTTAGTTTGTGAGCAATAAAAAGCAGAAGAAATAAGGACCAAAGAAATGGGTGACATCAAATATTTGTGTCACCATAGGCGGCGTGTATTCAAACACAGCTCCCAAAAAAAAAAAAAAAAATGGCGCATGTACCCAAGATTACCGAAAGGAGTACATGTACTGTACAGATGAGTTAATGAGGTGGTACAAAAAATTAGCGCCATAATTATTCAAGCAGAAAGAGTGCGACCTAATTGTTGGTGGCAACCAAAGGGGAATATTATGAATTTACTCATTGCACATTGTTCTATTTCTACACAAGTTGTGGCAACTTTTTCTTACGAATGCCATTACTGCCAGAATCCAGCTCATCTTCTATTATGAAAGGCGAACAATCTACGAAATACTTCCTTGCCAAAAAGGGATCAAGATGCATCGAACGGTGTCCTAAAGTTTCGAACTCTGGCAAATTATTTGAGCCTTCATTCTTGTTGAATACTATATGTTGTTGTATCAATGTACATTCACTGTAGTACGCCGGTTATATATGTGCTCTGATGTATCACATTCGAATTTGCACAATAACACCTCAGAAAACACTACGCTTTATTTGTAAGGTGTATATTGCAATTAGATTACGTTAGTTGCGTCATTATTTTGTTGTGCGTTTTTCGTGTTGGTTGTTACCCTATAGCTATTCTTTTTTCATATAAATATCTAGGTTTTTCGCCGATATTGTTTTTCATTATCGCACATCATTATCGCACATCATTCTACCATCTCAAAATATCTAAAGCCTTTGATCCTCCACTTCATTCACGATTGATTTCTCTCATTTATTAACTATGGTTCTCAAGTCTACCGTCGCATTTGTCGCTGTTGTCACTTTGGCGTTCTTCTCCAGTGCCCCTCAGGCCGAGGCTCACTCTTGGGCCGACTGTATTGATTGGAAGTTCAAAGACCCCAAGAAGCCCAGCTGGAACGATGACGGAGGTCGCTGCATTGGGTATGCTCGTCGCTACCCTGTTAGCCTTAACATGCCTTTTGGTACTCAGGATAAAATTTATCGTTACTTCCAGCAAGATGCCGACCCCAAAGTTGCAATTCCTTGCTCCAATCGTGGCGACGGCTATGGATCCAACGAGACCCGTGCTAATCCTGTGAGTGAAGCTTATGGAGGCAAGTTTGGGAGAATGACTGTCACCACAGTTGGTGATACCCTCTGCGTCCGTTGGCCTGCCAAGAACCACGCCATTCCTCAGTATTTAATAGACAGATATGTCCAGATCAACTTGTCTCCTGTCCGTAACGGCAAGGATATCACTCAGATCGAGTTACTCAAGAACACAGTTGCCAAATTGGACTTCGCGAACTGCATGCCAGGAGCTGATATCGATCTTAAGGCTTGTGGTGGATGCTTCAAGGTTCCTCGTCGTACTCCTGGTACCTACCTCTTGCAGTGGCGCTGGATGTTGAACCAAGGCCAGTGGTACTCCTCTTGCGCCGATATCAAGATTACCAAGTAATACTGTGGTGCCTCAGAGCATAACCGACCCTTAAGTCATTATTTTTCCTCTCCCTTTTTATTTCACCTGCGAGCACGAGACAGACATTCCTTCCCTTTGTTGGTCTCAATCTCGCAGGTACGACCTTTTCTTCCTTATACGATAGTTTTTTTTTCACAGACAGTGTAGTTAGTCTTCCTTTTTTATGAGTTGTAGTAATAATAACTCCGCCCTTTATTGGTCTCAATCTCGCAGTTTCGCTGGTTTTAGAACATAAGAAGGGTCTCTCTCCACACAGGAGAAACATATTCAACAATACAAAGCACACGCACAAAAGTTGACAACTACAACGGTGACTATGTCCAAGAACCTCAACGACCTTCCTCAAGAAGGTGTTATCCCCGTCGAGACCGGAGTCGGACCCGCAGGAATGCCCTCACCCGTCTCTGTCGGAATTGCCCTGTTGTGTCAACAATAAAGATATGAAGAAGTGAAAGTGATAGAGTGTGTATGCTCAATGGTGTGTGGAAAAGTATGTGAGCTGGACAGAAACGTAACCTCTCTATTTTTCTAGCTGTCTTTGTTAAATAGTCTCCTCTTATCACGTGAGTAAACATGAGTGGGAGTTTTGAAACCCTGGGTTCAGAGAGAGAGCAGGGGGAGAGTTGTCTGGAGAGGGGAAACCGCTAGCTGAGTCTTCCTCCCTTCTGGAGGACCTGATATCGGCCCCGGAGGTTTGGGTTTCGTCCCCGATGGGTTTGTTCGGCATGCTGCTGCGTTGCTGGTGGTTGTGGGTGTCTCTTTTCTTTTTTATGTTATTTTCTTATTATGTTGTATTCGCGGTTATGGTTGGTTAAAGTGATGGTGAAACGAAATAGGAAATGGGTAGATTTGGTGTATTGTTGATAATTTTGTCTCTGTTGTCTGATTTCTCTGCTGTTACTGTTGCTGTCGCTGTTGTTGTTATCGCTGGTGGTAAAAGAAAACGCTGGTGAACCCGTTATGCCTGCACGAAAGAGGGAAACAAAAGGTTCATATTTAATATCCGTCGCGCCGCTCCTATCCTACTGTAGTTTGTGTTTGTCGTTCATTGTGTCCGCTTACCTGCACGAAAGAGGGAAACAAAAGGTTGATTTCCTCTCTTGCGCACAGATGGATCTACTTAAGGGGTAGTGGACGAAACCACCACACATGCAGCTGCTGCGACTAACAACTGCTAAACATCTCACACATGTTGTGCACGTACACAACAACATAATTCTCCGACACTGACAACAACACACAAACAGGAGTTGTTGGAGAAGCTACACAATGCTGAGTTGCTTTTCCGTAAGGATTTGGAGGCGGTGCAGTTGACAACTGATGAGGATATGCGTCAGTTTATGTACAAAGCAGTGGAAATTAGTTTAGCGCATTTTGAAGAATATCAACAATGCGCTGTGGACGCGGGTTTCACACTCGCGCCCGTTCAATCTCCGGCCCCTTTTAGAACCTTTTCATTTAAGGACAGCGTGTCCGTTAAGGAGCTATCGAAAGATGACTCTGTTCCACTTGAAAGCAAAGACCTGAATTGGAAATTGCTGCATAAGTGGAATGTGGAATGGAAGAAGGAAAATGATCTTGAGGCTTTCTCAAGACTATGTCCAACTTCTATACCACGGCAACAAAGAGAGGCAAACGCTCCTTCTCGGAGGGTGTTGCCTGTCAATGTTAGTTGAGTACTTTTGCCATATTGGTGGTACCATGATTGAACTTGCTACTCAGATGGAAAAGGCTCGTACTTGGGATGAGATGCAATCCCATTTTAAGGGCAACTCGAATTTTTCATCTTCTAGTAGCACATTCAGATGGCGAAAATCTAGGCACGGTCGAAAATCAGTCCTCTTGCCACTAGCATCCTTCTTTGGTACCAAGATCAAAGGAGCATTGAAGGAAGAGTGTGTTTTGAGACGAACAATGCCATCAGCTAGCCATTTTTTAATCGCTTCATCAACAAACTACTCATGATGATAGGCAATTGGGTATTGTCTTTTCCATACAGTAGCACCATCAGGCGTTTTCAGCCTAACTACAGCTTCATCCGAAGTACAAAAGCTTTGTGGTGGAATAGCTGCATTCTCTTCAAGCAAACCACGAATGGGCTTAAGAAAGTTATCCCGCAAAGCAATGAAAGCCGGAGCCTTCTCAGCCTCTGGGATCTGGGTTGGTACCAGGGCTTCATACTTGTCTTGTAATGGTGTGGAGCAAAATGTTTTGCATCCTTGCCCAGACCAGGTAATCCCATGATACCGAATCCAAAAATAAAAAATGTGTCCAAACCAATTAGCAAGTCATAGCCTTGAGGCATGCATAGCAACCTTTTCAGAGGTATCAAGTGCCAAGGGTACAGTGGCACCAATACGTGGTATAGTAATGTTAGCATGCGCTAATTGAATGGGATCGTCATTTTTTTCTGCATAAATAACCATAGCTTTCAATATCTTGACTAGCGTGGTTGATATGCAAGTAATTGTAGAACCAGTGTCATTCACAGCAAGAAATTTCTGATCATTGACAAACATAGACAATGACACACATTTTGAATCAGAAACATCCGACACAAGGTTAACTCTTCGAACCATTGTTTCAGAATAAATATTTTTAGTTGTGGACAAAAAGAAAGATGGTAACTTTGAAGTATCTTATATATTTATCATTGGAACTCTCAAGCTAACAACAGCTTGTTCCGCTCTATCAGTCTGATAGAAATGATCAAAAGATAAATTATCAGTATCACTATCCACACTTGTATCATTACATTTGTCTTGTGGTGTGGACAAATACGATACACAGGCAAACGTACCTTGCTTCTTCTTGTCAGCTTTGCCCTTATTCTCAGGCTTGGCTTGATACAACTTTGCCCTCTTGGCCTCTTTCATAGGACAATTGGGTCGAATATGGCCTTTTTCACAACTATGGTAACAAGTTGTCGCAAATGTACTAGTGCCTTTCTTATCACCATCCTTTCCTTTTTCTACTTTTTGGAAAGGACGCTTTCCTTTACCTCCAAAGGCCAGATCTGAATTAGGAACGATCCTCCAGACGATAGGTAATATCACCCATGAAAGAAACAGCACGCGCTGGTACCTAACAGCACTACGATAAAATAAGGTTTAGACTCACTTTGTAAGTAACGAGACAAGAAGAAGGTTGTATTAGGGCCCACCAGGAACGATCTCTTATGTCGTTCCTGGTGGCTTAGTTCTAGCTAGTTCATGTATTCATATATCTATGATCCACAAGGCAAATATGCAACAAGTACCATTATTATAAGGATGCTGTCTTTGCTCCTCAACTGCTTGCTGGATCAATAAATCAAATGGTGGGGCTTGCCCATACTTGATCATAATATCAGAAAAGGTCCAAGAAGGAGGAAAGTTGCGAAGGAAACGGTGAGCCAACCATGTCCTCATCTCAAGAGACATGTTTGACGAAATAAATCCATCAGCCTGAGCAGCACTCTTGAAAATTTGGCCAAAACGTGCCATCTTTCTGCCAAACCAAGGACTCGAAGTGTACCGCATCAAAGCTGGTGTCACTTCGTGTAAACCAGTCCTTAATATTCCTTTTAATTTTTGGTCTTTAATCCTGCGATTCCTCCCTACATTTGAAGTTATAAAACGTAAACTTACTTTTTTATAAACTAGAATAGTACCCGCGGCTTCGCTCGCGGAGGTGTGGAGCAAGTGTGAATTGATAAAAAAGTGGTAGTGGTTGAATATTGCAAAGTTTATTTGTGTTTGTTAGTTCCTCATTTCTCTCTCACTTTTCTATTTCTGTCTTCACTTTTTTTTTTCGTTTTGCCCTCCCTTCCTTTTTTTTTCTTTGTCAGATTCCACAAATCGTGCCAGCGTGCCAGGCCTGACTAATCCAAGCCACAGCCACGGGGAGGAGGTGTCAGACGGGATCCCTGGGAGCTCGAATGCCTATAGATACACAACTTGGGTCGCATGAATGCCATGAAGTGGCGAGCACCGAGCCAGCCCTCCGCATCCCCAATGCGACCTGTCGTGTCTGATGAGCCCTCTGTCAGTCGAGATCTCGGTCAAAGATTTTATGCAGCAGTCTCCTTTCTTTCCATCAAATACAACACCGTCTTGCCATGAACGTACTGTACAACCCTCTCGTCCGCCTCATTCAGACTTTGTTTGACAAATCGACTCGTTGCCTTGGCGGGCTAAATCCTGTCGGTTTTCCTCCTTTGCTCAAACCTGCCTTCCTCTCTCGAGGTGTTATTCCTTGGGTCATTCCCTATTCGACCGTCGCCCTTGTAACGTACGTGCCATATCTCCATCCTCCCAAAGTCCTCTATCGCACTCACAATACCTTTTTTTCTTTTCGCTTTCCCTCTGCCAGGCGGTCAACGCATGTCGAATGTCACGGTACTTTGTACTGGTACCAAAGGATGTAATGTAAAGGCAAAGACACTGTTGAAGGTCCGGGTGGTTGCAAGAAATACCTCTGAAATGGCTTTGCAATCCAGCAAGGGAAGCTTCGATGGCTGGCATTTTGACTCTTAGGCAGCACACAGAGAAGCGTGGATTAGCGACTGTACGTCCGACACGCTCCTGCGTATTCAAAATAAATAATTAAATCGCGCATCAATAAAAAGAAAGAAGAATGTAGAATAGTTGTAGGTATTATCGTAACTGGTTACCTCTGTCCAATGTAAAGCACCCCAATGAGAGCAGACCACGCTCATCAATTCCTAGATCATGTACACTGTGTCGTCCTGCTCCTTAACAGCAGCTACTCTATTCCCAAAAACACGTAGATCAGCGGGAGCAACATGAGCAACAAAGGAAACATGAGTAGCAGGGGTAACATAAGCAGCAGGGGCAACAGGAGCGGCAGAAGCGGCTGGAGTAGCAAGGACCGTGGAAGGAGTAGAAGCAAGAGATTCTGCAACGATTATGCGCTTCCTGCTCAAAAGGCAATCCGCATGAGCTGTACAACGGTGACCAAGTTGTCTGCAAGCATTA